TACGCGCACAACCCCTTCGACTCTCCCGCCATGAGCGAAATGTCGCTTAGGACGCCGTCAATGTTCCAAACGTATGCGCCTAGTCCTTTGGCCGCGCCGCGGAACACGATGGCGCCAGGCTTCGACGCGAGGCAGAGTAGCTTCTCCATGGGCGGCGGGTTCGGCGGCGGCCAGACCGCGCAGTTGACGCCGAATACGGACCCGAACCCGACCGACGAGACAGTGCTGTCTATGCTGAGGCAGTACCTGAACACGCAGGACTTGATGTCCGTCACGAAGCGCAGCGCGAGGGAGGCGCTGTACGGCCTGTTCCCGAATGCGAAGCTCGAGAGTCGCGCCGCGTGGATTAATGAGAACATTGACAAGATTCTCAGCGAGGCATAAGAAAGCACGCCGCCAGGCGTGCGAGCGAGTGCAGCTCGACGCGCTCACGAACAATAGGCCCATTAGCCACAACAAGACCCCCCAAAACCCCCCAAGATCCGCGGATGGCCTATGGCCACCCGCTCAAACAAGCAAACACATACATTCCTTCCCCCTCTCTTTTTGTTGCATTTCCTGTCACGACCGCACTATAAGAAACGCATGTATTCATGGACACTGCGAGCACGAGGGGGCAGCGAGCGCAGCGAGCTGGCCACGAGGGCGAGAGTGGAGCTACAAGCGGAGCCGGTGGGTGCGAGCACAGACCACGATGAGACTGAGCCAGTGGAGGTGGAGGGCCAGCCAGCTCGAGTCAAGAGTCAAGAGTGGAGGCCGATCTGTGATGCGGCGATCACGGGGTCGGCGTTCAAGACGAGATCAGTGCGTCGGCTGCGTCGGCTTATCGGCACTGTCATACCTCTCCTTATACTGGGCCACAGCATGAGTTGCCTCGTAGAGCATGGATCCGTCGGAGTGTCGAATCGATCAGGCGAGCACATCGGCTAGGCCTTAGGTGGAGGGCGGAGATCAGGTCCGGGGTGGAGGTCTTCCACAGAGGGGGCACAACGTCAGAGCTGTTCCAGCGCCAAGACATCCAGGGCAGTGGAGATGGGCGATGGGCCGTTCCGGCGCGCGCCGGCGGCAACGGTCGTTGTGGGATATTGCCCGCAGAGAGCGGATCTCCACTCTGCCGGCTCTGCCGCTCACGTCCGTATTGCCAACTCCCCCCCTCCAACAGGACCGACCACAGGCACAATATATACGCCGCCAAGGACGCAAGGACGCAGATGGAGAACACATCGATCATGACGCTCCCCTCGTCGTATGGCGCGACCGACACACGGCCATCGAGCGACTCGAGCAAGTCTAAGCCAACAGAGCCAACAGAGCCAACAGAGCCAACAGAGCCCGTCCTGCCCACCATCCATCCCTCACTTGGCCATGACATCAGCAACGGAACGAATGGAAGTGGACAGGCGTCAAGGAAGGACAGGGGCCAGGCGAACAAGGCCTGGCTGGCCAAAAGCGTGGATAGCAAACAGGCCAGCCTTATCTCTGTAGCTAACTGTTTCCTGACTGGGTTCACGAGTGCTGTGGCCTTTAGCGCTTGTTATATCTGGTACGTACCCCCTCCTCCTTCCCTCACTCCCTCCTCTCCCAGGCCCTTCTTCCATCTCACAAGCCCTCCTCCCCCGATCCCCCGATCCACCGACCAACACTTCCCCGCATCCACTCATAATCACACTCACCCTCCCTCGCTATCGCTCGCACTCCCGCTCCCGTCTCGCTCGCTATCGCTGGCTCTAATCTCACGCTCCCTCGCTTCGCTCGGTCGCTGATGACAGGCCCGGCTTCCAAACCGGCAACGTTGCCCAACTGGCCATCAGTCTCGCGCGCGTCTTCGACCCTGCTCCCATCAGAACGCACGGGTTCCAAAAGGGGGACCAGCAAGCGCTCGTCTCGCTCGTGTGTTTCTGGCTCGGCGCCTCGCTGGGCCGGATCGGGGCGCGCTTAGGCCCAAAAGCACGCCGGTGGATCCTCCCCGCGACCTTTTGCCAGGTGGTCCTCACGGTCGTCGCGGCCGTGCTCGTCATCCCCGAGCCGGACTATGGCTCCCGCCCCAACCCCAGTTGGGCCGATGCGCGGGGCATGGCTGCCCTCGGGTGTCTCTCTGCCGGATTGGGCATACAAGGGATTATTGGCAAAAGGGTCGGGAGCGAGATGAACACGACCGTCGTGCTTACGGCGACGTGGGTCGAGATCTTCAATGAGCCCGGATTGTTCACGTTTGGGTTTGTGAAAAGTCGTGATGCCCGCATTGCTGGCGTGCTCATGATCTTTGTCGGCGCTTTTGTCGGAAGGGCCTTGTTGGGCGTTATTGGGAGCCAGGGCGCGCTGGGGGTTCTTGCTGGGTTGAGGGCGTTGAGTGCGCTGGGATGGGCGATGGTCCCTGCCGCGTGAGCGCGGAGCGAGCGAAGCGAGCGCAGAAAGATGCGAGGGGCTTAGATCGTAGATGACAGTGTAGAGTACGTTGTTGCATGGATACAAGAGTGTTCCTGTCTTCTACTAACCCTCCGCTGACCACAGCCTACAAGATGAAGCTCCCTGTTGCTTAGATCCAGCAATCTGCTGCCCTCACTCCCTCACTACCTCGCCGACCTCGCCGACCTCGCTCGCCCCAGTCGCCTTTTGGCGCCTTTTGGCGCCTGGCGCTGAGCTCAATCGTGCATCTCCTGCGCCCCGCTATCCGCCGCCGGCGTCTTCTCACCAGCACACATGCCCTCAAACCCCTCCGGCAGCGTCCACTTGCGAATCTCGTCCGGGCGATGCGTCAACGTCATGAGCAGGCCGAGCTGCATGTGCCACGAGATATGGCAGTGGAACGCCCACACGCCCGCGTTGCCCGTCCCCAGTCTCAACACGGCATGGCCATACGACGGGATCTGCAGCGTGTCCCTGCGCATGATACTGGTCGTGTTGAGCGAGCTCGAGTCGCCGACGAAATGCCCGTCGCCAGAGGACAGGACCCAGAACCGGTGGCCGTGCATGTGGAACGGGTGGCTGCCGTCGTCGAGGCTGTTGACGATGAGGTCGACGAAGCCTGCGCCGGCGTCGTTGGACAAGTTGGACGAGTTGGAGGAAGGTTGTGTCAAGCCCGGCCCCGGCGTGGGCCCCGGGGTCACAATGTTGACCTGGTCGCCCGCGCCATCCTGCGGCCCGACCCTGCTCGCGCTCGCGAAACTCGCATCATTGCGGATCTTGAATATGTCCGCGACGCCCGGCTCGGGCTCCCAGCTGCTGTCGTTGAAGAACATGTAGTGCCCATTATCGGCCGTGTACTGCATGTTGAACTGGACCGTGTACTGCTCCTCTCTCTGCCTGGGGGCATCGGGCGCATGGACGGGGGTCAGCTTGGTGCCGTCCGGGTCCAGGGCGGGGAGGCCCCTGGCACTGCCCGAGGCACTGCCCGAGGAGGACTCGTCCTCCCCTCCAGTGGTGGAGTTGGGGAGGATAGAAGAACTGATGCCAGCATAGCGGAGCACGCCGAGGGTCGTCTCGGAAAAGTTGGGCGACGTGTACCGCATCTCGCTTGTTTGGAGGTGGTTCCGAACCCAGTATGCGGCCGGGGGCTGGTCCAGCGTGATCAACACGCTGTACCGCTGCCCGACGGCCAGTTCCACACTGCTCGCGTTGAAGGGCTGGATCGCCACGCCATCCGCCTCGACGACAGTCAGCGCGTGCCCGTCCACCGAGAAGATGGTGTTCACGAAACTCCCCGCATTCACCAGCCTCAACCGGTACGTCTTCCCGCCCTCCAGGGTCAGGTTGAAGAACGTCGTGGGCTCGTCGCCGCAGTAGTTGCTCGCGTCGTAGTGCGTGCCGTGCGTGTAGCTTCTGGCCTGGGGAGCCTGGGGCGGGAGCGCATGCAGTGACCGTCTCCGCTTTCGCTCGGGAATGACCAGATCGGACTGCGGAATGTACGCGCACTTGGCCTGCGAGACGCCATTGATGGATCCCCCGTCCGGACTCGGCTCGTCCCCCGGCTGTCCGTCTATGCCCGTGCCGAGCGCGGTGAAGCGCCAGCTGAGCGCCGGCACAGGCGTGTTGTACATGTCGCTCAGCATCAGGGTTACTTCGTCGTCGTACTTGGCGTCGGTGCCCGGTTCGTTGCCTTCGTTGCCTTCGGGCTGGGCGTCTCGTGTGCTAACGCTCGAGTTGGAGCCGGGAGTAGACGCTGGGTGGAAGACAATGGCACCAATCAGACCGTCAGTGTACTGTCCCGCCGAATGGGCGTGGTACCAGCTCGTGCCCTGCTCGGCGACCCACTCGTACGTGAAGCTGCTGCCGGGAGGGATGCCGCACTGCGTGATGCCGTGCGTGCCGTCCATGAACCCGCGCCCGGGGAGGAGCTGGCCGTGCCAGTGGATAGACGTCGCATTGGGCAGAGCGTTGTGCACGTGAATGCGGAGGAGGTCGCCCTCATTCGCTTCGAGGATGGGGCCGGGAGAGATCTGTCATTAGCCTCCGGCTAGGTCAGCCGTACTCACCCCGTTGACGACGATCATGGGCTTGGTCATCCCGCCCGGAGCGGCCGAGACTGCCGAGACGGTCCAGTTGAACTCTCTCGTTGTCGGCGCCGCGCCGACCGGGAACTGCCGTGACGACCCAAGCCATCGCGCCTGGTCGCCGAGGAGCTGCTCCCGCGAGATCTCCGTCGTTGTCGTTCCGTTCGCCAATGTCTCGCCAGCACTGGCGTTCGCGCTCTTCTCGGGGCTCTTGTGCCTTTTCGTTCCGACGCCTACTCCAACACCGACACCGACGCCAATCGCGACGCAGAGAAACGCCACGATGCCGGCCGCGATCCACCTGTTCCTCCTCGCGTTGCCGCCGCCGGCCTTGCGAGTATGCGGTTCCGTCGTTTTCTCGACCGGTGCTGAGGCGTCGCTCATCGTAGATAGCGGTGGAGAGTGTGGTGCGACTTTGCGAGAGAGGGGCTGGGGAAAGTTTCGAGGGCTTGCGGCATTTCTCGCAATCAGATAACTCTGCGCGACTCATCTGCTAGCGTAAACGCTCCGCCGGTCTTGCCGAGTCAAGCGGAGCGGCAAGCGGTACTCGAGCGCTGCAGTCAGGTCCCCATTCCGGCCAAGACCGACGCACATGCAAAACTCAGAGCGGCCATAAACTCTACCTGGCATGCCTGTCGGCCTTTCTGCTCGTGCTCCGAGTCAGGCAGCCCTTGCTCGCTTCGCTCCACAGCCGTACGTATGATCCCCGCTCCACGCCAGCTCCGCGGCGCTGGGTCTCATGTCGCGTGCGGCCGGTAAGGTCTCCAAACCTGGCCGTGCCAACAATAACTTTCGGCGTAAACGAACGTGCAGCTTGGCGCGCGAATCAGGAGCCAAGTTTGCGCGCACTACCGATCACCGGTGTTATCAGTGCCCTTGTGCCTGAGAGATAGCGTCACTTTCGATGTCCTGAACAGGCGTAGACGAGCGGGTTTCGTCGAATTTTTCGTCATATTCTGAACGCCGGTCTGTGTTCCCCTTCTGTAGGACCCCGGAACTTCCCCGGGAAGACGCCTAGAGTGGCTCGGAGCGCGCACCGAGATACCCCTTTCTGAACACGGGCGACACGGGCGATATGGCACGTTTCCGACCGCAGTTCTATTCTGAGCTCCACACCTGGACCGACTCTGGTCCATCCCACTGTTCCGCAATGTCGAGCGCAGCACGTTCATCTTTTCTGCCCTCCTAGTCGTGCGCATCACACGCCAGTCCTGCTCCATGCTGCTTTAACCCTCCTTGCCCGCTCGTGCTCGCTTACTTCCATCCCTTGCTCTACATCCGCAAGCCCTCCATGCCCGCTTGGGTCAACGCGAGCGTGCCGAGCACCAATCGCAGGCACGCCATTGCACATATCAGCGGAATGAGGACGCAAGCGGTGACTCTCGGCGCGTGCACCTCGGGATGATAGCTGATTGTCCTTTCCGTAAGACTTGAGCGCCGACGCAAGAAGGTCTAAATGCGGCTCTTAGCGCCAGAATATAAAGACGGGGTCCGAAGAAAGTTCACAATCCCCAGCACTCAGCAAAAGGCGATCACCCACTGACATAGCGAAATATGCTGGCCCTCACGCTCGCCCTCATTCCCCTCATCGCGGCCAAGAAGGCGCAGACCTTTGTCGCGCCCGGTAACGGGCCGACGGAGCAGTCGCCCAACTACACCGGCGCCTCGAACGGCTCGCTCCCGCTCCAGGGCGTTGTTCCCGGCAAGGGTGGGTAACTGGCTTGTTAGCAGCGCTGACTCTCAGTGTACGACCGGTTCATCACGATCTGGCTCGAGAACACCGACTTTGACTCTGCCGGCTCGTCGCCGACGTTCCAGAAGCTGGCGAAGCAGGGTATTCTGCTCGAGCAGTACCATGCCGTGACGCACCCGTCCGAGCCCAACTATGTCGCTGCCATGGCCGGCGACTTCTTCGGCATGCACGACGACGACATGTACTTCCTGCCGTCGAACGTGTCGTCGCTCGTCGACCTGCTCGAGGCGCGCAACATTGCCTGGGCGTCGTACCAGGAGAACATGCCCACGGACGCGTTCGACAAGGACTACACCCAGGACAACTATGTCAACGGCCAGGGCAACTACACCTACTACAAGCGCAAGCACAACCCGCACATCATCCTCAACTCTGTCGCCGAGAACCCCGAGCGTGCCCTCCGCGTGCGCAACTTTAACGACTTTGCCGTCGACGTCAACAACTCGGCCCTGCCCCAGCATGTCTGGATCACCCCCAACATGGTCAACGATGCCCACGACACGGACGTCAAGTACACCTCGGACTGGCTCGAGTACTGGCTCGTGCCCCTGCTCGAGAACCCCAACTTCAACGGCAACAAGACCCTGATTCAGCTTACCTTCGATGAGAACGAGAGCTACTCGATCCAGAACCGCATCTTCACCGTGCTTCTCGGCAACGCCGTTCCCGAGAACCTCCGTGGAACCAACGACTCGACCTTCTACACGCACTACTCGCACCTCTCCTCGGTCCAAAACAACTGGGACCTGCCCTCGCTCGGTCGCCAGGACGCCAACAAGACCCTCGCCAACGTCTTTGACTTCCAGGCCAAGACTACCAACTACTCCAACTATGCTCCCAAGCCTGAGGAGATTCCCCAGCTCAACCTCACCGGCATCTACCCCGGCGCGTGCAACCCTGACATGTGGACGCCCATCCTTGCCCCCAACGTCAACGGCTCGGGAGCCGGGAACGGCACCGTCTTCTTCAACGCCTCGTCCACCAACGTTGACCTCACCACCGCCGAGCCCGTCAACCTCACCGCCACTGGCGGTATCAACCCCCTCAACATCAACCCCAACTTTACCTACAACCCGCTCCAGATCGTCAACCAGTCTACCGTCGCCAACGCGACTGCTGCGTCGTCGTCCTCTGACGCCAACGCCAAGTCCAAGGACAAGGAGCACTCCTCTGCTTCCAAGGCTGGTGTTGTTACGGGTGTCGTCGCCGCCGCTGCCGCTCTTGCAGTCCTTGCCTAAGTTTGTTAGAAGTCGATCTAGAACAGTGTACATGATGCATGATGATGGTTGAATGCTATTAATGCGCGGAAATCTACTATTACAAAGGGGGCATCTGGCCTAGCATGCCGTCCTCTCTCATCATGTGCAGGAACGTCGCCTGCTGCGACCAGAAGTCGCGAACGGTCTCAACCCCATGCACGAGCGGGATCCGCGAGTGGTCAAGGGGCGGTGCTTTGGTGTATCTGTTGGTCGCTGCGCGATCGCCCAGCGCCGACTTCTTGCCTGGAACAAACTTCAGGCATTTGCTGCAGGTTAGCTTATGGTGGGTATACTGCAGCTACTCACTCTTCGGTCAATCCGTACCCGTCCAGGAGAAGGTTTTTGAGGAGAAGCGCAATCCCGACGACGATGCTCGCATTCGCCAAGCGCTGGGCGTTGAACTGCTCCGTCTGCGGTTAGCTTCGATGCCTTCACATAAACTCACCTCTGAGACAACGGCCACCTTATCTGCCAATGACTCGTCCTCCATACCCATGACCTTGCCGAGCTCGATAGCGTTTGCGACCGCGGTACCCTCCGAGACGACATGGCTGAGGTGCTGCACGACGGACATGACCTCTTCTTGCAGCTGGTAGTTGAAGGTGGACAAGTTCTCTGCGATGTAGAGTACGAATCCGGGTTCGATCTGTTGTCAGTTGTGAACGACGTCGGTTTTCAACTTACCTTCTCATTGCCCATCAGCTCAAAGTCGAATGCCTTCACGAGGGCACGCAGGAACTCTAGCCTCCAGGCGCGCTTCTCGCTCAGCAGATCGTACCAGCCTCCCAAACCAGGGGTACCGTTGTAGTGACCAACGGGCTCGGCCGTGATCGTGCGCAAGTAATCGTAGGACGAACGAGCGAACTCGAGGTAGCGCACGTTGAGGAGACTGGGGTGCTTGGTGTGCAGCGTGGAGTGGAGGTTGAGCGCCTGCTCGGCAATGTGCCGGTCCGCGCCGGCCTCGAGCGAGATGAGGATGGGAAAGAGCTGATAGGTTAGCGGAGTCAGCGTTGGTGAAACCTACGTGAAGAGGATGGTAGAGACCCTGGTTGATAGTAAACTCGAACACCTCCATGGCAGCACTTTGCAGCTTGGCGTGGTTCGACTTGGCGCCAGCAATAACGTAGTCAATGTTGCGCTGGACGAGGGCGGTCGAAACGCCCGACTCATGCAGGTCGGCGGCGCTGCCAATGAGGTCGTCCACCCCCTGCTTCTTGGGTTTGCCCTTGTCTGCGTGTTAGTTGAGCACGGCTTCAAAGCAACTTACTTTTCTTCTGCGTGCGGCGCTCAGCCTCAGCACGCAGGAAGTCGCGGAGCATCTCGAGCGCGTACGCCTTACTCTCCATGTCGTCCGAGGAGAAGACGCGCTGCATCCACACAGCCGACTTTTCCTGCAGGATGAGGGGAGGGTACGCCCTGAACAACGCCGCGAGGCAGAGCGAGGGCACCTTCTGCGATGAGGCAGCACCAGAGAAGGCGATGTAGTTGTCCAGCAGGTACTCTTGCAGAGGCTCATCTGTGATACCTCTGATGATGTCCTCAACCTGACTGTTCTCAGCAGCAAGCTCCTCTGGCTTGGCAAACTCCGTGATCAGCGCAGTGATGAAGTACACCATTGCGATGGCGGGAGAGGAAGCGTTCGCCAAACCCTTGGCCCTGATCTGGATCAGACAGGACCGCAGGACCATGAATAGCGCGGCCCACTCCTGGGTGAGATGCTTCGTCACCGCACAGTAGCAGGCCACGATGTTCTTGAGCGCGTCGATGTTAGGCGGCTTGCCGACGAAACCACGGACAATCTTCGACAGCTCCTGGGCGAAAGAGGAAGACGCCTTGGGCATGAACGGGATCGAGCGGGTGAAGATCTCGAGCAGCAGCTCGTTCGTCCTCGCCTCGTCCGCGTTCGTGGCGGTGCGCAGGTACGTGAGCAGCACCGTAGCCTTCTGGTTGTCGATGAGAGCAGGGTCATCAAAGCTGAGAAGCGCGATAGCCTTGATATGACTCGTCGCGTTGAACTCAGACTGCTCCGTCGCGTCAACCATGCGGCTAATGAGCGAATCGATGATCTCAGCGTAGCGCTGTGTCTGTCCGTTGGCGCCGACAGCCTCCAAAGCCGCCTTGAGCGACTCATCCTTGCCTCGGTAATCCTTAATTACGTCGACAAGAAGAGCCGCTGCCTGAGCGGGATCAAAGTTGGAAGGGGGGCAGAGAATCTCGGTGAGTGACTTGACGGCCAGGTCTTTGACACCGTCGTCCTCGTCGTTCGTCGCCTCGATGAGCTTGCAGCAGATGTTGGTCTTGACCTCATCATTGTTCGTCACGTTGAACATGTCACGGAGAAGCTTGACGACGCGCTTGCGCACGCCAAGACCAGCGTCGGTGACACGCATCGAAATGTGGTCGAAGTACTGATCGGCAAGCTCTGAGCGCTGGACGATGTACTTGCCGATGAGGTCGACGGCAGCGTCACGCACGGCGGGGGATGAGTCCGAGAGTCGGTCTTCGATACCAGTCTTCACGATGTCTAACCTCAGCACATCAGGATCGGCGACCACAATGTTGCCGAGGCCGCGAAGTGCCTTGGACCTCAGATTGACAACTGTCGAGCCCATGGCTTTCAGAAGCGCATGCAAGATGTAGTCTGCGGCTCCCTGCAGTGGGCGGCATCGAGACACGGCCAAGGAGGCCTCCCATGCGGCGTCTGGGGGTGTAGGTTGGCTGTCATTAGCTAGATTTCTGAGCGCGACAGCTTACCTCATCTCGAAGAGCATCTCGTCTGCGGTCCAAACGTCATGCGATGCCTTGCGGATAGTCTTAAGGATAGCCTGCAAGTTCTCGCGGTGCTGGTGCGCCTCATCGTCATTGTCCATGCGGTACTTCTGGATAAGGGACTCGAGGCGTTCAACAGGCTGATACAGCTCCTGCGACCAGAGAACGCGCGAGAGCTCACCAGAGGAGACAAACATGGTGTCCTCGCGAGCAGCCGACGACAGGAAGTTCTGGATCGAGGAGTGCGCCTCCAAGAGGGAAGGCAGCTCTGCGACCAGCTCGTCTGAGATGACCTCGTCCAGACTCGGGACAGATCTCTTCTCCTGCATGATGTTGTTGAACGAGCGAAGCTTGGCCCCAATGTCACCGAGGTAGTCAAGGGCAATGCTGCGCGCCGCGTTCGCCTCCGAGGAATGGCTCGCCTTGTCCTTGCCCTCATCGAGAGCACCGACAAAGATCTTAGACAAGATGTTAACGAACAGGGACGCCGCCGGCCACTCAGGTCGGTACAGCGCATTCAGCAGATCCGAGACAAAGGTGTCCAGGATCGCCTTGTAGTCCGTATCCGTCGTGAGCTTGTTCGACTTGCCAGTACCGCATCTGAACGTTAGCTCAAGGCGTGGTAGAGGAGCTCACTTTTGGAAGAGATACAGGGCGATCATGTGAGTCGAGCGCAGCGCTAAGTCACGGCACTCAGTGACGATGATCGATTCCTGAGACTCTTGGGCAGCCGCCTTGGCATCCGCCTGACCCATCTGAACGTCCTGCTGGTCCGGAGCATCGTAGTCAAACTGCGAGGAGCGAAGCTTGCGGATGCGATCACCGACGCCATGGGAGGACGCCTGAATGAGCTGCAGGAGAAGAGCACTGAGCGTGTTGATCGAGCTTCCGTTCGACAACCTAATGTCAGCTAGAAGAATGACGCGTAGCTCACTGGAAGTGTGTCTGCCGTGAGCCCTGCTCATGACCGCGGCCAAGAGAGCCCAGAATCTCCTCAATGATCCACTGTCGCTGATCTTCGTACTTAGCAAACGCCTGAGAGTTAGTATCGCCCAACCAGTTCTAACTCACTCCTCGAAGACAGCCAAGTGCTTCCATCCTCAAACTCTTCATGACCGACCAGCTAGGCCCGCCCTTGTTCCCGCGCTTCGAGGAGGGCTCGTTGACGAACACTGGCCCAATGGCGAGGTAGACAGTCTGAATGACGAGCGTGTCCGAGAACGACATGTCCGGTCGACCGATAAGGGTAGCGATGTGCGGCACTGCGGCGCACGTCGACTGGGCGACCGCGGACAGGATGGGGTTCTGGAACTGTGACACCAGGAGCTTCTTGGACGGCTTCGTCTTCGCCAGTGCGGTCGACTCCTCAGTGACCAGGTGAGCCAAGTAGTCAGAGTTCATTTCTGTTGTCAGCTTGTGGCGAGATTTTTGGAGCTCACTTTCGCCGGCAAGACCTTCGATCACGGGGAAGAGCACCTTGGTCATCTCGTCGCGGATCGTTGTCACGGCCAGCGAGAGAAGGTCCTCAGAGTAGAGCTGCTTCGGCAGTCCGTCTGAATCGAGCACGACAAGAACACAGAGGGCAGCAGCGGCGGCGGTCGACATGGTGGTCAGCCGCTCCTCGGCCTGCAGAACCTCGTCCTCGGTCAGCTGGATGTCTGGCGTGTCATCCTTGGGCTCGTCATCGACCTTCTTGGACTTCTTGCCCTTCTTCGTCGGCGAGCCGTTGATGACGGTCTTCCTCCCGTTGTTGGGGAACACCTCCAGCTCGTCCGTCTCGTTCATGACGCGCTCCAGCATGCGGAACAGACGCGACAGGTTCTCCACGTCCCAAGCAACAGCTTGTCTGTTAGACTCAAGGCGCTGGCGCTTCTGGTTCTTGTGAACGCGGGTAACTCGGCGAGTGACATTGTTGATGGTTGCCGCAGCCAAGAGTGGGTGGCTCCCATCTCTCGACAAGGTGTCAAAGTACTTCGAGGAAGACACGCTTTCACGCGAAGGCTCGGCGTCGAAGGTGTCCGACTCCTCAAAGATGTCCTCGAGCGTGTTCTGCAGCTTGTCCAGCGCGGCTGATGTCAGTTCAAACCCGCAATCGATGAACTCACATCTGGTGTCCTTGTCGCCCGTGCGGCCAGTGCCCACGACAGGGATGTCGTCAAAGTCAGGGCTCAGGATGCGGTGTCGTTGTGGGGTTTGATCAACCTGCCCGTTCGTTCCCCAGTCAATACTGTCATCCTCCTCCTCATCGTTAGTGCCAGGAGCAGGCTGGTATGACTTCTTCTGCGCGGGACTGAGCTTGGGAACGCTGATGTAGATCTGGCTGGAACGCGGGGAAGCCGTTGCCGTTTCGCGCGAGTCCAGAGTCTTAGCCTTCTTCGCGGGGGACGGCTGCGAGTCCTGAGAAACCGGCTTCGGGTGCGCCTTCTTCTTCTTCTTGGCCGGCACGGGAATGACCACAGACGGAGGAGGAGGTAAGGGCCGCGGCAGAGCCAGGAACGGCGACACTCCGGGCGGAGGCATGGACGGCGCCGGGGCTGGCGCGCCATTAGGAGCCGGCTTCGGGCTCTGGAAGGTGAGAGTTCGGTTCACATAGTTCTCGAAGTAATCAGTGTTACTGATACTCGACGATGCGGGCGAGGCACCAGTGAGCGTGGCGGGCGTGGGAGGCACGGAGCCGGTGGCGCTTGGAGGAAGGAAGTTGTAAGGGATTGATGACCTCTGCTGGTACTGCTGGAACTGGGGCTGCATGTACTGAGGCATGCCCTGGCGCTGCTGCTGAGGTGTGACCGGAGGTTGCGGCATCGACGGCGGAGGAGGCTGCTGTTGAGGTTCAGGCTGCGGTTGCTGTTGCTGAGGAGCCGACTTCTTCCGTTGCTTCGGCTTGGGAGGCGCCTGGTTCAACGGAGGAGTGGTCTGCAGCGTCGGTAACTGCGGTCTTCCTCCTTGCGCCATCTGCGCCATCGAGAACTGCTTCGCCTGTTGGCTACCCGGCAGATGCATTCCCTGCGGCGACATCGTCATGGGGAACGTCGGCGGGGCAGGAGGCTGAGACGAGGAAGACGCGACCGGCGACGGCGGCTGGGGTTCCTTCACCTGCGGCGGCTGCTGCGGCGGTGGCAGTGGCGGAGACACCTGCGGCTGCTGATATTGTTGAGGTTGCTGGTACTGCTGAGGTTGCTGGTACTGCTGAGGTTGCTGAGACGACTGTCTTCCTCCCATTGGTGAGAAGTCCGGCATAAAGTTGTCATACGACGACTGCTTCTGGGGCGGTGCAGGCTTCGTAGGCTGTTGCTGTTGCTGCTGCTGCTGCTGGACGTTTTGCTGCTGCCTCTGCTGCTGCTGTTGCAGTAAATGCTGCAGCTGAGGCGGCGGCAGTTGCGACTGCTGCTGCTGGAACTGTTGTTGCTGTCGTATCGGCGGGACTGCTGCAGCACGGGGGATGCGGCAGCCTGTTGGACAGGGCTTTGCAAGGACGGGCTTTGAAGCGACTGCTGGTAGTTCTGAGTGGAGAAGGAAGACTTCTGAAGTTGCGTCGGCAGCAAGGACGGTTGCTGAAACTGGGAGGACGACTGCGGGATGGGTGACTGGACGAAGGAAGGCGGCGGTGGCAAGGTGGAGGAAGACGTGCTGTAGTCTTGGGTGGCAGGCGATCCCTGGTACAGCCCGGAGGGGGAAGGCTGAAGCGGGGACGCTTTCGGGGGCTGCACCGGCGACGGCTGTGCTTGCTGCACGGGTGATTGGATCTGCTGTCCGTTCAGCAGCCCCGGGAACGGCAGTGAGTAGGACGGTCTTCTCAGTTGAGGTGAAGCTTGTGTTTGCTGGTCCTGCAGTAGTGACGTCGAGCCTGCGCCGAGTGGAGCACTGGCAAATGCCTGGAGTGGCGAGGCGGTCCCTACACTGGGGGAGGGCAGCGTTGGCGTACCGACGGGGCGCTGGAACGGTTGCTGAGCGGCGGAAGACACTCCTGTTTGAAGCGCGGGGCTGGGGCGACCATAGGACTGACCCTGCAACGTCTGCGCAGACTGCACTGGCGACTGCGACGCGAATCCCGGTGACGCAAACGAATCCTGCTTCTGCTGCTGCTGTTGCTGTGGTAAGCTGAGCGGCGACTGGATCGACTGTCCCGATGCGTTCACGCCTGTTGCCGATTGCCGCTGTGAAGGTTGCTGAAAGCTCTGGAGGTAGCCTGGTGGTAACTGGGACTGGGGAGCGGAGGCGGTCTGGGACAAGGAGGGAAACTGCTGTTGGAACTGCGAGGAGGAGTAAGGAGTAGTCGTAGACGGTTGTGACTGTGTGTAGGTCGACATGGAGGATTGGCCGAGGCTCGCATTGGGAACCGAGTAGGGTTGACTGGACTGTTGATACGAGCTCAGGTCCTGCGTTTGCGGGGAGCTCTGAAATCCTTGGTACATCTGTCCACTTTGCGTGCTCTGCTGCTGCGCCGGCGTCTGGTACTGTTGCTGCTGTTGCTGAGGAGTAATCGGTGCACGGTACCCTCCGGTGAGGCCGTTTCCGTAACCATTCTGCGGGGTCGACGGGAACGTCGGAGGCTGGTACAACGACTGCTGTTGTTGCTGCTGGTAGTTGAAGCCACCGTAGCTGTTCTGGCTCCTCATAGCTGACGCAACGCGGTTCGCTGCATCCGGCGAGTACTCGGTACCGTTGAAGCTGTACTGGGGGTAGAGGTTGGCCGAGTTGGAGGGGCCAGAGTACGCGACAGTGTGCGGGGCAAAGTGGGATGCTACTGGAGCGCGTGTCAGCGGAGCCGCGGAGTGGTTTCGTGAGGAGCAAGGGGTTATGCGGATCCATGCACGGGCGAGGGGTGATCGCAATGTGCGCTGCTCGAATTCGAAAGACCGTGGGCCGGGTTGGGCGTAGGATGAGGACAGGAAAGCAGGGCCCTTCGCCGATATGTGTTGACAGGTTCATGACTTACCTCGCGCCGTCGGGGTATATGTTGCAAACGGGTATACGCGTAGCAAGTTGGCCGGGTCGTCGTATGGCCCGCTGCCCCATTGGGCGTTGGGCTGACCCGGGCCCGTGCCGTTGGGCTGCATCGTTGCTTGATGCTCGTGGAGGGTCGAAGGCGGATTCGCGGTGGTCGAGGGGAATGGTGAGGACGACGGGGTGGTGAGTCGGCTCACCCAAAACGTCGGTCGGCGGCGCCAGGCGGCAGGCGGCAACGGGCAAAACGGGGCCACCCTGGCCTGGTGCCCTGGTACGCGACATGAACGCGTGCGGGGACTCCACCTAGCCGAGCTTCCAATGCATGCAATCAATGTTCGTCACGATGCATCATCAACATTGCCTAGATAATAAATGCATGAGGTATGATCTACTGCGCTCTACTCGTCGTCCGAGTCCTCCTCCTCGTCGCTGTCGCTGTCCATCTGCTCGAGCAGGTCGACGTACTGCTTACCCTTGGCGAAGGCCTCGCGGTACTTCTCCCTCTCGTTCTCCTTGGCGCCCTCTCCACGGGCAGCCGAGAGCGAGCGCCACTCGATCAGACCCTCCTCGTCGACAATGTCCGAGTCGTACAGCGCACGAAGAATAAGGCCGAACCAGGGAATGTACGCCGGGTTGCGAACCGCGAACGTCTGTGCGTCGAGGGCAATGTCGCTGCTGTCGCGCGCGAGCCCGGACGCGAGCTTGCCCCAACGCTCCCAGAGCGCGGTCGCCGTCTGCAGAATCTTGGCGGCACCGCCCTCGGTCGGAATCTTCGCCATGAGGAAGTTGACAACCTCCTCGCGTGCCGGGTCGATACCAGAATTGTAACCCATGACGAGGGTCTTGAGCTCGAGTGACGCGTTAGGCACCGAGTGACCCTCCTCGTAAGCACGAGCGAGCGACGAGCGCGCCTCGTTGTAGAACGCCTGACTGGGGCCGCCGTTCAGGTTCAGGCCAGCGACCTCCATCTCGATGTCCGAGTCGAAGTCGTCTCCATCGACGTCAATGAGCGACTCATCCGGCGTCGAAGAAGCGATCGAGAGGGTAGAGAGCGAGCCCTCCGTGTTGACCGAGACATCGGACAGGCGGCGACCGAGCTGCAGCCATCGCTTGTTTCGCGGGTGCTCGTACGGGTCCTCGTCCTCGTCGTCAGAGTCAGAAAGCTCCTCCTCCTCCTCGGTCGGCCACAGGAAACCCTTGGAGTCGGGGCCGAGGACGGTGAGAGAGTGGTTGCGCATCGCCTCCTCATGCTCCTCATTGTCCTCGTCCTCTGAGTCCCAGTCCTCGGGCCTGTAGATGGCGCGTCCGATACGCGAGAACTCGGGGATCTGCACTCCGTTCCCAATGACGACGTCATTTCCGATCAGCGTGCCCTTGCCGACGACAACGCCGTCGCCGAGCGTGACGTTGGAACCGATCATGCACTCCTCGAGCTTGCAGTCGGCGCCTATCCGGACGTTGGTGAAGATGTGTGATGACTCGATGGAGGTGTTCGGGCCAACGAAGCACTTGGCGCCGAGCGTCGACTTGGACACGGTAACGTTGGGCGAGAGCGTGTTGTTCGCGCCGATGAGAACGGGGCCATCCAGGTCCGTCGTCCGCGCCAGCATGACGTTGTCGCGCGACACGTACACGTTACCCCTACGAAGTTCGTAGTTGGAGCCTCCCGGGATGTTAACGTCGGGGACAAGAGGGTACACCCAGCGGCGCAGGATGTCCTGCGTGATCTCGCCGTACGTCCTCGTGTCGCGCACGCGCTCAACGTATCGTCCGCCCTTGCCGGCAGCGTCTGCCTTCTCCTCCGCCTTCTCCTCGCCGACGAGGTGCACGTTGATGTTCTTGCCGAGCAGCTCGGACGTCAGAACACCGTTCACAAAGTGTCTCCTGAGGTCGTGGTAGTCGAAGTTCTCCGTGCACAGCGCCGGAACGTCTGCCTCGCACACATCGATGCCAACATCGCGGTATCCGCCACGGTGCGAGGCTGCGCTCGTGCCCGACCAGATCTCGTACTCGTCGATCGAAGCCGGCCACGGGTCCAGGAACAGGTTGGCGGGGAAGTCAACACGCTGCTTGCGCGGCGAAAGCGGGTTCAGGCTATAGTGCAGCAGTCGCGACGACTTGGGGTGGACGAGCATCACCGGCGACTCAGGGTGCTGACGTCCGCCACGAGCAACGCCCATCGTCATGATAACGTTCTTGTCGACCTCGCGACGCTTCTTGTGCGCCTCGACCATGTGCGAGATGTCGTAGTTCGACACAATCGGGTTGTGCACGAGAATGAACGGGTTCTCCGGGTTGAGCAGCTGCAGGTCAGTTCGACGTACGATGCGAAGTTAACTCACGCTCATGGCGTCGAGCTCACGGAGTGCGTCACCGGCCGTCCTGGCGGTCGTCGAGGACAGACACTGAATGTCGAGCAGGTGCTGGAAAGGCGACTCCCTGTTGGTCAGCTAAACCTCCATTCGGCTACCAGCTACGCACTCGACGAAAGCACGGATCTTATCCGCGTGCACACCACAGAAGATGAACACCTGCTTGACCTTGGAGTGACTCAGGCTCTCAAGCGTCCACATGAGCAGCGGAACACTGCAAAGGGGCAGCAGAATTCGGGGCTGATCGAGACACAGAACCTCGAAGCGGCGGTTGAACGAGTCGGCCAGAATGACGGCCTGCAGCGGCGCCTCGTCGACATTGTCGCCGCGCTGGATGTCAGCTATGCCTATGGAGGCTACACAGCTGGGCACTGATAGTCGAAGCCAGTCAACGGAATATACTCACCGGCTTCTGCTCGGCCTTCGGGGCCTGCTTCTTGGGCGCCATTGCTTTCGGTGAGCGGTATGCTTGATCGATCGAGCTCGAGCTTTCGTTCAGACGTCCAAAAGAGCGCGAACATTGTCATTGTGTCCGGACTCGTTCATCTCGCGTGGATGTCGCGTGGCTGCCACAGGGGGTGAAATGCCGAAAGTCCGCCCAGCCTGGGTGAGCGCCGCTCGCTGGCTGGTGCACCGCAGGTCGACGTTCAGCACGCTCGCTACGTACGTTGACCTCGACGATCACCGCCTAGACACCACTCAGACATCATGCCCGTTCCCTGGGAGGTGAGTTGCGCCGAGAGCTGGACGGGGCAGAGATGCTGACGAAATTCCAGGCCCTTCTTCCTTTCGGTTAGTTGACGCGCGAGCCCGAGTGACGTTTCGGAGCAATTGGATTGGTCGACACGCACAGCAGACAGCTAACGTGCAGGTCTCGTTACCGTCATGTTTGCCGCGACCGGCACGCTCCTCAAGACCGTTAAGGAGTTCGAGAACGACTGGAAGGTGCGTTTGGCACGAGCGGCGCGCGTTTGTTGTTGTGCGATCGGGATGGAATGTGGGAGTCGGGACCTGGATTCGACAGACGGAGCAATTCTCCGGTAAAGCGAATTGAGCGTAGACCTGGGTGTCTGTGGCTGCACAGGAGCTGTTAGCGGACCCGGAGGAGGAGAAGGAAGGGAGAGAGCTCGGAATCGGAGGTTTGGGTGGAGGAGTAACAACAACATCGCGCATCATTCAGCTTCTACGCTGTTTGTGTTCTCTTAGCTGACCTCAGCCTCCCCGCTACCACGTCGACCCCTGGGAGCAGATGATGATGAACCGCGACAAGCGACTGACGGGATCCTTCCGTGGACAAACTGTGAGTGTCCGGAGTGGCTGGCTGGGTAGCTGTGCTCGGGGGTCCCCGCGACTGCGTTATCAACCCCTACAGCTTTGGTGTTCAAGCCGCAGAAGCTGACCTCAGACGGACCCGGTAGCCCCGAAGGAGTTCGCGACCAACTCGGTGTGGCAGACGGAGAAGATTATTTAAACAACCCAACACTGGACACAACCCAAAATGCATAGGATTAGAGCCTCTAATCAACCCCGAGGGAAGGACTGACGTTGGGGTGGAACCCCGCATCGCTGATCTCACCACAACACATCAAACAACGATATGGACGCAACAGCAGGTGCCACAGGGAAAGGCATATATGCAGAAACAACAAATAATACAGAGAAAATACATGTGGTGTCGGTCCGGTCTGATGGCGGTCTGGTGAATTAATGTTCAGTCAATGTTGGGCGATGGGGCGAGCGTGCCCATTTCAGGCGAAGGCACGACCATAACGGGCGACGAGGAGAAGAGCGGTTTCGTATCCTCGGTACCGGCAGAAAGCGAAGACGAGGCGGGTACAGTGTCAATAGCGTTGGCGAAAGCCTCCTAGGCATTGTCGCCCTCGCTCTCAATGACCCTGAGGAGGTCCATGATCGCGTCCGAATCCTGGCCCTGTCCGAAGATCTCCATGAGGTCGACGGCTTCGCTGGGCGGCCCGTTCGCGTCGTCGTCGAAGCTGAGGAAGAGGGACTCGAGGTCCGCGCCGTCGGTCGAGGGCGGGAGAGGTTCGAGACCGAACGGGAAGTGGAAGTCGAGCGGCTGCACCGTCCCCCCGTTCTCGCCGGGGGTTGGGGAGGTGCGTCCGTTTTGCTGCTGCGTCGCGTTCGTGTTGCGGGTCGAGCGGCGGGGAGAGGGCGATGGCGGAGGCTGGCGCCGCGGGCTGCTCTTGCGTGCACGCTTTCGCGGGCTCTCGGGAGGAGGTTCATCGTTGCGCACACGGTTCAGGCGGGGCGAAGAGCGAACCGGCGGCGTCGCAGCAGCCGCGGACGACGCTGCGGCAGGCTTGGCCCACAGCTCGCGCGGACGCATCTTCTTATGCTTGTTGAAATACTGCCCGCAATCTGCTGTCAGCTACTGCTAATGCCCTGGAAGCTTTATGAACATACCGTTGCAGACCTGGCACACTGGCCCGTCGCGGAGCTTCTTCGTCATCCACTGGTCGCTCTCAGTCGATGCGCAATTGTAGCACTGCTCCGCAGGCGTCGGTGTCGGCGCCCAGGGGCTGCCGCTGCTGCTCGCCTGCGCGAGCACGGAGGCAGAAGCAGGCTTGTGCTGCAGCGCGACACGTTCACTCCGTCTAGAAGGAGAGGGAGAGAGCATGCCACTGATACCGTTCGCGCCCTTCGGCGAAGGACGAACGGGGCTCTTGCTCGGCGAGTCGGGCATGGCCTTGAGCAGCTTGGCAAGGAAGGGGTTGTACGCAATCTTGGCCGCCATGTTGGGCGACACGCGGCCCTGGTCCTTGAGGATGTTCATGAGTTGTGCTCTAGCCGGTGATGGCGGTGGTGGTGTACGTGGTCCAGTGCGAGGAGGGGGTGTTGTATCCCTCGCTCTTGAAGGCTCGGGCTTAACAGTCGCGTTACTGTTTACGCTGGAAACGCTGTGTCGACTAGGCGACGACGCCGATCCGCTGGGTCCGCCAGGCGTCGATCGGGGCATCGTGCGAACATGTCGCAAAGGAGACGTGGGCTTCGGCGGGGGCGGGGGCGGTTTCGCAAACACGGCATCGGTTGCGTTCAAGGGGCGTGCTGGGCTGCTCGCAACAGCTATCGGCGCTGCGGCCGTAGACTTCCCGCCGGCCAGCATTGATTCGAATGCCTGTCGGCCGGAGAACTCGCTCTTGCCCTCGGGGTTCAGTTGACGCAGAGTCAGCGTCACTTCGAGACCCCAGCCCTTGCCGTCGCCTTCGGCCTCAGCGGCAGCAGCAGCAGCCATGAGACCCTCGAGACCGCCTCCCTCCGAGAAGCACGTTGGCGAGAACTCATATTCACGCACGAGGCGACCTCGCGCGAGAGTGCTCCCGCTCCCGCCCTCGGCCAGTGCCCACGAAAGGAACCCCTTTCCCGCCCAGCTACTCGGCGCTGCGGGGCCATGGAAAGTGCTCCGCGCTCCTGCCCGCGATGGATCGAGGTTGTAAACAGAGAAGTCGAGCGTTGATCGTGTTGGCACGCATTCCGGGCTGTCTGTTAGCTCATCGTCGGCTGACGGTAGCTCACCTGGCAAAGCAGATGCCCCGTGCCAGCGCCTTCAGTGCGCAGCTTCCCATCATGATACCCTGCGATGCGGGGTGCACGTAGACATCCTGTCGTTCCGATAACACAGCAAGGTACGATTGGGGCGAAGTATCGATGGTGTATAAGATTTTGACTGGATGTCAGCTTGTCAGACGAGTGAAGCAGCTGCACATCGGCAGGGCGGTATTGTCGGACGGTGACACCAGTTGACGGTGTTGATCGCCTCATCTCACTGCCAGCCACCTCGGTGGACTCACCAGGCAGGGCCTGTATCTTGCCCGGCGCAGGAGCCGGCATGGTGGTCGGTCCTAGTCGTGCGACTTCCTGTTATTCGTCTGCCCTTCTGGTGTGGTATTGGAGGCGAAAGCGAAGATAGAGTTTGTGTGTCTGGTCGTCGTTATTGTTGGTGCGGGCGGTCGTTCGGGTGCGAAAACAACAAAGTCATAAACGCAGCCGCGCAGTGGACTGCACGCGTTTGGTTGAGGCGAGGCGCGTCGCGGATGCATTTTGCACGTGGCGACGTCATTTAAGGCTGGCTGGCGACGACCCTTGCCTTTCGTAGGGTGGCCAATCTCGCGGTGCTTGCCGCGGCGTCCTTAGTACCGGATGCCGAGGGGTGGGATGGTGGTGGGATTCACACATGAGGTGATGGCGAGCTCATACGAAGAGCCGGAGTTGAGAAAGGACAAGAAAGGCTCACATGCATATGGAACGCTGGGTGAATGGGTGAAACCTGGGCACCGTGACTGGGCCGCCGGGTGCATCTCGGACCCAGCCCACCGAGAACCGAGCCCCCGAGCCAAGCTGGAGCCCCTGCCGCTTGCAATTACCCGATCTCCTCCATGTCCAGTCAATCCTCAGTGATCTCATCGGTTCCTCGTCCTTCCCCCTTCCTTTCCAACCTTTCTCCACTCCTTTCCACTCTCTAACGACTACTAACGACCTGCAACGATGGCGCTCCCGCACACCGTGCCCCCGATGGGGCGTGTGCGTACACCGGGCTTCGCGCACCACTCGCTCGCCTTCTCGCCCTTCTATGACGGCAAGTTCGCCCTCGCGTCTGGCGCCAACTTCGGTCTCGTCGGTAATGGGCGAGTCGAAATCTGCTCGCTTGGAGGACCTGGTGGCGGTATCACGATAGAGCGTGGGTTCGATACGCAGGACTCGGTCTATGACGTTGCGTGGAACGAGGCGCATGAGTGAGTGTGCTGTCAGCGCAGGGCGGCAGGTGATGATCGGCGCCGAGAAGCGCAGCACCAGCTTCAACTTGGATCGTAGCTGGAGTTTGACAGCTGTAGGCAACCTGTTCTTTGCAAGCTGACTGCCAGAAACCAAGTCCTCGCGGCGTGTGGTAACGGCTCCATCCGGCTGTTCGACATTACTCTGCAAGGGCTGCCAGTGCAGGCCTGGCACGAGCACCACGCGGAGGTCGTGTGCGCCGACTGGAGCAACATCGAGAAGCGCATGTTCGCGACGGCGAGCTGGGACGGAGTGGCCAAGGTGGTGAGTACGCCGGCGAGCCACCTCGGCGACCGGACGAGACTCAGCTACAACGCTGGTTGCAGAAGCTGACCCACAGTGGCTGACAGACCGAACGATTGCGCTGGTGACCCTCCCCCGACTCCCGACACAGCTCTACGCCAGCTTGTGGTCTCCACACACGAACCAGCTCCTCACCGTCGGTCAAGACCCAACAGTACGCATTTACGACATCCGCAGTCCTCAGCAGGCGGTGCAGTCCTTCCTCGCATGTCCCATCCCGGGGGCGGACGTCCTCTCAGCAGACTGGAACAAGTACAAGCCCGGCCTGATCGCGACGGCGGGCAAGGACCGGGTTGTGCGTGTCTGGGACTTGCGGAATACGAACCAGCCCGTCGCCGAGCTGGGGCGGCATGGCGGCGGGCACTCGCTCGCGGTGCGCAAGGTGCAGTGGAGCCCGCACCATGCCGATGTGCTCGCTTCTTGCGGATACGATATGAGCACGCGGGTGTGGGACGCGCAGCAGCAGCGCGCGATCGCTACCATGGGAGACCACACCGAGTTCTGCATGGCTCTCGGATGGGCGCTGTTCGAGGAGGGCGTGCTCGCCACAGCAGGCTGGGACCAGTACGTCAACGTGTACAAGCCGCTGTGAAGGCAACATAGAGGTAGGAAGCACTAGAGAGAAGGATGCATATCTATCAACCCACAGACGACATTACGCGACACCTAGATGTTCTTCTTGTCCTCGACCTTGAGCTCGGAGGCGGAGCGGGCGGCCTCGTCGATCGCCTTCTGCTCGAGCGCCTCCATGTTGCCGGCGTACTCTTGGCCGATCTGCATGCCGAGCACGCCGATGAGGAGAATGCCGACGAGCGCGTTGCCGGCGGCGAGAACGCGGACAGCCTCGATCTTGTCGTCCTCCGTGATCGGCTCCGTGAGGGGAGGGGGCTGAGGGAGGAGGGTCCAGGTCGACTTGGCGTCGGGCAGGAAGGTGCGGAGGCTCTGGATGTGGACGGAGAGGTAGAGCACGACGACGGCGAGCTGGAGCGCGATCGCGGAGCCGTCGAAGAACTTGGCAGACTCGTTCCACTTGTGCAGCTTGAAGAGGAGGGTCAGGAGCGGCAGGGCGAGGACGGCGTGGAAGAGCGCCTGGTCGTCAGTTTGCAGCTGGATGGGTAACTCACCTTGACGGCACCCGGGGCCTCGTACCACATCTCGTAGAAGGCGTAGGCATTGTCAATAGCCTCACGCGTCACAGGGATGTAGAGGAGAGGGATGTCGACCTGATGTCAGTTGTCTGCCACCTGTGGCAATGATTGGTCAGGGAAAGGGTGAGCCAACCGGGTGCGCCGGGCTGATAACGATCCGGGATACGAGGAGCCGGCGCGCTCACACCGCTCGACTGCAGACGATGCGCTGGACTCCTCAATTTCGGGCCCGCATTGATGGTTGACAGCGCGGAGACGTGGATGCGCGATGACACGCGTCCCGCGTCACGATGAAAACAAGATTTGTTTTCGTGATCGACTCGGATCCAGTCATCCGCCATCCAGCATCCACGTTTTCGCGAAGCTCCCTTGGAGTGAGACACAGCGCCCATCGGTGCGCCCTGTCCCCAATGTCCTACTCACGACCTGGCACATGAAGACCATTCCAAGGAGGAAGGCGGTCGAGCCGATGACGATGTTGGAAGCAAAGCCCATTATTGCTGGTAGCTGGCCGGCTTATCGGGAAGGGTGACAGATCACAAAATTAAGAACGTCGGCGGGTCGGGGCGACGGGCTGTAACCGTAGAGTTTGCTGGAGAACGAGAGGCGAGTGGAACGGATCAAGAAATGGAGAAAGAGAACGAAATCCCCAGTGATGGGTAAAGTTTGGAGAAAGAGAGAGGCAGCAGGTATCACGCTGGACGAGCTGGCAAGATTACAGCGGCCAAGCCGATCTCACCTGCCCAGCAACAGTGGGCCCATTTGCTTCCGCGATCCGATCTGAATATCTGATCTGCCGCGGCGCGTCCTCGTCCTTGCCGCTGACACCAGCGCGCAGTAACGCTCACGCGTCTGGGCCAGCTGGGCCACTGCCGCTCACGCGCCCATGCACCAGAAGCGGCAACTCACGCTTGCGTCGGCCTAACCTCCTCTCGGAAATCCGACGAGTACAGTGCAGCAACGTGCATCGCAGCGACGTCGAGTACCACATGACCCTCTACCTTACATGCATCGCAAGGCCAGCATCGAGCCCCGCCGTAGTCACGAGATGGGCGGAATGTGGCTTCGGCGAGAGGGGCCGGATGCGCTCGGGACATGGCGGCTTTGGCTGCGCTAAGCGGTCCCCTCCACGAAGAGATGAACGCCAGGTGGGGTGTCGTCCACGACCGGCCTTGGGCAGTCCATGAGAAATAGGAGGGACAGAACAAGGAGGGCCGTGCGCAGAGTTGGAGTTTTCTCCTTGCAGCTGCGTGCATGCTTTGCAGAGGAGGAATGAGGAGAAGCCAGAGTGCCCTCAGTGAGCTTCTGGGTGATCGACGGAGAAAGAGCAGCTCCCCTCAGCTTCCGATGCTCGTCGCACAGAAGGAACATCTCGCGCCAAACCTTCGGGACCTCCAACGCTGCCAGAGCATCAGGCTCACCAGACACTGAACGCGATGCAAGCTGCCCAACAAGCCTAGCATACCAACGTGGGGGACAGGGATGACCGGGACACCGTGCCTAGAATCGACCACCGATCCGGAACCCAGACAAGAAAGTCCACATCGATCACTATTCACCAGTAGTCAACACCGCATCAAGGACTGCTGGGGCTCGGCGGCCTCGGCGGCCTCGGCGCTGCCTGATGTACGGCATCGAGGCAAGCTGCGACATGCTTAAAGCGGTCTGAAATGCCTGACAGCCAGTTCTGGAATCGGGTAGCCAAGCCTCGAAATAGAAGCCTGAATGCATCAGTAGGAGCGGCACGAGCGGGAGGGAGCGCCACCCCCGCTTCACCCCCGTCGGACCCGTGTATAGAGCCATTGCAAGGGTCCGAACGACGGTCAGTGCGTCTTCGGCGGTGAGCTGCGCGGGCTGGCCCAGCAGGCCAAGCATTGTTGCATGCTAGCGTCTCTCGCATCTCTTGGAGTTGCTTGGTCCTATGCATTTCTATCACACACCGATACTACTCTTGATACTTACTCTTTGACTCTCGCTTGACGTTGATCACGACTTCTACTTTACGACCTCGGACGACGACACTCCCTTGAACCCGACACTCATTTGAAACAGCTCGTCAACGATGCTCCAAGCCCTCTACGCCCTGGCCGCGCTCACTGCTGCCGTCCTCCCGGCCGCTGCCGAGACGCTCTGCAACGCTACCAATCTCTGCCCCAAGGCGTACCCGTGCTGCTCTGAGTACGGATACTGCCAGAAGGGCGCCTTCTGTCTCGGAGGATGCAACCCGCTCAGTACGTCTTTGCAGGAAGGAAGACGGGAAGCCATCAAATGAACCGCGGCCAACACCGACACCCACCTACTAGCGCCCTCTGCTGACACCCGTCAGACTCCTTCCGCCTGGAGAGCTGCATGCCCGCTCCCGTCTGCGAGAGCCACACGAACAACTTTGCGACCGACCTCAGCCTCGTGCTCCTGAACCACACGCAGTACGACGGTAACGCGACCAAGTGGGACTGGGTCGGTGAGTCTGCCATACCAAGCATAGCAGTGCTAACTGTGAGTCGACAAGGGCGAGATCGTCCCCAACCCCGAGGGCGACGGTGTCCGCCTCACGCTCACCAAGGACGCGGGCGGCACCCGTATCTCATCCACCCGTTATGTGCATTACGGAAAGATGGAGTTTGTCATGAGTGAGTGCTGCGCTCCCTTCTGTTACCTCCAGCCTTTGCGCTGACAGCAGAATCCTCCAAGTGGGGCGGCATCATCACCTCTGCGATCACAATGTCGGACGTGAAGGACGAGATTGACTGGGAGTGGGTCGGCGCCGCCAACGACGAGGTGCAGAGCAACTACTTCTTCCTCGGCATTGCGGACTATGTCAACACGAAGGGCAAGACGCACAAGGTCGAGGGCGGCAAGGCGTCCGAGGAGTGGCACACGTACACGCTCGACTGGCAGGAGGAGGAGCTCAACTGGCTCATTGACGGCAAGGTTGTGCGCACTCTGAAGAAGAGCGAGACGGTCACTGCCGACGGACAGTTGTGAGTACCTTTGCGTGGAGATGAGGGGTGGAGTAAATCTTCAGGTGTTGGTGAAGCGCAAAAGCTAGGAGATCGTTGGCGAAACCTTGTCTAGCTGGAACGGGCATGTGTCGCCGTCAATCATCTGGTGCCTGTCGAGCGAGGAATGGACCCGAACTCGTTCAGCTAGCTCGGCTGTGACCTCACTCCCCCCTCTCACCTCCGTCACAGCTCCGAGACGGCAGCGCTAACACTCTCAGCCAGTACCCTACCACTCCCTCCCGCGTGCAGCTAGCGATCTGGGCCTCCGGTATCGAGGGCACCGCTGAGGGCACTGTTCAGTGGGGTGGTGGCATGGTCGACTGGGAGGCCGAGGACTACACCTCGAACGGCTACTACTGGGCCGAGCTGAAGACGATTACGCTCGAGTGCGCCGACGAGGGTCTCAACACGACGCACGGCTATGTCTACACTGGCATCGACTCGGCCAACATCCCTGTGAGTGTGGCTCCAAAATCTTTCAACCCTCGTAGCTTCGCGGCAGATCTCTGCCAAGCAAACAAGCAACGTGCACCGTTCCTTCGGACCTTTGTGGAGTGAGAGCAGCGGGCGGCTCGGGTGCCGCCGCTGCTTAAAGTGAAGACCCAGAATGCTCCGTAATGAAGGAACGGTGTAGGAACCGCTTCCGTTTCTGTTCAGCCGCGGACACAGGTGGTGTGACATCAGTGCTGACGGCAGGTTGTCTCCGTTTCGAACAACCGCTCGACCGTCCTCGGCGCGGCGACCACGACAGGCGCGTCGATGAGCATGCTCGGCGTGGCTGTCGCTGTTGGTCTGCTCCCGCTCGCCCTCGCTGTGCTCTAACCCACACTCGTCGACATCGCGACGACGTTACGACATGCAGCGTCAGGCTCAGCTCGCAGTTCGCAAACAGCTGTTTCATGCGCACCCGGCTATTAAGGGCCTGCCGCTGCCGTACGGTCTTTGATGATAACCGATCCTCTCTCTCTTCACTTTCACGACTGTGCTATTCAAAGCTTCGAGCCTCGTAGCTTTCGAGACGGGGCACTCGTAGCTTTGTCTTGTTGCCTAGACCTAGAAATTCTCGCTCCCACATACTTGATGACCTGTGACACTCCTCCACTTTCCTGATTTCTTGTTATTCCGTTTGCTCTGGTTCCCCGCCACTGCCGCCTCAGCCGCCGCCTGCAGCGCCTCCCGACCCCCGTGTCACCCGAATGGCCTTCTTGCACCTTGTAATTTATGCATTCACTTTGTTATGATCGGGACGAGTCGCACGCCTTGCCGCACATTTGGCTGTGTAGCTGTGTCACCGCACGCCGCACCGCGAGATACAGGTGCGACGTAGACACTCGGTGCGTGCCAAGCAACTCACCGCATACCTGAGAGTGACCCAAGGGTGAATTAGGGAGGGAGGGAATAGGCGCTCAGGTCGAAGGATATCGCGTGCCTCGATTGAGGGCGTGCCTGGGCCATCTGTCCTAAATGGCGCGCCTGGCCGCCTGGAACGGTGCCCCTCGTTCCTTCCGTACCTCGACCATCGCCAGACCAGACCTCGCCTCGACTCGCCCGACATAGCGTGGGAAGCAGAATGAAGGAACCGGTCTCTTACGTTCGAACCGGCTGCTTCAGCAGTTGCGCGGCTGCTCGCACGCTCGTGCGGCCTGCGGCTCTCTGCGCATCGCCCGTCCGCCCATCGCCTGCACTAGGAGCGACCAGGGCTAGGGAGTGCGGCAGTGGCGACGCATCGCACCCGATCCAGCAGACCTAGCACACTATTTGTTCCAGCCGCGAACCGCTTGATAACTCGACATTCACACCCACACACACACCCCTACTGCACTCGTCACTCGTCACTCCCAACTACTCTCCTGCTCGCTGAGCATCTCGAGCACAAGCAGCATGGTCGCTCTGTACCTTGCGCTGACGGCTTGCGGCGCCGTTATCGCCACAGCGTCCGCCGCCAGCCTGCTCTGGATCGTGCTCTGTCTCGGTGAGTAACTCGACGAGGAAGGAAGCTTCATGGCCTGCTTTACCAGTCTGCGCTCCTCGTCTACAAGCTGGAAGTCGTTCGTTCAGCTAACATACAGTCCCCGTCATCAATGTTGTCGCCATCCCAAGCTTGATAGGCAGCCTGCTTCGTGAGTCAAGCGCCAGCCAGCGAAGCTGGATGCCTTGCTCTGCGAACCCATACTGACATCGTGCTTCTGCAACTGCGCCCCCGCATGACAATCTCCGAACGCACTTTTCGTCCTTGCACTATTGCGTTCGCTCGCTGCTCGCTGTTTGTTCATGCGTCACGCTTCCTCTGTCCCGTTTATGTTCTGGAATCGCTGCATGCTCAAAACGCAATTCGAACCCACCATCCCCCCACGCACTTATCCGGACAAACAGTCCTCGCACACGCCCTCCCCTTTGCGGCTTATCTCCTGCTCGCCCAGACCGATGCGCCCAAGCACTCGGGCAGCATATTTCTGCCCCTTTCCCCTGGTGAGTTAGGGATTTCTCTGGGAATCAGTGTTACGGCAAACTCGGGCTGCACTCAGGCTGCTCGGGCTGCACCCGGCCCGCACGACCCGGTCTGCGGACCCTCGTGAGCCGCGTACCTGTCACCTGAGCACGCACCTGAGCTATCTTGAGTCTGTGGCTGCAGCAGACCAAATTGCACGCGCCGTGGGTAGAACTGAAAGTGAAACTGACCAAGACAGCGAGACACCTCGGACTCCTCGTTGCGGTGGTCAACTATGTCTGGTTCGTCGCTACCACAGTGCCGCGCTTCGTGCTCGCGTCCGTGCAGACTGCGATTGCACTCTGGCGCGCGTCGTCCAAGACATACCCGCCTGCCGCCGTGCTCGAGAACATACGGTAAGTGCTGAGAAGGCTTGGAATCTGCGACCGCCGAAGCTGACACACTAGGCGCAACATCTCGTACCACCACAAGCCGAGGTGCAAGCTCGATGTCTTCCTTGCCCATTCGCGCCCGGCACCCAGCCCGCGGCCACAGAGCAGCCCGCCCATCTCGCGCGTTTCGTCTGTCACAACGCTCCCCGATGTCGACGTCGGCAGCCAAGTCGACGGCGAGTTCCCGCCCGGAACGTGGGGTGACCTCGCCCCCGGTTCTCCGATCAACGGCGACCCGAACCTGAGCCCGGTCGTCATGCTCGTGTACGATGTTGGAACCATGGGTCCGATCAAGCCACAGAAGTGGATGTTCTGGCTGCTCGGGAACAAGCTCGCCCAGCAGGGCTACGGTAAGCTTGACGAAGCACGTCGGTAGCTGACTTCAGTCTGCGTCATTCCCGACATCACGACGTACCCCGACGGCACGGTGGAGGACATGGTAGGCGACGTGCGGCACGCTCTCTCGTGGGTGCGCAAGGAGATTGCGAACTACGGCGGTGATCCGGGCAACATCCACCTAATGGGCCACGGTCTCGGTGCGCACCTGGCGCTGTACACGATCTCGCAAGCAGCGGTTGTGCACTCGCGCGACAGACTCGAGATCCTGAACGCGGCGAGCCAGTGGAGCCACTTCGCGGGACAGCAGCGCGAGATCCCGAACGGGTTGAAGAGCTTGCGCGTGTACGCTCCCGAGGCAGACCTCCCGCCCATCCGTGGTGTCATCATGCTCTCACCGATCGCCGACATCATCAAGCAGGTCCGTCACGAGAGCAAGTGCTGGGTCGAGCATGTGTCTCCGCTGAGGCGTGCGCTCGGCTCGTCCCAGACACGCTGTATGAAGCACTCGCTCGGGCACATTCTCTTCGCGGCGCGGCACATCGTGGAGGCAGACTGTCTCCCGGAGAAGGCTCTCATCATCCATGGGTAAGCTTCATAAAGTAGGTCGTCAGCTGACCCCAGTGTTAATGACACGATTGTACCGGTGTGGCAGGGCATCTGGCTCGCGGACCTGCTGAACGGGCTCGACATGGGCGTCACCATCAAGCAGTACAAGCTCGCTCATTTCGACGTCGTGACCAGCATGATGACGGGATTCCGCGGCAAGAGCACCGACTGGCTCCTGCATGATAGTGAGCTAGTCGATCCTTCACGTTGAGCTAACCAGCAGCGCGGACCTTCATCGACAGCAAATAGACTCTCGTTTCGATACGTTCTCGTATAGTAGTAAAAGCCCATGGAGGCATAGTTGTACGTTCATACGCATGTGACATCCTGTGATATTACACTGAGAGTGAGGTGAGCGAAACCGAGCAGGCCAAGAGAAAAGGGCGCACTAGGCGTAGTCACTTGTCGCACTTTGAGACGGGCACAGGATCAGTGGGCACTCACAGCACATGGCAACGGGGGTGCACACGGTTGACTCACCCTCCTTTCGACTCGCACCTCGCTTTCTCATCTGCTCCATCCTTCTCCCAACATCAAGGAGAGCAGACAAAATGGCCTTTCCCGGCTTCTTCGACACCATCTACCGCATCAAGGACAAGTCGGTGTACAGCCCCGGCACGGCGGGCGGGGACATTGCGCTCCCCGACCGTCTCGGCGTCAAGAAACCCCAGTGGGAGCAGAAGGACAAGAGTCTGAACGGCAAGATCTGGGGCCTCTTCCCCGTCGAGAAGGGGTGGGAGGAGCTCGACGAAATCTCGTCAAAGGGATACAAGGAAGTCGAGTCGTAAGTTGGGCATCCACCAGCTAACAATTCTTCCAGCGACAGCTAACCCCAGTCTCCTCGGCAAGGGCGTCGGCCCTTATCCCAGTGACAAACTGACCAAGGCGATCCCCATCCACGAACGTGCGCGCGAAGCCGCAAAGCTCAGCACGCTGTACTGGGTCTTCTTCGAGCTCGCTACGCGCGGCGTCTACCGCCCCAAAGAGGCGGGTAAGGTCATGCCCCGCTACCTCCTGCAGGGGCGGAAGGCGAAGGGCGAAATCGAGCCGCTCGGCGTTAAGGTCAAGCGTATCGAGGGGATCAAAGAGAAGGCGAACAAGCTGTGAGTCTGCTGCCCATTCTGTGTCACCGTCAGCTGACGCTCGCTCCAGGTCCAAGAAGAAACCCCTCGACGCGCTGCTGCAGTACGCCACCGCGCTCGTCGAGATGTACCCCTGGACGGCGACCGCTCTGCTCTGGAACGCCGAGGACGCGTTTGGGCTCGGCGTCGCGCAGCTGTGAGCTTACGTGAAGTCGACGCAGCTGACGACCAGCGAGGAAGCCCTCTGGTCCAACGCCGCCGCCATGTGCATTCGGATCGGCAACGGCAGCCCCGTGTGGCGCTGGGGCGTGCTCGGCGCTTACTGCGCTGATGCGGTGCTCCAGGCGCGCTACACGAGCCACAAGCTGCTCAGCAAGTGTTACTATCGTGAGTCGTCCTCAGCGTTCCACTCTATTACCGGGTTCAATCCTTTTTTGCCGCTGTGTTTACTGTTCCCTGCTGTCCGAAGACTATCTCTAGCAGACGTCATACAGCCAGGCCCTGTTGGCTCACCCCTCTCCTCTGCTCCCCGGCCCCCGCTCACACCAGGCTACATGGACGCCTATGTCATGTTCCAAGTCCCGCAGGGCTGGAAGCGCCCCCGTGCCGAAGACCTGCCCTCTCCCTGCGACGCGCTCGTCGTGATGTCGATCCTGGCCGGCCTGAGCGGGGACATCACCGAGACATTCGTGCTGTCCACGCGCATGGCGGCCGCGAAGATCGACACGCCCGAGGCGCACAAGCACGCCCAGGCCGTCCTCAAGGCAGTGCCCACCGGCGCGGCAGAGCACTGGGCCCACTGGGGATGTCAGCAGGGGCACACGACCTGCTTCGCCGCCGGTAGCACGTACATTGCCGAGATGGAGGGGCGCGAACTCATCCTGCCTGACTCGAGCCAGAGCTTCGTCAAGGATGCTGATACCAAGCTGTTCGAGGCTATGAAGGGCAGGATTAAGAAGGGAGAGTTTAACGGGGTCAAGGTTAAGGGGAAGGAGAAGGCGGCGGAGCAGGAGTGAGCTGTGCAAATAGTCAAGATCTCGATGGAAAAGGCAAAGTCGCTGTAGATAGCTCATGCCAATTCATGCTGTGAAGTCTTCACAAATTCCTCACACAGTCAGAGCTGATGCCAGAAGAAGACGGAAGAGGTACATTGCACGATGGGAGACAATGTTTGGCGCGAATCGGATAGAGTGGCGATCACGACGTGATCGGCGAGCTGCGGCCAAACCGCGCGCGGTCAACAGTCCAGTCAACTTCACTTCCCTTCATCTCCACTCTCAACATCACTCTCCTTCGCACCACTCCTCCATCATGGTTCTCAGCAACAAAGAGCGCAAGGCGATGGGCCAGATCCAAGAAGACTGGCGCTGCGCCCCTCAGCCTCTCCTCACCCCCTTCACCGCCGGCAGTGAGCATGTCTTCCCCGTTGCCACTTTCACCGACGCGCACTACAAGCAGGAAGACATCAGCTTGAACAAGGTTCTCTGGGACTTGTGGCCTGTCTCCCCGCCTGACGGGTATGTGCGCGTACTCCGTCAGGCCGAGGCGAAGCGCAACCAGTGAGCTGCGGCGAGTTGCGCATAGCTGACAGCAGACTCCTCCCGCCCAGCACCATCCAGGACCCGACCAAGGAAGGCGGCTTCAACGCCAGCAAGCTCAAGGCTGCTCTGCCCTTCGCTGAACGCGCCCGCATTGCATCCAACCTCCGCGTGATTGACGAGCTGCACGTGCGCCTGAATGCCGTCGGTTGGCTCCAGTACGACACACTCGCCGACGGTCTCTCGCCAATGCACCTCCTCTACTACCGCAAGGAGATGCATGATGTGGCTCCGCTCGCTGCTGCCGTTGAGGCGGCGCAGAGGATCCAAAAGGAAGGTGATATGTGAGCTGACTTCAGCTGTTCAAGCTAACACCAGCCTCCTCGCCAAGGCTAATAAGGCTCTTGGAGAGAAGAAGGGTGGCGCCGGCACCTTTTCGCCCGAGATCAACAAGCTCGCCGGCGCCGCGGCGGGCAAGTTCTGCGGCGCCCTGTTTGCCCTGTGGCCCTGGACGGCGAGCGGCCTCGTCATGTCTGGCGGCCTTGCATTCGGCTCCGGCATCGCGCAGGTGTAAGCTCGAATACCAAGATGATCAGCTGACACCAGCGAGAGCGAGCTCTGGTTCAGCATCGGCGAGTGCTGCATCCTCCTGTCCAACCACGAGAAGCGCCCCAGCCGCACGGTGCGTAACGGCATGGCGTTCGAGGACACGGACGGGGCGTACTTCCTCCTCATGGCGCGTCTGGCCAACCGCGTCCCCATCCACACGCCCTACGTGCCCTATGGCATCCTCCACCGCGCCCTCATCAGTGAGTACCGCAGGCACCGCCATCCATGCTCTTTTATTCTTCGTTGGGAGCTGACACCAGCCGCCTCCGTCTTCGGGCGCATGTTCGAAAGCATGTCCGAGGTCTGGGCGAGCGAAAGCGACTCGGGCACCTCGCTGACTCTGCGCTGCTCCACCGGCGCGGGCGTCTCGCCCAACGCCTGGGCGCACGCATCCTGCACCACCCACCACAAGGGCTGCGTCGGCGTCGGCTTCAGCATGCTCGAGAAGGCCGCGGCCTTCCTCAAGCTCGCCAAGGCGGGCATGAACCGCAGTGCTCGTGAAAAGCAGCTGCTGGATGAGAGCCGCTGGGAGCTCCTTTCCGACGGCAATGACGAGAAACAGGAGACGAAGGAGCTGTGCCACTATGACAAGATGGGCAAGAAGAAGCCTGGCCCTGACCTTGATTACGGCGTCGGCGGATGCGTGCAGGCCGTGTGAGCTGTGTGGTGGATATAGCATTGAGACTGTAGAGTAGACGACATGTTACGCTGTGCATTGTGCAGACTGAAAGCTGGTTTGAGGAGTACAGGTGGGTGAGGTGAGCGTCGTCATGGGCGGAGGCACGCAGGAGTGGCGATCGACTGCGGCACGCGAGGGGCGCTCGATCGCTGGACGTGATCAGCGAGCCGGGAAGCTTCTCACGTCGCACACAACGTCGCACACAATGCGCCTAATCAGCTCCTCTCACTTTGTGCTTTTTTCATCACCCCCTCGCCACCCATCATGCCGCCTAGCGACAGCGAGGCCAGGGCCAACGAGAAAGTGGCCAAAGACTGGCACACCGCACCTCATCCCCTCACAACCCCCTTCACGGCGGGCAGCGACCAGGCCTTCACCGCGGCAGCGTTTGGGCCAGCCCATTATGCGCAGGAAGACACCTCTCTGAACGAAACACTCTGGAGTCTGTGGCCCATCTCGTCCCCCGAGGAGCTCGAAGATGTGCTCAAGGACGCCGAAGAGAAGCGCGACGAGTTAGTTCTGATTCTTGTCGGAGCTGATACCAGACGCCTTCCCGCCGTCTCCAAAAACGGAAGCTTCGACAAGGATAAGCTGAGGGCGGGTCTGCCTCAAGCAGAGCGCGTCAGGATGGCGACAATGGTGCGGCTCATTGGGTCGCTGCACGCGGCCTTGAACACCGTTGGTCGGCTCGAGTACGGCACGCTTGTCGACGGTCAGTCGCCCTACATACTCTTGAAGACGCGCCAGACTCTGCTCGACGTTCCGCCCCTTGACAGGGCCATCGAATCTGCCAGGCGTTTCAAAAAGGAGGGCGACGTGTGAGTGCTGAGGAATGCGCCAAGCTTACACCAGCCTCAACGCCAAAGCGGGGAGAATTCAGAACGGTGGCCCCAGGAGTTTGGAGCATATGATGGCCAAAGCGACCATGCTCCAGTATGGGGACCTCGAAACCGTGATGCAAATGGCTGCCCAGCACTTTAGCGCTGAGGTCAATGAGCTCGCCGGTGCCGCCGTCGGGAAGTACTGCTCGGCGCTCCTCGCCCTTTGGCCCTGGACCGCGAGCGGCCTCATCATGTCTCCTGAAGTTGCCTTCTCATCTGGAATCGCTGAGCTGTGAGCTTTTCAAGCCATGCCCTCTGGCTAACAACAGTGAAAACGAGCTTTGGTGGGATATCGGCCTTACATGTTACCGCCAATTCCGCATCGGTCCCGACTGCAAAGCTGGCGACGACACTTTCAACGCCACCTTCGTGTTTGCCATGTATGGGCGTCTCGCAAACCTCATTCCCGTGCACACGCGCTACGTGCCCTACAAGACTCTCCACCGCGCCCTTGGCTGTGAGCACCTGCCACGCAGATTAGCTGGCAATGGAGAACTGACGCCAGGTGCCTCGCTCAACGGCCTGGTTTTCAGCCAGTTCAAGTCTGATCAGTGGCTGAGCGAGCTGCAAGATGGCGACAGGCTCAACGATCTCTGTATCCCCGGTGCCGCCAACGCTCCCGACGCGTGGGCCCACGGTAGTTGCGATACAAAGCACAAAGGATGTCTCGGCATTGGTTTCAGTCTGCACGAAAAGCTGGGTGCCGGGGACAGGGTGACCAAGTTGAACGAAGAGCGTGAAGCGAACTCTGACCTGCTGGCTGAGGAGAGCAGCTCTTACTACGAGAGTCTGAAGGCAAAGTCGGAGGTGAAAGGGAGATGGAGTTATGACAAGGAAGGGAAGAAGACGTATGGACCCAAGACCGCCGACAAGCGCAAAGCCTTCTATCTCCCCGATGGTAGCGTCGAGTTTCTGTGAGCCCGCAGAGCATTGTAGATAGGTAGAGGTTGTGCATCTTCGGAATCTGTCATTCAGAGCTGCATGCCCATCCACGAGCGATGTAGTCGCAACAGAGGATGAGGTGGCAAACCCTATCCAACACCCAAGGCACGTCGATCAGTGGCGATCGACTGCGGCACGGGATCACGCGACGCCCGGTCCACTCACCTGCTCACCTCTGTGCACGCATCTCAGGCAGCTTAACTCGGCATCACTCCATTCTTCATCTCCCAAACTTCACTCCACCACATGCCGACTCCTCAACCTCCCCGCACCAGACGGCAACAGGAGCGCGAAGCAGAGTCCCTCGCGCATCTCCGTAAGGACTTCCGATACGCTCCACAGCGCTTGTACTCTCCGTTCACCGCCGGATGTTCGCACACCTTCCCTATCGCTGATTTTACCGAGGCGCACTACAACCAAGACGACACCAGCCTAAACAAGACGCTCTGGAGTCTGTGGCCTGTCGCTCCGCCTGACGGGTACAAGAAGGTGCTCGCCCATCAGGAGGCGAAGCGAGACGAGTAAGTTTGGTACTGGGGCACTCTGATCAGTCCAAGCTACCACGCCCTTAAAGCCTTAGCTGACCTAAGACTCACGTTTGACGGAGAGAAGGATCCTAGTGAACCGGGCTGGTTCGACCAGACGCGCCTCCCGGCTGTTCTGCCCCACGCCGAACGCTTCCGCATCGCTTCGATGGTGCGCCTCATCCAGGAGCTGCACGTGCGTCTCAACGGGGCAGGTTGGCTTCAGTTCGACACACTCGCGGACGGTGTTTCCCCCATGAGCCTGCTGCAAACTCGCCAGATGATGCTCGACGTCGCTCCGTTGAGCAAGGCGGTCGACACTGCGAAGAAGATCAAGAAGGAAGGTGACATGTAAGTAGACCATGTGCTCTTCGCTGACCACGACAGCCTGGTGGCGAAAGCCCATGACCTTCTCAAGGTGGATCACGACTACGAGAACGAGGACGTCCTCGCCCTCTTCGGTGCTGGTATTGGCAAACAGTGCAGTGCGCTGTTTGCTCTCTGGCCGTGGACAGCCAGCGGCTTGCTCATGACCCCCGACGTCGCCTTCGGTACCGGTATCGCCCAGCTGTGAGCTTACGGTGCGCGATCAGCGGGACGAGCTGACTTCAGGGAGAGTCAACTGTGGCTTGACATCTCGTACGCGTGCTTCTTCCTCAAAGGCCACGCAAAGCGCGAGAGCGGGAGGCTTCCAAATGGCACGCCCTACGAGGACACGGAGGGATACTACTTTGTCATCCTCGGGCGTCTTGCCAACTTCATTCCAATCCACACCCGTTACGTCCCATTCGGCGTTCTGCAGCAGGCTATTCATCGTGTGTATTCAGGCAGATCTGGACCTTTGATAACTGACAACAGACATCTCCGTGTTTCCGCTCATGATTTCGACGCTCCAAGAGCTCTGGGTCCCCGAGTTGATGGAGGCTCTCATTCTGAGCGTTCGCTGCTCAACTGGAGCTGGCCTGACTCCTAACGCATGGGCTCATGCCGATTGCGATGCTAGCCACAGAGGCTGTATGGGAATTGGCTACAGCCAGGAAACCAGGTTGGAGTCTGTCGCCAGCATCGTCAAGTTGAGGGATGAGCGCGTGACGCGTAAGGAGCAGCTCCTGGAGGAGTGCCGCTTGGCAGAGGCTAAGGACAGTGATGGAGAAAGCGAGGGAGACGAGAGCAAGGGAGAGAGTGAATGGACCTATGACAAGAAGGGGCGGAAGAAGTTTGGGCCCAAGGAGGAGTACAGCATCCGCGGTTGCGTCAACTTCGTGTAAGCTCTCTTCGTAACATTCATTGTGCAGTAGACCATGTTGTAAACCATGTATTCTGTGTATAACAATCGGAACCCACTCAAGAGCTGAGCTGACTCACGACTCTCGCCTCAGCAGCAACGGTGAGCGCCTCCGCGCATCGCCCAGGGCATCGGCATTCCGCCATGGCTTCGGCATCACTGCCGGCCAGCTTGCTTCAACCTTTACATTGTCACTCACACCAACCGGCTTCGTCGTCTTTGACACTCCATCTTCTGGGTCAACCCTTCAACCCGAGACATCCCCGCAATCCGGAGTTCGAACTGTCCCCTCTTGACCTCTGCTCACGGGCTATAATCGTCCAATGCCCTATGGCTCAGTTGGCTAGCGCGTGGAGCTGTTACGTTCAGTAACATTTAACTCCGAGGTCCACGGTTCGAGCCCGTGTGGGGCAGTTCTTTTGCTTCCCAGGCTATCTACAGTCCGAAGCGTTGCGGCATCGTCGAGCGGCGATGATTTGTCGGGAGAGAGAAGGTTGGAGGGCGGAGAGGGGCGGGATCAGGGTCGGGTGCGAGCTGCAGGGCTCGGGGTATGTGGTTGCCGAGAGGCCCGGGGAACACTCTCCGCTGCGGATTCCGGGGCGGACTCTCTGTTCTGTCGAGGATGGGGTGGAGCTGTAGAGGTACGAAGTTCCCGGAGGCGAGGGCTGGAACGTCGTAACCAACGGTGGTGTTGTTTGGAAGCACCAGATAAGCTCGGCAAGTTCCGGTGGAGGCCGATCTTCGGCGTTCTGATATGGACACGTGACCTGGCCTCTTCCTCCTCCCACCTCTCCGCAGTCTGCGCCGAGCTCCGCCGATGATCGTCGACACTTCTAGATCTACCAGCAGCACGTCAAGCCCGTCGGCAGTGATGCAAGGTGATGCAGAGTTGATCGGACTTGATCAGTCAGCAGAATTGGGTTTCGTCAGCCAAACAAAACACGTGCTCCGGATCCGTTACTGCGCCACCAGCGCCGCTGACTGAGCCTCTGCTGTTGAGCCCGGCGGCACTGTGCGGACCCGTCGGTCGAGTCGAGGCCGTCGGTCACGATTCTCACCATCCTCCACACTCTCCACCTCCTCGCTCTCCACGCCTTCCACGCCATTCACGGCTCTCACGCCCTCCACCGCCGTTCCCTTCAGTGCTGTCATCGTCAGTGCATGTCTCGGCAGCAAAACATGGCTCACTGCTCGCCCCAGACCTGAGCTCCACTTTGGGCAAAAGCTGCACCGCAAACGCATGTTGCCTGGAGCTACCAGATCCAAACATGGACACTTGCGCTGCGCATTTAGGAGATTTGTGCTCGGCCTCGGTCCCAGAAATCTATGCACTTCCTCGTGAGACTCCCACACACTTTGCGGCCCAACTGCTGCCTTCCACAGCAGGGCCGAGACATGACGCCAGCTTACGCCAGCTTACTCCACCCACTGATCTGCCCAGCGTCAGCTACTGAAAATAGGCAACTGCGCTACTGCGAATAGCGCGCTGCAACTATGCTCCGCGTTCCAGAATCCAGGGTGTCACCTATGCCTGGGGCGATCGGGTCCGGAATGTTGGATCGAGTTGATGGGTAAGCACGTCGGCTGTCGGTCCCTCGGTCGGAGTCGAACGCCGAGACTCTGGGCAACACCCAACATGCCTCTGTGAGGACGCACTGTGCGGATCGTCGCGGGGGATGGCCAGCGGGCTTGCTGGACGTGCTTGCATACCACGGACACTGTCGTGTCCGTCTCGCTCGCCCTCGACGTCTTTGGCACGTACAAAAGCAGGCAGCAGCGAGCTATTCCTCCCCACTCACCCCCACCTCGCTCCCTCCAGCATGTCTTCGAACGACCACACCCCAGCGGCACTCTCGCCTCCTGAGTCCGCCACCGTCCGCGGCTCGATCACCTCGATCGAGAAGGAAGCTATCATGTCAACCTCGCCCACGGTCGCTGACCTGCCGGCACTCGATGGTGACAAGAAGAGCATCTCCGAGTCTCAAACTACCCACACGCCCGGCGAAGAGCAGAACGGCAATCTGGAAAAGGACCTCGAAGGCGCCCAGCCCCCGAAGAGCAACGTGCTCTCGGAGATGGGCCCCGCACGCAAGAATGTCCTCCTCTTCGGATTCGTGAGTACACGCCTTCGCCTCTCTCCTGGGCCCCGCTGACTGTAGTGTCTTGCCATGTTCATTGATGCGGCGGGTGTTAGTGCCACTTTCTTGATGACGGAGCCGATTGCGGTCGACCTCGGTGTCAGGTATGCGGACTACGCCTGGGTTCTTGGAACGTACTCCCTCGCCTTTGCTGCCACTCTCCTCTTCGCTGGTCGGCTCGCGGACCTCTACCCGCCAAACCAGATCTACTCCGTCGGCTTCCTCGGTATGGGCATCTTCTACCTGGTCATCTCGTTCATGAACAACCAGTACGCGTTCTTCGTTCTGCGTGCCATCTCGGCGCTGCTCGCGGTCCTTACTATCCCGAGCGCCATCAACATGATCATCCAGATGTACCCCGACCCTCTGGAGCAGGCTAAGAAGATTGCGCTATTCTCTCTCTCGGCCGCCCTTGCCAACACGATTGCCCTCCTTCTCGCCGGCGTGTTCCTCCTTGCCAGCTGGCGGTGGTACTTCCGCTTCATCGCCATCCTCGTCATCCCCTTCTCCGTCTTCGCCTGGTTCCTCATGCCCCACGCTCCCGCCGTGGCTGAAGACCTTGCCATCACCGAGAAGTGGAAGCGCATGGACCTCATCGGTGTCTTCCAGCTGCTCATGATCCTCGTCCTCTTCATCTTGGCCATGACACAGGCCGTCGTCGATGGATGGGGTAGCGCGATTTTCATCGCTCCCTTCGTCATCTCGCTCGTCATGCTCCCCATCTTCCTGTTCTGGGAGCAGCGCCTTCCCCGCGGCTACTCGCTTCTGCCGCACGACCTCTGGCACTTCCCCAACATCTTCCCGCTCATGCTGCTTGCCACCTGCTGCTTCCTCTGGTTCGCCACATTCCAGCTCCGCGTCGCCACCTGGTTCCAGGAGGCGCTTCATGACAGCGCGATCCTGTCCGCTGTCAAGCTTCTCCCAATGGGCATCACTGCGCTCATTGTCGGCGGCGTCACGCAGGCTATCCCAGCCCTCTTCCTCCGCCCGCGCTACATCATCCCCGTCTCTGCTGCGCTGGCATTCACCGGCTCCATGCTTCTTGCTTTCTCCAACGGCGGTCACGGCAAGGACTACTGGCGCTTCATCTTCCCCGGCGAGATCATCGGCACCGCCGGCGGCATGATCATCTTCATCTCGGCCAACACACTCATCATTCAAGCCTTCCCGCTCGAGTTTGCTGGAGTCGGCGGCTCTTTCGCCAACGTCGTGTTCCAGATCGGAGGCGTCGTCGGTATCGCTATCCAGACTGGTCTGCTCGACACGGGCGACGGACCCCTCGACTGGACCGGAAGCAAGAACGGCTTCCTCTTCACTTCGGCCTACACCCTGTTCTGCGGCATCGTCTTCGGACTCTGGTATCGCCAGGAGAAGATGCCGGTTCGTGAAGGTCCGGTCGTCGCCGCTTGAGCGTTTAAGCACTCTCGTGCAATGTAGCAAGATCACATAGAATTAACAAGACTCATATAATCCCGTATCTGCTAAGAGAATGTACCAAATAGACCCATACAGCGCTTGCCTTGCATGACCGTGTCGCTCGGGGACTGTCAGGGTCCAAGTGGCACCGATGCGATAGAAATTCAGCAAAATTGCTTGCCCACGGAAGTGCAGCAGCTCGGAAGGGTTGCCCCTCGACCCTCGGGAGACTGGCGTGCATGGATGGATTCTTCCAATATTCCAATCCCGCACAACCTTGGGGCCACAACCACTCGTTGCAAGCCTATGCACACTCACGAGGCGCCCGTCGATGATCCGCCCCTCTGGTGTGACAACCTCCACCGGGGCTGTATGCAGCTCGCCTCCACCTCCTTTGGCCTTCACATCATTGTCAACCTCCTTCTTCTCCTCCCTCACCCCAACCTCAAACATGCCCACCCAAGAACCCGAAGACAAGCCCCTCACGCCATCTCAGCAGAAAGCGATCGAGAAGCTGAGGAAGCGCTGGGACTACCAGTCGCTGGACTCCATCTCGGAAGCCTTCACGGCTGGGTGCAGTCTTGGAATCAAGGTCGCCGAGTTCGACTCAGCTCACTATGAGCAGGAAGACATCAGCTTGAACAAGACGCTCTGGGACTTGTGGCCCACGGATCCTAACAAACTGGATGGATACATCAAGCAGCACCAGGAGAAGGCTGACCGGTGAGTATCCTTTGCTTAGCCGCACAGGCCGCCGTCTCCGGCCTTAGAGCTATTACGCCCTTCTCCCTGCATGGGGACACGCTGAAGCTAAACGCCAAGGTGCAAGCTAACCTGCAGCCTCTTCAAGTCCCGTCGTGAGACATGGGCTGACGATGTGGAGCCCACCTTCGACCTCGAGCAGCTCAGGGTCGCGATGCCTTCCGCTGAACGCGCACGCATTGGTTCCAACCTCCGCCTCATGCACGAGCTGCACGTGCGTCTGCATACAACCGGTCTGCTGCCATTCAACGTGCTCTCAGAGGGCGTCAGCCCCCTCACTCTCCTCATGACGCGCAAGTCGATGTTCGATGTGCCCTCACTCTCCGCCGCGGTGGAGGCGGGGAAAAGGTTGAAGGCGCAGGCCGATGCGTGAGCACTACTACTGAGCTAGTTGGCTTGCTATTCGAAGCTGATGTCAGAATCAATGATGCAATCCCCTCCCGCGAAGATGGCGAGGAGAGAACTCCTGCTCAGAGCGAAGCGAAGCACACAGCCTCCATCGAGGCTCTCGGGACATACTGCTCCGCGCTCATGGGTCTGTGGCCCTGGACCGCGAGCGGTCTCATCATGACGCCCGAGGTCGCGTTCGATTCCGGTCTTGCACAGCTGTGAGCTATGACAACACACAGACAGCTGACTTAAGCGAGGCACAACTCTGGAAGGACATCTCGAACACAGTCATTGCGCTCAGTGACTACTCCGGCTCCGAATCCAGGCCCCGCAGCAAGAATGTCGAGGGACACTACTTCCGTGTGCTGGCCAGGGCGTGCAACCTCGTGCCTCTGCTTACCCGTTACTGTCCGCTTGACACTTATTGGGAATGCCACCGTGGTGTGTATGACATTCAGCTCTGGCCAGTCCTTGCTGTAGCTGACAGCAGATATGATGATGCTCGCGCTGTTCATGCCCAAGGAACTCAACTACTCGTACGAAGTCACGGCTGGGCTCGAGGTCGGCCTGCTCAGCATGATGTACGGCGGGAACGACAGCTGGGCGCACGCCAGGTGCGACGAGCGTCATCTGACCTGCACCTTTGAAGGGGCCATCAAGGCCGGCATGCGCACACGCAGCCTCTCTGAGTCGATTCCCGAGAAGCAGGGCGCCAAAATTGAGCCTATCTCCGACTCGGACGATGCGGCCTCCGGCTCGGGATCGGACAGCAAGAGCGACGACAACAAGGTCGACAAGACGAAGGGAAAGAAGAAGAGCAAGAAGGAGAACAACGGAGACGACGAGAAGGATAAGGGGAACGAGGAGGAGGAGATCAAGTACTACAACAAACGTGGCAAGGTCGTTGGGTCTGGTCCCCGCCAGCCTATGCGTTTTACGGGCGTCGTGCAGCCTCCACACCAGACCAGCAAGCCCTCCACTGCGTTTCCCTGTGATTAAACGGTAATTGAGCTATAGTGTATCATGCATACGTTGTACATAGCACCACTTCCTCAAGAGCGTGAGTGCAAGCGACCGTTGCGCGATTCGTTCTCGTAAGCGCTGCATTCGGATCGTGCGCTGGGATACGCTGGGTGAAGTGGCACCAGATAATGGGAAATTCGGCGATATTCCCCCGTCATTTCATGGGCCGAAGTCCGGAGGAAGCAAACTGAGTCCTGATGATAGAAGGCTCGTTGAGGCTAGGGTCTTAGAGAGGAAGGCATCTGGTCAGATCATGCAGCCAGTTTGCAAGCCTATGCATGAAGTGTGCAAGGCGCCCTTCGTTGATCGACACACAGCCCGTAGTCAACCTCCACCAGTGACAAGGGGCAACTAGGACGCCGAAACCTCCACCTCAGCCATTCCCATCAGTGGGGCGCTGCGCGCTGAGACGCTGCGGCAGACGCATCCAGTCCGCCTTGACTCAATCCCTTTCTTCTCATCATCATCCTCACCTGCCTCCTCTCGCCCCAACCGCTCTAACCAAGATGCCTCCTACCGACCCTGAGCAGCCTCTCACTGCTGCCGAGAAGGCAGCCTTCGCAAAGCTGGCACAGCGCTGGGACTACCAGCCACTCGATGCCGTCTCCACCGCCTTCACCGCCGGGAGCAGTATCTCCTTCACTGTCGCTGATTTCACCCCTGCGCACTTCGAACAGGAAGACTTGTCGCTGAACAAGAAGCTCTGGAGTCTGTGGCAAACCAGTAAGCTGAACGAGTACATCAAGAAGAACCAGAATGAAGCCGACCGGTGAGCCGCACGTTGAGATATGCTTAACGAGCCTGCACGAGAAGCTGACTGAAGTCACTTCAAGCCGCTGAGCGAGTACTGGCCCGAGCAGGAAGAGCCCGCGTTCGACCTGGACAAGCTCAGGACAGCCCTCCCGTTTGCCGAGCGTGCACGCCTCGCATCGAACCTCCGCCTCATCAACGAGCTGCACATGTGGGCACACAAGACAGGTCTCCTCCCCGCTACCACCCTGAACCACGGAATCAACCCTGTTGCGCTGCTCGAGAATCGGAAGATCATGTTTGATGTTGTGCCTCTCTCTAAGGCCATTGAGTCTGGGAAGAAGCTCAAGGCCAAGGCAGACGCGTGAGTTCCCGAGCTTTCACCCAGGTCATGAACTGACATCAGGATCTTCGACACCATTCCTCATGGGACTGATGAGAAGACCGCCGCCCAGAAGCGCGCGGGTCACAAGGCCACCATCGAGGCGCTGGGCGGATACTGCTCTGCTCTGTTGGGACTGTGGCCATGGTCTGCCAGTGGACTCATCATGTCTCCTGAGGTTGCCTTTGGGTCTGGCATCGCACAGCTGTGAGCTAGTGGACGCCTTGAATTAGCTGACCACAGGGAGGCCGTACTGTGGCGCAAGCTGGCTACGGTCGCGATCGCACTTCACGATTACTCTGGCCGCAACAAGGAGGGAGACGGGATGTACTTCGCAGTCCTTGCCAGGTTGTGCAACCTCGTCCCTTTGCTGACGCGGTACGCGCCCCTGGGTGAATTCTGGCAGGCGTACGGCGGTGAGCATCTAACTTATCACACTTCCGACAGCTGCCTTTTGGTGGTCATGAGCTGACCTTCAGGCATGATGATGCACGCCATGACCGTCCCGCCCCTCGGCTACGGTTACGAGATGGCAGTGGGCATGGATGGCATGTGCTTCATGACGATCTACGACGGGGGTGACAGGTGGGCACACGGTGAATGCGACTCAAAGCATATGATGTGTCGCAGCGGGAATGTTGACCGCTCCCACATGAAGCGCTCCCCCGAGGAGTTTGAGAACATGAGGTCCGCACAGCAAGCGAAGGCTACTGCCGAGTGGGAAGCGGAGGACAGCAAGGGCGAGAGGCAGCAGAGGAAGTACTACAACCGCCGCGGTAAGGTAATCGGCACCGGGCCCGACGTCCCTATGCGCCTCACGGGTCATATCGCGTCCGCGCACCAGATCAGCAAGCCCTCAGCCAAGTACCCCTGTGACTAGAACGACGAGCATCGACCGCCGCAACGCATCCCCCCAGTTACACCAAGTAGTTGAGCCATACCGAACTATGCACATGCTGTCCATACCCACTCATACTGCAGCCGCCTTACTTTGGGATACGCTAGTCCATACATTGCATTCTACTTGATACAGCTTTACTCGAGCATCTCCGCGAGATGCAGCGACAGCTCACACGTGACCTCGGCGAGGATCAGCTCCTGCGCCGCCGCCGACCTCTCGAGCTGACATTCCATCAGTCCAGCCCCGTCCTCAGAGCCCAACTCCACGCCGAACTTGAGCACGGCGTAGATAACCGCCGCCTCGGCGAGAACGAAGAGAACGAGGACGATCCAGCCGCCGTCGCAGAAGTCATGCCCGTAGCCGATAGTCGCGGACCACGTGAACTTGGCCACAGCACTCAACCAGCCTGCTAGTCAGCTCACAGCAGGACTTGCAGAACCCACCCTGATCCTGTGCAGTCTGTCCATCTTGACCTGGAGATGGGAGGTCGGAACGTGACTGAGGGCGTAAGGCGGGAGGAGAGTCGTCTGCTGTCAGTCAGGCAGAAGACCAAGGAACTGACGAGGAGTCGAAGGGATCTCGTCGCATATGCTTAGAATGTCCGACCGCCAGCGCGCTGCTTGTCAGCTGACGCTTCCTCTTTACTGCCAGCTTACCGTCCGCACTCGAGAGGGGCGAGTGAGTCACTGGAGTCAGCTATTCCTCCTATGCTACGGCAGCGTACCGTCTTCAAGGCGAGTCGATGTCGCTGAGGTAAGCTGAGCCTTGCTCTAAGTAGCGTACCTGCGGTCAGCTTGGGCTATGTCATGTGAGCTCACCTTCATCTGCTGTTGACCATACCGCCGAAGCGGCAATAACCCTCCTGGTCGGGGAACGGGGACGGCGCTCGTTCGACGGCTCACTTTGATCCGCCTGGTCCAGCTTGTACGCGGAAGTGGTCCGCGAGGCGGACACTTCTGCGTTTTGCTGGGGCGAGGGCACTGGTGTCAGCTTGAAAGAGGTAGGACATTAGTAGCTCACGAGATACTTCAGCGTCGTCTTGGGAGTCGTACAGATCAAAAACTGGAGTGAGCTCGCTGAAGAACTGAGGGCAGCTTACTGCGCTTCCTCCCCACGGGCTGACTAGGCAGGATTGTAACGCCTGGAGGTCAGCTAAACATGCATGCATGGCCAGCACCTTTCTTGCCCTTCGTGACTGATTATGTCAGCTTCCAGTTCGAGCCCCACAGCTGCTCACCACTGCTGGAGCCGGAGGGTGTCTTGAGGACCGCCTGCACCACGACGTCTGCGATGAGCTCAACTGCGCCGCAGAGGTCTTACTGCGAATACGTTGTTCCTTGTTCGTGTTGACCACGTCGCTCGCCGTCGCGCCTGTTGTCAGCTTTGAGCTTCCTCCCCAGCTTACCGTCTTTACCCGAAGCCGTCGAGATTGCTGGCGTGGCACCCGCCGAGGCAATTGGGGCTGGAATCAGCTCGTTCCACCATTGTCTGAGCCCACCACCAGCGAGTGCCTCCTGATCGTCTGACGTGAGCTCTGAGAAACGGATACAGCTTACTGATCTCTGGTGTCGATGCTGCGGTCCCAATATCGCCGACCACAACCGCGTCGTGGTCGACTGAGGTCAGCTGTCTCTCGGTGCAATAAAGCTCGTACCGTCTCCGCCCGCGGCTGGGGTCAGCTCGGATCTCCGTGGCTCAGCTCACAGTTGGCACCTCCATCCTTCGGGACTGGGTTCAGCTTATCAACTCCGTCGACGCAGCATACCATCTGCTGTCAGCTTGGGTTTCTGGCCCCTCAGCTTACCGCTGTCACCTTGACCAACGCGAGGGCAATGAGGAGGGGCGATGGTGGCGACGATGACTGGGGCGTCAGCTGAAGCGAGAGGCCGGGCAGCTTCACCTTCTTCCCTTCCATCCGAGTTGCCTTGCACGGCGCCGTTGATCTCGCCTTCATTGTAGACCCCGACATCGACTGGAATGAGCTGAAAGTCGCGCAATGGAAGCACGTACCTTTCGAAACCTCGCGGGGTGCGATCCGAGAGTCGTCTGGCGTAAGCTTGAAGGTTCGCCAGGAGAAGCTCACGGTCCCCAACGCCCTCAGCAACGACTGAAGGTCAGCTTGCGTCTTCATCCTCTGCTAGCTCGTACCGTCACGCCCGCCATCAATCTTGGAGTCCGCAGTCGAGCCTGGGGTGAGCTTGAGCGCCATGTGCTGCTAGCTCTCACCTTCGTCGGGCGCGAAGCGGGTGTCTGGGGATCAGCTTTCTGCTCTGCGTGTCGAAGCTCTCACAGTTGATGTCTGCGGGGACTGAGATCAGCTTTCAGGCCATTCGTCCTGGCGTACCGTTTCCCTCACTCTTGGCTACGTCCGCCTCCAGTCCGCAAGTGGCGGGCTCACGTCCTGGGCGTCAGCTGAGGCGAGAGTGGTAGCTGCTCGCACCTTCCGAGTCTGGGGTCAGCTTGAGGCAGCGGTCAATAGCTCTCACCATTCGTCACCGTCTTGCTCGAGACTTGGCCCAGCGCGTCGCATGCCGAAGAGCCTGTACCGACTCCCATCTCAGGGACTGGGATTCAGCTCCAAATCAACCGTGACAGCGTACCCTCTGGTGTCAGCTCTAGCACGATCAAGCAGCGTACCAGTTCGATCACCCCCGACTGGGAGTCAGCTATACGAGAAGGGATTCCGGAGCGTACCGTCTGGTGTCAGCTCGGGATGGGGGCATGTAGCGTACCATTCTCGTCTGCGTCTCCGCCCTCGGTCTCGGCAACGGGAGCAGGCGTTGAGACTGGAAATCAGCTTGAGGCTTACCCTGTCTAAGCTCACCCTTCTCTCCCTTCTCTCCCTTCTCTCCCTTCTCTCCCGTCTCACCCATTTCGGCGTCCATCGGCGCTGCAGTCCGCGCTGGAGTCGGCTCGAGCGCACTTCGGAGAAGCGTACCTGCCTCCTCAGATGCTTCAGGGGACGCTGCCGGTCAGCTGGGCGTATTGGGGCCAACTCACCCGTCCCGCCACGCTGAGGAACTGGGGTTCAGCTGGCATCTACTTTAAGAAGGGCTTACACGACATGTTCACCAGGAGATGACTGAAATCAGCTCGATCAGAGGCACGACTAGCTCACCGTATTCTGCAAGTCAGCTTCAAGGGTACGACCACGACAGCAAACCCGTAGACTGTCTGTCAGCTTCTATCACCACACTCCTCAGCTCACCCGTCGCCCGTGTTTTGGCGCTCGAGTACCAGCGCACAGTCTCTATCTGCTCGTCAGCTCATGCCAAACATCGCAGCTTACTTGGGAGAGGGAGAGCTGGAATGAGCTATGCCCCTGAGCACTACACAGCGTACACTCTGCTGGAGTCAGCTACACAATGGATGTTCCTTAGCTCACTCTGTCCCAGAACTGGCAGCTTCAGGAGGAGTACCAAAGCACACTGGAGAGGTCAGCTATCGCAAGTCGGAAATGCAGCTTACCCCTTCGACTCTCTGGGAGTTAGCTTCTAGACCACGGACGGCCCTTTCAGCGTACACTGTGAGTCTGGTCTGGGGTTAGCTAGATCAAGGAATCTGTAGCGTACCCTCTTCCTGGGTGTCAGCTTGTTGGACAGAATCATGGCAGCTTACCGGTCCAACTTGCGGTACGCTGGCTGGAGGTCAGCTTGGGGAACATCGCGAAGCTGGTCTCACTGCTTCTTGTCGAGAGGTGTACTCTGGCTGGAGGTCAGCTCGGGGAACAGCGTGAAGCTGGTCTCACTGCTAAGTCTTACTCGGCGGCGATGATGGACGTTGGCGACCCTTGTCGAGTCGCTGTAGGAAGTGGTGAGTCGCTGTAGGAAGTGGTGGGAAGGTGAGTGAAGTGGGGATGATGAACTGTCGAAATGTCAGAAGCGGACACGGCCAGAACTGACAGTCGACGTGGCCCGCAAGACGAGGCGAGGCGAGGCGAGGCAAGGCGAGGCAAGACACGGCGAGGAGTGCGAGGATGCACACACTTCGTCAGTCCCTCCGTCTCTCAATGTCTGCCAGGTCTGGCCGGATGGCTGGCGAGACCCTCGTGTGACTCCGAAGAGGAACGGCAGGGCGGGGGGAGTGCGAGCCCACACGCTCTGCACGCCAGAGTATGCACTGCTCACACTGTTCGACACAGCTCAACGAGGCAGACGACCAGAGTCGAGACGGTGATGAACTGTCTCCATGGCGGAGCGCGAGAGCGCGACTCTTGTCCCGGCTGTCCGGACTTCTACTCCAACTCGCACGCTGCGCCCACCCTCCCTGCCTACCGTTCCGCCCCAACAACCAGCGAGGGGAGCCGCTGGCCAAGCTATCGTTCGTGGCGGTGCGGAGGCGCGAGATACAGCCTTCTGACGATTGATTCCCTTTGTCCACCACTGCGTGTCCTGCGTCGCTCGCGCTGTTCTCGAAACACCCGGGCCTTCTGCAAGTCAGTCTCCATTACTACGGCCTTATGGTGTCGCACCCCAGTCAGTCAACGGGCAGCGGTTAGTCAGCCCACACGTCAGTCCATCGGTTAGTCCAGCCCCCGCTCCAATCCTACCCGCCGAGGGCCGCGTACACATAAGGATATCATCCATAAACCAAATGAGGCCGTTTCTACAGTTTTGCTGGGGGTCGTTGTTGTTGTTTGCTAGAGATTTAGGGTGAGGGTGGGGGTAGATCCTCGACTTAGGCGATTCGGGCATGCGCTTAGAGGAGGGTGCCGCCGGCCTTGCGGTAGCGGTCGACACCGGCCTTGAGCTGCTCGAGGGTGAGGACTGAATGTCAGCTCGATAACGTCGGAGGGCAAGCTGTGGCGTGCTCGCTAGCGGGGCCATGCTAGGCTTGCTCCGCTCGCTTCGCGCAGATACTCACAGATAAGAATGGTCGTCGGGGTAAGACGGATCCATGCGGGAGTCCATCCCTTGAAGAGGAAGAGGGGGCCGTCCTTGGCGAGACCGGTCTTGAGGACCTGGGCGACGCCCTCGTTGTTGGAAGCGTTCATGATACGGGACTTGAGAACGTCGGCGGGCGAGCAGACAGTCGTGGCGAAGGTACCGGCACCGAACGAGGCGAGGAAGTGGAGGGCAGGGCCGTCCTGCATGAAGCGCTGGAGCTGGGACTTGAACCAGTCGTAGGCACCGAGCTGGGACGCGTTCATGAGGACGGAGCGGAGGGAGTTGGGGCCGACACCACGGAACCACGAGGCAATACCCTCGTCAACGGCCATGCGGTACAGACCCTGGACCGAGTTGCGGTAGTTGTAGCGCTGGGCTGGCGGCTTGGCACGGTCGGCCTGCATGCGCACCATCATCAGCTCGGCAGGGTTGCCGAGCGTGCCCGCGATACCTCCGGCGATGGAGCCGGCGACGCCCATCTTCCACGCGGGGGGAGGGCCGGCCTCTGCATGTTAGCTATGCTAGATGGGACAGCTTAGTGGGGCGAGCGCATTGCCGCCGGCACCGTGCGGGGCAGGACCGAGGGCGATCAGGCGAAGCTCAGGCCATAGCCGCAATGCCGCAACAGGGGCAAGCACGCAAGCGAGTGATAAGGAACTCCGGCATCGGATGCTCGGCTTCACCCGGGAGTGACTCGAGTGACCTCGGTGGGCGCACTCCCTGCTGAATCCATTTTGACTCAGGTCAGGGCGTGCGGCTGCGTGCGGCACCGGCAGCGGCAGCGGCTTGCAAGCGAGCAGCTGCCCACGAGCCGCATGCCTCGTGTTGATCGCGATCGCGGAGAAGGCTTGGGAAGACTCACCCTTGTGCATCAGGCCCTTGACCTGGTCGTACGCCGCGAAACGCATCATGGAGTAGGTCATCTGTCGGAGCAGCGTTCCCGTCAGTCCGTCGTAGAGTCCTCGGATGCCTGAATGTCAGCTACAATACAAGGGAGAACGTAAGCTGCAGAGCAACCAGCGGGGGCCGCTGAGCCGCTCGTTGCTAGCGTGCCCGAGCATCCTGCGTTTCCAACGCCGAAGCGCAGGCACACGGCTGGGCCGCCCACCTGTCGGTTTGACATGGGCAGTGCGGCGTTCCGTGCGGCCGTGCGTTGCGGGTGCTCACAACAGCGTACTCACCGTAAGTCTGAACGGTCTTCTTGATCTCATTGATCATGTGCTTCTCGCCCGTGACCTGGAGACGGACCTTGGTCAGGTCGAGGGGGTGGGTGATGGCACCGGCGATGGATGCAGCGACACCTTCCTCTGTCAGCTCTTGTCCGTGCGGTGTGTGTTGTGAGTGTTGGGTGACTCACCTCCGAGCCAGAAGGGGTAGGGCTTCTTGGCGACGGGGGGCGGGACGCCGGCGGCGACGGCGGTCTTCTCTGAGCTCATGGTTGGGATGGATGGGTGGATGGGGAAGAGTGCAGGTAAGATCTAGATGTGTCTAAGTAGTACTAAGATACAAGGTAGCGCGTGTGTCGATACAGGGGGTGTCGCCTACTCGGTGAAGTCGGTGGGGAAGGGCGTGCAGGCAGGAGACCGGAGGAAAGGGTATGCAATTGCCGCTGGGTGCTGAAACGAGCAGTCGAGGTTGAAGGGCCAGGCGTGAGAACTCTGGGACTCCCCGGCGCGTCTCACATCCTGCGCGTCCTTTATACTGCCCCCTGTCCAGTACGCTGCTCCGTGTGCGTGCGCGTGCGGCGGTTGGATCTGTACGCCCAGCCCCCCGTTCTTCCAGCTCTGCCCCGCAAAGATATCACGGACGCCCGGTTGCATATGGCAGGCAGCTGTCGGCGCAAGGAGGCGCTTGAGAGGCTACCCCGCGGTACCCCGCATCACGCGTGGGCGGTCCGGGCGGTGTGTTCTGGTATCGGTGGGCGGGGATTGGACAGCGCCAGCGATGGGGCCACGATATCCGCCCGGTCCGTCACTGCACGCGCACATCAACTAACACTATTCCTCCTGCCGTGGGGTTTTCCGACACAACGGAGATTGCCCCGGCCTCATGTCATCCTCGCCCTCGTCGTCCTATCGCAGTCCCTCGTCGTCGATGCATTGCATGGCGGCGTGCTCCCGTCGCCCTGTCGTTGTACCTGGCTCGGTGCAAGAAAACAGCGCCCAGACCGCCCCCAGCGTACAGAAGGCACGATTAGCCAGGCATTAGCCGAGAGTGTAATGCTCGGTGCTGCCCCAAGTAACACTGCGGTCACATGTTCATTTCTCCGTGAGCCTCGCAAAGATCCCCAACATCTGGACAAGGTACACGCACACCTCTTGGCTCTTTCTTTCACCCCTCCGGTTGTGTTCCATCAGTCTGTGCATCGAACGTTCCGAGTCGCACCAACGACCTTGGTGCAACAAACAATAAGAAATCAGGCAGCCACCACGGCTGGGACGCACGGCTCAGGCGTACGGCACGGGACACGGCTCGGACAAGCCAGCTCAATGGCTGGGCCTGAGCAAGTCCTGGCAGGTCCTGGGCACGGGTAATTCAAGGAATGGCAGACTGTGGGATGAAATTACCGAGAGGCCGAGTTATGCGCCATTACGCAGGGATTCGAGTGTGGGGAAGCTACATTGCACTCATACGTCAGCGGACAGTCCACCCGGCATCTCCGTCTAGCGGACGGCCACTTCCGCTCTCACTCATCTGCACCATCCACCCTCGCCCCCACACACACGGCACAATGTTCCGTCTCCCGTCTCTGCCGTCGCTGCCGTCTTTACCGTCTCGACTCCGGCCAACTCTCCTATCTCATCCTCCGATACGACATGCAGTGAGACGATCAAGCGAATGGGCCAAGGCCAAGGCGGCCGTTGACGAGCAAGTCGAGGCCTGGAAGCGCAAACACGGGGACAGGAGAACACTGCTCGTCGTCTATCACTCACGAACGGGCGGGGCGGCGCAGATGGCTGCCGAAGCCGTGCGGGGCGCCCTCGAGGGTCTCGAACGCACCGAGGAGGTTCCAGACCTGCAAGCGTGCTGGCAGACGACGGAGTTCCGCGCCCCCGCAGCGTTCGCGGGGCCAGCCTCGGCGTCCACAGGGCCGAATCCCGACTCGGGCAACTCATCAGCGACCCGTCCGGATATCTCTGCAACATCAAAGTCGGGAGAGATTTCCGGCCCCGCGGGTTCCGACCCGTCCTCTTCGTCCTCTTCAGCCTCCTCGGGCGCCTCGTCGTCTTCCGAGACAGACTCTGCAGCCACTGAGAGTTCCGAGACTGACGAGGAGGGGCACGTAGATATCAGAGTCTTGCCCGCACCGCTTGCCGGCCCCGTGGACCTCCTCACGGCCAGTGGATATCTCTTCGTGTGTCCCGAGAACCTCGCAGCTATGTCTGGGCCAATGAAAGACTTCTTCGACCGGTGCTTCTACCCCGTGCTGAATCGTTTGAACGGGCGGCCGTACCAGGCTCTCATCTGCGCCGGGTCGGACGGAGCGGGCGCGGCCAGGCAGCTCGAGAGGATAGCCACGGGCTGGCGCCTGAAGAATGTCGAGGAAACAGTCATCGCCAATGTCAAGGCCCAGTCTGAGGAGCGGGTGTACGCCATCAAGGACGTCAGCGAGGAGGACAAGGGGAAGTGCAGAGAGGCCGGCATGAGAATAGCGGTCGGGCTCAGTGTGGGCATGTTCTAGCCCCACGAGCTTTGCAAAAGGACACCCGACTTCACAACGATCATCTTGTCTCGCGCAAGCTGCAAATCTCGACAGCTCTATGAGCTTGCTGTCTCGACTCTGATGTCCGAGCAGGCGCGCTTCTCGAAATTTTTCGACAGCACGCTCCTCGCCTATCTCCTTCACTCGCCAATCTCGTGCCGGCCCTCCGCGACGCTCAGCGCCACGCCTTCGCTCTGGCCATCCGGTCGGCTCTTGGAGATGCATGAATCAGAAGTCACAGGTGTGCGAACGCCGAGACATCCTTGGCTCGGCAGTCAGTGCAGATTGCGCATGGCGGAGCACAGCCCTCACAGATGCAGAGATGAACCTGCCCATCCCGCTCCTCATCCGCAGACTGGCCACGTGGGGTATACTGACATGACTGCTGACAAGCAACTAACTGTGATCGCTGCCGCCTCTATCGTTAGCCAGGCTTGACCATCGGCGAACAGGAGGTTCAGACAGTGTCATTGTGAGCGGAACCAAAATGGTCCGCCTCCACATACCTTGCGCACTGACCACCCTCCACCCTCCTCCACAGTGAGACACGACCAGTTACTTCTTCTTTGGAAAACTGGCATCGAGGTCGGAGACCGCCTCTCCTAGATCCATCCTTTCCCACGGGTGTCCTGACACCTCCAGGAGAACTTTCTTCGGAGAAGAAACGAGTTGGAGACGGCCGTCGCTAGATTCACCGTCTCCCACGGTGGCTACCTCCACCACCTCTTCCTTCGGAGGGATATCGAGCCTGGCGACGGCCTCTCCTAGTTTCAACCTCTCCCAAGCTCCCACGGCTGCCCCTGTCCTGGAGCACTTTCTTCGGAGAAGAAGCGACATCGGAGGTCGCCCTCGCTAGACCCAACGTCTCCCACGGTATCACTGCTGGTGCCCAACTGCCGAAACCCAACTCTTCTTTCTCTCGTCGAGGTGGGAGACAGTCGGACGGCCTTCGCAATTTGTAACGTCTCCTCCTTGTGCATCTCCTTCCCCCCCTTCCTTCGGAGGGATAACGAGCTAGGTGACAAGCACTCACTGTTCCAATCTCTCCCGCGCCTGCCAGGCTGCAAACCCACCTCCACCTCCACCTCCTCTTTCTTAGGAGGCCAGGTCGACTTTGGAGACAGGCTTCGCTATCAATCTCTCCCACGGGTGCCCCCAGTCTCCAGGACAACGTCTTTCGGAGAAGAAACGACGTTAGAGGGCGCCCTAGCTAGATCCAACGTTTCCCACGGTAGTCCACTCTCTATGGCGAAGACCCAACTCCTCTTTCTTTGGGAGTCGAGGGTGGAGACGGCCTTCGCTAGTTTCAATGTCTCCCACGGCCGCCCAGCGTCCAGTGCGCACGGGCCAAACCTCCACCTTTTCTTTCTTTAGGAGTGTGCAAGAGGTTGGAGACAAGCCTGGCTAGTTTCAACGTCTCCCACGGGTGCCCCCGACCTTCCAGGAGAACGTCCTTCGGAGAAGAAACGACGTCGGAGGCAGCCTTTCCTAGTTTCAACGTCTCCCACGGTCGCTTTTACTCCACACATCGGTGCGACCTCGACAGCCTCTTGCTGGTTGCGCCTCTCCCCCTCTCTGCCAAGTGATGGACTAGTCCAGCAACCCGCAACGGCTAGTGAGCGGCTTCTGCGCGTACGATAACTACTAACGCTTGGCTGACGTCCTATCCCGCTTATACCTGACGTTAGCCTACTGCGGGAGGACTTGCCCCTTGGGGCTCCTCGGAACGCTGGATTGGACAGCAGTCTAGTATGGCGTCTTGAGAGGTGGTTAGACTGGTCTAGAATAGTCAGTCGTGGGCCGTTCCGTTAGTCCGTTAGCAGAGGAGCTCCGCTTGCGCTATACCGCGATCCGCTGCTAGCCCATGGGTCGAGGGTTCCCCGAAGCCGCAGTGGTCCTCACACCGTTACTAGTCGGCTTGAGATGGAGCACGTACAGCAGAGGTTGCTCATCGTGCGAATGAGAGGGTGGCTGATGTCCTACACAATGACTATGAGTCGAAACAGCGACTCCGTGACCTGCAGTTCCACCAGCCACGCCTTCTGATGGAAGTATGGAAGTAGCCCGGAAAGTGCGCGTGATCTGAACGACCACACCATGCGTGCTTGCGAAGACGGCAAACCAGCACGGTGATGCCGAAGCACGTCGCGTATCGCCTCCGTTGTCGCAGAAATCACACCGCAGCCTGCAGTGCATCGAAAGCCTACTCCAGCGACAAGCAAAGTTCACATTAGAGTTCAGCTCTCACAGCGTGACTTCCTTCCTTTTCTGCTCCGTGCCTAGGACCTTCACCTTGAGCTACGAGCTTTGAGCTTGGAGAGCCACTGAAAGCTTCTCACCTTGGAAATTGCCTGTTTGGCATCCTGTACGTCGTCGTGCGTACGCCTCCTCGACACTTTGATGGCGAGCACCTTCCCAGCTCCCCATTCACCCATACTCTCACGCTACGTACGAGATGGTCAGCGAAGCATGCGAACGAGACGGGGATGTGGTAGCTTGGTTCCTAGCCACGAGTTGCAGACGAGCTGGGACAGTGGGCGGTGTGCCTTGGCCGTGCCGAGCTGGAATCAGCGTGCACACTCGATCATCACACTGAGCGCAGTGGGCGTTGTGCAGCATGCGGTGCCGCAACATGTTAACGGCGAGCATTCCGAACGAACCGAACGCACAGATCGCCATGTTTTTTCGCTTCCTCGAGCATGTGATGTTGTGTCGCAATGAAATTGATCGCAACGACTCCAGCGTACGACATACCGACGCCCGTTCCAATGGACGCAACGGAGCGGGGGGCGCGGGACAACGTGACACCCGACCACCTGAGGTTGTCTGCTGGGTTGACCGATCGCGGTGACGATCAATCGGGTCGTCTGTCGGTAGAGCGCCAGGCGGTGTTGATTACGTTCATGGCCTGTCCATTCCTCGGTGCACTCGCAGCAACAAACGTCGATTAACGTGAGCCACATTGAGCCAGACGACTGGTCCGTCTGTTGGGTCCTTGCACCCGGTCGCTCGGCCGGAGATCGGTGAACCGAGCCACGGTATGCATCCCTCCGTCAGGCTCTGCTGGTGCTGCAGGACTGCAGAATCACTGCCCAGTGGAACCCAAGCTCGGAGCATTTCAGCAGCTGGCAATGCCAGGCAGATGCCTCAGGACAGCACGAGTTGCAGGACGAAGCAAGATCGGTATGCTTGCCTAATTACCTACCTCCTGAGTATGCATACGCCCCTGTCTGTGTCGGCGAGGATTCGCCGTGCACGCCGCGCAGCGAGCACCAGAACGCCGCTTCATCATCGTCCCCCTTCTGGCGGCGGTGGGCGAATGAACGCTGCCACAGGCGCGTTGAAGAGTGAGTCCTCACAGGGCGGCAGAGCCCACTCTAAGGGAGAGTTAAGGAGCGTTGCAGGTCGAATAAGCGGGACGAGGCAAAACGTAATGCCTCCCCCAGGTTTCCCCTTGGGAGAGCCAGTGTGCAACTCTAATTGCACCTCGAAAGTGAAAACGGGGTCCTTGAGCTATGTTTTGGCCAGCTGTCAGCTCGGGAGTGCAAGTTGGTGGGAGTGCGTTAATGGACTCTCGGTGGGCTTGTTCGGTGCTCCGTTCCTCTGTTGCTGTGAAGGAACCAGAGGCAGCTAGTTCACGCCGAGCGTGCTTGGCGAACTGTGCTCACTTAGTGCATCTCATTCAGCCAGGAGATCTCTTCAAGCCATACTGCGAAGGCGGTTGTCGTATACCCATTTGATCTGGCAAGCACAATACACTGCCTGCTGGTACGTACCAAACGGGGTTGTTCAAGCAAACTGGAAAATTATCGAATTGCAGGGCGGGCCGGATGCCGGGTGACAAGCGGATGGCCCGTGTCCTGTACGTCAGCCAGCGGCCTGACTACGGTTTCATAGTCCGAAAGAGGTGACAGCGTCCTCTGCGTCCCTCTGCTCTGATGCACACGCTTCCAGCAGCCCCCTCCTGCATTCCAGGTCAGGCCGAGCCGACCCACTGCCCATCCTTGTGCATTGCAGCTGCCTCTCACTCAACCCACACAGAGCATGCCGTCAGCCTTGTGTCGACGTTTCTGCATGTACGTACGAACGCGTTTACCCGGCACACTCCAGCCAGGCTGCAAGGTTCGGCTAGACCCCCTTTGCTTCCTTCACGTCCTTGCTTCCTGGTGTGCGCTGTGCCAAGAAGCGCTACGCACACTAGTGCAGAGAGTTGCTGCGAAGAACCCGGTGAACCCGGTCCCCATTCAAGACAGGCTGCAGCCTGCCGCGAAAGTGAACGCTAAACTGTGCGACGCGGTACAGGCTGACACTACGCTTGCGGCGCCGTGTTCGCTCGGACTGCGGGCAGGAGAGAGAGAGGGGGCGACGATCGTCGCCCTTGCCCTCCCTAGCTCGCGCTACCATCGATTGCAGTTGCTGCGCCCACCAGCACCCGCGCAATCACGCTCGGACTCACGATTCCTCCACTGGATCCACTGTCGGTTCTCCCTGCTGGCCTGCGGTGATCTAGGATTCTCGCAGCCGTTGACCAAACACGGCGCGCATGCTGCGTCACTGGAAGCGTATGGCGTCCGATGGCGCAGGGGAGTGTGTATTGCTTAGCGCTGCGCCACTGCGCCCCTGCCCATGTGTCCAGCTCTGGCTGACTGTCGCGGGCTGCTTCTCTCGGCCTCGCAGCTGGCAACAAACCTGGCGGGGTCACACCTGCACGTCCAAAGGCGGCAGGCTACGGGTCGCCATCAAACTCAATACAGGAACGATGGAGGAAACCTTAAGGGGAACTCTCAGGGTGGAAGCCGTTTCTCTCCAGGAAAAGCGTCAGGGCGCGGGGCAGAAAGGGAAGCGTCAAGCGCACGACGTAAGACAATCGACCACACACCGCACACGGCACACGCTTTCATCCACTTGGCGACCATCGATGCTAGCCTCCGCAGACAGATCGAGAGATGCACCCAGACAGCGACCCGTGTTTAATACTGATGCAGGCAACACCCTTGTCCTCTTCTCTCTCTCCCCCATCCTTCTCCCCTTCTCCTTTTCCCGTTGTCCTTCTTCTTCGACCGGTCGAGCAGAGCGACGACGACTCTTCCGCCAAACGACGCGCATCGACTTCGACCTCGACAACCTCCCCCGACGCGATCGACATCTGACCGACATCTCGACGTCCCGTCGCCTCGTCCTCGCCGACCTCTCCTGTACGACCGTCAATCGACCCGCCCCATCGACTGTCGCCCATTGCAACAATACCCTTTTATAGATTCTAGATTCTCCCATCACTACTGTTCAAAACAGCCGACATTCTTTTGTATCACCACCAGTAATGCTCGCGAACACTCTTCTGCCGCTGCTTGCTGCGGCGGCCACCGCCCAGGCGGCGCCCCCCGCTGTCCCTCCCGTCCCCGACACCGTCCAGACGTACAAGCACCTCGACAACAACGGTTCCGGCGTCTCGGGCTACAACGTAACCTCGTCGTGGTCGTACAACTACACCTGGTCCTCGGACGGCAAGGGTCCCGTCAAGACTGAGACGAGCGGCGGGTCCAACGTCGACGTCCAGACCATTGGCGAGCTCACAAAGAACCTGACCGAGCAGCTGAAGAGCACCGTTGACGGTGCCCTGAAGGAGATTGCCGAGGACGTTCGCAAGCTCCAGCAGCAGTTCTTCCACGACATTGAGAAGCTCCCCAAGCTCTTCGACTCGAACGCCGAGCTCGGCAAGTCGCTCCTCGACAACGGCTACCTGTCCGTGTACCAGCACATGGCCGACGATGGCGAGCTCAACCCCGAGGGTTACTCTTACATCAACACGCTCGACGAGCAGCCGGCTGACACCCCGGCCGAAGAGGAGGACCCCGTCAAGGGCCCCTTCTGCTTCGACCAGAAGATCTCCCACTTTGACAACAGCCAGCAGGGCACCTTCTGCCAGCGCTACTGGATCTCTACCAAGGAGTGGAAGGCCGGCGGTGCCGTCATCCTGCACGATGCCGGAGAGTCGGAGGCCTCTGGCTCTACGTACTACATGAAGAAGGGTCTGCTGCACCACCTCATGGCTGCCACTCACGGTCTCGGCATTGTCCTCGAGCACCGCTACTACGGCAAGTCGACCCCGCTCGACTCGTTCTCGACCGACAACATGCGCTTCCTCAACCTGAAGGAGTCGCTGGAGGACTCTGCCAACTTTATCCGCAACTTCAAGCTGCCCGAGGGTGTCACTGTCGAGGGCGCCAACGCCGACACGTTCAAGCCCAACAACGTCCCGTGGATCTACCAGGGCTGCTCGTACCCCGGTGCCAAGGCCGCCTTCATGCGCCAGCAGTACCCCGACCTCGTCTTCGGTGCTGTCGCCGGCAGCGCCGTCACGCAGGCCATTGACGAGTTCCCCCAATACTACGACGCCTTCCAGAAGTACTATTACAACCAGGACTGCGTCAAGGGCATCCAGGGTGCGATCAAGGTTATCGACGAGTGGCTCGACGACGAGAAGAAGGCTCCCGCCATGAAGTCGCTCTTCGGCGCTGCCACTCTCAAGAACGACGACTTTGCCTACTTCCTCCGCTGGCCGCTTCAGTTCCAGAAGCGCTCCGTCCCCCTTGGCAAGGCCTCGATCCCTGATGCGTTCTGCAGGACGCTGCAGGAGGACACGAAGCCGATCCAGGTCGCTGGCGCTGAGGTCCCCGGTGCCGTCGTCAACTTTGCCAACGCCACCCGTGTCTGGATCCGCAACACTGGCTCGTGCGGTCGCAACGAGTCGACCCTCGCCGCGTGCTACGACACGTCTGACGGCAGCCCCGCCGCCGAGAAGCGCAAGTCTGACACTCTGCGCGACACCTGGCGCCCGTGGATCTGGCAGCAGTGCACCGAGTTCGGTTACTTCTTCGGCCCCGCGAAGGAGGGCGGTGTGCTGTCCAAGTACCTGACGTACGACGTGCACCACCGTGTGTGCCGTCAGTCCTTCCCGGCTGGATCGAAGTACCAGATCCCCGAGCGCCCGGACACGGAGAAGGTGAACTGCCACGGCGGGCGCGAGATCAACGTTGAGCGCGTCCTCTTCACCGCCGGCGAGCAGGACCCCTGGCGCCCCGCCATGCCCAACGCCGAGGGCGTCAACCGCCCCAACACGACCAGTCAGGCGCAGTACCTCATGCCCGGCGGCGGACACTGCTGGGACTCGCAAGGCTACGACGCCATCGACTCGGGCGGCGGCAAGGACGGAAACGAGCCCGAGCCCGACCTTACCCGCAACACGCACAACTTCCAGATGGGCATCGTCAAGGCCTGGCTCAACGACTGGAAGAAGCCCGGTCGCCGCTCGATCGAGAAGCGCCAGCGCATTCGTGTCCTCTAAGCGGAGCGCAGCCGAGCGCAGCGAGGCGGCGCGCAGCTTCAACTCGCTGGGCTCGCCGCGTAGTGTTGATCTGCGCCGGACAATGTGGCGGCGAGACCGCGTCGCGCTTCCACACGCCTGCTCCAGCGGCGCGCCTGCCCAGCGCAGCGCGCGCGATACTTCGAGGCCTCAGCGCCTCCACCCGTGCCCAGCGCACGCCTTCTAGACGTTATACCATAGTATCACATAGTATCACCCGACATTCTTTCACGCCGTGAAACCATGCACCACGACAGACATTGCCATGTTACTTGTAGCTCAGCGAGCGAGCATCGAGCATCGAGCAGCGAGCGAAGCGAGGTGCGAGGTGTGCGTGTGTGCGTGCTGGTGCCTATGGTTGAGACTGACGGGGGAAGCTGGTCGTGAGCTTAGCGGGCTGTGTGAGCAGCGATGGCCGAGCACGGGTGGACTGGGTGGGTAACGAGCTCTCGGCCGGAAGCGGGTAGACTGCGCGGAAGCAGATGTGCCAAGACCAGGACGAAACGAAGGGGGGGGGGGACCAAACAACCCTGTGGTTGTCACGTTCGTCGCCCGAGTGCAGCTAGCAGGCCTGCAGGCAAGTGATGCATAAAATACATTTGGTCAAAACAACAAGTACAAAGCGTCCAGAGTGTTCGTGGTTCGTTCACAGATCACACTTTCCAGTTCCGTCCAGATTAGATGGGGGGCGGAGGGCGGAGCTATATGTCGATCAAGAAATGTGCCGGTTTGAGTTCGGATTTGGTTAGAAGAAGCAGATTGTGCGGGGGCCGGGGAGCTTTGCTTAGAAGAGCGAGGCAAGGACACCGGCAGCAGCAACGACACCGACGCTGACGCCAATACGGCCCGCGGCGTCCTTGTCCTTGTCGTCCGTCTTCTTGGCGTCCTTGCCCGTCTTGCTGGCGCTGGCAGACAGCGACTTGACCTGCGACACCTGGGCGCAGAGACGGTTCAGGGAGCCGTTGAGCGTGGCCGCGTCCTGGCCGTTCTTCTCCGAGAGACACTTGGTGCAGTCCTTGTACTGGTCCGACTTCTTGGACTGTGCGTCGTTAGCCCTGTTCTTCGTTGTCTGCCGAAGGAGGGCAAGGTAGGCCGGGCAGGGATAAAGAGAGAGCCGTGCGTCACGCACGCCCTATCTTATCGCTCGTCCCTTCCGTCGCCGTCACGCTCCCTCAAGCCACCCAGATCTGGGATTATCCACAGGACTTTGAGGCGAGGGAACAGGAATTTGGGCAATCGGAACCAACGCTCCACGGCCTGACGGCCTCGGCTTGTCACTCACGTCAGTGCAGAACGAGGTGCACTCGTCGCTCCATCCAGAGCCCGAGGGCTCGTAGCCGGCACAAGACGACATCCAGGTCTGGTAGCCCTTGCACTTGTCGTTGCAGTTGTCGTCGGCGGCGACGTCTGCTGTTAGTCATCGAAACCAGGAGTGGGTAGCGGGAGCGGGTGAGGGTGTGCTGGAATGGACTTGTCTGAGACAGAGGGGAGTGCGTAAACAAACCAGCTGACCGAGACTCCTTCCGCGACTATCCCAACCAAACCCAGAGTTACTCACAAGCGGCAAGACCGGCAGCGGCGAAGAGGACAGCGGTAACGTGCATTATGGTTATGGTCTTGGGTAAGAGGAGTAGAGCAAAAGCAGAGAGCAAGAGATGAGATGGAGTGTGGGGAGAAGAAGCAGCGATGCAAGCTTTGTTGTTGTTATTATACCCTCGCCCATCTCCCCTCCCCTCGAGTCAGATATCCGGGATGCGCAGGACCCGAGGACCTCGCACCCAAAGCCAAAGCCAGATTGACGCCCCTTGGATCGCTTTCGGAGGTTTCCTATCCTTTCAGGCTTACGCTTGTTACGTTTGTTTGGTCCCAGTTCTGCTCCAGTGCCTATCAACCACGCACGCAGGTGACCAACGGTTCCAAGAAGGTGCCAGCCATCTAGTGCAATTCACCTCCGAGAAAAAAAAAACAAATCAGGCGCGTGAACACCCAACCGAGCGTTCTGATTGGCTGAACCACCAGTGGATCCTGGAATTGTCATTCTCCCCACTCGTTCATGCTCGTCGAGTGCTGTGCGCCGCGCGCACAGCTGATGGCGCTCATGACTAGGGCCGGCCTTAGTGCAGGGTGGCTTATGACCAATCGATGAAAGAACAGGCGGGAATAAAAGGTGCACGGCCTCTGCACGTCTGTCGTTCCTGCAGCCGAAGATGCCGGCCATCTCGTCGGCGCCCATACGTCCCCCTATGCGCCCATATGGCGTCCCTCTGGCGTCACTTCAGGTCGCTGGCGGCTCTCTGACATGGCCTCTTGGCGAAGAAGAATGGGGGATGACAGGAATAGACGAACGCCCATGATGTCAAATTGGCCTTTCCGATGGACATATCAAGATGGCCGAGTTCATTCGGCGCATTCTCTCTGATCGACGCCATTCGCTCCACACACTCACAACGACCAGCTTAGATAGGCTCATACGCCCGCTAGACTGAGGCGCTAGGCGAATGCAACAAAGGCTGGCAACTAGGGCCGTAGCGGTCCTGGAGATCTCGGGGCACCGGACGAATCACAGTGCACGGAACATGAGCCAAGCACCCACCTGCCCTGGAGAGCTCATGTAAGCATCGAGAATGGAGACGCATGCTTATGCCCGAAGCGCGTTCTATGCATAGCTCGCATAGCTTGCAGAGCTCAGAGTTCGAGTTTGAGCAAGAGCAAGATTGCCATCGGCTGTTGTCGACGGAGATCCGCGGTCGTGAGGGACGGATGTTTTGCTCGGTCGGCGATTCCGGAATCAATGGAGCTAGAGCCGTCCTTCTCGAGATACAGCGTTCCATCCATAGCATTGATCTCTGGTATAACATTGATGAACGCCAAGAAGAACGCAGCACGTTTCAGCCATAATATCCAGCACGTGGGCCAATCCGATTCAAAGCCGTGTCATGGTCCTCACAGAGGTTGAAGTGAGACAAAGAAGTGGTGGGCAAGTGTGAGAACTGGGCCACCGGAGCCTCCATGATAACTGGCCGACGAGCGGTGAGTAGCCCGAACGTTCCTTCTCTGTCTTCATTATGGTCCCCTATTTCTGGTTTCTCAGGACGCCTGTGCCCCACGCAATGGTGTAGTACCTTGTTCCAGCATCCGGAAGTGCGGAACCTCTGCGAACGTGATCAAAGCGTCACGCGCGGCCCTTCATTCCGCCCTCCCTCCGTCTGTGCCCAATGTCACTCTGGTCTTCTGTTGGAGGATCGGTGCAGAGAAGCCAAGAGACTATTAATGAGGCCCCTGCGGATGAGAGTCACACGTTGATAAGATTACCCAACATTACTCGGCCATCTCATCCGGTCATGCGGTGACCAACTGACCCACTTCAGCCAACGAACGGGGGTGGCCCCACTTCGGCGGACCTTCCGACGAGCTGACGCTCCAAGATTGAGCTCCATGGAACTTGACTCGCTGCTCGCTTCCATTCCTCGTCCCTGCAGCAGTGCCGTCAGCTGATGCGTCACGCTTGCAGAACCCCGAGCTCACCGCAGGTCCTCTGGTGGGCAAACGTGAAGAACCCATGTGCTTCGCGGCCATGTACGTGCAGTCGAAGCGTGCGCCTCCACTCGTTCATCTCCGTGCAATTCAGTCGATGGCAATTCAGTACGGCGAATTGCCTCAGCAGATGAAGGACCCCGGAGCTTGACATTGCGACGATATTCGGGGGGCCGTGCGGTGCACCTTCGTCTTCCGCACGCACATGACTGTTGCGAGTGGGATGCCAAGCAATGGATGCAGTGGGCTGCTCTCCACGGAGAGAGCTACATAAGGCTGCGGATGGAGCTGTGATAAGTCCTCACGACGACAGGAGCTGTCTCTGGCTCGAGCGACCCTCGATATCTCTTCTGCGACCACCCGGCAGCGTATACCCCGGCAACAGTTCACCATGAAGCCCTCCCTTCTCCTCCCCTTCACTCTCTTCGGAGTCGCTCTCGCTCTCCCGCCCGCCGACCGCTCTCTGTCATTCACCAACCTCGAAGCGCGCGGCTACCCCTCCCGCTGCCCCTCAGGCCAGACGGCCAAGTCCAAGGGCGTCTCCCCGGACCTGAACGGGTGCTCGGGCGTGCCAGACGGCAAGTTCAAAGGCTGCTGCAACCAGCACGACATCTGCTACTCGACGTGCAGCCGCACGAAGCGCGACTGCGACGACTCGTTCTACGCGTGCATGAAGAATGTGTGCAACACTGAGTACGACAAGTGGTACGAGGCACCTGTCAAGGCCACGTGTCTCGCCGGCGCGGCGACTTACCACACCGGCGTCGCAGTCGGGGGCGACTCGGCGTTCATGAAGAGGACCGCGAAGCACTGTACCTGCTCCTAGGTGGGCATGCGTTGGGGTCTTGGGCATTATAGGGAAACTGGATGCAGATCAGAAGTGAAGGATGGGCGGTGAAGGGATGATGCGCGACCGATGTGCCACTTACCCGGACAGCTCGTAAATGGTAGCAGCGTTCGCGTGCACAAGATGTGTGCGTCGGGGATTGCTGTACTTGATTACTGACCGTTCGAGACGAGCAGTCGGCTTGGCCCATGTAAGTTGATGGAGATCTGGACTGCCCGAGTGCAGGTGAGCGGCCTGATGGACAAGGATGCGCCTACGCATGACGGTCCCTCGTGGCCGAGACCTCGTGCACCACTGCGACGAGGTTACTACACCTTTGGAGCACTTCTCACATGCTTACGCACTCGCACGTCTCTCGCACTCTTGACGGAACCTTCTCACCAGCTCACCGCACCTGCGCACGAACTCGCTTACCACGTCACACCTCTGACGTTCCTCTATTCTTCCACTCACCATTCACTCTAGTCACTCATTCAAACGCTCCTGTCCTGGTAAGATTGTCGCTGCTGGACGTTATCTGACTTCAGCAATCTCACTCAATCCTCCAGGCCAGGCGGGCAGTGCAGGCGGTTTCCGGCCCAATGCGATTTCATCGGCACATCGTCTCCCCGAACATCCCCTGTTCGCCTGGCCAGACAGCCACGGGTGTCCCCGCCATTGCATCAGCCTCTGAACAAACGATCCCGGGCTGTTCTCCATCATCCTCTCTCCTCTCCTCGCCGCAAGCCTTCTAGCCAGCACCCCATCCCCCACTGAGGTCACGGACGTCCAGGGTCACTTACGCCATTGTATGAGCGGCTCTTTTATTCTGTGATGGACAACGTGTTGGCTGTCCCGGGCGCCCACCCCTCTCTTCGCCAAACGGCACCGGGCACATCCTCATTGCATGAAGGAGCAAGCGCTCTCCCGGGTCTCTGACACCGTGGTGCGGAACAATGCGATTGAATCGGCACAAAGTTTGGGCTCCGCACCACTCACCGGCTGGAAGACAAGGCTCATCTCGACGCAGGACACTTTAAGACCGACCTCCCGATTCTCCTCACCGCTGCGGAGCAGCTTCGGCTACGGCCACCCACAATCCTTAACTTCGTAGCGCAGGCGGCATTAAGCCATTGTATGAGCGAGCGAGAGCAGCATCCGCCGCGTTGTATGCAACATGCTACACATTTCCTAGTACCGGCCGCCATTGACTGGAGATTGGACAGATACTGATACAAGACTTCTGCAGCTCCAAACCGAGCTAGAAGATGAGTAGGTCGGTTCATCTCCCACTCATTAAGCTCCAGGCTAAGCAATAGCTCGATGGACGCCGGCAGGACTGGGAATAAACGAGACCATGGGGTGATGCCGTTGGTGGACAACGGAGGTCTCAGCGGTGTGTGGCACACAAGGTGCGAGGGGTGCAACGGTGCTGCGGTTCTCGCTCCACTCGCTCCCCTCGCTCCTCCATCAGATGCGCCACCCAACCTGACGAGAAGACGACCCGCTCACCTGGCTCCAGACAGTCGGGTCCGACTACCAGCTGCGGACGCAAACGTGTTGCGTTCGGCGAGCCACCCTGTCACCGACTCAACATCACTTTCTTCATCTTGACCATCACCCACTGCCAGCACACCGGGCTCGCCCAACAGCCCGATCCACTCCAGATCTTCTACGTGCTGAACAACAATACACCCTACCTACCCAACCCACTTCCAACGAGAAGCATGGACAACCCTGCCCGCGCCCGTCAGCGTGGTGTCCGCAACGCTCGCCAGGCTCCCGCCGCCGCGCACCGTAACGACCGGCCCAGGCCTCGTCCCCACGCTCAGCGCGACAACCACGGCGCTCGCCATCCTCCCGAGAACCTCGACCATGTCGGCGACCACCACGGTGTGCTGTTTGCCGCTGACATCTGCGAAGCGGTCCTGATCGCCCGCGACATGGTGTCTCTCGTCCTTGCCACCGTCTTCGAGCTGCTGGCCAAGATCCTCCTGGGCTGTGAGTGTTCCCTATCCGACCGCTCTGCAACAGCACTAACCTCAGTCCTGGTTCTTTGCGCGAACCTGATCTTCACTCCGGACCATGGATGGGGCAACTGTGCTCGTCACGTTTCGATCTACATCATCTCTCTGTGCGGCAGCACCGGAGTTCTGCTGAACATGAGCGGCTTTCGTTGGTGGATCATGCTCGTCACAGTTCTACACTGTGTCCTGCGTCTCTCCATTGTATTCGCTACTCTCACCCTCAACGACCTTGAGTGGGCGCACGGGCCCCTCGGCTGTCTGTTCCGCGTGCTGCTTCTCGACCTTGTTTGGCGAGTCGTCTGCTCCCTCCTCCAGCTCGCCGGCATCACGCACGCGGTTTGCTTCCACATCCCCGAGGGTGTCTTGGCTATGATCTCCCTGCTTCTCTCCTTTATCAACATCGCTCTCGCTCTCTATCCCGCCGTCACGAGGTCCGTCGTCACGACTGCTCGAGAGGTCATCGATGCGGTGTGCTGCATCAGGTGCTACCTGGTCGCCGCGCTCTCTTCGGTCATCAGCACCGCTGCCTACCTGCTCAGGGGGATGGTCGGCCTTAGCTTGCTTGTGTATCACCGCCTGACCGACCAGTTCGTGTGGCATGAGGAGGAGCTGCGCCGCATCGAGCGTCTCTTGTACGAGATGGACCAACACGGCACTCAGCTCGCGCAGGAGGAGGCCGAGCACGCTCAACCCGCTCAACCCGCCCAGTCCGAGGAGACCGATCTCGCCTGGGGATGGATCCTCATTCCGGGTGTAGACGGGGAGCGCGAGTCGGCCCGCTTTAGGTTCCCGTATCCGATTCCGCAGTCGCAGGAGTAAGCTGCACCGCTGCCGGGAAACCAAGTGGCAGCGCCTTCTGGACAATTCGAGAAATGCTCATAATTCATAACCGAAGCTGGACACTATGCATAGACATTGCTCTCAGAACTTCTGAGCTTGCAGGAAGCAGCTCGAGTGGTACCATGGTCGGAGGTTGCATGAGTGGTGCCTAAAGTGGAGCTGTGTGCTGGCTGACTGGGTGCTTGGTTGAGGTGCAGTCTGGAGCCCACCTGGCCGTTGGCCCATCGAGTCTTGCACCGGACGCTCCGCTCCGTCACCTTGCTCCTCCCTTACTGTCAAGTGTCCCGTGCAATGATTTAGTTGATAATACAGGAGGACTGGCTGCATGTGGTTCACTCGCCCTATGTTATCTGACTTTCGAAACGACTGCTGATTGTAGTGCAGCTGCGCATCACCCGTTCGTCGACCGACAAGCGGATAGGGCCTCGCCCAGGCCAGGACATGGTTTGTGTGTGCTCGCAGTGTTACGCCGAACGTGACTTCTGCCTAGTCGATATCAACTGATGGTGTGTAAGCTCCGCCGTTCGCACCCCTTGCACTCCCAGCAACCCCACAGACTCGAGCGGTCTGTCCATCACGAGACTCTCCACCCCAACCTCTTGGTCGTCCGTCAAATCTGCGCTCTCCAACTCCCTCATCCAATCGCTCCTCCATGAACTTCCTCGTGGCGCTCGTCATCCCTGTCGTGCTCGGCTGGTTGTTGATGCTGCTGGTTTTGGGGCCCCTCCACTGGGGTCTCCGCCAGCTCATCAGGATCGTCTTGCTCCGCATCAAGCTGGCTGTCATTCTGGCCATTCGGCCCATCGAGGCGGCCCTTTACAATCGCCTAGGAGGCAAGTTGCCTCGTCAATTCCACGCTCACCCTAGATCCAGAGAACTGGACTGCTTGGAACATCTGGGGGGTTTTCCTTGCTCCAAGGCTGGTCGCGGGACTGAACAAGCTTGGCGAAGTTGGGCAACCAAGTAAGTCTCCACCGGTGGATCGAAGTGCCCAGGCGCTGACAGCCAAGTGGTACGCTTCTTGGGCAGGTCGGTCGTGATTAGCATCGAGACTGTTGCTTATGTCGTCTTGATCTGCCTCGCTCTCAGTTTCAGCATTGATGAGCTACACAGGGTGCGCCAGGAGTTGTTCGGCGGTGGCCAAGGGCTTCTCTTGCCCCAGCCACATGGCGTCGTCGTCTTAGTCCGTTAGCTATGCTTCGCTCCTCTGTAGCTCTTCGATAGCCATAGATGCACCTGCCATTCGCATTCTTCAACAGTCGTAATTGGGCAACATTTGGAAAGTGCTGTGAATCAATCGAAGGGGTTCTTGTCGTCGTTTGATCGCGAGCTCTTCCCTGGTCCGCTGCTTCCCGTCTGGTACGTGAGGGAATCCATGGAGGATGATGCACTAGTTTGCTGTGAGAGTGGGGAGATGTTGACCGTGAGAGACTCAGATGGAGGCAGTGTCCATCACCACACCCAAATTTCGCCGCCACACTCACCCACCAAGCGCCTTCACCGCTAACCCACCATGCATACGTGCATCACAACCCTTTCGGGACGCACGAGATGGTCATCATGCACGATGAAGCCATTCCCCTGTTGAACACCTTGATGTGCTGGTGCTTGCCTAATCGCCGACTGCTGTCGCACTGCTTACCACGCCCTCCATTTCTAGGATCCCAGCCGCCCAGAGGTGCAGTAGCGCACGGCGGGCACGAATGGGTGATCTGGCGGCGTGGAGAGGAGGAATAAGCTGGTAGGCGCGTGGGATCTATCCGTCAGTGCTCATGGCTAAGACGTAACGGAAGAAAACGGTGGCAACAAGTGCTCTCGAAAGGCGCGTGAGACCATCGAGTGCGCAGCCGGTGTTGTGTGTGTCGCTCCCAGCACATCTAGGTCCTTCAGCGAACGCATTGTCATTCCTCTTCCTCTCTTCATCCCAATTCCCACTCGCCACCGCGACATCTTCGACCCTCAACCAATCTTTCAGCCCCGCATCCACCGGCAAGACATTCAGCAGCACCAAGATGGCCAACAAGCTCGCTAATACAATCCTCTCCGCGCTGTTCAACGGCCTCAAGACCTTTTTCGCCCCCATGTGGGAGCGTGAGTAGCTCCCTCGAGTGGCCAGTGGCAAGCTAACATCAGATGTTGTGATGTTCCACATCGGCGCGATCCTTCTGGGCCTGCTCTTCCAGTGGGCGCTCGGCGCCGACTACATCGTCCTCTACCCTGACCACCGTCAGGATCAGATCTACGAGGCCATGGACTTTGTTCCCATCATCTTCATTCTGCAGGCCCTCATTGTCGTCAGCATCAAGTACTGCCTGGCGTATCGCAAGAAGCGCACTGCCATCAAGCTCATCGAGGACGTCGAGGCCGCTCCTGGCCGCATGTCCTGCAGCACCAAGCCCTCCGTCATGAACGCCATCGTCGCTCACACCATGGACCTCGCCAAGCGCTTCGCCAACCCCGCCCTCCTCGCCCGCGTCATCCGCCTTGAGCGCGACAACCTGAACGCTCTCTACCAGAACGAGTACCACCAGGAGCAGCAGAGCACCGAGGACCAGCTCGCCAGGGCCGAGATGCAGTTGCGCATTGCGGACCAGGTCGCCCTCGTTGCGCAGCTGCTCAACATCGAGTCCGCCACCCAGGAGGCCGCCACGGAGCTTGGGGCTGAGGAGCGTGAGCAGCGTCGCGCCGCGCGCCGCGAGCGCCGCGAGCGCCGTCGCCTCGAGCTGCAGGAGCTGTACGACTCGTGCACCAACTGCCGCGCCGCCATCGATGCTGGTGCCAGGAACCGCCGCGAGATCCGCCAGTGGATCCGCGCCCGCAAGGCGAACCCCGAGACCGAGCCCCTCCTCCCTCGCGACTAAGCCTGCGCTAGCGCACCTGCTCGCCTTCCATAGCGTAGCCAACAAGGTCCCTGCTCACACTTCGAACATCCACTGTTAGCTTTACTCTAGTCCTTCCCCCTCCACCAAACTTCCGCGTTGCGGACCCGCCCTCCTCTCCACCGCTTTCGCTTCGTTAAACCTGTAAATACTTTAACAATTCAGCATGCATGCACCAAGCACAGTGAGCAGTAACAAACCTCCGATGTACCCCTGATGCATGCATTGAGCATTCTCTAACGGGCTTGGAAGCGGTGAGAGCGGATGAGCGTGAGACAGAAGTGAAGGATCTCTGAAGGACACCGTGGGGAGTAGCGTACGGCGGCGCTCACTGCTCGTGGTCAGTATCGGGTCAAGAGTGTCTGCATGGGCTCAGGCGTGGGGGAGAGATAGGCGTGCAGAGGGGGAAGCAAGCCTCTCTAAAGCAGCTGGCCTCTCCAGTTGAACGCAATCGAGAGCGGTCGAGCGGCGATGGCGGCGGCATGCTGAGGCTCACCACACGCCTGCACGCTCTCTCAGACGTCCCCAGATCTCAGCACCTGTTCACAACATGCTCGCCCCTCTCGCCTATCATGTCTGGGGCGCAGGTGAGCAGCTACCAAGCGCTGACCCGGTCTCTGGTCAAAGTGTCAGTCAGCCGGAAGAGACACTGACATTGACACTCTGTGTGGCTCGGAGGGAGCGAGCTACTCTGTCGTCGTGCGACGAGCGACTGTGCGATGCGAGCCAGAGGAGCATGGCCAGACTGGGGAGACGGCGTCAGCTCTTGCATACTGTGTGGGGGGCCAGGCCAGCACCGCCCGAGGGCGAGAGCGCGAGAGCACGACAAGAGGAGGGCGGCCAGGCGGAGGTGAGCGCTTGGGAGGGGGGTGTACTCCATGTCGCCGGCCTTGACATTCACAAAGGTGCTCCCCCACATCCACATCTTCATCTTCCCTTCTCTCCACTCCTCACCACTCTCCCTTCGACTTGACGGGACGACTTCGGGATCACAGGCAAGCAGGTGAGTTGTGAAGACACAGAGCTCGAAACTGACCCCTGGTTCCGAGCCACTTTGAGCCTCAACTTCGACCGCATCTCATCACCCGTAGCGGCGACGAGCCTACGACCGACTCGGTGAGCTTCCAAACCCTGTTCTAAGCTGACTTCAGTGTCCCTCGACGCGTTCGCCTGCTCGGAGACGGCGAGCATCAGTGCGCGTGACGGCAAGGTAGGTGCTAATCGGAGCATGCCATCGAGCTAACCCCAGTTCGCTCCGCCGTAGTCGCGCCTGTCACCGGGTGCAGTCGAGGATCGGTGAGCTCTGTCCTCGTCGCTGTATACTGACGTCCCAGCAGTGCGGCCTACCTCTCCCCGCAGTAGTTGGCAAGGAAGCCGACACGCAGACCGGCACACGGCCTACAATACCTGTCGTGAGCTTCCTCGGCCACTACGCTCAAGCTGACTCCCAGTCTCCTCACTCTCCTCTCGCCTCGGACAAGTAAGAAACACACGGTGAGCTGCTTTCACGTTGTTGAGCTGAGCCCAGGTCATGTCGAGTTACGGCGGAGACTCGGAGTACTCGGAGTACTCCATGGACATGGGCTGGAGTACCGAGTACAGCCCGAGCGACAGTGGTTCCAACGAGTGGCCGTACTGGACGTCCGGCGGCAGTGGCTCGGATCAGTCCGCCTCCGACCCCAGCGACGGGAACAACAGCGAGCAGGAGGACGCGGATCCTGGTGACGAGCACGGAAACGGGAACGGGCTTGCGCCAGTCACGCCTGTCCCCTCGGTTGAAAGCATCGATGACCTTCCCGGCCTCTCTCACGAGAACGATACCGAGACCACTGCAAGCCTCGCGACGGTCGAGAACAGCAACGGGGAGCAGGGCGGTACGGTGATTGTGGTCCAAATGCCCACGCACGGCCCCGAGTGGGATGTCTCGGACGTCGAGGGCGCAGACAGTCTGCCGGCTTACGACGAAGACACGCCTCCCGTGTACGACGCCCACGACGCCGACAGCACTCAGCCTCCGGTCCAGCTTCAAATCGACGTCCAGTTTACGGCCCAGCCTAGCCCCACCCTGCCCAGGACGACGCACGGCCCCTCGTGTCCCTGTGCCGTGTGTGTGATGGTCTACGGCCCCCAGACTCTAAACGTCACGCCTCCGCAGCCCTCGGCGGCCGAGCTGGAGGCCGAGCGTCAGGCGCGCGTCGAGCGCTGGCGCGCCGCGCACGCCGACAGCGATTCGGAGGCTTCCGAGGCCGACGAGACCACGCCCCTGAATGAAACGGAGGGGCACTGGGGCTACGCGACTGTGGCCGCCATGAGCCACGAGGAGAACGAGCGCCGCCAGCGCCGCCAGCGCCGTCGCGAGCGCCGTCGTCGCCAGCAGCAGCAGGGGTATGCACGTGCTTCGATTCGGCGCTCACTCGAGATCGCAAACCGCGTGTACGCCGTCAGTGGCCTGCTCGGGAACCGCCGCACGGAGTACTTCCTCGCTCTCTGCTGTGAGTGTCTTCTCTGCCATGTGGAGCGCGCTGACACTCCCAGACCTCGACATCTTCGTCGAGGGCTTCCTGCAGTACGGCGTGCCCGTCCTCGGCATCTTCTCGGCGCTGCTGTACCTGTGCGGCGTGAGGTTCTGCAACCTCCTCATCGTGTGGGTCATGCTTGGGTGCCTCGAGGTGGCCCTCCTAAGGGTCCGCCACGACTCGGGGTGGACTAGCCAAGAGCATGTCGCCGAAGAGGTCGAGCGTTGCGTAGCGCAAGTGGCTGAGCGCAGGCGCCGCCGCGCCGCCGCTAACGCCGTATAGGTACCCTAGGGTAGGCAAGAACCAAGGATGAGGAGGACAATCAGGACAAGTGAGCATCGTCGAAAGTTGAGGCAAGCGAATGACTTCCGGATCAAGAACATGTTGTGCATAGTATTAGCAAAGGTTTCATCAGTGTGAATAGCCTCAGTGACATGTGATTAGTTTACGAACACGATCCTGCACCCCTTCGGACTTCTGATCCACATGTTAACCTTATACAACGGTGCTCACCGCAGCCATCCCTCGAGCGCGCCCTCGTCCCCAATGACCTCTCCGCCCTTCTCCCTCAGCTTCTCCCAGCACTCGCCCGCCTTCTCATCGCTGATGCTCCGAGTCCCAGACAGGAGCACGGCGGTCTTGAACCCGTGCTCTGCCGCTGACACCGCGGTGGCGGAGACGCAGTAATCACCGGCCAGGCCGACAACGACGACTCGTCCAACGCCGCGCGCACGAAGGAAGGAGGCCAGTTCGGACGAGTCGGCGGCGGGAAGTGCTGGTGGAGGATCGGAGGGGGAGCCGGAGGGCGTCACGTAGCCCGCGAAGGCGGAGTAAGCCTCGACGCCTGGATGCCAGCCCTGTCGTCAGCTCACTATCGACGGCTCAGTAGCTGGATCTCGTCCTCAAATGCTCATCAACGATTCTTGCTGCTTGTCATGGACGCTGGCAGCCAACCGACATGCTCAACTCAGAGCAAGAGTCTGAGTGCGGTACTCACCTTACGAACCAGTACGCAGCTGTCGCCCAACCGCTCCAATTCTGGCCGCAGCTCGGCGTCGATCTCAACGCCATCCGTGCCAACGACGCAGTGATTCGGCCACAGCGTCTGCGTGTACGTGTTACCGTATGCGTCCATCTTCTGCACCTGCGAGAACACCTCGCCACCAGGGTGGTTCGACGCAAAGCTGATGTGGTCCGGAGGATGGTAGTCCTGCAGTTAGCTCAAAGCGGCCCATTTCAGCTAGTCATGACACAACGTCGCTCAAAGCTCGCAGTGCACCGCGCAAACCAGGGGTGCAAGAAGAGCGGATAGCAGACGGAAGAGAGTCATGAAGGACCCACCTGCGAGGCAACGACGACGTCCCAATCGCGCTTGAGCAGTTGCTGAATAACAGGAATCACCTCCCTTCCGCCGGGGACGGCAAGCGACCCGCTGGGCGGGAGGAAGTCGTTCTGGACGTCGACGACGATGAGTGCGGTCTTGTCTCCCATTTTTCCAAGGGTTGCCCGGCAGATTCGAGACCTGCTGTTGGATGTTGCAAGTGTCCGTTGGAAGGCGTCGATCGCGAAGTAACGAACCCAGGGCCCAAAGCTGCCCGTCCATTGCCGGCGGTCCCAACTTGCCGAGCCAGCACTAGGTATCCACCGCGGAGGGTAGGCAGATACGCCGAGGATTTAGACGGCGTCAGCGGGAGCATTTCAAAGCCATTAGGGCCGCTTGTATTGTCAGTCCCTGAAAGTTTCAAGTGGATTAGTAAACTGTATTAGTCCACATATTCCCACGATTACAGACAGTGGGGACAATGCATGCCTCAAGCTATAGAAGACCAAGCAGCTCTCTCAGAGCGCGATGCATGCCTCCCCTGTAAGTAACGGTGGTGGGGGGCTCATGGGTGGTGATGAAGGGTGGTGAGAGGTGGACGTATGCGCAGCGAGGGATGTCTAGAGGTGGAGGTAGTCGGAGGTGGCCGATTAGTCTTTCATTAGTGCGGTCACTATTTCAGGTTCCATTACATTTAGTGCCCTAGATAAGGAGTGCCACATAGGACCCTTGCATTACAGCATTTCCGGAAAAAGGCTTTCTCCAGAGGCCATCAAGTTTAGCAAGGTCAGGTATGCATTCCAGACCGCATTAAGATGCAGTTTTCTGCATGCAAGCCCCGTTTTCGCCAAAGATTCAGAATATGCAAAACCATTTGGGGGATGTCATAGAGAAAAATGGAGAAAGATGGAGGTAAAGTTAGGTCACAGAATCGAGAATCAGCGGTGACGGGAACGGTACTTAGTACGGCTGACGCCGTAATGAGCGGGAGCAGGTGGATAGCCGGCCGGCTGTCGAGAGTGGAGGTTGAAATTTTGATAGGCTCAAAGATGATAAATCGAAATTGCTATGCATCCGTCTCAAACTGCTACGATCCTTAATATCTCTGACGTCTATGCAGCTCTGGCTATCAGATGGTACTTCCTAGAGCGGTGTTAATGCATCGCATCGCCGTCAGCGATGCTCACGGCCGTCGTCGACAGTAACGGAATAATAGTTGCGGTGCACCGACAACAGCAGCGATAGTTGGACTTCGCACTTTTTGCAGGTGTCAGTCACGTGACTTTCAATCTCTCCCTGCTCAACGCTGAAAGGCAAACAATGGGCGGGTTGAGTCTCCTCGCGACTTCCCGTGTATGGTGTGTCATCACAAGCATGCATCCCTCATACTGAACAATAACCAAGCGTGATGTTTCACAGGTAGCACGTATTGACTATTATACAACGGCTTCGCATAAAGTGTGTTGATGTTGACGGTCGTACTGCCCTTCAGGTCGAGGAACGGCGCGAGACGAAACGGTATACCACTTAGATCCATGTTTTGATTGTTGCGCCCTGCACCTCTTCGACGACCAGCGCCTGCGTATCGCCGAAAACTCCTCCCTCACCGGAACCGTTTGACACATACTCTTGCCAACGGGCTGCGTCGGCGATTACGTCGCGGATAAGCGGCATCTTGATGTCGACGATGTCAGACAATGGGGTTGCAGCGGGGGGCGGGACCTTCATTGAGTTTTCGGTGGTTGGGGGGTTAGTCTCACCGGCCCAGATCTTGCGTAAGATGCGGCGGTCCAGACTTTCGTTCCCGGTAAACGTGAAGGCTGTCGTGCTGATGACCAGCTTGGTTCCGCGGAGGCACTCGGTGACGGCTGCAACCGCGAGCATGGTTTCGTTTCGTGGGCTGTTCGGATCGAGGTGAACATAGGTGACTACTGCACCAGGTGCGGCCCCGGTCAAATCCATGATACGCGAGTTGCGGACGCCCGAGATCTCGCCCAACTTCTTCTCGATCTCGCGCGCGACCACGGGCTGTCCTGCAAGTTAGATCACGAACTCTGATAGCGACTCTTTGCCCTCGCCAGTGTACAAGCTTACCTGTTTTGGCGTCATAGGCGACAGCTGAGCGGCCATCCGCCACCACGTCTGCAAGCTCGGAAAGGCGTGAGAATGGGTTGTTGAGGGCCCATGGAGAAGGTAGCCTCTTTTTGTTAAAGACAGCATACTCGAGCGAGAACGGTCGTGCAGCGTTAGGGGCGTTGGTGCCGAGCGAGGAGGGAATGGCAGAGGTATCGACGGTAGCTCGTGTCCGCGTCCATGTCCTTCCATGAATAAGCGAAACGAGGGACAGAGGGAGGACGGGCAGAGTGCCGTACTTTCCATCTGGATCGAGGAGAGAGAGGATAGGCGCCATGAGGAGCGACCATGCAGCCAGATCTGCCGTAGGTGGCCACCTCAGCAGCCCCGTGCCCTGCTGTGCCTTGTCCTTGAAGATCTGGTTGAACATAACGAGGAGGAGCCGGACGTGCTCGCGCTGAAGTTTCGTCTCAAAGGACAACGCATCGACACTGTTGGTATTCAAGCCCGAGTAGCGCGTCAAGTCGAACATGGCGAGCATGAGGTGCTCGAGCCACAGGAGACCCTTCCTGGGAAGGAGAGGAAAACCCAGAGGATCGGCAAAACGTACGCTGTCACCTAACTTGTCGAGCTCCTGCTTGAACGCTTCAACACGCTGAGACACGCTGTCTTGCAGGTGTTCCTCCTTGCGGATGAGAAAAGGTCGGGCAGTGTAGCCGCCGTACGGGGTGACGGATGACGGGTCTCGTTCCAACTGCTCCCAGTCCTCGGAGGCGGCAATTTCGCGCATCAGGTCGTCGTCAATCTGACTTTCTGCTGCCCAGAGATAGAGACACCCAAGGGGCGCATCTGGATCTCCGGGGAGAAAGCCCATCAGGCGGTGGCGCACCAACGAACCTTTCACGCGCAACCTTCGACGTCAGCCCCGAACAAGCGGGGAGCAATGTGAACTTACAGCTCCAGCCACGCCAAGAATGTCCGACTGCAGTCGATTGCGTAGCGAACCAAATACAACCATACGGGGAAACCGGATACCAGCAACATGGAGGCGTTGCCCAACGCCGATCTCCAGTCCCCACGCTTCTGAAGCCCCCCTTCGACGAACCTTTTCGTCAGTTGCTGGGTTGGGGTCATGAGAAATCAGGAGGAATGCGAGAGAAACGCACTGATACAAAGGCTCTCTCTTCTTCACTTTCGGCCCGGATGAGAGTACGTTGTTGACAAGAACGGAAGAAACAGCAGGTCGGTATCTGGCCGAAACCTACAGATTCGTTAGCGACCATAAAGAAGGTGACTTATGGGAACTCACGGTTTCCATCGATTCAGAGATCTCTGGTCTGGCGGCCTCCGTCTCGGCGAACCGTAGAAGGTCGATGTCGCCAGCCGTTAGAATTGTCTCTTCTCCGTCCGTGTCGCCGAGAACGGCCGCAATCTCGTCAGCTTTGCCAGAGGCATCCTGTGGAGAGTCGTCCTCGTCATCGCCTTTAGCCTCGGCGACAGCTTGCATATCAGCGCCGACCGTCCCATTAAAACTTACAACGGAGTGGAGTCTGGTCAACGATCGACATCGACGTTCGCACCAGCTCCGCGATGCGGCTCTGGCTTGGGAGACCCCGCCTCTGAAGTCAGGGAAGGCAACCTTGCAGAAAACTCACCAACGACCGAGCCAACTGCAACTTGCGAGGGTGCGTGAAACGGTGGCGGGCCGCCGCTTCGACGACAATGCTGTCCTCGCTGTCGGAGGAAGTTGCGTTGTCCATCTCCTCCTTCCCTGTCAGCTATTGAAGGCAGCCAACTCACCTGATATCCTTCGACTCGAGCATCCTCCGACACCTCGAACCTCTCAGGGACGCTCTCAGAGAGAGCCTCTCGTGCTTGGGCGTAAGCGGCCCGAACGGCGGGGGATTTAGATAGGGATGGCCTCATGCAGTCTATTGTGAGTAGCAGATGGATGTGGAGGAGAGGATGCGTGTTGAGCAACAACTGAGGGTCAAGGAGGAGAAATTGCGTGGCCAGGTGCTGGGCGCACATGATGGGAGTGACACACGGAAGAAGGTACCCCTGTGCGGCGATCCTCAGAACTGGCTTCGAGCGCAAGGGCGCAGGGCGCTAACCATGCTCCTCTTCTATGAGAAGAGGAGGGGCGCATGCTCGTGCGGTTCGACTTTCAGGAAAGCACGTCAACGGTTTCTGTCTCTTCTTTGTCTGTTAGTCTCGCACTTCACAATGAGTCTGAGCAGGTAAGTTTCCCGACACAGTCTCGGCGTCGTGATCGAGTGGCTCATAAAACAGTGCGTCGCAGAGGTTCAAGGACCTTCAGGACTTGATGGGCAGCCCTTCTCTCGAAGTCTTCCGTCTCTTCTGTCACCATACTAAACAACCTTCCCCGTTCCAGGATGCTGTCTGCGACGCTGTCGGAGGAGACCTAGAGGGTGTGGGTATCACCCCGCTCGAGGAGAACGAGGTGCCTCAGGCCTGTGTGTGAGTCCATACGTATACCTTGGCCTCTGCGCCGTACTCATCCAACAGGTTGTATCGGCACTTTCGCGAACAGAACGCTTCGTCGAGACCGGATTACGATTCGTGGCAGGGACGACGTCAGGGCTGGTTGATCATGGCTTCAGTTATTGATAAGCTGACGGCGGTACGTACATCTTCTGGAGCTACGGTGTGGAACAGCGATAATATGCTGACAATGACAGTATATCGGAGGCGGGATTGACGAAAGAGGAGTGTGGGGGCTAGCGGTCGCCGCACTGGACGTAGACTCATACGACTGGTACGAGGTCGAAAAGGCCTGGGACGAGTTCGAGGAGTTCGACGTACAGGCGATGGCATGTGTTGTACGATGGTCATTCGGTAAGTGGATTGGAAGACATAGGCTTCGGACTGACATCTTCAGCGGCAGGTCTGGGGATGCTCGAGCCAATTTACGATCCCAGTCGGGGCGTCTCTTTCAGGGTGGCAAACCAGCTTCCACATGAGGACGCGAGGTGGGAGAGCAGCGGCCATCCCTCCTCCATCTGCCGCATGATGGGGGAGTGGCTGAGTGTGCCGTGGAACTTGAACGACTTGAAGAACGGTGAGGGCGTGCTTCCCTTCGTCCCGGGCTATGACACGTCGATTGACGGCCATCTGGCGCTGCAGCGCTATCTGGACGAGGAGTGTCTTAAGACGGCAGTGAGGGACACGGCTGAGGTGCGTCTAAGGCTCATGCACAGTTCATTCGTATTAATTCCAGGCCATGTCCATTACACCCGATGAAGGATGCCGTCTGGCTCGCCTGTCTCCCTGGTTTTTCCAGTTCCATTCCCCTATCGGCACACCAGCGGAAGAGAAGATCCGTGATGACGGATACGAGTTCGTGAGCCGCGTTATCAACCATGTCAAAGAATCCACAGGGAGGATCTTCGGACCCACATCGTATGTATGGGACCGGGTGGTTCAGACCCTTGATCCTGCTGAGTCTGCGTTGGGCACCGGTGTTCATGGGAGCGCCCCGGAAGAAGTTTACTCTGCCCTCGAGATGTGAGTTGATAGGCTCTGATACCCGCTGATAAGAAGTCTGAAGGCTGGTGCCGAAGAAGGTGTTCCTCCAAGTCCCGCGGCCTTGGACGCAGCGGGACCGGAGGTCCCTATGAGGACGCTTCTGCGGCTGTACTACTGGGGAAGGGCGAAGAACGCCGCCCCCACCGACACCGCTCCCATCAGCGTCGCCGCCCACACCACCCCCGCCCACACCACTCCCACCCACGCCGCGCCCCTGATGTAGAAGTATCCGTTACACGACTTTGATGCACGTTGTGCCTGCCGTTCCAAATAGTGCAAGTCCACGCTTTGTACAAATATTAAGTAGAGACTTACATGCACGTAGAACAAGTGCTTAATAGAACAAGAAACATGCATATGCATGAGTTATTTGAAGTTGCGGCGAGGTTGCATGTTCACCGCGGTCTCGTTTCGTAGCGCCACACACACGTTTGAATCCACCTGTGAGCCGAGTTTAGGCACGACGGACAACAACGGTATAGCTCACGGAGTACAACCTAGATCGAGAACGGGATTAGTACCCCGCACAAATCCGGCCATAGACCGATCACAATGCTTCAGCGCTTTTAAACCAACCTCCATTGTGAGACTTGCCTCGCATTCTGCAGACAAGGTCAAGTGACACTTCGACGCCACTCACCACCGCAATCTAAGCTCATCATCCCGTTGAACCTTTGCCTCCGCTCTGCAGCGAAAAAGGAAATGTACATCTTTTCATAAAGTTGAGCAACATACTGTCGGCCATCATTGTATTGATCACATGGTGCTGAGCGCATAGGTCCGGAGTTCGTGTATGCTTCGTGGACTGAGGGCACTGAGGACGACCGAGTCAGGAGATGTTACTTGGAAGCCTTGATCTTGCGCGCTGGGTCGCGTTTCTTGTTGTTCAACCCAGCCTTGCGAGTGGCCGGGGCGCGTTTTTTCTTCGGCTGGCTCGACGACGCCCCCGGGCCGCTGGGCCCGTCCGACTTTTGTGCTGTTCTGCTGCCTTCGAGTATTGGTCAGCTCAGAAGCGAAGCGGATCACGAACAACGTACCGTCCGGGAGACTGCGGCCGGGGTATGCGCGGGCATAGGCTGCGACAACGGCTGGTGCCCAGCGCGAAGCTTTGAGCGTTAGAGTCCCACCGAAGAGCGAACCATACTTCGGCTTCTTAGTCTGCTTGAGCTGGTAGTCAACGGTGCCCCTGACGCCGGACGACGGAGGGTCCCTTGTGAGATGGAAAAAGAGGAGGCAGCGCTGCTGGCAGTCTGCTCCGCTGGTGGTGGGCATGATTCGGAGCGTCATCTCGCGTAGAGTCGAGTCGTCCCTCAGCTTGGGCGAGGCTTTGATCCTCCCGACCAGGATGCGATCCCAGCTCTTGCGGCGCTTCCGCTCCATGCTAGTCATACGCTTGATGCCCTCCAGCAGGATCTCGGTCGCCTCGCTTGATTGGCAGAAAGGGAGAAGGATCCCCGTTTCCGGGATACGACATGTGCACCCTGGTAGCACCGCGATTGGGAGCCTGTTCTCCGCCTTCGCCCTGGAAACCTCTCTCTTAGCAGACCTGCGCCAGTAGATCAAGCCGCAGAGCAGCCGAAGACTCATGTGGCAAGCATTCGATTGATGCCGTTTCTCCTCGTCACGCAGGAGGAGTTGTTCTCGCGGCCATCCATTCAAGTCGGTCCACAGCCGGCCTCCGATCTTGAGGTCCTCAAGGTTCCCTTTGACGAGTTGCGGCTCGGGTCCGTTCAGCTTTATCTTGATTCCATATTTGTCCATACGGCGCTTCACCATGCCGCTGAAGACATACAGATCGGCGCAGTCGAGATTCAGGCGCAGTGCCTGATATGTGAAGTCACAGACCGACGCCGTGGACGTCGACAGTGAAGTTGGCGAGGGTGCAGAACGAACAAGCGAGCGGGACGTCACGATACTCGCGGGGGCAGAAGAAGCTGAAAGGATGAGTATGCTATAAATACGAGGGAGAACAGTAGTCGTACTGCGTGATCGCGAGGTAGGGCAAACTCACAAGCGGCGCCGCTGGTGGTGGGCACAGACTTAGACCACACGCGGGAGTTATGAGTGATCCGAGGTGGAGAGTCTTCGGTTGAGGTAGCGGGGTGCGTGCTGAGAACTGGCGGCGCGTGTGTTGTCGATGAGGTAGGGTAAGAGGAGAGAAGCGGAATCAACGCGCCGGCGTTCAGCCGGGGCGTACCGTTGACAGCCGTAACTGAAGGCGTCAGTATAATCTCGAATGGCAAGATACTGCACTATGACCGGAAACGCTGTTATAGTACCGTCCAGCCGGCCACGAGGAGGGGCACCAAGCTCTAAGCTAGCATATCCAATGACCATCGGAGCGAGCGTCGGCTCCCTTGAGAGTCCCTTGGGCATGCATTGCTTGGAGCTGATCGCCTCATCATCGTTCTCCTCCAACTTACCCTTGGTATCCTGGTGCTTAGACTCGAACGGGTCGCCGACAGGGAAGATGTCCTCGCCTGTCACAAGGCTTCGCTTGCGGCTCGATGTTGTGTATTTTGGCGAGCCTGACGAGTAAGTATGATTCAAAAAGTTGACGAGGCATGCCTGTGACAAACTCACCGATACCGGCGTTGGTCCCCGAGATGGGGTGCTTGAGTACGCTCGGGAGAGCTGATACAGCTCCTTCTGCGATACGCGCGCCAGAAACTGCAAACATCAGTAAAGTCCCCTGTCCAGGTCCGAAGGCTGCAGGTCACTGACCGAAGTTCGGCTGACCGCTGCTAGGGGAGAAAATGCCCTGGATTGAGGCGCGAGGGGAGCGAGCTGTTGGCTGTGCGTGTGGTGCAAAGGGCGGCTCGTTCTCGTCGAGCGCGATGGTACCTGATGACGTTAGCACAGTCTGCAAAGAAATGGTGTGGAGGGGAAGACATTAGACCGGGTGACCAGGTGCTGTGGCAAACTTACGGATCGGCGACCGGGGAGTCTGGGCGGCTCGAGGGGGCCCATTTGCGGCGACCCAGCTGGGGGCTGAGCTTGTCAGTGCTGTCCAGTAGGGCCGGTCCAGGTTGGATGGCCTAGTCCTGCGGCAAAACTCACCGGTGCGCGCTGCGGCGAGGGGCGACTTAGACGTAGAGCTCTCGTCGGTCGCTTAGCGTGTCAGTAATGTCCAGGAAAAGAAGCAGGTGCAAGATGTGTGTGTGGCGCGGAGAGACGGGCCGAGTGGACAAGTGCTGTGGTAAACTCACCCTTGCGTGCGCCGGTGATGGGCGCGAGGGTGGCGGACGAGGGGGCCGCCACGGGGTGGGGGTCGGCAGGTGCGGGCGCTGATCGCATCAGCTATGCTCAGGGGACAGACCAGGTAACTCACCGATCGCCTTGATTTTCTTGGCAGGAGGGGCGTCGGCGTCGTCGGCGGTTCCTGCCACGCGACGCTTGGCGCGCGACGACGCGCTGGTCTCTGAGAGTGTGAGTGATGTCCGATCATGGTACAGGTGTGTAGACGCGTGCTGCGGCAAGGTCACACACCGCAGTGCTGCGGCAAACTCACTAGTCAGGTCGATGGCTGTGACGGCCGACAGGCCGTCTGAAGCTGAGCGGCCAGAAGAGTTTGTGGTTGGCCCAGTGCTTGACATCACCGGGGTGTCTGGAGGTGTCAGTACAGTCAAGGACGAATGAATGCAAGGACAAGTGGATGCAGGGACGAGTGGATGCAGGGACGAGTGGATGCAGGGACGAGTGGATGCAAGACACCAGTCAACTTGGGTGCTCGGGTGCTGCAAAAACTCACTGTTCTTGGTGTGCGAGCGGGCGGCGGTGCTTGTTGATGCGGCTGAGGTGTCAGCACACTCCAGCAAACAAGGAGGTGAGATGGAGGACGGCTAGACACGCAGTGAAGGGAGGGAAGAGCAGGTCATGACGGTTACTCACCCCGAGGCTGCTGACGGGCGAACAGCTCGTCCAGCGAGAGCTGGCCGGGCTGCCTCTTCTTGCCCCTCGTCGCCGGCATGTTTAGAGCACCTGGGGGCATGAGTTAAGGAAAAAAAGAAGAGAAGAGAGGAGAGCGGCGAAAGATAAGGAAAACCCCTCAGCGCACGGGGCTCGACGCACAGACTGCTTGGTGCAGGTGATGACCCTGGATCAGCACAGTCATCTGACGCCACCGGACTCCGACGCGCCGAAGGAAGGTCATGTCGCAAGCATGCAAGTCTGCTCAGCTTCTCGTTCACGACCGGAGCACGAGGAGCTCACGATCCATGACCAAACCCTGGTCACTATGTCGGGCCCGCCACCGGTACCTTCCTTGCGCGTCCCTGTGTGTTGTGTGGTGTGGACAAGATGTGCAAACTGTTGGCTGACGGTGCTTACCAGAGACGGCGATTGTACTCTTGTCTCGTACTCCTACATGCAGCTTGTTCACGATGTCTTGTTGGACGCGGTGTCCATAGAACTTGCTTCACATCGATCTGGCCGTTACAAACATACAAACCCATTTTTGAGGCCGACCTAGGTGTCGAGCCTTCAGACTTCGATTCCTATCCTTTTTTCACTTTGCCGCGGCGACGACCTCCTTGATGTGCTCGAGCACGGATGGGTCCTCGAGAGACGACGTGTCACCCAAAGTGTCGAGCTCGCCCGTGGCGATCTTGCGCAGCAGACGGCGCATGATCTTGCCGGAGCGCGTCTTGGGCAGTCCAGAGACGACGTAGATCTGCAATGGTCAGCTCGTAAAATCATGCGCAGCTCGTGTGCTCGCGCAGCCAGATGGCCGCCGCTCGCGATCGAGTGTTCGACTCGCCTTTTTCGGACTCGCGAAAGGACCGATAACTTTGCGGACTTGAATGGTAAGTTCCTTGCAGAGCTGATCGACGGGGTCGTTGCTGTCGAAAGCGCCCTTCATGACGACGTAGGCAATGACGGCCTGGCCGGTGAGCTCGTCGGGAACACCGATCACGGCCGCCTCGCTGACACCGCTGTGCAGGATCAGAGCGCTCTCGACCTCAGCCGTCGACAGGCGGTGACCTGGTGTCAGCGTAACGCTCCTTCTGCCACGAAAAAATGGTGCCACACTTACCAGAGCAGTTGATCACATCATCAACGCGACCCTTGATCCAGTAATAGCCGTCCTCGTCCTTGCCTGCAGAAATTAGCGAATGTCAAACGAATGATACATAACCGCTGAGTCCCCAAAGAAGAAGTAGCCCGGGTAGGGACGCATGTACGTGTCGAGGTAGCGCTTGTGGTCCTTGTAGACGGTACGGGCGATAGAAGGCCAGGGCTTCTTGGCGGCGAGGACACCCTCGATATCCTCACCCTTCTTCCAGGGCACCTCCTTGCCGGTGTTAGGGTCGAGGATAGTGAGGTCCATGCCAAAGAAGGGGAAGGTAGCCGAACCAGGCTTGGTGCTGGTGCAGCCAGGGAGGGGAGTGATGACGTGAGATCCGGTCTCGGTCATCCAGTAAGTGTCGACGATGGCACACTCCTTCTTGCCGGCAAAGTCGTTGTACCAGTGCCAGGCCTCGGGGTTGATGGGCTCACCGACCGAGCCGAGGACACGGAGCGAAGAGAGGTCGTAGTCCTTGACCCACTCCTCACCCATGCGACGGAGGAGACGGATGGCGGTGGGGGCGGTGTAAAGCTGGGTGGCCTTCCACTTGTCGACAAAGTCCCAGTAGCGCGAGGCGTTGGGGTAGACGGGGGTCGACTCGAAGACAGTGGTAGTGGCACCGAGGGCGAGGGGACCGTAGACGATGTAGGTGTGGCCGGTGATCCATCCGACATCGGCCATGCACGCGAAGCGGTCACCCTCGTGGACGTCGAAGACGTACTTGACGGTCAGGTAGGCACCAAGGAGGTAACCAGCAGTGGAGTGGACGACACCCTTGGGCTTGCCGGTCGAGCCAGAGGTGTAGAGAATGAAGAGGGGGTCCTCGGCGTTCATGTGCTCGGCAGGCGAGTAGGCGGGGACCTTGGCGACCTCCTCGTCCCAGTACTTGTCACGGCCCTCGGTCATGGGGACCTTGTTGCCGGTGCGGCGGAGGACGAGAACGTGCTCAACGAGGGGGCACTCGGCAAGAGCGGCGTCGACGATGGCCTTGGTAGCGATCGACTTACCACCACGACGACCCTCGTCGGTGGTGATGAGGACCTTGCACTCGCAGTCCTGGACACGGTCACGGAGCGACTCGGCGGAGAAACCGGCGAAGACGGCAGAGTGGACGGCACCGATACGCGCGCACGCGAGGAACGCGGCAACGGCCTGCCAGGTCATGGGAAGGTAGACGGAGACGGCATCGCCCTTCTTGACACCGTACTCGCGGAGAACGTTGGCGAGACGGCAGGTCTCGTTGAAGAGCTCGCGGTAGGTGATCTCACGGGCGTCCGAGGGCTCGTCGGCCTCGTAGATGATAGCCGTCTTGTCGGGGTTGGCGTAGTAGTGACGGTCGAGACAGTTGTAGGCGGCGTTGAGGGTACCCTCGGGGCTGTAAACGGTTAGCGACTCGGCGTACGTCACGCTGTGAAACACATCATGTGATGCCACCAATGCACCAGAGTGACTAGCCCACGCACACAGCCATCACACCGATCCGCAGAGACCCTTCATCTGTGTAAGACTGCCAGGGGAGACTGCCGGATCGTCTGTCCGCGGACACGGACGAGATCACGGACGCCCACACCTCCACGCTGGATCTGACGACCACAACGGGCGGGCTGCGCTTACCGCGTACGGCCCCAAAAGTGTGGGAGCCGTCGTGGAAGTTCGCGCGATCGCTGGCAGCATGCACAGCGCACCCAGAAGTGGGCCGATGACACTGGAGGGAGGTCTGCTACTGGCTATCTATCTCAGGAGAGCGCGCATGGCGAGGTGCGGTAGTGCGAGGGGGTATTTCATGGGGCAGTCGGTGATTTGTCGGTGACGCAGATGTGGGGCGGAAAAGAGGCTAATACTCACAACCACTGGATGTCGCCCTCCTCGAAGCCGCCGGCACGGACGGTCTTGAAGTCGGAGAACCACGAGAGCGACTCGCGGGCCTTCTCAGCCCACCACTTGTCGCTGTCGGGGCCGATGGACTTCTCGTACTCGGTCTTGTAGGCGTTGAAGTCGGGGCCGAGCCAAGGCTTAGGACGGCCGTCCTTGCCCTGGACACGGGAGGGAGGGGGGTAGACCTTGCGGTGGTCGGGGCCGTCGGCAAGCTCGGCGTGGTGCTTCTCCTCGGTCGTCATGATGTCTGGATGGGTATGGGGAAAGGAGGGGACGGGGTCGGAAGGGGCGCGAGGGTTATATATCACGGGTGCAGCTGTGTGAGCGGCAGAGCGGGCTCGGTAGCTGGGTGTGCGGATGCTCAGCGAGTAGCAGGAGGTGAGATGCAATGACGGTCAATTTAGCCTTAGGCGATTGTCCGGGGGCACGAGAGCAGAGGAACGTCTGTCTCGCCGGCTAGCTCCTGCATTTCCTGGGTCGTCCTGGGATCTCTCCTGGGACGAGGGCCGAGGGCGCGGGTCAAGAGGACAGACGTCGGAGGCGCAGGGACGGGGCAGCTGTCACCTGGCACGGCTTTGCGCCTGCTCGCTGGGATGCTGGTATCCTTGGACTGAGGTCTGGAGCCTGGTCGCGCGCTGATCAGGACGATGTACACGGAAACCGAGCGCCAGGTCACAGGACGCTGGGCGGGCGGTGGACGGGCGAGGCGAGACGAGGCCAGGAGAGCGGGGGACGGCAGCAAGCGGCAGGCGACAGGGCAGGCGGTCCGAGGCAGAGTGCTGACCAAGGAGTGTGGTGGTCGCTTGGTGGCTCTGTCTACCGTGCCGTTGAGCCGTCGCGATCAATCGACCATAGAGAGGACGTATGATGGCCCCAGGCACAGGTATGCAGTGACGCTGATTCGTTATCGCGCCCTGGGGCCGGCCTCCCAACCCCAGCAAACCCCAGCAATACTGGCATGCCAGCTGACACCTGACGCATGACGCCTACGCCTGACGCCTGACGCAGTCTCTCTTTCACTGCCCTATCAGGCAAGAACCTCTCACAACTGGCCGACCGGTAAGGGTCGTTACCGGCTAAGCCTCGTCTAATACGCACCGCCCGCCAAAGTGGCCCTTCTTCCCTGGAACTGCAGACGCCCCGAACACCTGTTCTCCTCTCTGTGCCTACTGCCGCCAACCCGCCAGCCAGCCAAACCTGCCAACCGTGCAGTCGTGGCCACAATATCCCCCACCTGCATCTACCAGTCTGCCGAGCACCAAGCTCGCCCGCTGCCCGCCAGCCCGCAGCCAGCAACTCGAGCTAGTTGCCCAGCTGCCAGATGCCCCGACGGACTTACTCCGGTATTTACCCTGATATCATCGATTATTACAACTAGCTTTGACGATGATGACAGTTCCCAGAATGCCATATACCAGATCTACCGCTATTCCTCCGCTCTTCCATCAGCGAACGTCGTCGACTGCGACGGCCTCACCGGTCCAAGTCGTCCCCGGAACAAGGCGCCGCCATGCTACCTCCACCACCCTCCGGACCATCAATCCATCTGTCCATCCATCCCACCACACCAACCTCAACGGCGTATTATCCTCTGGAATTCACCGAAGACTACTAACTAATCGGTCACGGCAGTGTCAGGTCCACGCGTACCTTGCCCCCCGTCCTGAATTGAATTCTAGCCCTCTCTGCCCCCCTCTGCCCCGCTCTTGACCCCAACATCGCGTCTGTTTTCCGCTGCGGGGCACAGGGGGCCCTCTCACCCACCCTCGTTTGTGCGTTGAGACATCACCCCTGTCATCACCATCCGCTGCGCGCGCCGTTACATCGCTTGCAGTCTATAACGGCCATGCCAAGCCTTTCGCCATCGTTAAAGTGGACTCGGGTACCCCGCCCAATTCTAGGCGTGGCGTCTTACCAATCACGAGTCGCCCCTCACGCCGTCCATGTGGGGGTGGCAGCGGTCAGCACTCTGATGGTCTTCCCTCTGCACTTTCACGTATCCGTATGTCGCACCCGAACAAACCCGTGGACTGGGCAAGTTCGATTCCTGCTCGATACCGCATTCCTCTAGCTACCCCGCAAACAGGCTCCTGCCGCAGATTTAATGTCTACACAAACCTTGGTTCACTCTAGACTCCTAGACTGTGCTTCAAGGTTACGTGCTGAAGTGGTCTGGATTGCTGGGCCGTGCAGACAGGCACACGTCTGTGCCATGTCGTTCCCGGACGTGCCGAGCGGGCGTTCAGTCCGCTAAACGCCAAGAGGGTTCCTGTGAAATTCATCAGCTGTTACCATGTTGTGATCGTCCTTCGTCGGCTTGTCGGACGAGAACAAGTGCATGCAGGAGCGGCAGTTGACGACGAGCACGGCCAGAGCCGCGCCGAAACATTCTGGCTACCAGGGTGGGGGTGCAGCTAGGAACAAGTGGGGGTTTGGGGCACCAGCCAGAGTGCGTGACCCCACACGCGGGCGCAGGGCCGCAGACGACTTGCGAGTTCCAACTCCTGGGATCCAGGGGATCGGGAACGAAAGTCGGCTTCGTCTAAATCTCTCGTCGCTTATCCGTGTAATCTGCTTCCGACCGACTCCAATGGCCGGTCCGGCGTTGTTGCACTTCGAGACGTTAAAGAAAGTCAAGCGCCAGATGGCCATGTGGATGCACACCCCTCACCCCCATGCGTTCTTCCTCCTTCTGAATCTCACTCAACCTCTCCAACCTATCTTTGTGGTCGTGCAGATAGCGAGCTCCGTCGATCGACTCACCCGTTCAGGCGAGGGCAAATGCGTTCTCCTTCCAGTCGGACCACGGCGAAATTTCAGTTGTTCCTTGCGATCGCGTGGTCGCGGTGGTTGCGGCTGCGGCGTCGATCATCGCACACTCGTCACTGACATACGTTCCTGCGCACCCTGGCAGGTCGAACGCCGCCATGCATGACCGGCAAAGCTTAAACCGCTGGCACAGACCTACCATGGGTCGGCGTAGCCGGTGGAGGCCGGTGGAGGCGAACCCAGTGTCGGAGATTCGGCGTCTTTATGACCTCACCATATCGTGAGCATCACCTGCAGCGAGAAAGCCCGTTTTCGAATCATGATAAGGGGGAACCGCTGAAGGTGAGACGTATTTTCGAATCACGGGACTTCGTTAGCCAGCGGCCTCTACCACTGTGACGCTCATTCGTTGATGGCTATCCATGGAGGGTCGTTAGTATAGTCGGTCCGCCTGATCGCCAGCATGGCTCAACTTCGCCGGTATGGCTCCATTAGGCCCACGGTAGCGAGCAAATGTCCGATGGCGAACTACGTCTGTGCGCGATCCCGAAATCCGTCCTTCCTGTCGAAGCTGGAACGGTGTACGATGGCCGTGCCACATACTGAGGTACTCACCTTCGAGCGCACAGTGCCCACGATGTCGTCTCCCTTGCAGTTCCAGCGTTGGTCTGCTTCACAGCAACGTTAGCTTCGACTGCAATTGCAACGTGATCTATCGCCTGCGTCTCTGCAATGTCAACACGCTTCACGATGGTGACTCTTGGATTCCATACTCGCCTTCAATCCAGTGCGGAGCAGTTGTGACGCAAGGACCACCGACAATGTCTGCCGACGATCGACCTCCACCGACATCCGCTACCCGGCGACCAGTAGTGGCAAGCTCGTCTGGCGACCGACACTCCGACATTCAGACGCCTGTCATGTTCACGCCTCGGTAACCTCGCGCCTGACATCTTAGGCGGCGGGATGCCCGGAGTGCGGAGAGCATAGGCGTGGCGGCTGTGATGTCGGTGGGCTTCCTCGGCGGACATGGGTTGAGGACGGGCGAGGTGGAGGTCGACGAGGGAAGGCCAAGTGTCGGTGCGGCTTGAGGAAGGCGATCGGGCATGACGTCGCAGGTGTTTACTCACATGATCTGACAGCGATCTCCACGCCGTCTCTGCTCATCTCCGCACATATGATGCCATATGCCGGCGGAGTCAGCATCGCCCGTGGTGTCTTCCTCGACTTCCCCCCCTGGCTGGACGGGTACTCACAAACAGCTGGCTTGTTGAGGAAACCTCCCCACGAACGCGATGCTAGGACGGGCTTCAATGAAAAAGGCTGCTGGGCGTGTGCCATGCCTGTCAATGTTGAGGACGAGGAAGACCAATTTGTGGGACAGCTCACCTTCAGCAGAACGTACGACGCGCTGGGGGACCGCATCGATACACGACGAGTGCTGGAACCAGCGCAGGCTTTGGAGCAGCTCTTTGGGGCCCGATGGGAGATGTCCAACCAGAGTGCAGTTGTGGAATCGACGGGAAAGGTCAAATGGTAGAGAGAACGGCGTCGATGTTGAGGAGTGAAGGAAGGCTGTGCGATGGCGAACACACAAGACCTCGAAATCCGAATGAGGAGGACGGGGAAGACACACCTCAGCCCACTAAGGTCTCAGACACCACGTGGTCGGTGCGATCGGTGCGCCCTTCGAGGTCTCTGACGACGAACGACATCGCACTCGCTTATGCTCATCCGCAGTAGCTCCTCATCCAAGTACTTGCACTCGTCGCTGACGCTTGACTGCAGATGATGGGCCCTACCGAGTCTCCCCAGACTCTTTTCGAGGTACTGCACGGCTTCTGATATCATCTGTCCGACGTCTGGAGTATTTCGGGGCACCCGCGCTGTCACTATCGGCCCCTCCACTCCAGGCACACTCGGCTCCTCATAACTCACCGCCATCGATCGCACAATCACGAGAGAACAATAGCATCAACAACGCATGTGACTGCCCCAGTTCTCCTCTACATAAGGTGAGGTGGTGATGCTTGATGCCAGAGGCATGCGTCATTCGCCACTGGAATTACCACGGCAACCCTGCATCAGACCCCATCACTCTCGACCACGGACCGTGATCTTTCACGATGCTCAGGAACCATCCAGTAGTGAGCTATGAGGCCCTCTACGATAGCTGACGACAGACTTTTAACCTCCTCGACAAGCTTCCCGGACGCAGATCCTCTCTCCCGGATGCGCCGGATTCGGGCGGCGAAGCTGCCAGCCCGCGGAAGTCTCTGACCACGATTGAGGAAGAGAAGGCCGCCGAGGCCCAGCGCAAGAGTGAGGAGAAGCGGAAGAGCGAAGAGCAGAAGGCAGAGGAGAGGGGTAGGCAGGAGCTTGGTTTGCCTGAGGGCTCCAGTCTGCCGATTCTCGACGCCGAGAGGAAGAACAGGCTTTCCTTGAGCTGTGAGTGCTGACCGAGAGTGCAAGGACTGCGCTGACTGACAGCTCTCAAGAGTGTGGGCAAGAACATATTCAAGAAGTAATGCGATGCAGCAGGTGCGCAGGAGAGCCGAATACGCGGTGCATCGCCGCGGCAAGCAGCTGACTCGGAGGCGCGCATGAGCAGGTCAGTCCAGGCAGGGACAGAGCAACCCGACCTCGCAGGCGAGCGACGACCTTTGTTCTGTCAATCCGGAGGTGAATGTGCATCGTGGAGAATCTACAATGTAAGGTTGTGCACACGCCCCGGGTACTCAGCGACTGGAGAAAGAGGTATTTACAGAGTCACCGGGGTTGCGACGTGTACTCTGGCGCAAGGCTGGCGTGAGCTCAACCATCAAAGCGTCACAGCTTACTGAGGGAAAGTGGAGGCCGCGGCCAATCTTGCGTGCGGCGTACACAGCATGCACAGCAAGATGGCGGGTCGGAGGCATGGACTGCACGCCGTTAGATCATGGCAATCTGCTGTTTAACTTACCCTATGGTGGCCGGCCAAGCGCCACCACTGACTGCCGAGTCTTCGAAAGGCGCTAATCGGCCTTGGCGTCAACTCCGCCGCTTGCCTGGCTGGAAGTCTCGCCGGCAGACTTGGCAGTGTCCTTGTTGATGACGGCGTTGTCAGGCTTGCTGGCTTCGGCCTTGTTGTTACCCTCGTCCTTCTTGCCCTTGCTGACCTTGCGCCAGCCGTCCGTGAGGTATTCGGTGCGACCGTCCTCGGTAGTGATCACCCTGACCTCTTTGCCAGCGCCATTTGCTGATGGTTCCGTCTTCGTGTTGGTAGGTGATCACCGCGGGCACTTCGCAGCGCTCGAATCCCTCGAAGTTGTTGAACCACGGGTCGTCCTCCAGTGCCTATTGCGTTAGCGCGACAGCCACGACAGGTAGGCGAATCACCTTGAGGACCACCGCCGGGTCGACATGAAAGCGCTCGACGTGGGGGATGTGACCAAGAAGCTCGTGGCGCACATAGTGGCGCAGCGCTTCATACTCAGCGTCATCCTCACCGGTCTCGGAGGCCTTAGGCGAGCGGGGACGGGTGTTGGGCATGATGATGTCGAGGGGGAGGTGTCGTTGAGGGAGAGTAAGAGACAGGAGGTTGAGTATGGTTGACAAAGCTCGAGACCACACTCTCGACAGTCAGCTGCGCCCCTCAGTCGGCAGCAGAAGAGCGGGGGGCGCAGGCTGAGGCTGCCGGAGGAACATTACGCAGTCAAGCCCACACCCAAGGGGGATCGTCGCTTCGCAAAGGACCCTCTCGCGTGTACTGCACCCACCATGCACCATGACGGCCATGACCTTGACGCCAACGTATCGTTTTAGCCTCTGCTATTTCTTCTCGCCACCTCAAGATCGATAGTCCGCATCCCTCCAAGACTCTTACAGTCGGGCAGCCACCATGAGTTCTTCCCCGACGCAGAAGGCCGCGACGCCCCAGAGTGTAAGCTGCTATCCAACTATAACTGTACCTAACTGCAGCCTCCTAGCCCGAACACCGAGGAGGCAACGCCCAAGGCCCAGCAAGCAGACAACGGCGAGTCCGACTCTGACTCATCTGATAGCTGGCGTCTTCGCGACAAAGTCGACGCACGCAAAGACAAAGCTACGAAACCCCAATGGGTCGACCCAGATCTGGAAGAATTCGCTCTCATGCTCATTGTGCGTACGACCGCTGTCATCAGCTAATGTTAGGGGGACTTCCCCAGCAAAGAACAAATCAGAGCAGAAACCGCTATGACGATGAAGCTGCTAGCCGAAGCTGAAGCTCAAGCCCAGATTCCTCCGCCTGAAGACAAGCTTTCAGATGCTGAACAGCTCTCGACGCGCGAGGCTTCCTACATCCTGGCCGTGTTCGACGAGCTGTACACTAGAGGCAACCTTCTCCTCCCACCTGTCGAGGACAGGGAGGGCTGGAACCTCCTCCTGCAACCCCTTTTGCCCGTCGCTCGCCCCAACAGCGATAGCTTCAATCTCGGTCCGAAGGCTACCAGAGCCCTTCTTCAACGCGAAGTGTGGCAGTCACTCAACGTCAAGACTCCCAACCTTCCTGCGAAGCTGCCCTGGCCGGTCAAGGGAGTGACCCAACCGTGGTCGTGGGAGCATGCGCTCACAGGAGTTAGGCTTCCTTCTCCCTTCGCCACGAGGACACCCATCCATCTCCTAGACGATGTCATTGAGACCATCAAGGACGCAGTCAGCGCGGTGCCCCCAACCAAGGAAGGTAAGTTCGCCTCGTGAGCAGCCCCAGTTAACTGATGAACAGACTCTCCCCGTCGCGCGTCAGAGGTTGAGGCAGAACTTTGCGCTCACCCCAGCGTGGGCGAAGCTGTCGTTGTGGCTGAGGGTCCTCAGGCCGTCTACGCCTTCATCACTCCCGCCACCGACACCACCGCCGCAGACGCTATTTCCGTCGCCGAACTCGAGAAGGCTCTCAGCAAGTACACGAGTGCTACCGAGCAGAAGGTTGTCGTTCTCGAGACCTTCCCCGAGCTGCCCGTCGAGCTCTCCCCGCGCCGTGCTCTGCGCAGGGCTCTCGCCAAGCGTGCTGGCAAGGAGGACATCCAGAACATGGCGACCAAGGGCCACTTCTCCAAGTCCATGGAAGAAGGAAAGGAGGGCCACGATGCTGCAGTCGAGGCGCTCGCCGAGAAACTGGCGGCCGCCTTGGATTAGTAAACAGTGCGACGTCGCATCAAACTCCTGTGAAGAACCCGGCACCGATCACTGTAAAGGCATCATGACCAGTCATCAGGCACTGTTAGTAGCGAGCTGTCACGGCTGGATGCAAACTTCATGTGCAGTCAAGGGACCAAGGGATGCGTCTATTTCACGTCACCACTCGGCGGCCAGCTGAACGGAGCTGTAATCCATGTCATCAGCCAGTGAGCTGTGGAAGCGGTTGACGAAGACTGACGAGGCTGCGCCCTCCAACCCCCCCATACGCCTTCCGATGCCCAACTGGGTGTCGTGGCAAGAACCTGCCATGCTGGGCCAGGCTGGGGCGCTAAGGCCAGGCCGTCAGAGAGAACCGAGCAATGCGCCTCGCGGAGCCAGAATGACGAGCGCCGATCTTCAGCTCACACTGCAGGGGTCGAAGGAAGCTTCCTTCCCTCCACGCTCTCAACGCTTGAGGTCAGTGTACGCCAGTGTCTCCATTGCTACTCATCTTTTGCAAGTCCGCCGCATCACAGCACACTCCAGCTGTGAGTGGCCCCCCGTCCATGAGCACTACCGAGTCCAGAGCAAGAAGCAGCCAGCTGAAGCCAGCCGTCTCTCACCCCGGGAGACGACGAAGCACACCAGAACTTCGGCTCGGCCAATCGCTGTCATTCCAAGTCCCGCCACAACCATCCAAACGAAGATGAGAGGTGCGACGTCCCCCACGGAGTCGAATCGGAGGAAGGCGTGGTGTACCGCTCCAATCCCGCCTTGCTGGCCTTCGGCCGGCGGCTAGTTGTGAGGTATGCCAGTGTTGCGGACCTGACAAGAGACCCATCGCACAGATCCCGCCAAGGTCCAGGCCGATACTTAGAGGGCCGAGGGAGCAGCCCCCGCCTGTGGGTCCCGCCCGAGGAGGACAGCGTGTCCGACGCTGACAAGCTGTCAGCCCGTGAAGCGGCCCTTCTTCTGACTGTTGAGTTCTTCGCCCCTGCCCATTCTCCGTTTACCCCGCAAACAGGGAGGAGTGGGACAGTCCTTCTCGCCCCAGCCGGCTTCGTCATTCGCCCCCACGGTAAGCCTGAAGATGGCTTCCCTCTGGGCCCTAAGGCCGTCCGCGCTATCCACGAGCGCGAGGTGTGGCGGTCACTCGCCATCGAGACGCCCAACATTCCCGAGACGCTGACGTTCAAGCCCGGAGGCGTGACGCATCCGTTCTCTGTTCAGCACGCGAATCGCACCTTGCGCAGACTGCCGTCGCTCTTCGCGCAGACGCCCACGCACCTCCTGCAGGACACAGTCGAGGCCGTTGCGGAATCGGCGACCGCTGTCCTCCTCTCCAGAGGAAGTGAGTACAAGCTACCCATTCCCCAAGCATAAGCTGACATGCAGACATTTCCACTCGTGCGTCGTCGGTCGAGGAAGGGCTTCGAGCCAGGCCTGGTGTCGGCGAGGCTGTCGTCATCGCCGTCCCCTATGCGGACGGGCAGGCCGTGTTCGCTTTCGTCAGTCGACCAAGGGTAGCGACGCCATTTCGACCACTGCACTCGTGGACGAGCTCAAGCCCGTTCTTGAGCAGTGATCGGAAGCGACTGTGGAGGTGGTCGTCCTCGACTCCATGCCCCAGTCCCACGAAGGCTAGTCTGTCCGTAGCCAGTTCCGCAAGAACATCAAGAAGATCGGCTACCACAGGCCGACAGTCGATTATGAGGAGCGTCTTGGCAAGCAGATCAAAGAGGCGCTAGGCTCGTACAGCACCCTTGGTGGACGAGCTGAGTCGATTGAGGTGTCAAGAAACGTTCCAGTTGTGCAGCATATGCAGACGTTCACCTGTGTGTATCAGTGCTGCGACTTCGTCACTTGCTGGGGTCAAGAACCACTCACCATACTACTGACCTCGGGTACAAGGCGTGATGAGTGTAACACGAACACATGCCGACGAGTGTTCGCCGATACACAAGCAACGCCGAGACCGCCGAGAACCTCCTGTGCTATTTTCCGCCGTACCTTCATTAACACGAATCTAGGCGCCGTACTCCACCGTGACTAGGCACCGAGAATAGCAACTGTAAAACTTCATCGTGTATTTCAGCGGTACTACCGCCGCTATCGTGAGCTAAGTCGCGGCGTTCGCGACGCTATCGACGCGGCGCAGTCCCCGGAAGATGATCACACCATTGCTGAATCAGTCGCTCCTCTGGCCGCAGCTTCGAGCGCCGATGCCTGTGCTCCGAGGGCTTGGTCACATGTGCTGCCTGTGGAGATGGAGATGTGACACCCGCGGCGTGCACTCGCTTCATTGATCAGCCGTGTCGGGCCTCGGTGGTCGTCGGCTGCGCCGCTGCTTCTCATGCTAGGGCTATGAAGACGCTCCACTGGCGGTCCTGCTCGCCTATCTCGATAGCCTGATCAGCGCCAAGCGACCCAACCGACGTTAGTACCGGCGGTCTCCTACATCCTCGAAGACTCTGCGTTCTCCGATACCCATTGGGGTAGATCACAGAAACGTGCTTGCTGAGACGGAACTCGTCCGATGTCAACACTTCATGGGGCAGAGTAACGCTTCGTCAGCGGTGTGCTGTGCATCTCATTGGTGATCAGCGATTGCCAGTTACGGACCTGGCCGATTGCCTCTCTTCGGCCATGATACACAAGGACGGGACAGAGGGGAGTCGACGGCTGTACACCCGCCGCGCGCTGCGAGATTCGATACCGATCGAAGTGCATACCTCTCTCTGTTCATTTGGGTGGCGAGCGGAGCATGATTGGCCGGTGGAGTGGGACAGGCTAAGATACGGGTGGGGCTGTGCAGATTCAGCAGCGGTCGAGATACGGCTCAACGGTGTCCACGGGACCTGTCATGGCCGGCTCATATAGATGATGGAGCGGGTCAAGAGGACATGCGCGTCGCACGCGTTAGAGGAACTCAGTAATGCATGAGAAAGGAGTGGTCGTGTGAGCAGCCTGGCACGTGGTGCAGAAGAGGCGGATGAAGACGGGGGCTATGACGAAATGGGTCTGCCAGGGCACAGTCTGGCACGGCGCCCTGGGTGGCAACGGGACACCACACGGTGGGCCCAACCAGCAACCGAGACCACATGGCATGCTGGACCGCCCGACAGCCGTACACCGATCTCCCTGACTTTGCCTTGGCTACTCCTTGCCGTTGTTGCTTGCTCCGACAACCACCTCGACTTTCCTCTTCCTCCATCCAATCCTGTCACTTTGCATCCCACCACCTCGCCACTCTGCCCATCATTCCGCCCAGACAAGCCCCGCACACCGCCCCGCACACGCCCGCCGCCATCTGACAGCCTCCCCCGCGACTTCATCGGCGTTCGGTGGCGACTTCAGACATGGCCTCTCCCCCTCCCCCGGCCAGGGGACGCCGACCACAGCGGCCGGGCCGACTGCTCGCCGCCGTCGCTGTCGGCGCAACTCTCCTACTGACAGTGTCTCTCTCACGATCACACGATGAGCGCGTTGCACGCCTCGCAAAGCGCTTTGTCGAGGACACGATGGACGAGAAGGATGTCGGCACTCTGTTCGGGATCGACTACGACGAGCTGTACGCGCAGACACCACCGGCGCTGCGGCCGGTCTTCGTCGTCTTCCTCTGCCTCATCTTACTGTTACTGTTCTGCAGTATCTCGATAACGGCGAGCGACTTCTTCTGTCCGAACCTGGCCACGATCGCAGCCTACCTCGGTTTGAGCGAGACGACGGCGGGCGTGACCCTGCTCGCGTTCGGCAATGGGTCGCCCGATGTCTTCTCCACCTTCGCCTCGGTCAAGAGCGGCACGTTTGGCCTGGCCATCGGCGAGCTCATTGGCGCCGCGAGCTTCATCACGTCCATCGTCGTCGGCAGCATCGCCCTCGTGCAGCCGTTCCAAGTCCCGCGGCACGCCTTTGTCCGCGACAGCCTGTTCTTCATCTGCGCCGTTATTCTGTTGATGGTTGTGCTCGCAGACGGAAAGCTGACGTTGCGCGAGAGTGGCTCCATGGTCCTGCTCTATGTCGTCTACGTCGCTGTCGTCGTCATGGGCAACTGGTACCTGTCGCGCAAGCGCCGGGAGATGGACTACGCCGAGCTCGGCTGGAAGCGTCCCGACGAGGAGGAGCAAGTCGAGAACATCGACGCCGATCCGCAGCTTGTTCCGCAGCAGGTGCCTCCGTCTGCCATGTCCTCGCGCCGCGGGAGCGCAAGCCGACGCGACGACGGTGATGACGTCGAGGACACGCCAGCGCGCGCCAACTTTTCGCTCCTCGGCGCCGTCGAGTTCCGCGACGTCGTCAACTCCCTCCGCCGCGAGATGAACACGCCGACTGGATCGCCCCTGTCGTCCCGCCCCAACTCGCCTATCAGTCCGTGGGAGGGCGAGGAGCCTAGTTACTTCCACCACCACCATCACCACAGGCACCGCCGCACGAGCGGCAGCCACGCTCTCGAGCAGACCCTCGTCCGCCGTGTCTCGGGTAGAAACCGCAGTGGGTCGCTCCACCCGAACTGGACGTCGCGCCGTGCTGGCTCCGGCGACGAGATCGCTGCCAGCGCTCCCGCCCCGGCCCTTCTCGATCCTGTCCCGGGATCGCCGAGCCAGCCCGAGTCCCTTCCCCTCTCGTCTCTTCAGCCCTCTGGTCCCACCAAGCGTCCCTCGAACCTCTCGCGTACCTCCCTTCCGGCGCTCAAGATCCCGGCTCGCAGCCCCGCTCTCCCCGCCGTCGACATCACGAGTCCCAGCGAGCCGAGCGATGGCGCGGCGAACAGCGGCGTCACAAGCGGCGACCCCAGCACCGGCCCCTCACCCCGGCTGGACGGAGGTGCGCAGTCGCCCATCCCGCGCCTCGACCTCGTCACACCCGAAGGCGAGACCGAGCCGATTCCGCTTACCAGGTCGACGACATTCGGCTCGATCGTCGAGGCGGGACGGGCCGCGAATGACTGGATGCGCGCCGTGCTGTGCATCCTGTTCCCGTCGCTGCAGCACTTCCGCGAGAAGTCGCTACTCGGCAAGGGATTGGCAATGCTCAGCACGCCAGCGATCTTCATGCTGACGATCACGCTACCGGTTGTGGACGACGGGCGCATGGATGAGGGCGGCATCGCTCTTCCGGATGAGGACGAACCGCTTCCTCGCCACGATGAGGAGGAGGAGGAGGAGCTCGAGCACCTCTACGAGCATGGTGTGGCTGTCTCCCTCGCGCATGTGAGGCATCACTCGCAGGCTCCCTCGGAGTGCCCGTCGGAGTGTGACAGCGAGTGCTCCGAGCCATCGCTCGTGCAGTTCACGCCCGCGCTCGCTGCGGCGCAGTGCATCTGCGGCCCGCTCGTTTGCGCCTACCTCGTCTTCCAAGAGGAGCCGTACCTCCCCTGGGTGCTCCTCGGCTGCGGACTGGCGGGCGGAGTCTGCGCCGTGATCACTTATACTTGCTCGACGGATGGACACACGCAGCCGTGGCGGCTGGTACGATGTGTCGCCGGTTTCGCGTGCAGCACAGTCTGGATTGCCTCTATCGCCGACGAGGTCGTCGCCGTGCTCCGCACCTTTGGCGAGATCTTCGGCCTTTCCGACGCCATCATCGGTCTCACCATCTTCGCGGTTGGCAACTCGCTCGCCGACCTCGTGGCCAACGTCACCATCGCGCAGTTCGCGCCGAACATGGCCTACGCGGCGTGCTTCGGCGGACCCATGCTGAACCTCCTCCTCGGTGTCGGAGGAAGCGGCAGCTACTGGATCCTCAGGAGTAGAGAGCACTCGCCCGTCCGCATCCACTTTAGCCCGACGTTGTGGGTCAGTGGTGTCGGCCTCATCGCCATCCTCGTCACGACGGCGGTCGTCGTACCCCTGAACAAGTACAGGATCGACAAGAAGTGGGCCGCAGTGCTTCTCGTCGCGTACGCGAGTCTCATGACGTTAAACGTCATCGTCGAGATCAAGACGGGCAAGTGAGCGGAGGAGCAGTTCCACATGGGAGGAGCATGTGCAGAGGCGCCGCAGTGGAGAGAAGCGAAGGGCAGTGTCTCGCTTCACGAAGAGACAACCCTCCATCATAGAGTTTCCGGTCTCCTGTTCTTTTGTCTTTCAGTAGTATACTCAGCAGCAAGCAATATCTCTCGCAGCGAGGTTTATACATGTAACATCTAGTAGCTTACGCCTGCATGTTCACGTCTTCATTCATTGCTCATACCGGTCTCAGAACAGAAACTTGGGAGGCTGGAGACAACCGTCCGACGGCCCCAGTACGATGGCTGGCGCATATTTCGCGGGGCCCGTCGAGGCTGTGCGTCGATCGCTTGGGTGGGTGGGTGGCCAATTACGTAACTACCTCCACGCGCCGCAAGCCGCACGCGTCACATTCGGGCACATGCGCGACTTCGATCCTCCAGCTCTTGGCAGCCTTCGACGCCATCATTCGCTGCGTCTTTCGCTCGTCAGACGTTCATTGTTGGCCCACTCTCGTCTCGCCCTCCACACACACAGTCGTTCGCATCGCCTTTAGTGTGCGGCATTATCTGTGTCCACTCAGACCATTTCCCGGACTCGTCTGACGTCAAGCCCAAGCTCGATCGCCGTGATCGACGCCTTCCCCGGACCCGGATTGTCTGACGCAGCGACTATAAACACCTTTGTTCCTCGACTCTCAAGTCTACAATCAACTCATTGAGCTCACCTTAGCTTCTCGTTTGCCACCATGTCTCGTCCTCGTCGTGATACGCTCTCCGTCGATGTGCCGCCCATCCCACTCGTCCCGACGGCTTCCCCGCCCCTGCCTCCGAGCGCCGCCTCGCCGATTTCGCCTTCCTCGCCTTCCCTCTCCCCGCTCAACCCTCCCTCGCCCATCATCACAGCCACGCCAGCTTCCGATGCGAACTGCGCCCCTTCTCCTCGCGGGCACTCGCGCACCGACTCGCTCGCCGCCAGTCTTGCGTCGCACGCGGCGAGCCACTCCCGCTCAACGTCGATGAGCTCGCTGCACTCCCGTTCCTCGCGCCCCGGCTCGATCTCGCTGCCGCCGACACCGACGCTGATCCCCGACGCGGCTGCTAGGGAGTTCGCGACGAACTCGCTCGCTCTGATCCTGCCGCACCCTTCCCTCTTCCTCCCCGAGGCCCTCGCCCTGCTCCGCAGGCACTTTGAGCGCTTCGGCGGTCTGACGCACTTTGCGCCGATCAGGGCCATGGGCCGCGTGATTCTCGTGTTCGACTCGGTCGACGCGGCCCGCAAGGTGAAGGACGCGGACGACTTCCTCAAGCTCGACGTCGACGCTACGCCGAACCCTGTCGAGGGTACTACGGACAGCGGAGGATACTTTGACCGCACCAAGAAGGGGTGAGTCCAGTCGAGGACTGCGATATCCAGATCTGCTGCCAGACTGCTATTAACAAGGGAAAGGGGAGCTGACCACAGGCTGACTCTCCGCCTGTACGCCTTGCCGCCGCAGAAACCCTCAGAGCCAGCGCACCTCCAAGTGCCGGAGCACGAGCGCAACTTCCTCATCAGCCCCCCTGGTTCTCCTCCGGAAGGCTGGGAGCCCATCACCGAGGAAGGACCCAATGCGACCCCGCTGGCTGACGATCTGCGCCGCGCTCTCGAGGCCCTGCAGTTTGCCGGCTCGGGACCTAATGTGATTCTGGATGAGGGAGGCGTCACGGTCAGTGTCGAGGACACTGACGCGGTCGAGAAGCCCCGCTGGGATGCGGAGAGGGAGTGGGGAGACGAGGAGCCCGAGGCGCCCCCGGGGATCTGGGACGCTCCTGGCCAGACGCCCGCGGGTAAGGTGCGTATCGTCCCCACTGCGATGCCGCCGAGGGAGTAGTTGTAGAACGAACATATGAAACGACACGATGTATAGATACGCATTAGATAGCCACTGACTTTGACAGACGACTGACTGCAAGGCCTTCAGCTTGTTGATGTGAAGCTTACCGGGTTTTGACTCATCGGTGCGCAGCTCGTTCCCTCGTGCTTCAGCGGCCTGCGGCGGAGGGCCAGCAGTGTTGGCTGTTGGTGCCCGCGGACTAATTGCTCTCCGTCGTGCTGTTCTCATCTGTAAGCTTCAAGCTGCGTTCATAGAAGCAGATTGATGTCTTGCGATTGACAGCTGTTGTCTGCAGATTGGACAAAGCCTGAGCATTGACATTTCTTGGTATCGGTTGCTGAGCTGGTGGCGGCCCTTATGACCGATTTGGACCATGCTGGTGGAAGTACAACAGGAGGGGTCACCATCTGCGCAACAACTAAATCTGGCACGCTGTCGGCTGCAGAAGTACAGAAGAGCACTGCTATCTGCTCGTATTCGGAGTACGGTCCGATTGCGGGCTAGCACGCACACTAGTGCACTAGTGAACGTCGTTGCAAGGGGCATGAGTGATGTGGTAAGTATCAAAGACGGCAAGCAAGCGTACGCCGAAAGTAGACCCGGTTGCAAGGACGGCGGTGGTCAGCTGCCCGGTGACCGCTGATTCCCAGCAACGCACCTCTGGATTCCAGAGGGTCGTATCACGGTAACAAGGTGAGCGACAGGCTTTATATGCTTCTCCTGGACCTGTATTCTGTCCCGCTTGCCCCGATCTAGGTCCGTAGTTAGGCTGCCCTAAGCATGATAAGCGGGCGTCGTTGTTGTCGTACATCCCATATCTCTCCGTTGGTCGTGTCGATCGCCGCCCTGTCGACGACAAGCAGCTGCATTCCGTAACTTTCTGCACTCGACTGGGCCAGGCCATGCATTAGCCCGTCTGCACGGACTGCAAGACTACGACCTCAGCCGCCAGCACCAAACATCAGCTGCAAAGTCAGCTGGAACGCCATTAGCACGTAAGCTTTGTCCATTCCTCGTCCGGGCCGCTGTCGTTCTCAGCTCGTGCCCATCATGTCCCTACGGTCCGGTCTCCTCCAAGTCTTCCAAGCCCACTCTGCTAGCTCCGCTCGCACTCTGTCGAGCCATGGGATGAACCGTGCTCAGGTGTTGAGCACGAGCCCGGCGGCGTGCCGGCGGAGGCGTACTCCCTGCGCAGCGAGCAACGGTCTACGGCCGGACAAGGGACGCCACCGGCTGGCGACGGCCTGGTGACCGGCTGGCGACTGGATAACGTTTGGATAGCGTTTGGCTGGCTCGTACAGCCCTCGGATGGCCGGCATTTCGGGCTCTCGGCGCTGAGCGATAACCTTAAAAGGCTAACTCAAACGGCTCAAACAACTCAGAGTGGTCAGAGGCGGCGTCAGGTTCTGGCGCACACCGGCGCCCCCGGTGCGCTCGGCGAGGGTGCGTTGGTGCGAACGCTGTTGCGACACCTGGATCGAGCATCATGCAACGGGCGTGCAGCGAGTCCTGTGCGTGTTCGGACGTGCATGCCTAGATCGCTGGATCGTGGCTGCACCTGGGCGGCCTGTCCATTGGGCACCGGGCACGTTTCACGGCCACTGATGCAGGATGATGCAGGATCTATCCGGGATCTTGCAGGACTGGACAGGACAAGCGTTATGCACTGATCCTAATGGATGGTGGCCAAGGTGGCCAAGGGCGAGGAGTAGCCAGGAGAGTGTCAGTGCAGCGCCGGCACCGGATCGCACCGCCTCCGCTCCTGCCTTTCTCGCACCGACGGACATTCCAAAGGGCGATCACTGTTCTATCTTTGCATTCTAGGTGTTTGAATAGGACTCGCAGGGAACAAAATAGAGGGGCTTGGCCTCCCTGGGCAGTGCAGCGCAACTCCTTGTCTGCAGCACTGCAGCAGGGGAGACGACACTGCAGCGTTTGGGCAGAACACCGCAGGAAGCACTGTTTACGTCACTCGCTTCTCTTGTCGCTATGGCATTTTTCGATTTTCGTGGTCGATTTTTGGGCTGGATCCCTAGCACGCTCGCCTGGCTCCTTTCTCCCTGTGCAGACCCCTGCTCACGCCCTGCGCCCTGCACTGCTGACCGAGGAGTGCAGGGCTGCTCGTGCGACCCTACTTTCGCAATATCCCAAACTTCCAGCTGCCAGCCTGTTGCTGTCGCACCCAACCTCGGCTCAACGACGGGCGAGACAGACTCACACTGAGCGTAGTAACCCACTACGTTAGCCATCAAGCATATTCTCAGGACCAGGTCGTACGCCGCTTCGAGCTGCGGTCGTCAGTCGCACTTTGCGGAGGCTCAGGACGGACGAACCTGGCGGCGCCCACTGTCCAGCAACGGCGATGTAGGCGCAGCGCAGGGTGAGCAGGGCTCGGCGTGCGCCCAGCGGTCATAGCGCTGTCACCGCCGAAATGGCCATTCTCGTAACCGTACCTCACCTCCGGAACTTGAAAGTCTGGGTCGCTACGCCCAGCTGCCCCCAACCGCGGCGGTGTTCCTGTCGCTCACCTGTGTCCCCTAGTCTATGCGACAGAAAACACTGGGAGACGTCCTGGCACCCCAACCTGGATGCATCCTGGGTGTGTCCTGGGCACGTCCTGGGCTCAGGAGTCAGGAGCCAAAGGCCACCCTTGGGCCAAGGGCTCCAGGCTCAACTCAGACAATCAGCGACATTGTTTTCGTCAGTGTTCCAGGCAGAACCAAGCGCAAGCCGCAGTGCTTCCGAGCGACAGCCTACCTGCCCACAGCAACGGTCCGTGACCTGCAGTGACCGCGAGCACGCCTGGGGACCTGGATATTCCAGATCTTTGCGCGCTCCAGCGATATATAGCAAGAAGCACAGGCAGACGTACCCCCTCCTTATCGCACCTCTTCATTGTATAGACTTCTACATTCGCAACAGACCTGCGTTCCGAGTCTCGCCTGATAACGGATTACTTCGACTCGACTGATACCGACCGACACACTCTCGTTCCCAACACTTCGCACCTGTCTAAGCTCTGAAATCGCAAACCACGCTCAGAGCTCGACCACACTTCTTCCCCTTCGATCACCTCCCACCGCTCACCATGTTCGCCTCCCTCCTCACTCTCTTCCTCTTCGCCCTCGCTCTTCCAGCTCACGCCGAGACGCTCCAGTGGGCCGGCGGCGGCAAGACTGGAGGTTACCTTGGCGTGCTCCACCACGGTATCCGTGGTGTCTCCAAGAATGGTGACACCGTCTGGATGTGAGTGTCCCACGCGCCCTCGCCTCGTGTTGGAGGCGCGGCAAGCACAGCCTGGCTCTCTAAGCTATATACTGACGATCAGGACTGGCGACTACAACCGCTACGTCAGCCGGTATGTCGCTCTTGACTGGACCATTGGCCGCGATGAGCCGGGCCAGATCAAGATGGACGGATACGGCAGTCTCTGCCTCGATGCTGGCGACAGTGAGTATTGCTTCTTCCTCATGAATACAACTAACAACCTCAGAGCCCAAAGCTGGCAAGTCACTGCAGGTGTGGGAGTGCAGCTCCTCCCGCGCGGCGGCGCAGACGTGGGTCTTTGCCGAGAACCAGCTGCGCCTGGGCGACACCCAGCTCTGCATCGAGGTGCAGGACGGCGAGAACACGAGCGGAGAGGCGCACGAGGGCAACATTCGCCTTGCCGAGTGCAGGAGCAGCCGCTTCGGCCAGTGGTGGCGCCTGAAGGACCCGTCACGCAGCTTCACTGTCCAGGGCCCGCTTTGGGTGTGAGTTGCCCGCGCAGTCCGCGGACGGCGCGGCGCCACCGGCGTGGCGTTCGGAGACCCTCGACGGAGGCCGGTGACGCAGCATGCTCGCACAGCATTCGAATATGGCGTCTACAGACCTCACTGCGCATCGCATAGAACATTGTCATGAGTCGTTGCTGCTTCGAACTCTTCGAACTTTTACGGCGACCCCGAAAACTCCAAAAGGACGATAGGGCCAGCTTATCTTACGCAGCCCGGCCAGGCTTTGCTGTTACGCAGGGCATAATTCATTCTATTCCTGTACATCTTGTTGTAATCATACCTTCACACCATGACATTGCATATCCCCACACTCGCTGCCTGCTCGCCAGGTCCCTGGCTACGCATGCAGAGTGAGAAGTCCCAGGAAGAGTCGAAAAGCGAGGCACAGCAGAGGGGTGCTAGATCGGAGTAAGGTAGACATGCATCTTTCGGGCCCGAGGGAGGGTGTACGACGATGGGAATGTGAGCCCAGCCAATGTGCCTGGTGTACCTGGCCGCGGACGAGATTGGGGCCGTCGCATCCCTGAGAGCAGACGAAATTCATGAGTCATGTCACGCGAGGAACGCGAGAATGGCATACGACAGTCGTTCACTGGCTTCGAGACCAGACTACTCCGACCAAGGCCTGGACGGCTTGGCGCATTCAGAGAGTTTAGGTTCCGGCTCCTTCTGGGTTTATTGAATGCGCCGAAAGCCGTTGAGATAAGCTTGAGCGATTGGGGGAATGGCGCACAATCTCGAGAAATTATGAAAATCTCTGGGCTGAATGGCACCGACAAAGTCTAGTTGAGCGAGCAGAGCTTCAGGCACTACGGTGGAGACTGGCAAGGCAGCCTCTTGACATGTTTGCTGTAGCGCGGGGGTTGTGGCAGGTGGCGACGGGATACAGGCGGAAGCCTTGAATTTGGCAGTCGGGCGTACAAGTTCCTCACACGATGAAGATAAGGCGCAAGTCGACCGAGCTTGCATGCTGGAAGCTTGGTTGCAGATGAGCAGGCTGTTCTTGTCGTACAATGATGAACAATCAAAAACCCCCGACCTCTGGAGATTGCCAGTGCGAACAATGCCACTGTCTCCTTTGTCCACCGCGCCGCACCGCCACATGCTGTCAACAGGCAATCATCACCCCTCGAGCATCATTCTTTTGCCCCGTGGCACTGGCAGCAACGAACGCTCATTACCTACGACGCAGGAGTCGATGCACACTGATGCACAGTAGTGCCCAACGTCTTGCGTCGCGCTCGAGCGGCCAGTCGCAATGACAAGCATAAAAAGCGAGCTCTTTCCTTCTTATCACCACAACTCTCAGCACAAGTTCTCGACACGATGGGCAAACACTGGAACGTTGCCCGCAAGTTGTGGGTCACCGACGCCATGGTCATCCAAGCGACCGCCGAGCGCCGCGTTGAGCGCTGGAGGGAGCACGTCCCCAGCGACGGCTCTGCGTGTCGCCCCTCGGCGCCACCTTCGCGCTTCCCTTCGTTCGCCGAAGGTGCGATAGCCAGCGAACCCGTAAGCCGCAACACTTCCTCTGGCGTCGCCGCTACTGCCCACCCGACCACCAACACCACCTTCGAGACTATCTCCAACAGCGCAGGCCGCGTCCCGATTGAGCTGGGTCCTACTTGCCACATCTCCGATGTGAGCAGGACTGAGGTGGACGCCGCCAGTGCTGCTGGTAGCGCCCACGATGACAGCCGCGAGCTGGTTGAAGTTCAGACCGCTGAGTCGCACACAGTCCAGCGCATTCCTACCGGTCACCCTGCCCGTGCTGTTGTCCTCAGCAACAGTTCCGAGAACGCCGTCTCCACCATTCCGGCTCCCGCAACGCCTGAGCGCCCTCCTCGGCGCCTGTACCCTGTCCCTCCCGCTCGCCAGCTGCGTCGCAGCACTCGCAACGGTGTCTCCGGTACCCCGCCTGTCGAAGCGGCTGGCGGTTCCGTCAACTCAGAGGGCAATACTGCTAATGGCAATGGCCCCGACGAGCCTCGGGCCGTTGTTGCTGGTGAAGCCCCTCCCCTTGAGGTCCTGCAGAGGTCAACATTCGTGCCGATGTCCGGGACCTTTCGTGGGCCCGGAGTCCCGGGACACCTGGTCCTCCCCGTGAGCCCTCCCGCGCGCCCTCCTCGCTCGCCGAACCGGCCGCAGGGACTCCGCCGGCAGCCTACAGAACCGCTGCGCATCATCACGGACGTCAATCTCAAGTCTCGCTCCTCCAGCTCCGGCAGCCACAAGCGTCGGGCCTCTGATGAGTCGGAGGGCAACGATTCCAAGCGCACCCGGCCTTAGAAGCAGTGGTTCCCACCATACTCTCTGCGGGGCACACCACCGCACCAGTGCGGCTGGTCTGCCACTGGGCACAGCGTTAGAATAGGGAGCCAAGAAGAAGTCAAGCGATAGACCTCCGAAGTAATGTGTTATCGAGCGATAGAGTTTTAAATGGATGATTAAACGCCCTCGTGCATCTCTTCGAACTGACTAACAACCCTGTACCTCCCAGGTCAACCTCAGAGGCATAACCGTACCTAGACGCAGCGGCAGTACTTCTCTGAGGCATTCTCGAAAGCATTATCGCCGGCAATGTCGACGCCCTTGTAGTACGTCACCGCAGCTGCAAGGCAGGCGGTGCGCTTGATGCCGGCGCTGTATGTCGCGGTACACACATTCTTCATGCAGGTGTGGAAGGACGTGTCGCAAGACGCTTTAGTGCGGCTACAGGTGCCATAGCAGATGTCGTGCGAGTTGCAGCACGAGTGGAACTTGTACTCTGGGACGAAGCTGCACCCGTTGGTCGCGGGCGTAAGACCCCGCGACTTTGCCGTCTTGCCCGAGGGGCACCGCGCGGGGTTGCCGCGCGTGGCGAGGTCGCGCTCCTCGATCGAGCCGAGACAGGCATCACCGGTGGCAGGGGCAGGGGCAGCCATGACACCGCCGACAGTGAGAAAAAAGATGGTCGCGAAGAAGGGCCGCATGCTTTTCGGAGCTTGTGTCGGTGTATGCGCTGCTGTGGACCGAAAGAACGGCGGGCTGGTGTGAGGAGTTATGATACTGCATCCAGAGATTTAAGTAGTCAGCTTGTGCCATGTCAGTGCAGCCCCGTGCTGCCGACAGCACCCTCTCCCCACTGAAAGTGGTTGATATGACAGCTGCTGAAGCTGCAGCCCGAACAAGGCGGGAGAGGTCAAGTGCTCCCTGGGGCCCGAACGCCCGGACGCAACGAAGATGCTCCGCTATCGCCTGCTTGCCAATGTTGTCGATCACCTGACTCTGTTCGACGCACAGTGAAGTGTGGCGAAGCATAACATTCGTGTGGCTCTAGCTGAGAGGTCCATGCGCTGTTATCAGCCACAGGCCGTTCTTTAAAAGAGGTCTGGTGGACTGTGTGACGAAGCGAAGACGAAGCACGATCACAGGCATCAGCGCCGTTAGTTCATGTCATCAGTGCCTTGGCGCAGAAACCTCGAACCTAACTGACCCCTCTCCGGACAGAACCTCTTGGTGTGAGTGAGAACCAGGTGGGAATGGTGCCATGCAGATTCTGCCGTTTCGGACCTCTACTCCTAATGTACTCCGCGTGAGCGGTCAGGGATCCGTGCTCAACACGACGCAGTGAGGTCATTTCACACTTGTCGCCAGGCCGTCCAATACCCGGCAACGCATCCACCTATCCTCCGAGATTGTCCTCGCCGAGCTGCTCTTGGCGCAGTGCACTGTCCGATCAAGCAGAGTTGACCGGGATGCCTTTCGTCCACACCATTGCAGTCACCCGTGGGGATGAGCTACGAGCTTCTCCATCAACAGTGTTTGGATGGCGAAAGAGCCTCGTGCGCGCTATAGGACAGACATTTTGCAAGAGGGTGACAGGTTGGCCTGCCAGGCCTTGAGCCTAGCCTGAACCACTTTCCCAGTCTTCAGTCCAGTACGCTGGTCACAAGTGACCACTCCTCCTCTCCTACTTGCTGCCTCCACTCGTCAAGGGTCACGACAGTCAGGTCAGGCGCGCGGTCACGCCTTGTGGTGCCGTTGACGATACTGGACAGGCGTTCAGTGAGTAAGTCGCGCCAGGATCCTTCAAGACCACTATCGTCCCAGGTTTCGAGACCGGCGATGGTGAGTGTGCCGAGGTTCGCCGCGCTGACAGCAAGCGTGTCGAGCAACGGGGCGTGGCTCGTGCCCTTGCCGGTGAGCCACTTCGTGCTTGGATCATCCGGCGGCGGCAGGAGACAGATGACAAATTCGCGGCTTGGAAACGACGAGTCGTAGAACACGCTGCAGATCGGCGCGTACACGCTTGGGTCGGCCTGGAGGACGAACACGATGCGATGAGCGCGGCAGCCGACGACGTCCTGATATCGAAGTCGGTAGGGGTGATTGACCTGTCGTGACCACGAGTTGCGGATCGGGTGAACTGCCGTTTGTCCCGCTCGCAGAACGGGCATGGAGCCCATGCGGTGCGACTGTGATGGAAAGTCGAGTACGACCCACCGCAGCCCCGGCAAGTCGAGGAGCGCCTCCTCCGCTGCCGTTCGAGGGTACCCGTCCTGACCCGACCATGATTGTAGCTGAACAATGCGTGTTTTGGTCAGGCTGGAGCGGGTTAGCAGCTGCCCCGCGTTGGGCAGGAGGCGCGGCGCTCTCTCGCCCAGGTAATGAGGCAGTACGACGTGGTACGCGAGTCGCCGATCTAGCCGGTCGCGGACGCCTCGGGACACCTGGCGCAGTGTCGGGATGGCTTCGGCGGGAGCGAGATCAAGAATCTCCTCGACAATGTGCGGGTAAGCCGCAAAGTCGAGCCAGCACATCAGATTGCGCACCGGTCATGCGTGGGGTGGATTGTGCGATGCCCAGACACACTCGCGAAGACGTCATGACGATAGGGTTCGGGCGGGCACCTGATGAACTCCGCCCGTCGGGGGCGACTGACTTGCTTTCAGATTCGAGTGATCCCATCGTCGTCGCCCATGAACAGCGGGGTGCAAGTACTTTCTGAAGGTCAGGGAGAGCTAGTGTTTGGCTACGCTATTCTATAAGGTCGCTCTGAGGGCCATTGCTTCATGCTCGTCTTTCCGCTAGGAGGTTGATGTTTCTCATCGTGAAGGCAAAAACAACGGTCTGATCGTATAACGGTTAGTACACAAGATTCTGACTTCTTCTGCTGTCGTTCTTGTAATCTGGGTTCGATTCCCAGTCGGACCTTTCCTTTTGGCTCCTTACAGCTGCGAAGCACTTGTACTTCTTTTAGGTGCGAGTAGACATGACATGTGGGCTGCGTGAGTGGAGGTCAGTGCGCCAAGCAGATCTAATTGCGTCCCTGCTCTCGCCTCTCCTCGTCCTCATATTAGCGACGTAGCTCAGATGGAAGAGCGTTGGGCTCATACGAGACCACCCAAAGGGCAGAAGATCGAAACTTCTCGTCGCTAGGCGTTTTTGTCACCTCGCGAGCATCATATGCCTCGTGCTACTTCCAATGGTGGTAAGGATTGCTACAAAGGACATTTACGGGTGACCTCATGGGGAGCTTTGCCCCCCACCCAAAGTTGGTTCGTCCAGGACAGGCGTCAGCCTCCGGATCCGCTCCGGGGGCGACGCGGTGGTTTGGGATAGAAGCTACTGACGTTCACAGCGTCAATTCTAACCCAGGGTGAAGCACACGAATGTAGTATGACAGCTGCAAGCTTACCGAACTCGGTGGCACAAGTCGGGTGGCACGGCACCTTCACCCTGGACTTTCACTCTTGAGCACTCATGTCAAAGTCACTAGTGCGCAGACGCCTGCACTGGCTACCTGCTGCAGGCAGTCGATTGGAAGAGCCGCGCCCCGGACAACTCATGGGATAGAAGTAGGGATCAGATCAACCATTCCTGGAGCAGGCCACGAGCAGCGAGAGGATGCGAAGCCTTGTTTAGGCTTGCGATCGCTCTCTGCTCGGTCGACCCTGTCCAGCGACGTAGCTCAGATGGAAGAGCGTTGGGCTCATATGAGTTCACCCAAAGGGCAGAAGATCGAAACTTCTCGTCGCTAATGGTTTTTACCCGCAGTATGCGATTGTCGGCCATCATTGCGATCACGGCAAGGTGGCTGCGACCGGAGTATGGCATCCTCGGCCACCAGACGATAAGCACAGGCCCTGTCCTACAACGCAGCGGAATATGAGCAACGACGCTTGGGCTTGGTGGGTTCACACACATCTTTCAATACGGCTTCTCCATCATAGAGGACGTAATGTGCACAGTAACAGTAGTATAACTCCGACTGCAAGGTTGTTCAATATGCATCGTGCCTTGCATGGAACAGGGGATGATGTGTGGTGACAACCAGGGGATGAAAACCAGCCGTTGCAGCGTCCTGCGAAGCGACTGCAGCTTGATTCTGGTGGAAGTGCATCCTAGAATGGCGACTTCTCGGGGCTGCTCAGCCTATTGGAATATCATCAATGATAGAGAATGAATTAGTTCAAATATTAGCGGAATCAAATGATTGGGAAGGTGCCTGACGGATTTCCACGAATTTTTCGCCTCACGAGATGTTTTCGACATCTGCCACCCAGAACCTGTTCTGCACAAATACATCCACAACGATTCATAAGGCTATGAACAGGTGGTACTCCTCGCGATGCGAAGCAATCAGTTCTTAATTTTAAGCTGACCGCTATTACGTCAGCAAACACTCGAAAGGATCTTCAGGATCGGCAAGCCGCCCACCAAATTTTCGTTTTCGATGGAGCAGACGCTTCAAACTCACAGGAACTGAGCCTTCTCGTCAAGAGATTGCCACTGGGTATGTCCGAGCTGCGACGAGGTGTCGATGAACTTGAGGGTGATCTCCTCGAGGTGAGTGCGCGAGGTGTGAACACGGAGGGCCTTGCGGAGGGTGATGACACGCTTCTTGACACCGGGGATGGAGCCCTTGAGCATGACAAAGTCGTTGCGGATAAGGGGGTAGTGCGACCAGCCGCCGACGGGGTTGATCGACTTCTTGGTGAGGTCGAACTCGGTGGAGCCGGAGCCCTCGTTGGTGCCGTTGTCGATGCGGTAGATCTTGTGGTTGATCGTGGTACGGCGGTGGTAACCGTCCTGACCGGAACGGGCAACCGAGAACATGACCTTCGAAGGGTGCCAAGCACCGATACAGGCGACCTTGCGGAGACCACGGTGGGTCTTGCGGGGAAGCTTGGTAACACCCCAACGAGAGATGACACCGGAGTAACCGTGACCCTTGGTGACGGCGATAACGTCGATGCACTCGTTCTGCTCGAAGACGGACTTGACGTCAAAGGTCTTCTCGAAGTTGGCCTTGGCGAACTCGACCTTGTCGGCGATGGAGCCACCGTTGACCTGGATCTCGGAGAGGTGGGCCTTCTTCTGGGCAAGGCCGGTCTGCGAGAGCTGGGTGTGGGCGAGGACGCGAACGACGGTGGCGTACTTCTTGATACGCTCAAGCTCGCGAGCAACGGAGGCGCCGTTGTTCTCGGAGTGCTTCTTGGCGTAGCGGGTGAAGGCCTTCTTCTTCGAACGGTACCAGTTCTTGTAGAAGCGACGCTTGACCTCGTCCGAGAGGTGCTCGGCCCAAACGGTGGTAAGGGCGCGGAGACCACGGGGAGTCTCAACGTAGCCGACGACACCGACGATGACCATGGGGGGAGTCTCGACGACGGTGACGGCCTCGACGACCTCACGCTTGTGCATCTTCGAGCCGGGGCGGTCGAGGTCACGGACGACGTGGGTCATACCGGCCTTGTAACCAAGCATGGCGGTCAGGTGGACCGGCTTCTTGGGGTCATCCTTGGGGAAGGACTTGATGTGACCACGGTGCTTGGCGGCACGCTTGCGGGGAAGGAAGGCAAGCGAACCGGAACGAGGCTCCTCGTACTGTTCAATGTTAGCGATGCGACTCTCTCCAACGCCGATCCGATGCTCCCTGCCACCGCCAATCCTCCGCCTTGTCTCGTCCCTTCAAAATCTTCCATCGCTCCGCAGAGCTCCAATTTCAGCGCTGCAAGCGACGGCGACGGCGGATCTTGATGTCGGGGACGCGGCGGCGGCGATCGTTGCAACGGGCGAGCTCGATACACACCTTACGGTGAGACATTTTTGGAGTAGGTTGAAAGGATGGAGAGCAACCACCGTCCAGCGAAGACCTTCAAATGCGACGCTCTGCCTGCAGGGCCATCTCCGTGCCTGACGCACGCTAGTGCCACAACTGTCGGTATTTAGTCAGGCACGCTTGCCTTACGCCCGAAAAGTTCGCGACCGGGCCTGGCTCTGTTGCCACGTGCGAAGGTCACCAAACACGTGACCTAGATGGCCTCCACTCTCACAGGACGTCACCGACACAAATAACGGAGGAGGGCGTTCCTCGATCTCGACATCGACCACTGAACATGTCGACACGCGCCGCCGCCGCTGCGGCCGCCGCACGGTCTCGCAACCCAGATACGATGGACGTCGATGAACAGGAGGAGGACATCTTTGGTCCTCAGCCTGAGGCAGACTCCAGCGGGCTGGATGACGGCAGTAGCGACGATGAATACGTCGAGGAAGACGAGAACGCGCAACAACAAGGCGTCAAGCACAAACGAGCCCCGAGGGAAGACCCCGGTAACGATGTGATCTTCCAGTGAGACTAGAATCCGAGGCTGTATCTGACTGTCAGACGTATCGCCGCACACGTGTCAAACGCAGCTCCTAATCAAGACGAGGGCGTCGGAGGAAGGTCCTTCCAACAGGACCTGGCGCAGATCGACGAGGAGGAGCTGCACACTTCGGCGAAGCGGCCAGCCAAGAGAAGAGTAGGTAGCAACAAGGATTGTTGGAACTGACGACAGCATCACCGCGCGCATAAGCCTAGCCACGAGGTGCAGCTGCTGCTTGGACGAGCCAACTTGGCATACATTACGCAAGATCACAATGAAGCGGTGAACTTGTTCCTCGAAGTTATTCGACACGATCCGCAAGTTCAAGCAGCATGGTCGACACTTGCATCCGTCTATGAAGAAATGGGCAATGTCGAGATGGCTCGACAGATGAAGTTCTGTGGTGCCCATATCGAGGAAGACATTGGCACCTGGCGAGAGTTGGCTGATCAGTTCCGGTAAGCAGTTGTGTGGGCGACTGAGTGAGTGTGCTGACGTCAGCTCTGAGGGCAACCTTACACAAGCGCTGTACTGTTACCGCAAAGCGCTGAAGATCGACGGCTCCCGACTGGACATCGTGTGGCAGCTCGTCAACATCTACCGGGAGACGCAGTCGTACAACATGGCTGTCGAGGCTATCCGCAAGATCCACCGCGCCGAACCGACGTATCTTCGCGATTTCAACATGCTCATGGAAGTGCATGCGCTCATCGTTGAGACGAAGAAGGCTGCGTTCGGTGCCGAGGTCTTCGGTGACGCTTTCATGTTCCATTTTGCGACCTTCAACGGCCCCGACGACCAGAAGCCGGGCATGGAGCCAAACACCATGAAACTCGAACACATTGTGGTCTACGTCGACTATCTTCTCAAGTCCGGTGACCTCGACGGTGCCGTCAGCGCCATCCACCGCGGCCAGCGTTGGCTGCAGGGTCGCAAGCATGAGAAGGGTTGGGATGCAGCCGAGGACGACAGCGAGTACTATGCTCCACGCGACGATGAGGACTTTGCCGAGGAGAGCGCCGGAGGCTATGAGCTGGACTACCAATTGCGGTACCGACTTGCCATTGCTCGGTTGCGCTTAGGCCATGACGAGGAGGCTATGAGCAGCATCGGGTTCATTCTTGACCTCGATGCGGACATTCACACCTCCTTGTTCATCGAGCTCGGCGAAGCGCTGATGAAGCGACAGATGTGGGAGCCTGCGTTGGAGTTCTGGGCAGCTCTGCATGACCGCAACGTGAGTACGACCTCCGAGTCGCAGCTGACATCAGTCTGAGGAGGACGACCCGACCATCATTTACAAACTTGGTATCTGTCAGCACCAGCTGAAGCGCAATGCTGAAGCACTGGAGAGTCTGAACTGGGGTGGGTCATGCGCATCGCTTCGTTGCTAACATACCAGTCATCAGTGTTCAGAAGAGCAACCTGGAAGCCCGACTCGAGCTGGCCTCCGTTCTGGAAGATATGGGCAGGAAGTCAGAAGCCCTCGACCTCGTCTCTGATGGTAAGGAGCGGCGACCGATTTGGTGCTGACCATAACAGTTATTGGCCGCAGTGGACGAAAGCTGAAAGGTAGCGGTTCCGAGCAGCGGCTTACCAAGCGTGTTCTGGAAAACCAAGCTACCGCCACGATGGCTTCCCTCTGGGAGGAGGTGCAGGAGGCTGAACAGGGCATCAACGAGGGTGAACCATGGGCTTTGGACAAGTTCATTCACTCTGCAGGCACCATGGTCGAGACATTCCGCCTGGCGAAGAGCAACTTCACCAAGAACCGAGGTATCACTCGAGTGTTGAAGAACCGGAAGTATGGCTCCAAGGGCGACGCCGATTCGCGACTCATGGCCATGCACGACCGTCTGGAGCGCGTCCTTGGATTCGAGGACGAAACTCCGTTAGATCAAACGCGACCAGATTACGAGGTCGTGCGACAGACATCCTTCTACGGCATCGGCACTGAGGACTGGTTGGCGCTCACGATCAAGTACTGCTGCGTCCTTATGGTGAAGAACGAGGAGGACGTCGCAATGGACATCCTTGAGCACGTTGTCTGGTCTGGCCTATTCAACAACCGACGTTGCGAAATCGCTTTGCGACTGGCGACGGTCGCATGCGCGATGCGAATGCAATCGCATGACCGGATCGTCGACAACTGCAAACGTCTCCAGCAAATGCACCAGTTCCGCTCTGAGCCGCTGCTGCTGATGCTGGCAGCTCTCGGAGGCGGTCTCAAGCAGCAGAACGCGTGGCACAACCTCGCTCTGCAAAAGTTCCTCCACCGTGAAGTTCGAATCTACGACGAGGCAGTGTGCGGCGTGCCTCTTCGGTTCAACAAGCGACACATGCGCTGGGCGCAGATCATCAACACTGGTGTGTCCCGACGTCTGGGAGATCTGGCCCATGAAGAGGTGGACGACGAAGCTTCTGCCGGTGTTTCGGCCCCGGATCCCACTGTGGATGGAGAGGGTGACGAGGATGAGGACGGCGCGGACGGCGATGACGACGTGTCTGAGCGACAAGACGCTGGGGACAAGATTGTGCCGCGACCGAAGAAGCACTCGCCCGTCTTCAACGCCCTCTATGGGCAGAACATGCTCACAACCCGCTCCTATCAGAGTGCACTGTGTAAGTTCAACACCGAGCAGCTGGGTCTGCGGAGCTGACGTCCCCCTCAGTCTACTTCATGCGTGCATATGAGGCGAACCCGTATGACCCGTACCTGTGCTTCCTCATTGCCCAAGCCTACCTCGGAAGAGCGTTAAACCGCCAATCGGACAACAGGAACTATCAGATTGCCCAGGTACGTATCATCCTTTCAGCGACCTCGCAGCTGCTGACATGGGCAGGGCCTGGCGTTCCTGAGCCGATACCGCAAGCTCAGCGCGCAGGACACAGCAACACAGGAAGAGGTCGAGTACAACTACGGGCGGTGCTTCTACCAGCTCGGTGAGTGTCATTCCGTCAAGATAAGGTTCGGGGGAGCCTGGAGAGAAGGCGGCCGGGTGCCGGGTGCTCTAGATTGGAGAAGCTAACCCCTCAGGTATTACGCATCTGGCTGTGAAGCACTTCGAGACAGTCCTCGACTCTGTGCGCGCCCGCATGGAGGAGGCGGATGATGAGGGGCGCGAAGCGATCCGCAAGTCGTCAGTTGCGTGGGAAGCTGCGCACAACCTCGTTCTCATCTACACGGCATCTGGCTCCATCGATCTCGTTCGAGCCCGAAGCGAGGAGTGGCTGCGATTGGAGTAGCCTGCGGCGGAGGCGGGAAATGGGGGTGGGCTATGAGGTATACGCAGCGCACGCGCGCAAGTGCGACGGTGTTCTAATTGTATTCTAGTACTGGTCAGACTGCACATTTAGGCAGCCCGACACAAGCATGTAAATCGAAATTGTTGTTTGATGAGAACAGCGACGCCAACTGAATGCCGGCAGACTCAAGCTTGCAGAGAGAAGATATGCGTGCGCCAGATCCAGTGTAAGAGGAAACACTGAATGCAGCCGTGCTGGAACACCCACGAGGGCAAAGTTAAACTTCAAAGGCCATCTGTTTCTGCGCGTTGCGCAAGTCTGCTGGCGAGTTCACAGAAGGGTAGCCCAGGACGCAGGAGCGCAATCAAAAGAGGCCCAAGGCTGGGACAGACTCAGCATGACGAGAAGCGGGGTAAGCTACCAGAGCCACGCAGAGCCGCGTTCGTGGGTAAGGTGGGTGGGGTCCTGTGGTGCGAACTGTGAGTGCTGCGGCTGTAGGCAAGGCTCCACTGACGCCGTCCCACTGTTCGTCGGCCATTGTCCCGGCCACAATCTCGCAGTCGCATGTCGCAGATCGCAGCAGGGCGAGTCTGGTGACACCGGCGCCCAGCAAATGATGTCAACGATCAGCGCATATCAGCACCGTCCGACCGATTTGGCTTGGCCGAGTGGGACGTCCAGAGATCTGACAGCCCTGAGGCATCTATCACGGCCCACGCTGAGTCAAGTGTGCCATCCGGTCAACAGCGTGAGCCCAAGCGAAGCCGAACGAGCGAAAGCGAGTGAGGGCCGTGCGAAGGACGTTGAGGGGCCCGAAAATCCGAGGGCCGAGGAAGAGGGTGCGACGGGTCGTTCTCGTGAAAATCTCGACACGTCCCAAAAGAGGGCTCGACGGGACCCTGACTAGGGTTCCAGACTCTTGCGATGTGTCCTGGCGTTCCTCGTTTCAGGTTTGCCTCAGCTCGTCTGCCTCGCCCTCTTGAACCCTCTGATGGTCACTTTTGGTCGCTTTGGGTGCACGTTAGTGTGTTGTCGCATGTGTCGTCTGCCCATCCGATATGCAGCGACATGAAGCGCCTCCGGGCACGACGAAAACGCCGCGCGCCGCGCCGAACAGACCACAGATTGACTGGTCATGCGATGAGCCATGCCGTAGAGGGTGACTCGGGTGACGAGTGACGACCTTCGCGTGCGTTTTGCGGTTTTCCTGCAGCATCGCAATGTGGCATCAGTAGGGCGCTTGTGGGCAGTAAGGTCCGGGAACGCTCCGGGGACCATTCAGATGTGGTATGCTTGTTCGCTCGAATCCGTTCTTCCTGTGCAGTTTGATGCAGAACACACCCCATGTCCCCATGGAGCGTCTGCATGGCGCAAGGCGTCGCACACCAGAGCTAGCGAGGCCCCGTTTCGACGACCCACGCCTGTGATGCGCGATAGGCTAGTTTGCCATGATAGCTCATTGGGGGCCCGGATTAAGCTTCAGCTGATCCTGGAGAAATCTCGCGAACCCTCCTCCTCTTCCGTCGTGGGTCGGTGAGCCGCCGAGCTCTCGCCGAGCATGCGGCGTCACATTCCAGCGGCGCCGGTCCAGAAGACTCAAGACATTGACACGCCGTACCTCGAGAGTGCCTTCCCCCTTCTGTGCCCTGCATGTTCGAGGCACTCATGTTCGCGCCGCGCGTCTGCCTCATGACTCGCTGAGCTTGACCTCGCAACGGTGCAGACGTCGGCGGGCCAGGCTCTTCGGCGTGGGCGCAAGCATGGCTGGACTCACTCATCTGTCCAACTGCACGTCAGTAGGTGTCTGTGCCTTCTGGAGCCTGCTCGAGTCTGGAATCGGCTGTTACAGTTCCATTTGTTGTTGGCCACTGGGTGCTGCGCGCTGCGTGCGTTGGCTGAGAAGGTGTCCGTCTCTCCTGTTCTAGACCTCTACCTCTGTGGAGCACTCGTCGCTCGTCGGCCTCGATCGACTCGTCACTTACGAGAACGAGAAGGAAAGAGAGCCAGCAGTCATGCATGTCGATGTCGATGTCGTTGTTGTTGCACTTCCACAACTCGCAAAACTTTTGCAGCACTCAAAACCAACGAACAAGCTCGGCGCAACAGAAACGATACTTTCGCTTTGATCGACGACCGCGCTTAACCCCTTGCACCTCCCTCGCCAACGAATCCAGCGAATCGACCATCGGTTCGTCCCAAGCTCCCAAGCTTTCCGCCCTTGTACGACGACGGGTCCGCACACCGGCTCCTTCGGCAGATTGCGGCACCCCTTCTGCGCTCCTTTCCGGCACTGACAGCGCCTGGCAACCTTAACGCCTAGAAGGCTTATCACGCAGATCGACGGATCTGTGTGCGTTCTCGAGCGTTGCGCCACAGACAGACACTCGTGTCTCAGCGCCACCCGGCTGCTTTGCTCATGTGAGTGCTCATGCCTGCCGTGCCAAAGATTCGGGCCGACATTGCACGTAAGGGGTGCAAGTGTGCTGTACGCGGTGCGGGGTAGTCAATGGCGCTTTCTGCATGGTTCGCCGCGGGTTGTTGCGAACCCTGGGCATGCCACTGCGGCATGACGATAAGTGACGATGTCGTTCTGCGTAGAGACTGCGGAAATGGCGCAGAAACGCGCAGAAGCGGTGACGGACTGCGAACGAACATGGGCGCAGACGGCGTTGCATTGTGAATTGCGGATCGCAATCGGGGTCTGCCGTACTCATTACTCATTTGCTGCTCGAGCCGATGGTTTATGGGTCGTTTCGGCCATGGGCCCACGCCAGTCCGCAGTCGCTTCGAGTCGTTGCTCGCATGATCTCGCAGCACCATGCCGTACAGTTGTACAGTCGCGGTAGTCGCGGGTCTCCTTGAAGTGGCTGCGGGGGCAGGATACGGTCTGGGACTAGCGCATCACTAGCGCCGCGGCACCCAGTGTTTCGGACCTCGACTTGTGCTGGGCGTTCTTGCGTCTCGCGTGCCCGCAGCAGTCCTGTTACCCCTCAGAAAGGAACCGCAAATTAAGCAGATCGGTCATTGCCTTCATCGCCGCCCGCAGAATCGCGCAGGATGTGACCAAGCTGACCGCAGCCACTGCACGGCGCCGAGAACCGCCTCCAACCGGACGAGCAGGACCAGACGTACCAGACTTAGTCCAAAGCTACGTTCCGTCGCAAACGAGGCCACCCGACGCAGCAGCACACACACTCTGCTGCACTACCTCCAGCTCGTACCTGCAGTACCCCTCGCGGCACGACCACCCAGCGAGCCCAACGAGCGTCGACGACCAACGGCAGGATCGAACCAGGGCAAGGGCTAGGGCACGCAACCGAACTCTACGCTCGACGGCGCGTCCCTGACCCCCTCGCAGAAAACCATCCAGCGACTGCATCGACGAGAATTGCGCCAGTCAGTTCGACAATCCCTGCTGTCCCTGGACTCCCTGGACCTCCCTGAGCTGGAGCTCGTCCTGAAAGCAATGACAATAATGTTACCACGAGGACACCGACCCACTGGCCCTTCCCCTGCGCCAGTAGCGCCAGCGACGCCGGCTACGCATGGAGGCGCTCCCCCGCAACAACAATGGGGCCATGACTTGCATCACCACGACCAGATCAAGCTCCTGTCCGTAGCTGTCCGGCAGGACGACGATAACCCAGAGCACTTTATCAAGAGCAACTCTTCGCAAACACAACTATCTCTCCATCGCCCCCCTCTCCGACGTGTCCCCACCCCGCTCGACCCGTCGCTTGCCCTCTTCACCAAACCAAAGTCGGCCATCGACACTAGCCCCAACCCGGTCAGCGCCTTTAGTCCAGTGGCCACTGAGTCGGTTCGGCAAGTGACCGATCCGTTTCCAGCTAGCACGACTAAAGAACAAGTAGTGTACTACCCCGCTCCCGCCGTCGATTGCGCCCCCAACGCCCCCCGCCTCGCAAATCATTTCAGCCCCGCCCCCGCGCAGGTCTCACGAGCGCCTTTTCCCAAACAGATCACCCCGGCCGTCACTCACGACGCACGAGAAGCACACTCAGCACAGGCTCGTCCCGCTCGTGACTACCACGATCGTGACTTGGACAGAGAATACCAAGCCCACAACAGAGCACGCCAGGCGAAACCGTTTCCGTCTCTGACTGGCGGATCGCACTTATCGCACTCGCCGCACGGGCCGCACGACCCCCGCTCCAGCCTCGACCTCGACGTCCCCGTGTCCGCGTCCTCAGAGTTTGACCACTCGTACTGGTCGACGGATAGCCACGGCCCAACGAGTCAAGCGAGCCACAGCAGTCACGGCCACGCACAGAGCGCCGGCACTCCCTACGCCTCGCATTCCTACGAAACCGGCTCGCGGTACGTGCCGCGCGCAGAAAAAGACGCCAGATACGCCAGCGACGCTCGAGCCCCGCGCGCCCCGCACCCGCCTTTGTCCGCAGCACCTCTAGCTCGTCCGGCTCTAGGCGCCCGCCCGCATCCTCTTGCAGGTCCATACCATCCGTACAGTGCCTACGGTCCTTCCGGCAGCACCAACTCGCCCTGCGGTCCGCCCGACAGCGCCAACGACAGGCCCAAGCCAACTGCAGCGTTCCCCAGTGTTGGACAAGCAGGGTTTCTAAAAACCTCGCTCTCCAGTCCCACACGAGCGGTCCCCGCCTCGTCTTACTCTACCCCCACCACCCCGACGACCCCGTCCCCGACCCGTCGCCGCCCATCGTTCAGCAAGAGCTTCAGCAACCTCCGCGAGCACTTCAACCGCGGTCGCTCACGCTCGTTTAGTGATCAAGGGTAAGCAGCTGCGATGCACAGATGCTCCACGAAGCTGACCTTCCAGCCACGAACCGGCCGCCTCTTTGCCACCCGTTCCGCGAGTGCCAAGTGTGTATCTCGACCTTGCCACAGACCCGCCCCGGCACCCCCGACAGAACAACAGCAGCATGTCGCTCCTCCGCAAGATGACGAAGAAGAGGGATAAGGAGGCGCCGAAGGTCGCGCCTCCGTCGCAGGGACAGGCTCGCAACATTCTCGCCGAAATGGGCGCTCAAAGCGAGCAGCTGCGTCGCCGGCCGACGCTCCCGACGCAACCCCAGAAGATTCCCGCTGGCTCAGCTCAGCCTCCCTCTGGCCCGCCATCTGCATTCCAGCAAGGCGGCGGTCTCCGGTCACAAGGATCAATACGGAGCGCCGGTGCGCGCAACGTGCTGAAGGAGATGGGAGCTGCGAGCGATCAGATCCGCGCACGCCCGCCAGGCTCGCACCCTGGACGACCTGGGCCGCGATCCCGCCCTCGCCCGAAACGACAGGGCACATTCGAGGCGATCGTCGTCGGTCAGCTGCCGCCACAGGACGACGATGAGCCTCCAGCCCACGCCGATGCCCTCGCCAAGCTGACCGGCGAGCCGTCCGGCGTTCCGATCCGCCAGCCCCCATCACCCGACACCGACTCGTCCAGCGCCCAGTCTACCCCGCCCGAGGTCTCGCTCCTTGGGCTCGAGATTGACCCGAGCGCGCTCCGCAAGCCGGCCGCAATCGACATTGACCCGACGGCGCTGCGACAGCCCGCCCTCGCATACGACGACGATGTCGGCCTCCCTTACGATGCACCTGTAGCTGATGAGATTGTCCTCGGCGACGCTTACGGATCGAGCCCGAGTGACTACGGAGGCGAGGACCTGATCGACTCGTACTTGGACCGGAGCCCGAGTCCGGAACCCGCCCCGCTCCCGCCCGTCGCGCAGGTGCAGCATGTGCCGCAAGTGCCCGCCAATCTAGTGCCCGGGCAGGTCATGCCGAGCACGATCGTGCCGGGCCAGATCATGCCTGGCCAAGTTGTTCGCCCCGCCGCTCTCGACACCGCCTCCCCCGACGTGGTCGAGGACCACACGTGGGCGTTCCTTGCCGCTCGCGGCCTGCCGGACTCGGACGACGAGAAGAGCAGCAGCGACCACGCCGCTGTGCGTCCCTACGGCAGCGAGAGTGGGCACAGCAGTGTGCAGTCGCACATGCGCCGCGCCTACGGCTCGGATATCGGGCATGGGTCGCAGCTCTCGCACTCGGCGTCGGTGCAGTCGCACGGGTCTGTCCGCCGCGCGCGCCCAGAGCACAAGCAGGCGTCGGGGAACCGGTCCCGCTCCTCATCTCGAGCCCGCGAGCGCAGAGACAGCAGCGAGAAGGAGTCCGGCTCGGGCCTGTTCCGCAAGGCGTCGCAGCTGGGCCGCAAGCTGTCGACAAAGCATGCGCGCAAGTGGAGCCGCGAGGGGAGGCCGCCCCTCCCCAACGGGCCGCCGACGAGCTACAATGCTAGCGCCATGAGTCAGGCAGAACAGAATCTCGAGCGCAAGTCTTGCAAGCCCACGATCCACACGAGCGCGTCCCTCGCGACCGAGATCTCCCAGGTTCGCAACAAGGACGATGCGGCGCAGATGGAGGCGCTGTTCCTCGTGTGAACCAAAGTATAGACCAGCACCGGTGCCCTATAGCCTCATCCCTTAGACACAAGCACACCCTCTCTTGTTTCCTTCAGCACCAGTCAATTCAGCATCCAACCGTCATAGACACGCAGGCCCGTCTTAATCACATCTTCCATGTGTTGTATCACCCACAAGTTCATGCACAGAGTAAACAACGAGCGAAGCGAGTCTGAACAGCAGCATCAGCCACAACGCACACAAGTCTCCCACGGCATTGCAGAGCCCACCATCGCTCGGCGCAGCACGTGGTGACGATCGTTCTCACCGTTTCCGAGCGGGAGCAAACCCCCAGCTCCAGCGCCAGGCGCGAGGAGGGCAGGTATGCGGCGGCGCGTAATGACTTCACTCATCCCTGGAACCCCTTGAATGTGGAGGTGCAGCTACTTGGCGACCAGACACCGTCATAACCAGCGCAACAGCGGAAGACCCGCACCTTTCCACCCGCCGATCAATTCGATCGTCCGGGTTCTCCGCCCGTGGCTTTGCAGGTCTCAGCCCCGTATTGTGATCCCCGGGGGTCTCTCCGGGTTCGGATTGGGACGCAGAGCGCGCACGCGCTGGCACCAGCTGGGCCCGATGCGAGTATGTGAGTGGGTAGTGGGTCAAACTCTGATGTAACATCGGTTGGGTTGGAATGGGTCCAGCAACTGCTACCGTTGGTGCCGCTCCGACTCGGGACTGTTATGCATTGCAGATCACAGAGGAGAGGTTGCATCCACTCAGTATCTCACCATGAGCGCCCCCCAGAACAACCAGCAGGTCGCCGAGCACACCGACGACCTCCCCGAGGGATGGTGAGTATCGCGTCAGCCAGCTCCACCTACTTCTCCACCGAGTCCACTAGCCTTGCAGGTTGACGGCTCCTTCTCCATTCTCATCCATCTCTCCGCCCACCTCCTAGGAGCTCTCTGCGCTGCCCCGACGCCGCCTGACGCTGTCGGTCGCTGCGCTCCCTCCTATCGCGCTAACCCCAGGCTCCGCCAGTTCGACCCCAACTACGGCACCTACTTCTACATCAACACGACGGTGCAGCCGGCGCAGATCACATGGACGCACCCGGGCTCGAAGGACGGGGAGGCGCACCCCGAGCAAGTCCAGGCCGTGCAGAAGGTGGCGGAGGCGGCCTCCCAACTCCCCCAAGAGGAGCAAGAGCGTATCGCGCAGCAGCAGACCGAGTTCCTGCAGCAGCAGGCCGAGGCGGCGAAGCAGGGCAAGGCCGCCGAGACAGGCAAGCACAGCGCGGCAATGGAGGCGAATGACCGCGGCCTGGGGTCTCTCCTTGGCCATGCGCTCGCGGGCTCTAGTGGCAAGCAGAGCAGCGGCATGAGCAGCATGGGCGGGCTCGGCGCTGCGGCCGGCGGAGGCGGCGTCGGTGCTCTGCTAGGTAGCCTCCTTGGCTCCGCGGCTAGTAGCGGGAGGTACTCGAGCAGCTACTCGCACAGTATGGGCCCGCCGCCCTTCATGATGGGCTCCGGGCTCGGCGGCATGGGTATGGGCGGCATGGGCATGGGCATGGGCGGCCTCGGCGGACTGGGCGGCATGGGCATGATGGGCGGCAGGCCCATGGGCATGGGAGGCATGGGCATGGGCCCCTTCGGCATGATGGGCGGCGGGATGGGTATGGGTATGGGCGGAAGCCCCTTTGGTGAGTAGGTCGAGCGGAGCGAGGCCCAAGAGGAGCGCGGCAGCGAGGCGTGAGGCAGGCCAGAGACACGAGGCTGGGCCGCTCGAACATCTCCTATCTCCCTCCTGATGGCTAGCCATGCTCCTTCAGCGCTAACCTCCAGGCCTCGGCGGCATGGGCATGGGCCCCATGGGCGGCGGCATGATGATGGGCGGCCACCACGGGCACCATGGCCACCACGGCGGCGGCTTCGGCGGCTTCGACGATGACAGGTTCGACGACCGCCCCTCCTTCGGCGGCGGCGGTCACCACGACGGCGGCAACTTTGGTGGCCGCTTCTAAGCTCGCGAGCCAGTAGCGATCCCGTAGGGTGGGCGCTGTGAGATGCGCTGTCGCTGGAGCAGGTTGGCGAGACACTGTCAACAGCCCCCGGATCGAGCATACCAGACGAATAGGAAAGGACAAAGTATAATCAGATGCCGTACACGCCGTACACGATGGACATGAAGAACGTTGAAGAGTCTGAAGAAATGGAGTGTCGGGAGCTGGGGAAGGAGGAACAGAGCCTTGTTAGTGCCTGATACTCATCGCGACCTGTAGTAGTGTTCGTCTTTGGTGCGCCTTTGAGGGCCACATGGAAGGCCAGCTAACGTCCACGACAATGCCACCACTCATTACTAGCTGAAAGAACCACGAGCTCCTAGCAGTCAAGGACAAATGAGACGCTACCCATTACATCTGACCAGGAGGCTGCCCGGGCACCAGTCAGTGTAGGGGTGCGCAGGCCAGGTATGTCGTAGGTGTCTTGCCGGCCTCGTTCATCTACCTGAATCCCCTTTCTCCTCGCCTCTCTAACTAACTGGGGGTCAGTAACCGCCATGATCTGGGAGAATCTCTAGCACTCGCCTGCACACTTTCTGCGGAATTTGTGGGTCAGTTGCCAGCAGACGGAATGGGTACATAGCGGCACTCTCGCGCCGGCGTCCAAGGAATTCCGCGCCGACGGCCGACCGTCGCCAAGCGGGGATACCACGTGACATCTATGGTGAAATGGTATCATGCATCCTTGCCATGGATGCGGTGGGGGTTCGATTCCCCCTGGATGTACTCTTTTGCGTGTCTGCTGCACTCTCCAGGTCGAGAAAGGTTGGAAGGAAGGCGGGGAAGGTTGACCTTTTGGCTTGGAGGGTTGGTCGGTGGCGAGGAAGGTTGGTGGTTGGCTTACATGGGGGCGAGACGCCACGGACGGGGTTTTGGTCCCGCTCAGCGCCCCCTGACAGATGGGGGTGCACCTGAGTCTACGCGCTGGGGAACACAGAGTCTAGCGTGCAGGCGGCACAGCTGCGCATAACAGGGAGAGAGCTGCACTGGCGGCGTACGCCTGGCCAGATTAGTTGCCAGGGTGACCACCCCTCCAGCTTGAAGCCTGAGCTTATCGGCTCCCCAATTAGATACACCACTGATTTCCGTCAACAGCTCCCTCATGCTTCTCCATGCAACGTAAGCACGCCCCGTTGACTTTTTAAATAGCTAACAGTGCGCGCAGTCTTCCAAATCCACGCTGATAGTCTTGTGGCACCGAACTGCTTCCAGATTTCCGGACAATCTTATCAGCGGAGAGATCTTCATCTCCGCCAGAATTTCGCTCAACATCAAGCCGTAGTTATGAACGCACGGCTCAACGACCCTCCTCCTTCCCAACTATCCAGCCACATCGGGGTCCAGCTGAAGGACTGAGATGCACAAAAAGCTACTAGCGACGAGAAGTTTCGATCTTCTGCCCTTTGGGTGAACTCGTATGAGCCCAACGCTCTTCCATCTGAGCTACGTCGCTTTGGTCAGGACATGAGAGCCGACGCCGGGGGCGAGCATAGGGCCGACGCCGCCTTCGCTCTTCGATACCCTTGCTTCCTTTCGTGCCAGCTTGCGTGGCGAAGCGCTGAGGTTGCTTTCGCAGACGGCATTTGCCAGAATGTGAAGCGCACTCGGCCGAGCGAATCTTATCTCTGTGCCTGGCCGATGCGGCTATCGTTGAACGAGACCGCTTGCTCTTTTCTGAATTGACGGCCCGCTGTTGGCTCTGCGGTCTGCAGATGAGCCCACGGTGGGGGATGCCAGCAAGCTCAACAGTATGCGGCGTAGCCTGTGATGCTTATGTGCTCGGTCGAAGTAGCAGCTCCACAGCAACGCGATGGCCGCTGCCCGTCCTGCCTCGGACCCGAAGACGCTCGCGAGTACTTATCAAGTGCACTGCCTCAGTATGTCTCGTGATCTCAATGGACGCACAACATTGCCGAGCGAGTTTTATCTTCATAATATCGGCAGTCACGGGACAGATGAATGCGGAGTGTACCGATATCAGCGAGTAGCTCCAGGCTTCCGAGGAGATATAAAAGGTGACGGGGTTGAACAGGTTGTTAGACATCGACCAAGTGCTCCAAACCAGTATGCGCTCCAACCTCCTGTATTTCCTCCTTAGTACCATCCTCCTTGTGCTCGCTCTGGCCGCACCCGCGGAGTACGATCATGGCCTCGAAGCTCGAGGGGAACTCGACATTGACAACCGCGGTGCAGTCTCCCTCAATCGTCGTGACGAATCCGCCGAAGACGCCACAGATGCCGCCGACGTTGCAGATGATGAGAGTGTCACGGACGCCGAGGCGGCGAAACGGGACCCAACTGGCCGCTGTCCCGCAGGCAAGGTCCCCCGCACGAAGTACGTGAAGATCCTAGTGGACGGCTGCTCCGTCCCAAAGTTGCTCTCTTTCGCCGATGTGAAGCGCTTTACGGGCTGCTGCAACGCACACGACAAGTGTTACGCCGCGTGCGGCAGAAGCAAGGCATTCTGCGACAACCAGTTCCACAACTGCATGTTGGGGACGTGCGAGCGCTTCAACCTGCTCTGCAGGGGGGCGGCTAATGCCTACTTCGTCGCTATGAGCCTCCCCGAAGCCCAGAGGTCCTTCCAGCGCGCCACTAAGAGATACTGCAGATGCCACTGAGTCTTCCCTGGATAGCGTCGTCGCCGGCACGTAGTAAGCCTCTGTAGTCAGACCAATGCTGTGAAGCCACAATAGGAAAGACAAAGTAATCAAGACAGAGTAGTAAAGCAGAGTATTATGATTGATGCAGACCTGAATGGCCACGAGCGACCCCCGTGCACTGTCTGCATTTCTGCGATCTGTTGCGCTGCACTCGTTGGATTGCCAGGGGCACATCTCCCACGACGCTCTTCCAGAGCGGAGATCTCGGACTGCACTCCGTGCTTGACAGCCTTCAGCTTGGCCAGGAACCCCCACCTCACGCTGACAACGTTTGGGCGTCGAGTGTCAATCTGTCTGGCCGAGGTCTGGTAGAGAGCGGAGGTCCGGTGGAAGTGTTGTTTGCCTCCGCAGTCCGACGCGACCGTGGGGATTTTCCGAGCGGGACGCGCAAAGCCGACCGACGTCATGTCGGCGGCCGGAAGAATGGTCGAGGTGACTACCGTTTTCCGACGTTGTCTCCACTCTCTACAATTCTGCCGACAAAAGCACGTACGCCGTCGACTTTGCGAGGCGCAGTACCCACCATGATCCGAACATTACGCCCCCTCGCCCGGCTACCCTCCAGCGTCGGCGCTGGCCCGTCGCGCCCCATCGCTTTCGCCCGCAGCTTCCAGACCGGATACCAGAAGCCTTCCTCTGGACCTGTCGACCTCGCATACGACGTGATCGAGCCGAAGCATCCGAGCGGACTGCACGGCGACCAGTGCCTCGTTATCTGTCACGGACTATTCGGCAGCAAGCAGAACTGGCGCTCGCTGTCGAAGCGCTTTGCGCAGGAGCTCGGTATGCCGGTGTATTGTCTTGTGAGTACGGCCCGTCGCAATGCGATGGTGTGCAACTAAGCCTACTTCCATCTGTTTTGCTGCTTCCACTTTCGCCGCTCTGTTTCTTACTGACCTCAGGACCTGCGGAATCACGGCGCGTCGCCGCATGTTGAGCCGCATACGAGCGAGGCGATGGCCGAGGACATTGCGCTGTTTCTGCAGAAGCAGGGCATCAAGTCTGGGCTGAACCTGATGGGACATTCGATGGGCGGCAAGGCCGTGATGACATTTGCGTTGAACCCGGAGCTGAACGGCCCGCTACGTTCTCTGATCTCTGTCGACATGGCGCCGTACAAGGGCAAGCTCTCGAAGGAGTTCACCCAGTACGCGGACAGCATGCTGGAGATCGAGCGTGCGGGTGTCGCCACGCGAGGCGAGGCTGACAAGATCCTGCAGAAGGTCGAGCCGGACATCGGCACGCGCCAGTTCCTGCTCACGAACACGAAGAACGAGGACGGCAAGATCGCCTTCCGCATCCCCCTCGAGCTGCTGAAGAAGTACCTCGACGCCATCGGCGACTTCCCCTACACCCCCGGACAGTCCGACAGCCCGCACTGGGATGGACCTGCGCTCTTCCTCCAGGGCACCAAGGCGCGGTACATCAACGAGCGCAACATTCCCGTCGCCAAGCAGTTCTTCCCCAACATGCAGCTCGTCCCGATGGACACCGGACACTGGGTGCACGCGGAGAAGCCCAACGAGACCGTCCAGCTCGTCGAGAGCTTTATCAAGACTGGCAAGGCCACCCTTTAGATAGACCATTATGCCATGTACATTGCTACTTGAACCTCCGCCCTCGGTTTGCTGGTCATTGAAGGCTGGACCAAGGGTGCGAGAGCGGGGACCCCGCACGGTGCGCCTTCGGTGTGTCCACGAATTTCTGGTCCAGCGACAACCTCCACTTTCGTCAACTACACCTTCCCCATGGCGGCAAGGGCGGAGAACGGCAGGAAGCAGGAGTGGCTGGTCCCGCGCCGGCCTCCCGTCGAGGCATACGAGCTGTTGTCTCCGGTACAGCAGCGACGAGTCGACGCATACCCCGACGGCCAGCGGGCGGCAGCCGCCTGGCTCTTGTTGATTGACTCTGGACCAGAGTGGAGGGCACGGGCCACCCCGTGCAGAAACTGTGCTGGGCAACGCTGGCCGTGCGTTGACCCCGCTAATCCTGGTCAGCGCCGGCGCTGCGAGGGCTGTTATCGCTCAGGCTGGGTTTGCAATGACCCCACGCCCCTGTGGACTCTACCTGCTACGCCGCAGGCGTCTGCGTCGACACCCAGAGCACCTGCCGGTCGGGCACAGAGCCAGTCGGCGCCCGCGACGCCCGTCTTTCGTCCTTCGACTGCGACTACGGTTCTTGATCTTACCTCGACCTCCGGCCCTGGTCGCCGACAGCGACGAGCGAGCCCGGACGACACTGAAGACAATGAAGAGATCGTGGACATCGACGACGAGGCAGAGCTCTTCTTCGCCTCACAACGTTCGGCGGAGAGTGCAGACTCGGATGACGAAATTGAATTCATTGGGATGAGCGCGGCTCCTGGCCTTTTCCAGCCTCCCAAGAAACGTCCGCGCCATGCATCACCTCCGTCAAATCACCCTGCCGCGGACGATGCAGGGCCCAGTATAAATCGGGAGACGCCTCTGCCAACCCTGCTTGTCAGCCGCTCAACCAATTTCACCGTCGACACGATACACGCTATCCTCAAGGCGGCTGAGCGAACCGCACCTTCCGACGTGGCCGTTTCATGGCCTGGAAGACCGCAGCCCGCCCCAGGAGTCGCGCACAGTGTGATGGTCCACAAGTGCGGAAAGTCGTTCAATATTGCGCTCTGGGATCACAGCCGTCGGACAGTGAACTACATTTACGAAACCGGGTTTAGCATCCCCGAAACACTCGTGAGCGACGTTCTCGCTGAGGGTAGGGCAAGGAGACTCTACAACGTTCAGGTCGGAGTTACCTGGATGGCATGTCCCGCTCGCAATCGCCCATACACCACCTCTTCAGGCATGTGGGCCAGTGTCATGGCAGTGTGGCTCACCCGGAACCATGGGGTTCAAGAATGTCTCGAGCTGCTCGAGCAATTCACCATCAAACCCGCGCATGTCTGCGAAGACCTGAACGCCATCTTGCGAGGAGAGCATTGGTCAGGGCAGTGCTTCGAGCTTCAAGGACGACCCCGGAATGCGCGAACTGCCGCTGGAACTCCAAACTCCAGTGTACATGCCCAAGATCAGCGACCCGCCCAGGTGACCGACATTGCACGAGCTGGGTCTGAGAAGACCGTTGGATCTCCTTCTACGCTGCCTGTCGATTCGCAACGCGAGCCCCCGTCCGTGCTGTCCCCGCCGTCCCGGATACCAGATATCACAAGCACCACCGAGTTCACTCCGGATCTTGTGAAGGAGATTCTCGCGAGCGCGCGAAAGACTGCCCCTCAGAGCCAGGCAATCGCCTTCAACAACGAAATTATGGGGTTCGACAAGACTAACAGCTTAGTCCTAGTCTCCAACGTTGGCTCATCGTGGAGTATAGCCGTCTGCCGCCCCCTTGTGGGCGATGTTCATTACATCTACGTTCCCGGCGCCAGCCACACTGGGGAAGACCACAGCAATATCAAGCGGGTGCTCAGCCAGAGCGGCATCGCGCAGCAGTGTAGCAGCTGGGTCAACGTACCATGCCCCCATCTCAAAGGTGTTGCGGGCGGCCTTTGGGTATCTGTCATGGCAGTTTGGCTCACGAGCAATAAGAAGCTCGGCAAGCATCTCAAAGCCGTTTCTCGGTTCGTTGTGAGGCAGAGGGGCTTTGCGTCCTACTTGAACGCAGTTTTGCGGGGTAAAAGGGAGAGCGGTACCGGCTACAATCACGTCAACTCGCAAGTAAAGCAAGAGGCGAATATGTCAAGTGACGCCGGCGGCAATGCCTTCACAGCAACCCAACCGGAGCACAACAACACCCCTGTTGACGAGTCTCTTCCCGTCAAGCCTGAGCCCTTAACAGCAGTCGAATCCGGACCGAGCACCCAATCGAGCAGACTGAGGTCACCTTCAAGCATCTTCGAATACAAGCCGCCACCGTTGCGGCGATAGAACTTCATTCCTCTGTGTGTATGCATATACTTGTTCATCCGGATGTGTTAGCTGCCTTCTGGTGCCCGTAACAGTCAGTTTGCATCGACGAGGAAGACACTGCGGTGGTTGCGTCCGTGCGCCCGCGAGAGCGCAGACGACGCTAGCGCCCGTCGCCCTACCTTGGACGTATGACTCACCCGCTCTTTCTTGATTTCCACTCCTTGAATTTCTCTCCACTCATACTTCTCCATCGAAATGCCGGGGCTGGCACCTAGAAAGCCGCCCATCAAGGCGTATCCTCTCCTCATTCCCGACAAGAAGCGACTAGTCGACGCGGCGCCAGCTGTCGAGCGCGAAGTGTTCGCGTGGTTGCTCCTCGCCGCTAGTCAAGACGAAGGATGGACGAAGCGCAAGCACCCCTGCCTGGTGTGCGAGAAGAGCGGTTGGCCATGCCTTGATCCCGAGTCTCGTGGCTCCCGGACGAGATGTGAGGGATGCTTCTGCGCAGGCTATCACTGCCAGAGCATCCCTTCGCGACCAGCACCATCGACTTTGGCACCGCTGACGCCGCCCAACACCCGCTCCCATCACAGAAAAGCAGACACCTCGGGGCCTGGCAACCGTCGCACCAGCTCCTCAGACGAACCCATGGACATAGACGAGAGTCCTACCCGCGGGAAAGACAAGATGCCGAAGAAGTTAGCGAGACGCAGGGTCGCAAGTTCCGAGTCTGATCCCAGTTCGGATAGTTCTGTGGCAGTCTCGTCGCGTGCTCGTCGCAAGGCTCCGACCAACAACCGTCAGAGCAAGAGGTACCGCATAAGCAGTCCAGCAGTCCAGCAAGACTCCTCAGACATCGAGTTCGTGTCTACGTATCAACCTGAAACCTCGCGCCCCGCACATCCCATGACGCCGATTAGTCCCCGTGAGCCAATGAGACCCGTGATTGTGAACCACACACAGCCAACGGCTCCTCCCCGCAAGTCGGCGGCTGAGAGTTTCCTGGAGCTTTTGGGAACTGACTCGTCGAGTGATGACGAGAACAGCACGGATAGCAGCGGCTCCGCCCCTCTCCCCCCTCGTCCCATGCCTGTCCGTCCGATCCCGATCTTGTCTGCTTCGAGAACCAACCGTGAATCACCGGTCCATACCCTTCGCACAGTAAATACCATCCAGCCTGCAATCACTCCGCGTCACAAGGACATTTCTCATCACCCAGCAGCCACTCTTCACAAGCCGACTTCTGATCAACAGTTTGGGGCTTCAGACAACCAAGGCAATCACGCGAACGCTGCTCCGAGTTGGAAGTATAGTCAGCGGGAGCCTAGCACACCCCTTACTGAGGTCGACTCGCAGCGCCACAACCACAGTGCAAGGCTGGATATCGAAGAAGATGAGCTAGATGTGGACGTCAAGGAGGAGAGGAACGAGGAAAGCCATCCCTCTGCTTCCTCTCCCGACACCAAAATTCGAAAGAAGCCCTTATTCTCCAAAACTCAGCCAACAGCGCAGTCTGCACAACAACCAAACCACCCATCTTCATTACTCCTGGACAGCAGCCAGCAGCTTACCATCCCTGTCGTGCGTCGGATTCTGAAAGCTGTACAGACATCGTCATTACTCCTGGACAGCAGCCAGCAGCTTACCATCCCTGTCGTGCGTTGGATTCTGAAAGCTGTACAGACATCCGCAGACCCTTCTTTCTGTCTTTCGATCAACGGCGAGACAGCCGGTCCTGCAAAGGACAAGACCGTCATTGTCGTGTCTGAAGCAGAACTTCCTCAACTCGGTACGGTTCCTTGGCACGTTCTGTTTTGTGAGCGTTCATCATCGACCATAACAGTCATCTACAAGCTGCAAGAGCCGCATCATAGCAATCAACACCGACTCTACTCTACAGCATTGCTTTCGCGAACAATCCCTCGAGCTTTCCGCAACGGGCTCGCCGTACCGAAGCATCCGAAATCGGTGCTGTGGAAGGCGTGCAGAGAACTGGACGATTTCCCTGGTCCACTCTGGGCCACCTGCTTGGCGATCTGGCTCACGAGGGACGGCGATCTGAACGGGAAGCTGGGCAGTATCAGGAACATACGCTTCGGGAAGAACTGGCTATTGAAGACGTTGACAAGCTCCTGCAGGGGAAGCAGTGGAGTGTGACCTGCATCGAGGACAACGGCGACCCGCCAGCGCAGCCACGTCTCAAGCAGGAACCCCCTAGGTTGTCCCTACCCCTTTCTCCAGCCTCTAGCAATACAGCTGCTTGCCCTGCAATCTCCTCACCGTCACAACCAGAACATGGGTTAGGCAGCTCAGAACATTGTCGGCATTGGACCTCCACAACATTTGTATCCCTCATCATGCACTCTGTATCATACTGGGCCGCATCAGTGGGAATGCGGGCGCACAGCCTCCAGGAACTCCAATCTCGTCAGTGGGACAGGGCAGCATAACCAGAAAGGAAGCGGTCAGAAAGTGGTCAGACCACGATATGCAGGGTATGCGGATTATACACTAATGATACAGAATGACCAGAGCCCGCGCAAGGTCTGCCGCTCTACTCCTCGTCCTCGTCCTGATCCTCAAGCACGCCCTTGGCCGCCCAAAAGTCCCGCCGGCGCTTGGCCGCATCGCTCCAGGCCGCTATCCGGTCCTCAAGCGCGCCTGTCTGGTCCCGTTAGCGGTGCTGCACCCCGAAGTTCTCACTTGCCTGCTGCTGCTTCTTCTTCTTGCCTCTACTGCGGCGTGCCGAGGCTTTCGATGGCGCAGGCGTGGAACCGTCGCTATCGCTCCCGACGCTGCCCTGCGCTGAGCTGACGCGGCTCGAGACTCGACTGCTGACCCGGCTGGATGCCTTGCTCGCCTGTGCGCTTGCCGGGGCAGAGCGCGCCTTCGCCTTTTGGGCTTTCGAGGGCATGGCGTACCGCGACTCCTCGGGGGGTGGGGAGAACTCGTCCTCGCTGACGGAGCGCGGATCGCGTATCCGCGCCGCGAGGGAGGGGATGCCGGCGATTCCGGAGCCGCGCTCGACACCGACGACGCCGTCGTCCACGCTGCTTGCTGATGAGTAGTTGTCCTCTACCTCCGAGTCGTCGACATTGATCGAGCTGAAGCCTGCATCAGGGGCAGGCGGCTCGCGCTCCGTCACCCCAGAGTCGAGCTCGCCGTCCCGGCCGCGCAGCTTCGCGAGCCGCCGGTCCAGCACCCCGCTCTCGTCGAGTGACCGCAGACCGTGTCGGAACTTGGTCGTCTCCTTGGTCACACCCATAATGGCACCGAGGATCGTGAGGGTCTGCGGGTCAAAGTCGTCGCGGTTCTTCGAGCGGAGCCACTCGTCGCGCTCGATCAGACGGGCTTGCAGCAGGTCGTACGCGCCACCAAAGGTCATCTTGACCTGTCGGATGCCGAAGGAGGACTTGGACACATCGTTGTCCGTGTCCTGTGGGTCCTCGATGCAGAGCAGGAACGGCTGCGAGTCCAGGTACCACCCCCGCGAGCGTTTCGGGAAGTAGCGCCCGCCCTTGCGCACGCTGATGCCGACCTCGTCGTAGTTGAACGACCGGCCGTAGAGCTCGAAGAATTCGACAAGCAGCACTCCCAGGTTCTTCACTGGATCAATCTCGCCGTGGCGCACCTTCGGGTGCATCTGGAGGAAGCTGAGCGCGAGGCAGATGACGGAGTACGATCCGAGACCGCCGGTGTAAACCTCGTTCATGGAACGCTGGGACAGGAACGCCTTGATGACGAGGATGAGCTCGCGCGCACCGGGCAGAGCCTTCAGGTAGTGGTTCACGATCTTGACGGCACTAACGCCGTTCGTCTGGTTCAGGCTGATGTCGACGTTGATGCCGCCCTCGGCTGTGACGAACTTGATGATCGGAACTTTGGCCCGCGTGATGACGGCGACGGTCTCAGTGATGTGGTTCCCGCGCATCATGCGCGCGAGCTGGTGCAGCATTGTCACCTTGTTCTTCTCCGATAAGCGCGGTGTCGACACAACGAGGTCGATGTCTCCTGTCGGGAGGTAGAGTTGCGTCTCCCACGAGCCGAACGGCGTCACCGTCGCGTCGCGCCACTCCTTCCGAATGATGTGCGTGATGAGATCGATCATCGTTTTGCGGACGTGGAACTCGTGCTGCGTTGGTGACATGTGCTTGTAAAACGCATGCACTTCAGCGTTCAGCCTGATGTTAGCTCGATGGGAAGGCAGCAGTAGCTCACAGAGCCGCCGGGTCGTCGTAGTGCAGCCAGTCGACGTCCTCGGCCCAGGGGGCAGCGCGCTCTGCAGCCTTGCGCTCCTCCTTCAGGTTCCTCGGACCGGGAGCACCATCTTCGCCCTTTTGCCGCTTTCCTTCCGGCTGGCCTCCCTCAGATTTGCGCTTCTTGCGCTGCTGGGCACCGTCTTCACCGGCGCTCGGTAGCGGCGATTCGATGTCGAGGACGGGCGGGGGTGAGGACTCGAGGTCGAGGGTCTCACCCGGGCCGAGCTCGAAGCTGATAAAGTCGTCGCCTGTGGCGAACGACTCATCCATGTTGGGCCGCTGTTGTTGGTCGATGGCCTCTTGGGCCGGTCGGTGTCGTTTAGGTTTTGGTGTTGGTGAGGATTAGCACCGCGTAGTAGCTGGGTCAACTTTTGAAAACAGACATCCCTGGGTGGTGGCTACTATCATGCGCTGCACGTGCATGTCACGTGATCCCACGTCATTCTCGCCGCCGACATGGCTTCCAGTGGTGGTGGACTCTGGGGCGCCGGGCCAGGGAAGGCGCACTGCGACCAGCCGCCGCCCGCTTGTTTAGTCAGTGCGGGTGCGGGCAGGGCACAACCACAACACACACCCCGGTGCTGCTCATATCGCTTCCGACCACTTGTCCACCACCTGCTCACCTCATTCCTCATCAAGACGACGCATACATAACGACTGGAACGGGGGCACGTATTCAGTACTGCTGCTCCTCGTTGTCGCAACTCTGGCCTTCCTCTCTTCTCTCCACCACCTTCCTAATCCTCCTCCCCGCCTCCCAAACCGGCCAACCGAGTGGCGATGGCTGAGGTCGCAGCGCGCAAGCGTGCGCGCTCCTCGTCGCCCGTGTGCGATGTTCTTGCTTCTCCTCTGGAGGTCCTTCTGAAGCGTCGGCGGCGAGACCTCTCCCGTACGTCGTCGGTGGCGTTACCTCCGCCGTCGCAGCCAATCTTCGACCCTCCAGGCGGGACTGGCGGAGATACCGCCATGCCGTCGAGCTCCTCTCCGGGAGGGTTACCAAGCTCTTCTTCGCCCGGCTTCGAGAACTACAGTCACGATGCCAACTCTCTACGCGGAATAGAGAGACGAAGGACACGCAACTGGGAGCGCCTCAATGCACCTGCCCATGCGGGGCCGAGCTGCGAACCCGACTCGTCACCCGTCGCGCGACGCAGTATGAGCGATCGCCACCTCGTCTCCTCGAGTCCTGTCCGGCACCAGCCTCCCGCGCCTGTGTTCCGCGACGAATGGAGTGCAGAAGAGCGCCTCCGCGAGTGGGGCGATGAGTACGCCTCGCAGAACTCGGTTTTGCATTCCCTGGTGAGTCGTGTGGCCAGCGTAGCTCACTGTCGACGGCTGGTGCAGCTACCTTCCGGCCTCTGATTAAGCTGACATGCAGCACCTCGCCCGCCTCGAGAGTCAACAGTCTCTGCACAGCCTGCACTCGGTAGCGAGTGCGGCGTATTCGCCTTTCGAGCTCACTGAGCCGGCGTCGAGTCCGGCACCAATGCCATCGGCTACGCCTCTACGAACACCAGCGAGCGCGAACCCGTGGCGCACGCACCAGACACCTGGCTTCACACCTGGTGGCTTCACGTCGAGCGAGTATGTCTCGTCGCCTTTATTCTCGCCTCCTCCGCACTCGGGCCCGCACCACACGCACGCCACGCCGAGCCGCACCGGAGAAGCGCACGGCGAGGTCCGCGCAAGCTATGAGGAGACGAACCGCCTCCTGGCCGAACTCAACTTTGCCCGCTTACGCAGACACGACGCCATGAGCTCCTCGCCCCCGCCTCCGTCGACTGATCCCGCCATGGACGAGCAGTGGTAATCCCAATGACGAGCTGGCCGGCTAGCGGAGCACAAGTCGCCACAACTGAATCGGCTAAACGGCGCCAAGCAAACAACAACAATCGCAATCCGCATGTACCTCCCCTCCCCTTCACTTCCATCTCGACTTTGTGACATTAGACATTTCCCTTCCTTCCTGCACTGCGCACTTCGCACACACCCACTTTGTACATCGTTTCCTCAACAAGCATGTTAGCATTGCCACTTCGTTCGTGCCTTTCTCTTGCAGCCACCTACACACTGGACACTGGGTACATTCTTCCAATCTGCTGACTATCTACGCTTAATACTGATGATGTGTGCATGAAGCTTGGGTGGATACAGATCTACGGTCACTTGGCCTGAGCCCGTGCCCGCCACCTTAGACCTTGGCCGCCTTGTTGCTACCAGCGACGTCCTCGGCCTTGCGCTTCTCGGCGCCGAGCGGCTCAATGTCGAGCTTGGGGCCCTTGGGCACGATGCGCCTCGGGTTGATCTGGGTGTGCGAGTAGAAGTAGTGCTCGCGAATGTCTGTGGTGTCAGCTATGCGCATACTTCCACAAGCTATCAGTCCCCTAAGCTCGCCCCTGGATCGCTGGGATCACAGCGATCAGGTGCCATGACGGTCCCGATGATCGCACGCAGGCACAGGGGAAGGAGAACTGGGCACAGAAGGGGTACTCACGGTCAAAGTGCGTCGTGTCCTTGAAAGCGGGGTAGTTCCAGTACAGATTCTTAAGCCAGCGGTTGAGGGCGGGGTAGTCGTGGCGGATCTGGCCCCAGTTGGTCTTAAAGTGGACATAGTACACGGGGTCGTATCGGACAATGGTGGTGTAGAGACGGACGTCGGCCTCGGTGAGTCTGCCGCCGACGAGGAACTCGCGCCCGTCGCTGAGAATCTCCTCGACGCGGTCGAGCGACTTGATGAGATTGTCCATGGCGTCGTCGTACGCCTCCTGCGTCGTCGCGAAGCCGCACTTGTACACGCCGTTGTTGATGCCGTCGTAGACCCACTCGTTCAGCGCGTCGATCTCGCCCCGAAGCTCCTCGGGGTACAGGTCCAGCTCGCGCTCGGCGCTGCCCTCGGGGAGCAGGCCGTTGAAGGCGCTGTTGAAATCGCGGATGATTTCGGAGGACTCGTTGGACACAATCGTCTCCGTCTGCTTGTCCCACACGATCGGGACCGTGAAGCGCGCAGAGTACTCGGGCTCAGCCTTCTTGTACAGCTCGGCGATGTGCGTCTTGCCGTACAGCTTGTCGGCCGTCGCACCCGGGAAGGTCTTGTTCGAGTGCTCGCTCCAGGGCGCAGGCGGCTTGGCTGCGTCCTCGGGCGTCTCGAAGTGCCAGCCGCCCTCGAGCAGGTGCGGGTGGACGACGGAGAAGTCTGGATGTCAGCTACGAACATCAAGGCACCGGCAGCTCAACGCCGGAACGCAGTGAGGGCATCGGCGCGATCACTCGTACTCACCAAAGAAGTCGTCGAGGCCCTTCAGCTTGCGCACGATCAGCGTGCGGTGCGCCCACGGGCACGCATAGGAGACGTAGAGGTGGTAACGGCCCTTCTCGGCAGGGAACTTGCCGTTGGGCTCGATGTGGTCACGGAACGACGAGACCTGGCGCTTGAACGAGCCGTCCTTGGAAGCCCAGTCGGTGAGACCCATTTTGTTGCTTGTGGACGAGAGGGTGCGGAGAGTTTGAGTAGGGAGAGACTTGGAGTTGGCGAGAGGCCGGGTGGTGTTGGTAGTGTTGGTGTTGTTGGCGCGAGTGGAGAAGTTGCGAACGGCGCAGAGAGACGGATGCGCGATGCGAGGGAGGAGAGTTGAAGAAGTAGTTGTGAAAGAGCGAACTGTTGTTGACAGCATAGAGGATGGGGAGTGGGAATTGCGACCACCCTGGTCTTATAGCGCGGTCGTGGATCTCGAAGTCTTGCTCGGCTCCTGGCGCGGGTGCGGGGCTCTGCTTCTTTGGGCGGCATTGGGCGGGTGATTAACCTTCATGTCGCCGAGTGCCGAGGCCACCAGCCAACGGGCCAACGACAGTCAAGGGCGCGGTATGGGAGTGCTGACACATGATCGGCCAGTTTCCGGATCGGAGTGACGTCACTGGAGAAATTCGAACGATCTCTTAAAGACCGCGCTGGTGAGGATTAGCTCATACGTCCCAGACATCTATCAGACAGTCCTGGTCAGCAATCTTGTCAGCGTTGACACGATCGCGAAGGAGTTGACCGCGCAGTGAGTTCATTCATCGTCTCACAAGGTACACAATGCATGGGTGTCGACTAATTACTTATCTTTGGTGGGTGGGCGACCGCTGGATCTGACCGGAGTCTACGAAACATGCTCATCGCATGAGTGCTCATCGCTCGCATGCTCATCGCTCGAGTCAAACTCCTCATACGCAGTCTTGGCGGCTGCAAATCAGTACACGCGCCAACAACACTTGACTCACTGTAGTAGGTGGTCAGAGCTTCGTTGAACTTCCTCTCGATTGCCCAGATGTTGGCGAACGTATCGGGCGTGAGAGGACGAGAGAGTTTGCGCTGGCCAGTCGTCGTGCCCATGACGGGATGCGAGAAAGCCCAAAGATAAGCGGCGGGGATGCCTGCAATCTGCTGCACGCTGAAAGCGTGCCACACATCGATCTTCTGCTTCTTCACCCACTCGTTCATCCAGATCTTGGCCGCGAAGTAAGCGCTGAGCCTCGCGCTCCCGCCGATGGCAGCCTCGCGGAACAAGCGACGGTAGTCCGCGCGCCCGTCGGCCTCTTGCGACCGGAAGACTTGCCAGAACCTCAGCCTCAGGTTGCTGTTGCGCAGCTCTTCAGCAAGCATGATAGCGCGCACGACTTCGACAACCTTGGTGTTCTGGAGCCACCCGTCGGGCCACCCATTGGCAGGCGCATCCGCGCGCCTGTCGCCAGCGATGAAGTCAAGCATGAGGGCCACGGTCGATCCAGTTCCGTGCGCGCAGCCGCTAAGGTTCAGAGTCTCTCCGTAATCGTCAAACTCCTCGCTGGTCCGGTCAGCTTCGCACGAGGGGGCTGTGAGCTTGCGGACATGTCGACATGAGAAAGGTTAGGCTGACACTCACAACTCATCCAGGATATCCTTGGTAATAAAGAAGGCGAGACGGTCGTTGGAGATGATGCAGGACAAACCCGGCTGTTCCTCCGGCCAGAGGGCTGAACTGCAGTCGTAGGGAAGCCCATGTTGCTCAATGCGGGCTTCAAGCACTTCAACGAGGGCGTTCTTCACGTCCTGCATGGGGAACAAGGTGGTGGTGAAGGTGTCTTCCTCGGACGCGTCGGAGGCATCGGGACGAGCCGACCCTGAGCTGCAGTTATCATGCTGGCATGCACGAGTGACAGCGTCGTGGGGATGAGCGGGCGGCGAAGTCTCCTAGACTTCGCGGAGCTGGTTGTCGCCTTCGGCCAGGTACACATTAATGCCCTTCTCTTCCGCGGTGCCCTTGAACAACTTCGAGAGGATCCGGGCTCGGATCGAATTGAGATTATTGTGAATATGCTTCTCGATACCGGCAGCGTCGATGAGTCGCTGGTCGTTTGAAAGGTCGATAGTGACTCCCTTGCTGTCGACATACGTGGTACTGGGGGGCGGCATGGTGAAAGAATGTGATTAGGGTAAGAAGATTGTGTTGTCAGAAGAGAGAAGGAAGATGAGCCCGTATCAAGTAGTCGACAGCGTTTTGTTTGTGCTCGATTGACGTCAACTGGGGGCGCAGTGGGTGAGTCACTTCCGCAGCCTTCAGGCGCGCAGGCGCGCAGGTGAGGCCTGCGCCCCCTTCACACAACTACGGTGACTACCGCGCAAGGGATCTCCAGCGCACAGCCCAACTGTCGTGCACAGTTTCGATGCAACCGTAGTCGGTCCACAGCACTCCCAACTGCGTGCAAGAGCGGTAAGTCACCTACGCACACCTCGCCTGGTGAAGCGACGGCGTAGGCTGAGTCACTGTGAGCTTCGACTGGCGTCGAACGGAGCTATCAGCCAAGAAACCCCGTGGACAGCTCTGGTGGCGCCGGCGGCAAGCCTCCCTAATACGCGAGTGAGCTCCTACGATGATGCACAGCTAACAGCCAGCTTTCCAAGCCGTGAGGCAGAGGTCAGCTTGTAGCTCACCTCATGACCATAGCTGACCAACAGCTATCTCCTGGCCATGTGTCAAGCTGGGAATCGCCAGAGAGCTGACTGCCAGTTCCTCCGCGCACTCAGTGTACGCTGCATCAGTCCTCTTCAAGCTGACCGACGGCCCATCATGCACGTAAGCTGTTGTTACGGCACTTCAGCCGATGGCAGTGCTGGGACGGCGGTGAGCTAACTCGTCCCAAAGAAGCGAGCCAGGCCGACTTCTCCAGTGAGCTACCTTCAGTTGCAGTCTTCCGAGCTGACAGACAGCGCACCAGGAAGAAGTCAGCTCACCTTACACGCTCATCATAGCTGACGAACGGCCTCTATCCCCGCGGGAGCTTCAAAGACCGCCCGCGAGCTGACAACCAGTCTTCGGTAACCTGCACTACACAGTAAGGTACCGTGCCCCGCGTTGATGGAGACTGACCCACAGCCCACCCTAGATGTAAGCTAGCGTTGCCTTCCGCGGAGCTGACCACCAGCACTCTGTTAGTGGTAAGCTAAACGCACCCTGTCAGTCAAGCTGACAACCAGACTTCGACAGCACGAGTGAGCTCAGATATCTCTGAGCAAGCTGACGAGCAGCCTACCACTAGAGCCAGCTACCACTCTCCTCTCATGCAGCTGACGAACAGCTGTTTCATGATCCGAAGCTGTGAGCTTCGGCTACCGCCCAGGTTCTAGCTAACAGGCAGCGTCCCTCCGCCTTTACCGAATACAGTCAGCAACTCGATTCCGTGCATTGCTGATCGTGAGGCTCTCCTGCGCCCCTGCACGTTCGCTGAGTGATGTGATCGCAGCTGACAAACCAGTAACAGGAAACTGGGAACGGGCGAGCTAGCTGCTCAGGAGGCCAAGCTGACGAGCAGCCTTTGCTGAGTCCACATATGAGCTCTGGTGCGTGTGGGTTACTCAAGCCGATGGACATCGCAGATCAACAAGGGTCAGCTGGCCATGAATGTGGGAAGAGCTGACGATCAGAGTGCATGTCCGGTTTTGCTGGTAAGCTGGAGGCCCTCCCATCAATATAGCTGACAGAACAGACTCTCATTCTCACTCAGCAACAAGCGGAGAGACGGCGGTGAGCTATGGCCTTGGTTTTCTTTAGCTAACCCACAGCCCTCCGCTCTGCCCCGGCGCAGGAAACGCGTGAGCTGCTCGTCCGCCGTTGTTAGCTCACAACCAGACGCACCGCGCTATGATGCCTTGATAGTTCATGCTGGAGACATGCAAAACCTATGCATACTGATTCAAAAGGGTTACAACGGACAAAACAAGAAGATGTTGAGATTCTAGGGACACTTTGTGTGGATTGTGATGGTAGGGGTGCTGTATCGTCGTCGAATCGTCCTGAGCGAGCCCAGCTCGCTCCATCCGGCCCGTTGTTCGGGGTGGGATGATCATGGTCGCGCTTCTCTGCTCGCTCGCTCTTAGCTCCGAATCGGCCTGAGACGCTCCCTCTCCCACTCTCGCTCAGCAGTCGCGGCCGGCTTCTCCCTCTGCTCCTTCTGCTGCTCCTTACCGTCCTTCTCCTTCCTGCTGATAGCAGTAGCGATGGAGGACATGCCGCCGTGCGCGCGAATCTTGGACAAAATGTCGCGCGCATAGTTCAGCTTCTGGAGCGTCGACTCGACGCGTTTCCGGTCCTTCGGGTCGGAGGGTAGGGGGCCCAGGAGTGCCTCCAGCGACCACGTGCGGAGCACGTAGTGCTTGTCGATGACCGAGACGACGAGTCCGTCACTCGAGAGGATCAACTTGGTGTGGTCGTAGAAGTTGAACTGGAGCAGGCCATTTGAGAGTCGGAACAGAATCACGTGCTTCATCCGCAGGTACTTCTCGACGAAGACCATGCCCTTCGTCCGCTCGCTGTCGACCCAGTTGTAGGGGTAGTCGCCGAGAAGCTTGTTCAGGATGTAGTTCTCGAACTGGTTCAGGAGGTACACCTTCGTCTTGAGGTCGGATGGCGTGCCGTCGATACCGTAGTTGCGCCGCGTCTGCAGCGCCTTGTCTTCGGGCGAGTATGCGATGTAGTCGACATGCGTCTTGTTCGGTGACAGAACAAGAGATGATGTGTCGTTGAAGTGCACGGACACGGTTCCGTCACTCATCGCAAAGCCCATGCCGTACTTCGTGCAGTAGTCGAGCCAGCTCACGACGAAAACACGCGGCGCAGGCGGAGACAGCTCGATGTGCGGCGTCCGGAACCCGCCGTTCTTCGCCGCCTCGAACGCAGTAGCCAGATTCGCCTCGAACTGGTCGTACACGTTCTTCTGCTTGCCAGCCTTGAGGGACCCGGCAGCTGAGCTCCCTGATCCCGATGACGCGGCCGAACGGTGCTGGGGTACATGTGCCTCGCCGAGGGCTCGCCGCGGTGATGTCCGCTGCTCGCGGTCCCAGTATCGTGGCCGCTCGCGCTCCTTTCCACTGCTGCGTGCTGGAGCACCACGCTCCTCGTCGCTCCCCTTGTCAGACAGCTTCATGCCAGCCATCTGGCTTACGATGCGCGCCTTCTGCACGGCGAGCTCGCGGTCCCGTCCCTCGTACGGCTTGCCGTGGTGGTCGACCTCGACGCCCTCGTCCTCCTCCTCGTCTTCCTCGGCGACCCTGCGGACAGGGGACAGCGTCGCCTGTGCGCCAGCGGCGGTAAGCTTGCGCAGCAGTGACGGCTCCTTGATCGCGGTAGGAGCGGTGACGAGGGGTTGACGCGCGCTGTTGAGCAGCGCACTGATCGGTGAGTCGGGCTTGACGGCATTGTTGAAGTCGCGCTCCTGGGCCGCAATCGACGTCGCGAGCTGCGATGACGGCTTGCCTGGTGGCGTCGTGCTGTGCGGGCTGGCACCGTCGCCGATAGCGCGCCGCCGGACAGCATCGAAGTTTCGTCGGCTCTGCGTCGGGCTGAGGTTCGTGTGGTCCGGCGCGTTGTCGTTCGCGCTGACGGGGATGTAAGACGGGAACGGTCCGTCCTGGAACCACGGGTGCTGGAGGATCTCAGTGAGCGTCGGGCGCTGCTCCGGGTTGCTATTCAGAATCTTCATGATGAGATCCATCGCCGGCCCGCTGATCTCCTTGTCAGGCGGGAACTCGTACCGGTTCTCCCGGATGCGGCGGTAGATCGCCTTGACGTCCTTGGTCTGGAACGGCGGCTTGCCGATAAGTAACGTGTAGAGAATAACACCGACAGACCACACATCGACCTCGAAGCTGTGTCCGTTTGTCGTGTCAAACAGCACCTCGGGCGCGATGTAGTTGGGCGTTCCACAGATCGTCTTCTTCCTCTCGCCCGGGTTCTCGATAAGCGCCGCGAGACCAAAGTCGCCGACCTTTATGTTCATGTCCGCGTCCAGGAAGAGGTTGCCGAGCTTGAGATCACGGTGGATCACATTGTTGTCGTGCATGTACTGGCACGCGCCGATGAGCTGCGTCAGATAGAAGCGGGCTTCCGGCTCGGTGTAGCGCTTGCGTCGGCGGAGCAGGTCCATGAGCGAGCCGTGAGCGCACAACTCGAGAATCATGTACACGTTCTCGTCGTCCTCGAAGCAGTCGTCAAAGCGAACAATGTTCGGGTGCTGAAGCATTTGATGCAGCTTGATCTCGGCCCAGAGCTTCGTCTTGTTCTTCTTCGTCTTGATCTGGCTCTTGCTCACGACCTTGACCGCCCGCCGGCGAGCGCGCTCGTCGAGTACCTCGTACACTCGCGCGAAGCCTCCCTGCAGGTGTCAGCGGTCGTCACGGGGTGGAGTGAATTGGCGTGACGATGGGATCGGCGCTGTTCTGGACTGCTCTACACCCGACGTGGACGTAGTCGTCGTCACGACGGAGCGTCTAAGCGTCATGCATGCACTCGGGAGCATGCTCTGACTTCCTTCCAGCCTCTGGCTGCACGCAAACAGCCCAGGTCGAAGGCCAACGGAGTGGAAAGTTTTCGGTCCGTGGGAACGAGATGGCTCGTGCTCCGTTGTTTACGTCCTTTGCGACTCCCGGCTGTGCACTGGCATCGTGCTTGTACTCACTTCTCCCAAGAATCCCGTCCTCGTGTATACTGCCCCTCGTCCCTCATCGCGGATCTGCAGCGGAGGCGGGGGCAGGTTCTTCTTGTCCTTCTTCGTCGGCGCCTCCTTCGGCCTCGGCTGAGGGTCCTTACGCCTCTGCGCGGCCTCGGCGTGCGCTAAAGCGGCGGCTTCAGCGGCGCCCATAGCGGTGGTGGTGTGGCGGGGTGAGTGGAGGGGATGGGTAGAACAATAGAGGGTGGGTGCAGCGTGGTGTAGTTGCTTGCAATGTCGGCAGTGCAGCGGTCAATGTCGATGATGTCAATTGTCTGTGAGTGCAGGCGACAAGGAGAGGAAGAGGAGAACAACATGACGAGCAGGCTGCAGCGGTGGTACAGTGTTTGGTCATTTTCGGTGGGCGGGAGCAAAACAAAAGTCAGTCGCGCATTGCCAGTGGTCTTTCAGGCACGACCATTCCTCACCCTGGCTTCAGACCCTAGACCTTGGTAGTGGCGAGCGCACGACCAAGGCACGTAAAGCAATGTTGTTACATGGCCGTGACTGTGGTAGCGTCTTATGCATCAAATAAGGGAGTCGGAGCGTTCGCAGGCCGCTGAGGAACAGTTCCTCCTGTGCCAGAGTTCCAGACAGCGCAAGGTGTTCAGAATGACAGACTCCGTCGCTACGAGGGCCTGAGACAGCAACGCCGCACTACCATATTGGGTTGTCCCGCTGGGCGGGAATTACTCAGTCGAGGAAGTGATGTGCAGAAGCGGCCACCGGCCGCGCCATGGAATCAAACAACCACGTCACAAGTGAAAGGTGCACGACTTCTCTCGACAGGCTGGCGGCCAGCACCGGGTGAGCCCTCCTCGGTCGACGATCTATAAATCTAGAAGCGACTCCTGACTGGGAACCATCTGCTGAGCGAAGGGGGACAAAAGTCCGTCCCCGTTGCGATGGTCATCGCGGGTTGTTCGATTACGACTCCCTCATGTCGGCCAATCGGCAGCGAACAGTTTCTGGACAACGGTCAGTTCACTCGCCCCGCCCTCCTGTAATGTTGCACCCGGCAAGTCTGCAAGGTGCAGTCTAACAGCGCACAGCCGATAGTTCACTGCCTGTCAAGTCTGCAGAAGTCCGAGCCCGAATCTGAGCCCCGATAGGACACCGAACTTTTGCTCAGGAACTGTAATGCATTCTATCTCCCATTAGAGACGACTTCCCGTTTCCTAATTCAGCCCATTAGCGGAACCAAAATGCGACAAGGGTAAAGTTCAGGGGCTGGCGTGTGGCGCTCCCCACAGACCAACCAACATCCTCCCTTCCGTCCACTCAACGTCCCCTCCGTCTCTCGACCTTTCCTCGTTCTTCAACGACACTTTCCATGCATAGGAAAAGAGCAAAAGATACATCCAGGGGGAATCGAACCCCCACCGCATCGATGGCAACGATGCATGATACCATTTCACCATAGATGTTAGGACGTATTAGACCACTTCACCAACGATCGCCGTCGGTCGCGGTCTGCCTTGAAAGGAGCGTGTGCTGGCGGCTATGTACCCTCGAGGAGTCTGATTTGAGTGCGTTCCCAGGCCAGTGAAGGTTCTCCTGGTCTCAGCGACCGGCGGTAGAGCTGTGCAATGGTAAGAAGAGTGTGTACAGAGTAAATGCATACATCATGAAGTTGTGTGAAAAGTGGTGCGGAGTTTTGGGGAGGTAGTGACTGCGGCTAGGCGGCTTATTGGTGCTGAGTGCTGGAGAAGAGGGCAAGGAGTGGTGGCCTCAGATCTGAAGGGGTTGTGTATGTGTTCGCGGATAGTACGCTGCTTGAAAACGTCGGTGGGTAGCGACTTGACGACGTGTGTGTCAACGTTGCGTCCTCAGGCGCTTCGAGCAACGACGGTTCGTGTCGGTGTTGAGCGCCCTCTTCGGGACACCCTCGATGTAGACACTCTTTCCGGCCCACTCCTCTCCACGCAGGAGCGCATTCAGCTCGGGGACGACAAGCGCCTCGTTGATCCTGAGTCGGTCGATAGCGGCGAGACGAGTGCCGGCGTGCCCACGAGTGAGCCAGATCAAGACCGCGCAGATGGCCATGGGCGGAGGCAGCGCTCCAAGCTCGGATGGCAGTAGAGTAACCTCGAAAGCATTTGAGTGTCCTTGAGCTCGAGTCCTACGCGGCGGTCGGAGTGAATAGCGATGGTCGGACGGGTCATCGGCGATGACAAACAGGCGTCCGATGCCCGTGCGCATGTCGATCATGGTGAACGACCACGGCTGCGCCATGCCGTCCACCTCGGCCTCTGGCAATGCGTAGAAAACCTCTCGCGTCTCGCGAAACTCCACCGGACGTCCGAGAACTGAGACTGTTGCGTGTTCCGCGCTTGCATCGGCGATAGCGAGGAGTTTCTCGACCATGTCGACCGTCCACTTCGATCGTATCGTGAGCCTGAATGGAGGAGGTTGGGCGAGAGTCATGGCCGCCACGGTATCGGACTTGGGAAGGCTAGCGGGTGTTTGCTGTGTTGGTGGAGATGAGTTGAGTTGTGAAGCTGAAAGTGTGTGCAATGGAGGATGTTATAGTCGACGTTGGCGACGATGGGGGACGTGGGGATGTGGGATATCACAGTTGGTCACATATTGGTTGCTGCGTCGTTGTCGGGCTACGGGGCGGTGAGAGACACAAAAGGGCGAGAGTGCGAACTCCGAATAAGCACATAGCTTTGGGCGGCTTTGGTGGACTGTGATGCACACACGTCCTCAGTCTAAATGCGGATGGTGATGGGCTGCGTCGCGTGCGTCCGGAAAACCGGGGTCCTCGGGCACGGCTCTGCGTTCAATGCACGCTCCTCGCTGTCGGCTGTAGCATGGCGCTGCCTTTGGCGGTCGCTGTCCCCGCGTTGTCGCCTCCTTCGCGATGACGACTTGGCGTGGTCTCTCCGCGCCTCCTCTTTCATCTCCTCTTTGACCTTCTCCACAGCGCGTGTACGACGGCGCTCTTTGTAGCCCGTCCTAAAGCACTTATCCGCCCACTGGTTGCCTTCCAAGATCAGGTACAGATCTTTCCGCATCAGCTTCTTGCGGATGCGCGGGCTGTCAGCAAGCTTGTCGACGCTGTTTCCGCGACTGAGCCAAATGGCGATAATGGCTGCCCAGCCACCTACCGGCACCTTGCCGAGTCGACGGGGCAGCTCCACCGCGGCGAGGTCACTCATGTCGCACCGCAGAGACGGGAAGGCAAGGAACCGCTCCTTGATGTGTGCAAGCATGACTTCCGGATCAGCTTCGCGAACAGGGCAAATCAACCGCGTCTTCTGTGACGGTCGGTGGCAGACACCGAGGTGCCAGGGCAGACCGTTGCGAGGCGGAAAGACGAGGATCACCTGCTCTGCGCCTTGCAGGAACTTCTTCTCGTTGTCGTAGATAATGAGGCACTTCTTATCCGCTGTCTCCGAAGCACTCTTGAGAAGCTTACCGACGCCTTCCTCGGAGAAGTCAATGCCGTAGTAGGAGGTGCGCTCTCCCGGTTGCTCGGAGGCTTCGCTTTCCGAGCCGTCGTTGACATACTCGGGTTTGATCTCGGGCTCGATTGATTCCTGCCGCGTAGTGGGACCGGCAGTGGTACTGGGGGTCACCTGCTGTGGCTGAAGCAGCGAGTCCGTCTCCTTCGGCTCTTGGACAGCATCGACTCGCGCTTGTGGCTGAGTTGGTCGGAAGATGGGGCGGAATACCGTACACTGGCCCTGCCAGTATCCGACTCGCAGCAGGCAGTTGATATCTCGGAGAACGTACTCCTCGCGGATACTCAGCTGCGTCAGTTGCGGAAGCGGCCTCCGTCCCTTTCGCGTAAGCCAAATGGCTGCGATGGAAGTCCAAACTGGCCCCGGCACGCCAAGGCGGTCGAGGGCGAAGGCACCAAAGTTGTCGATGCGGCACCCCATCGCACGGAACAGCGCTAGAGCGTGGTCGGTCATGGACTTCTGGTCGTGGTTGCTCTCGCAGATTAGTCGCGCCTTCTTCCCTGTCCGTTCGCAGAGAGCAACATGCCACGGCATACCGCCTTGTGCGGGGATGACGACCACGAGCAACGTCTTCCCCCGAAGCGACTTGACTTCGCCATTGTACAGCAGAACGCTGGAGGCGTCTGCGTGTCGTCCTGCGGCGTCCAAAATCGCTTCCACGTCGGTGTCGGACCAACGCAGGTCTTGCAGCTGATGGGGCTGTGGTCGCGACGGAGGTGGCGTAGGAGGAGGGGTCGGGTTGGTTACAGGTTGAGAGATTGGTTGAATAGGTGGTTGGACGATCGGCTGGGAAGCGGAGGTCGCAGACTGGGTCGCTTGACTTCTCGATCGAGAGGATGTTTGAGAAGCGCGAGTGGGCGGTACCCACGGAGCTGGTCCTGGTCCTGTCATGGAGACGAACTCGATCTCAGAGTCGGAATCCGACTCTTGTTCGTTGACAGCCGTGAAGAACTGCTCGGCCTCTGCATCGGGGTCGACGACCATGACTCCTCCCTCTTCCTGCAGATCGTCCAGGTCATCTTCAATCTCGTCGTCTACGTCCATGATATCGTCGTCCGATTCGCCGCCGAATGTCTCGAGGATCGACCTTCTGGGTGTCGAGGCGGCGCTCACTTCGCCAGGATGGGGCATGACGCACCGGCTCCCCGACCGATAGCATCCCTCGCATCTTCTCTGCTTACCTGGCTGGACAGGATCGATGCACGGCCAGCCGCGCTTTGTGCACTTCCGACAAGCTGGATTACGCGACCTGAACGTCGACTGGCGCTTGGCGAGTAGAACCCAAGCGTATACCTCGCGGAGTTCGGGCGGCGCCTCAGCAACTATAGCTCGCCTACGCGACGAGAGAAACTTGAGCGCGTCGATCGGCGGCGCCCGCGCCATCGCTGTCGTTGTCGATATCGGTCGAGATGAAGAAGATGAGAGGAGCAGGGAAGGAGAAGTGGAGGTGAGTTCAATTTCGGTGGAGGTCGCGTAGCTCTTGCGACGCGAAGATCTAATGCAGCATTGCGGGGTCCCCAGATTCGTTGAGTGTGGCAAATCTATGCATCTAGTGTCCTTGATCCGTCTTCACGGCACGTACAAGTCTGATCGGACCTCACAGAACGTCGCGGGAGAGGGGCAAGCACACTCCCTCGAAGGCAGGACGTAGGCCCAGAGATACCATCCTACGATGGCTAGAGGCACGCCCCACTTCGCAACGAACCAGGCCGTGCCGAGGATACCCCAAGCCGCTATAGCGAGAAGTTCGCCGAAGGTCTTGTGTCCGGAGAAATCGATGGGTCGGTTGATCAGCCCCTTGACAGACTCTGCCTCCCGTCTTTGCTGCTCCTCCTGCTTCCTCATCCTGTATCGCTCCGCTGCCTCCTGCGCCCTGCGCGTGGCCTGGATCTCGGCGTCTGCCCAGTGCATGTCCCCCTCCGGCCCATGGACGAAGAGCTGGGGCGGACTCTGCTGCGCCTCAACCGCCTTGTCGATGTAGGTACATTTATCGTCCCACAGGTCGTGGCATGTGGTGCAGGCACGACAGTACTTGTGACGATTAGACAGGCCGTGTGCGCACCGGTTCCAGCGAACGTGCGCGACCCAGACGAAGGGGATGAGGAGCAAGAAGGCGAAGAACACCTGCTGCCACCGATCCAGCAGAACGGACCAGATTAGCGGCCAGTAATACCACGTCGCAGCTCCCAGTGCCGAGAGGGGAATCAAGCAGACGATGAAACAGAGAAGCCCGAGCCACAAGTCACTGCGGCTCAGGAGGAAGCTCCGAAGACGACGGGTGAAGTTCCAGTGCGGAACCCAGGATTCAGCTACAGATGTCGTATCGCTGTAGATGGAGTCTCCTGCCTCAGAACGTGGAGCCCTGTAGGTAGCTTCCGGTGGTGGCAGAGCGGGCTCGCTCTCCTCAGACTCGTCGTCCTCATCGTCCTCGTTATCCTCATCTTCATCCCCGCCCTCATAGGTCTCCTCGACCCACTTGTACTCCGCTCCAGGGGGGGCGAGGAAGCCTGGGGTGCACCAGTGACGCAAGCGACGCAGTTCCCTAAGTACCTGTGGGCCAGGTGGGAGCACAAGGTTTGGAACACCGGTGAAGCGACCGGCGTATGACGGTGTGTCGACGTCCATGGGAGAGTCGGCCGGCGACATGTCATTCGTCTGAGAGCGCTGTGGAGTCTGTGGAGCGGAGGTGGTGTTGGCGGTGGCGGCGGTTTCGGTCCGGTTTCCTGGCGTTCGTTCGGGAGAGCGGGCTGGGAACTGACACGGCATCTCCCGCCCAGGTGGAGGAGCGGCCTTGTCAGGTGGGGTGAAATGAACAGAGCGTTCGCTGGCCCGGCGCTCGGCGCGTTCGTCCCTCTCTCGTCTCTGGAGCTCTCGTTTCTGCTTGGGCGTCATGTTCGCTATTTGCCTCTGTCTTTCTGCCCTTTCCTCTGCTACCCTACGCTCTTCCTCTCTTATCTGATTCTGCCTTTCGGTGTCGACCCTTATTCTCCGCTCCTCTTTCGTCTCCTCTCCCCTTGCCCTCCTCTCAGCCTCCTCCCGCTGTGCAACGGCGCGGCGGTACCACGCAAAATCCTCGAATGAGGGATTGCGGAACTCTTCTTCTGCGGTCCTCTGGTGGCGGTTCGGGGTCACCACATCTCGATATGATCGCAAACGTGGGGGCATGTTGTCGGCGTGTGGTCGGTTCTGGCGTCGTCGGTTTCCGTGTGATCGTCGTGGCAGTTGGTTGACGCATTGGTTTTGATGGATATCACGCTTTATACGCATGTCGGTGGCAATGGAGACGCTGATGAGAGGAAAGCTATGCTTGTCAATAGGCTGAGGTGAGCGGTGACTGCGTTATTGTGTTGAAGCAGAGGCAGTGGCGTGAGCGCCTTTGTGTGCAGCATTGTTCTGACGTGACGAGCCGAGATATATGAGCGAGGAGGTGTGCTAGTCTGGGCGAAGGCTTTCGACATGGCCTCCGCCAGCGTCTCTAACCAGAGTCCTTGCAGCTGTGCTCGGCCTTTGAGGTGGTGCCGTCGATTACGCCGTAAGGCGTTCGAGAGATTGCTATGTGTATCGACTACAGTCCGTCCCCCTCCAAACCGCCCCACACTGAATAGCAATACCGGAAACATCGCTGTTCGTGGTGGATCATCGGCCTCCGCGATCCACACCACCGCCATCAACGTCATCACGCTCTGTTAAGGCCGTGTGGGAGGACCAACACTTTCTGAATCATAACACTGCTTACATGCTGTTCCACCATTGAATCGGGGCTTTGTTCGAGCGATTTTGATATCTTTCCAGCCGGGGAACGTTGTGGCCCATTGTTCGCAAATTGGTCTGAGGTGGAGGCGATGACGGCTCACCACAGCAACAACACAACGATAGCGAGCGCCTCCGGCCACCGGCTTGGTGCAATATAGTAAGCCCCCATGGCGAGGAGTATGAGCGGGACGACAATGAGCAGTAACAGGGAGGGTGGGAGCGTGACGCCGTTCACGAGGATGCGGATCGTGCGGTGCAGCAGCAGCAGGACGATCATGTGGCAGTAATCAGCGGTAATTCGTGGTAATACTTGGTCGCTGTCCAAGGGTTTGGTTTCGGAGAGACTCTCGTCGCTGTCGTCGGCGACGATGAGGTGTTGTTGCTGCACTGGAAGAAAGATTGATCACCGTGCTGCACACAGCGACTGGAGGTGGGTTGGGGATGATGCGGGCGCCGATGAAGGGGCGACGCCGCGTGGCCGAGACGTCGTGTGTGTCCGCCGTACGTGTGTCCCTCCTTCGCTTTGAACACTGATATCATCATCTGACACTCTCTAACCAGCATTACAGCATCCTCCAATCTGCCCGCAGACCCCCTCAAGTCTCCACCGGACATCAGCAAGGCCGCTCCGCCCACTATCAACCCGAATCCGAAACGCGTCCCATACTCCATCGCTCAACTATGACTTCCCCACTCATGCCCTTCGTCACGGGTGCGGGCCTGCTCTCGCTCTTCCTCCTCCTCTATCTGCTCTGGTGGTGGGACGCCCCTGCGCCCTGGAAGTCGCGCCTCTGCCCCTATCAGCACCCCTACGCTCTCTGTGCCGTGTGTTCGGGCCACTGCCTCCCTCCGCCCTTTAAGGTTCCCCAGCCGCCCCCGACCACCTTCGTGCACTACCGCGACTGCACCGGGTGTGCCGACTGCGCAAACGGCGATGCAGTCGAGGGAAACGAGCTCGAGCTCTCGGGCACTATGGCAGTTGCGCTGGGTGTGCTCCTGCTCGCGCTGACGATTGTGGCGCCGCTGATTGGCATTGTCGTCGCGTTCATGGCAACTGTCGCCGTTGGGAGCACGGGTAGGGACGTCACGATCACCATGAGCAGGGAAGAGTGTCCGTGCATGCCGGACGTGTATCTGTGTCCGTACGAGAATGGCTGCAGCGCAGAATATGTGCAGCAGTAGTTCAGCTTCCCTCAAGTTCTCATACAACTATAATGTCCAACGTACAGCAGTCTAAACGTTCTATGTGATGTGCAATGTGAAGTGGTTTAGGCAGGCTTCAGGGGCAGAGCGCACAGCGCCTCGATGGTGCTGAGCTCGCTGGGAGTGAGGGTGCCAAGAGGGGTGTGGCGGAGACAGCTCTCCTGCGCCGCCTCTGGGTGGGAGAGCACGAGCTGCGCGGCGGTCGGGTTCCACTCGACGAACACGCCAGGCGCTATGCTGACGGGGGTGTGGATCGGCTCATCATCAATTGACGTCCGAGAGGAAGTCGAGCTGGAGCAGATAGAGCGCGGTGGGGATTGGCACATGGAAAGAGAGGATGGCGGGGAGGAGACAGGAGGCGCCCCATCAGTGGAGAAACGCCCAGGAGGAGAAGGGGGAGGGCTAGAGAGGATAGCGGACCCGGCATCCGAGAGACGCCGCGCGGCCTGTGGCGACAAGTGTCGCCGGTTCACCTCTTGAAACGTGAGCATGGCGTCCTTCTGTCGCGTCTTGCGTTCAGCCCATCTCCTCAGCTGCATGTACACTGTGCCCTTGTTCTCCTCCCTCCTCTCGTCCCCCGTACCCTCCTCCTCAGTGCCCTCACTGCCCCTACCCTCACTCTCCTCGCCCTCCCCATCCTCCGTAGAGTCCACCTCCATCCCAACCTCATCTTCAAACTTGACCCCAGCCCTGTTCGCAGCCCGCCTCGCCCGCATCAGGGCCATCCTCTCCTCCCTCTCGCGAAGGATGGCCTCGCGGATCCGAGCCCGCATACTGTTCTTAACGGAGGGGTGGGCGAGCTGATACGCGTGAGAGGCGCGGCAGCGTTGCCCAATTTCCGCGCGGAGTCTCAACTCTCGCAAATGCGCCGCTTCGGCTGCTGCGATCTGGCGCGAGACGCGGTTCCATTCCGCGATCGCGTTGCGCTGGGCGGTATCGGCCTTGGAGGTGGGGAGCTTGGCAGGGGTGCGCCGCTTCCTCTTGGTTGTGGTGGTGTTGCTGGGATGGGACTTGGGACTGGAGAGGGGCAAGCTCAGCTCTGCCATGGCTAGTGTTGGGCTGCTGACTGGTCGAAGTGGGTTGCTTGGGTGTTGAGTCGTGAGCGTGCTCTTTATGTATACGCTCCCCGGCGCCGTTCAGGTGTGCATCACGAGAATTACAAGCATTGGCTGAAGCATACACATGTCAATCATCTGCAGTCACTTGCCTTCACCCGTCGATCAAGACGATGTCGTCAGCGACCACTGAACTCGCACAAAAGACAGAATCCGCCACACCGCCTTTCGTCATTGTTCTCTCAGCACTGTTCACGTCCGTTCACCTCATTCTCCATCTCTACTTGTGCATACGAATTACAGAGTTGGATCACGTTCTTATTCCGGGTAGAATCGCGCCACAGCTAAACGCCTATCTCAGATCCACGTCCATCTCCGCATCCCCCTCCGAGTCAGTCATCTCCCCATCCGCCTCTGACCCGGGAACAGGGGCGGAAGCAATGCGTCTCCTCCTGGCTTCACTGGCCTTTCCGGCGGCTTTCATCTCCTGAGATAACAGCTCGAGACCGTGAGCCAGGTTTCGAAAGGCAGCCTGTGTCGAGCTCTGTGTCGGCCTGTGCGTGGACTGGTCGGGTAGAGAACGCCTCGACCTCAGAGCGTACGGAGAGCGATGATGCACGACGTGAGAGCGTTTCGGCCGGGGCGTGGCGGGCGGCGTGGCAGTGTGCTTCGGGGAGGCGCGCTTCGACGTAGGTGATCCGCGCACAGTGACTTGGGCGGGATCGGCCTCCGTGTCGGCTTCGGCGCCGCTGTCCCCGTTGTCCCCCTTGTCGTCTTTCTCCGCTGTGGCCACTGCCTCGGTATGAGGTGTATCGGCTTCGTTGAAGTCAGCGGCAATGATACTGCCCACTTCGGCGGCGTCTAGCACACTCTCGGCCAGGACGCTGTCGGCGTCGGCGTCGTCCGCGCAGCACTGGAGTGCAGAGTCGTCGGAGGGAGCACGGCGAGGCCCACCCGCCTCGAGCCGGACCTCTTCCAGGCTGACAGGGTTGACGGGCTTGAAGAGCTCGTCGTCTGCGTACAGGCTTGCAGTCGTTGCCTCGGGCTGGTGTCAGCGTCCACATCACAAGAACCAGAAAGGGGAATGGAAAGGGGATTCAAGCAGTGCTAGACAAGGGGGTGTTAGAAAGATAGTGAGAGCAGTGAGAGAGCTGAAGGGAGGCAGGTCCGGGGCAGCAGCGGCACGCAATCGGGGAAGAGAGAGAACTACCGTGCATCGTCTATCTCACCGAGCTACTGTGCAGAGCAAGGCCACCTCTCGCAGCTGCACCCGGGCAAGTCTTCCTCTTCGCGCTTAGCCAAGGGCTGGAGAGGACTGACGTCGCGCTGTTGTTCACCAGCCTCAGCTGCCTGCGCCTTACTCCTCCCAGCCTCTCCCTTCTTCTCTCCCTGGAGCTCTCCCTTGCCCTCCCCCTTCCCAGTCTGCTCAACCTCCTCCCTCCCCCTCTCCCCCACTGCCGCCCCACTCCTAGTCAGAGCAGTCTCGACCCCGCTAGCCGGCTCCGGCTCGACGAGCTCAACCTCCCCAGCAGGAGTGGGAGTCACAGTATCCGGAGCAGCAGCAGGAGCGGGAGAAGTCGGGGGCCTCAGCCCGTCCCCACGTCCCAAGACACCTCGGAGCAACACCTCGCTCCGGCGATAAAGAGAACTGGCCCGAGACTCCTGCGAGTACACCGAGTCCAGCGTCGTGTCCCCGAACGTGGCGCCTGTGACGTCTGCCTCGTGTTCCTCGTGTGCCTCGTGTTCCTCCTCCTCTTCTTGCTGCTCTGCTCCCTCAGCCCCCGCTGCTTCCATCTCCCCTCCGGCCCTCTCGACGATAGTGCTGAGGGGCAAGTCGATCGTGTCCTGCGACGTATCGGCCGTATTCGGCTCGCTCCTTTCCTCAATAACCTGCAACGGGCCCAGCGCATATGACGCGAGACTCGGATCGAGACCGGTCGAAGCTGATGGAGACGCGATCTCCCTCCCCTCGACTATGGCTTGCAGAGGAGTTGTGACTGTGACTACTGAAGTTGAGCCGAATTTGGACATTGGTGCAGGAGGGGGGAGGGCGGGGAGACTGCTTGAACGTGGTGGGAGACCAGGCTGAGCAGGCTGAGCAGGCTGAGCAGGCTGAGTGTCCGGCAGAGAGGACGAGCGAGGGGGCAGGTCTGGCAGCGGGGCTGACCCCGACAGAGTCGGCAGATCGGGCTCGATCACGGACGGAGCAGCCCGACCGGAGATAACAGCAGAAGCAGCCGGGCGTGAGTCTGAGAGCGACTCGGAGAGCGACGAGCGGGACGAGCGGAGTTCGGAGGAAACGGAGGACACGGAGGATACGAGCGTCGCGCCGTCCCACTCACTCGTCCCGCTGACCCCGCTTTCTCTGGCCGTCTGAGCGCTCGGCGGGGAGACTGGCGGAGAACCGCGCGCAGAGACTGGCGGAAACGTGGGTGAGGGCGGGAGCGGGATGCTGCACGCCTCGGCCGGGCAAGGTGGCGACGGCGGGGCATCCGGGAACGGTGTGCGCGGAGTATGGCTCACCATCATGACTTGCTGGGAGGTCCGCTCTGCGACTGGCTCCTTATGACTTGGTAGAGTAAGTAGAGGGGGACGTCAGCGCTTCCATCAGTGTTCACATCATCAGCATCAGTGGCATTGTCGTGAGCACTCAAATCGAAGGAAGAGGCAGGGGTATGCCGTCTACTGAAGCAAGGAGGCCGGCTTTGTAGTTGTCGGAGATTGATCTCATACCCGTCTTGTCAATGGATACGCCTGACCGTGTCCGATCCCATCGGCCCCCATCAGGACACTAACGCAACCTCCCATCCTCTCGCTCCAACAAAAGAAGAAAACGCAAGAAAGCCCATGAGGACTGCGACCAGACTTAAGTGGTCAGCCGACCACTGGTCCGAGACGTACCGCGCTCTCGTCCGATCGTCCGATCGTCACGCCGCCGCTCTAGCTCAGAAGATCATGTGACACGGCCAACTTTCTTTGCCCCGCGCGCGGCGCGCAACCAGTCTGGCGCAACCAGTCTGGCGAGGAGGTCGGCGGAACGGTCAGCGAGACGGGCAGCAGGATCACAGGACCTGCAGAGAAGAAAGGGGAGGAAAGAGATGTAGAGAACGTGGTGGAAGGTGCACGTTCTTGTCTGGGGGCGAAGCGGAGCGGAGTGCGGTGCGGAGCAACCAGTCAGCCAAGCGGCGCACGCGGCGCACGCGGCGCACGCCACAGCGGCGACTGCGGCGATCTCAACAAGGGCAGCGCTGGGCAGAGCTGGCAGAGTAGATCCGCCCCGGCACCCGCGGCGCCCGGCCCGGCCCCTCAGCCCCTCATCAGTTCCTCACTTTGTTGCTCCGGCCATCGGGCAGGTCGGCGGTCCACCCCTGGATGCCCTGCGCAGCACACGATGTGCACTGCGGACCATGCGGTGAAGACAGGGGGCCAGGGGGCTTCGGAGCATGTCTGGCTTGGCCTGTCTCGTTACTGGTCAAGAACTGGTCGGTGCCGGACGGTGCCGCCGTCTGGGCAGGTGTGGACGCATGGACGCATGGTCGGTTGTCTGCGCCGAGTGTCTGGGAGCACATGGTGTCAACTCACCTGCCCTCCAGCCGCGCCAGCCGGCCCCCAGCTCACTACGATCACTACTGACTACCTGGCTGCAAGGGAAAAACGGTATGGGGGCCAGGGCGCGCAGGGCGGGCCGGGGTTCCCGGAATCCATACCCTAGGCCGTCCCCATTGGTCCCCATTGGTCCCATTAGACCAGTTGCCCGCCTACTGCCGCAGACATAATTGCCTGCCCCACTCAGATGCACCCACCAGAGTCATGCAGGCCACCGAGGACGCTGGCCAGGCCGGCCCGCATCCTGCCAGACCACCTGGTCTTGGTCCAACAAGGCCGCCAGAGTGGCTCGGAAGCAGACAGTGTCAATGCAAGCCACTGTACCTGTGCCCCTCTTGCCCTCTGGCCCGCATGGTACGTATCCCTTTTGTGTGTGCGGTGACACCTCGTGGTGACATTCCACACTGGCTCGAACGGACACTTTAGCCCGGATGTGAGCCGGCTGACGTTTGCTGTTTCCTGCACCAGCACTGTGGACCTTTGAGCGTTGCGTACCTTTTGTGAAGAGCCGATGGAAAACGCTGAAACCGATATTAGCATGGAGCGAGTCTATCTTGGGCCATTGGCTTGGGGGGGGGGGGTGGGCACTGGACCAGAGACATGCACAGTTAAGGTTGAGAGGTACGAGAGCTGGAGGCACGCACGGAGGCAAAAGTTGTCTCTCTGCTCTCTGACCGCATGCAGCTGCCTGGCGCGCTTGGGCTAATGGCCACCGCGTGCTCCTCAGGGCCAGCCGCATCACATGGTCACTTGTTGGTCGATGGTCTCTGGCTTCTGTGCGCGTCACTCGGTCCAGAGCATGCCTCGGGTCTCGTGCCCTCGGCATTTCCCAGATCCTCAGACCATCCGCTGCCCCATTGGCCTTTGGGGCAAAGCGCAGTTAATCAGATTGGACTAACAACAACCGGGATTAGAAACGACCGTATTAATCGGATACTGCCGTCTCCAAATTGGACCCTGAGCGTCCACTCTGATGGGGACTGGCTGGCTGACAGACGATGCGATCGCCGAGTCGACCATGCACTGCATCTCCCCCAGCCTTGCCCCTCGCTGCCCCTCGGCGCCGTTCTGCGCCACCGCCGCCGCCGCTGCTGCTGCTGCTGCTGTGCTCCACTCTCCAAACCTCGACGCACGTCCGCACGCCACGTACACAGACTCACTCAGGCGACTCCGCATGCGTTGCAAAAGTGCAGACGCAGTCGCTAGTCGCAGTAGTCGCAGCAGCCTGGCCTGACTGACGGAACACTCGCGTCCCAGCGCCAGAACAGCGAGAGAACGCCAACAACGTCACCCGGCGCCCCGGCTTAAGCCGCCAAAGCCGCTCTCGTCAGACACTCGACTCGCGCGAAATCGGCGCAGTGTCTTCAACTGGCATGCACATGCTCCCATTGTCTCAAGTACTATGCTCTGATAGCAACAACATGCATAGCGATCATCTTGGATTTGCCGTAATCAATGCAGCAGCAGCTGTATCGTATATCGTGACGGGTCGGGTGCAAGTGCCCTGGGGCCAGCGTGATCCCTTTCGTGCCCTTGAAGCCCTTAGTAGCCCCGCGTGGTTTCACTTTCGCACTTGATCGTGCGGACTGTCGACTCGTAGGAGCAGTGGACTCTGACTCGGCGGTGGCGGCGGCCAACGAGGACTCCAGTCAATCGGTGACTTGTGACGGTTGGAGACTATTGCACCATTGCATTGCACCATCCTACAGTGACTGTCACCTACCCACCCGATTACACGACGACTGCGAAACCATCTGCAAACTAGAGCATTTCGACATTCCCCAACCACGCAACCTCCTCATCCTCCACAACTTGAACACTGCGCACGAACCCCACACACATCCCCCCCTTCTTCCCACTCACCACCACCCCGTGCTTCTTCTCATCCTCTCACTCTCCCTCCCTCTCTTGACCCCCCTTGCATTCTTCTTTTCCTTCGATTCCCTCATTCGGCTCCCTTCCACACACAAAACCCCTAACGCCCGCCCCGGCCCACGACTACGACGAGCCCGACTCGACCCCCCAGCGACTCGGTGAAGACTGCCAGAAACCCAACAGTCAACACACAACCCCGCATTCACCAGTCCCCCCGTCTTACCGTCCACCACTCCGCTCCGACTCGATGGCACGACAATCGCATTTCATCCGGCGTCTCCTCTAGTGTACTACAATCGTGTGCGGCCGACAGGTGGTCTTAGACGCAGCATTCAGCGACCGCCACCCTAGGCAGCAGCACAGTCGTCCAGACCCCACACGCCCACGCCAATCAATCCGCACTACATCATTTCTGATCCTTCTCCCCCTCCCCCCACCAAATAATCCACAGCACCTCGACTCGACCTTTCCATTCCGCCCGTCGCACCCGCAACAGCGTTTGTCCACCACACCTCACTCATTACGTGACGACGACTACTCTTGCAGCGCGCTTTCCGCGACACACACACAAGGTCTCTTGCACCACACACACACATACTGCACGCCGCCTCCAGGGTCAATTCATACATAGCTCAAGGTCCAACTTTTTGCCGCCTGCTGGGCTAGCTTGGGCTTGGCAGTCTTTGTATTGGACACCCGCCGCCGCTATCAGCGCACCCCTCGGCAACCCGCTGACTCGATCTTTCGCAAGCCATCAAGTCCCAAGGCGTCAACACCTTCACTCTTTGCTTATTCTTTACCACATTTTCTTTCTTCCGGCCACCCTTCGGGCCCCTTCCCCACCCCCCACTGTCTGCGACAGTTTAACGCCGCGGAGCTCTTGACGACATGAGCGGTCACGAAACCCCTAGCGCCATGTCGCCTGGTCGGCGATATGCAGCCCTCGATCGTTCTCCGTCACCAAGGCCGCTGCTTCAGCAGCGCTCCGGCACGCCCTCGAGGTTACCTAGCTTCTCCCACCAGAGCTGGGACACTTGGACCGACGGTTCTGGCTCGACAACGGCCGGCCCCTCGGCAGGGCCGAGACGGGTCTCCGCGACTCAGACCGTGATCGGTTTCGGGCCGCCGCCCACGGCGTCGAATGGCATTGCGTTCCCTCCCGCCGTTCCTTCCCCGCGAGCGTCAATGATGGGCATGCCCATGACTTCTTCGCCCGTTACAACGCAGTTTGCGCTTCCCAAGCCGGGCGCTTCGGGACGCCCCAGCTTCTCCCAACAATACCAGAGCAACGACCACATCGACCTTCCTTCATCACCACGGGGAGGGTACCGCCCCGAACTGCCGGGCTCCCCCCGTGCCCTTCCCAATGAGAGTCGCTCTCGCCGCAACTCTGCCGCCGTTGTCTCAATCTCGCTCTCCTCCCGATCGCGCTCGCGGACGCCCAGGGGCAGCTCCAACCTGCTCCCCGGCCGGTCTGGATCAGGGACACCGAACAACAACAACAGCTCCACTCCGAATGGTGGCGACGACGCCGCCTGGGCTCCCGGCGTCGACGACATGGACGACTGGCAGCCGACTGGCGGCGTCCTGCTCGACGCTGACGAGGAGGAGGAGCGCCACGACAATTTCGGCTTCGACGACTTCCAGAACCAGGGCCGGTCATGGACCGCCGAGTCGGATGCGAGCCACATTGCCGACGTCCTGCGCCCGGGCATGGTCTTTGGCGAGGGCCTCGAGTTTGAGGGCGATGTGATCGCGCCGGCCGTCGGCCGCCTGCAGATGAACGACACGAGCGACGTCGGCCTGCCCCTGCGCCGAGATTTCAGTGCGATGGGCACAAAGCGCAACCCCAACGAGAAGAAGACATATGATGTGATCCGCCAACTCGGATCGGGATCGTATGCTTGTGTCTATCTCGTGCGGGAACGGGGCGGACGCAAGCGCGAGTACGCACTCAAGTGTCTCAGCAAGCATGATCTCGAAGAGGATCAACTCGAGACCCAGCTCTTCGAGGCGACCATCCACCTCTCGCTCCCGATCCACCGCAACATTGTCACTCTTCACGACACGCTCCAAACCAAGAACTGGCTCTTCCTCATGCTCGAGCTGTGCCCTGGCGAAGATCTGTGCGTACAGCAAAATAAACTTTGACTGACTCTGAAACAGGTTCTACTGGCTCGAGCGCTCCAGAGACGCATCACCTCCGCCGGCCAACGCCGCGCTCCCTGGCGACGACGACCCGCGCGGGCGTGACATCATGTCGTCGTCGCGACTCTCGTCGTCTTCCATTCCTTTCTCTTCCTCCCAACTCTTCTCCAACTTCCCGAGCAGCTTCACCAACTCACCCGTGCCTTCTCCCCGAACAATGGTTTCAACGGTTTCCAGAGCGGATCGCAGTACTCTGCGTCCCCTGCATCGCTTCTGTTTGCGCATCACAACGGAAGCCAGTCGATCAGTCTCAGCTCGCACGCCGCGACGCCCCCGACTCCTTCACTCCTGTCTGCCTTTTCCGCCAACACGCTGCTCACGCCCCGCCGACTGCGCCTCATTGCCTCCATGTTTTCGCAAATGTGCGAGGCGGTCGCGATCTGCCACGACGCGGGCGTCTCCCACCGCGACATCAAGCCGGAGAACTTTATCTGTTGCGACTCGGTCGAGCTCGAGGCAGAAAATCCCCCCGACGGCTCACCCGACTTTGGTCCCCAGTCTCGTCGCAAGGTCATTGTCAAGCTGACCGACTTTGGCTTGGCCACGACCGAGGAAGAGTCTGGCGACGTCGAGTGCGGCTCCAAGCCGTACATGAGCTACGAGTGCCGGAACAATCTCGGCCCCTCGTACCGCCCCAAGCCGGCCGACGTGTGGTCGCTCGGCATTGTCCTCATAAACATGCTGTTCCACCGCAACCCGTGGAAGGACCCGACGGATGGCGACGCCAACTTTGACGCGTTCCTTGCGGACCGCGCTAGCTTCTTCCAGACCAAATTCACGGGTATCGGCAAGGAGGTCGCGACGTATCTCGCTGAGCGTGTCTTGTGCATCGACGTCGACTCGCGCGTGTCTGCGCGCGAGTTTGGCCAGTGGGTCCGCCAGCTGCCCGAGATGATTGCCGGTCGCCGAGCCGTTCAGGCGCTTAAGATCGCCCGGCTCGAGAACCGCGCCAAGGCTGGCAGCGACAAGGGCATGTTTGCAAAGGCGCCAGTTGCTAAGGCCAACCACCGCCCGAGTGGACTCGCAAGCGCCCTCAGCGCCAACGCGGTGTCTCCACTGCCGGCTCCGACGGCCGATCTGCCTCCGCCACCGGCACCTAGTCTGTCTTCGCTTCCGCCGAAATCCGAGCTGTCCGATGCTGGTGCCCCGCAAGTCGCCCCGACCCCGGATTTGCTGGAGGGCGACGAGATTCGCTCCGCGACGACGGTCGACGACAACCCGACGCCAAGCGACCTTTCGACGGTTGTGTCTCCCGAGCCACCCGAGGACGCCGACAGCGGTGTCGGCGACCAGTTTGTCAAGCGCAGCGAGACGCAGGGTTCGTCGCCGCCCGAGGGGGACGAGCGTTCTCTTTCCACGCAGAAGCGCCGCAAGCGTGGTGTCCGCAAGGGCAAGGCGGCGCAGGCGGCTCTCGCGGCGCAGCAGGCGGCCGGCGGCGAGACGTCCCGCGAGGAGCGCGACGCTTTCCTGGCCGAGCTTGTTGCTGCTTCCGAGCAGCTCGCGCGCGACCTGTCCAAGAAGAAGACGCTCGACGTGACGCACCAGGCCGAGTTCCCGCCGCTGGGCGCGACGCCACAGCAGGTCGCTGCCGCACGCAAGAGCCGCTGGAAGGACTTCCTCGCGATGAGCAAGGGCAACCCGCAGCTGGAGGCTCTTGCTCAGCGTGTGGCCGAGCGCGAGGCGGCGGCCGGCAGTACGTGGTCGGCGCCCGCCCAGCTGCAGCACGAGGACACGAAGGGCTCGCCGCCCCGGCACCAGCCGCGGCACACGGCCACAACGATGGGAACGGTATCGCTCGGCGGCGCCGACGAGGACGACGACTGGCGCAAGCGCGACAAGGCGTCGACGCCGAAACCGGCGGACGCAAAGCGGTCCTCGCGCCGGGCAACCGAAGACTCGTCGCGCTCTCGCCAGGCGGCACTCGCCGCCGCCGCCATCGCCGGCGGCATGGACACGATGGGCGCGTTCGGCCGGCCGTCGCACCTCGGCCGCCCCGTGCCGCTGAACACGCGCCGCTCGCCCCTCGCCGAGGAGGACAAGAAGCCCCCGAAGAAGGAGGTCTTTTCGCCGACAGCCTCAAAGAACTTTTCCCCGACAGCGTCCAAGATCTCGGCCAAGTCGCACACGACGTCGACGACGAGCACCAAGGTGCCCTCTCCTGCGGCCACTGCGTCCAAAGCCTCGGTGGCCAAGACAGTCCCGCTGGCCAAGGTGCCCTCGCCTCCGCACAACGAGAAGCCGAAGAAGCAGATGTCGAGTTTGGTCAAGATGTTTGGGGGGCTGAAGACGAAGGGGAAGGAGTAGCGCCGCCGAGCACCCGAGTCTCGCGCAGCGAGGCGAGGGCGGCGAGGTGTGCCGCAGGCAGCGAGTCCCGCGCAATAGAGGGGTGACGCGGCCTACTGGGCTCATCACTCGTCGTGCGTGTCTCTCAGCGGGCAGTGTAAGGACGGTCATCCTGCTGTCCAGAGACACCAGGGGCACAGTACCGTGTCTAGATAGGAAAAGAAGTAAAACCCCACAACAAACCACACATCACGTGCATATGTATGATTAGTGCATAGACGGGCACCGAGCGCAGCGCGGAGCGCGGAGCGCGGTGGGAGCGAGGTGGGGCGAGAGTCGAGGGTGGTAGGAGGGGGTGTGGGTGGTGAGGGGAGTGGGAGTGGAAAGGGGAGGGTCCATGCGGCGTCTTGGCGTGATAAGATAAGAATTGCTCCGTTCGCCGCCAAGGATGTCCGCCAAGTCTCTGGAGTTGGCATTTGGCCGTCCAAAGCGTGGAGTGAGGGGGGGCGTACATGATTCCAGCCACTGGGAAAGTTGGGAGTTGGGAGATCAAGCCAGCCTGCTCTCACTTCTACAGACAGTGTGCAAAGCGAGGTGCAACGCGAGGTGCGACGCAGGCACAACCTAGCCGATACGCCACTCGTCCGTCAGGCCGTCACGCTGTCTTTCCGCTGTGTTTCCGCTGTGTTTCGTCCCGCCCACTGCCTGCCCGACTGTCCGGGCCTCGTGCAGCGCTGCAGCGCTGGCAGTCACATGACGACCAGTCGAGATGAGCGTGGGTTGAGTGCATCGCTTCGTTACTTTGGGCCACACGACCAGAATATGGCCGAGTAGGTCCTGAAGTCTGAGTCAGTCTGGAGTCTGGCCAGTTCTCCAGAGTTGTGCGTAGCGAGGTGGCCAGTCGGCAGTCGTCGGCAGTCGGGAGTGGGCAGGTGTGTGGTATGAGGGGACAGGTGGGCCCACATGAGCCTCGTGCTTGTCGTGTTTCATCTACTCGGATGAGATGCGTCATTCCGTCCTTCGTAAAAGATGAGGGAAGGAGAGAGGGACTGCGCAGCGGGCAACCCCTCATGGCCGCTCAGAACTCTTACCAAATCGCTACGTCTTCCACCCTGTCCGTTCTCCGTTCGGTTTACTTGTGGCGGCGTAACGAGCACTTGCGGTCACATTCAGCCATGCCCGCCCTAGATACCCGATCTTCCCTCCCTTCCCTCCCTGCACCTCCAATCCTCGCTCCGAGGCTCCGACACCAGTCTCCTCTCTTAGTCCCTCTAGTCCCTCTAGTCTCTCATCTCTCTAGTGTTCTGCTCACTAGCCGCCCCGCAGTCCACTGATCATTCTGCCCCGTTGACTCCGTAGTCCGTGGAGATGCATATATAAGCCTCCCTCCCACCCCCTTCCTCCGTCACCTCCAAACTCGCTTCGCCCGCATCACATCACAGCAGCTCAAGGCTCGCTTCGCTTCGCTTCGCTCGCCGCTCGCCGCTCGCAGCTCGCCCACTCGCTATGAAACTCACCCCCATCATCGCCCTCACGCTCGCGACCCTCGTCGCTGCCGCCCCGATGCCAGACCCCAGGGACAGGCCGAACTGCAAGTCGCGCTTCTCTTGGACGTGTGGTGGGCACTGGAAGCGGATCTTTGGTTCTGAGTAGATCCCCCCACTCTCTCTCCTCCCCAGACTCGGTACTCCACACAGCGACAGCGACAGCGACAGCGACAACGACAGCGACAGCGACAGCGACAGCGACAAGACAAGACAACTGAGTCGAGGAACGGGGATCGAATCATCATCACTGAACGCAATCCACACATCCGGTACAGAGGTACCAAGCGAAACACCAGCAAAACACCAGCAAAACGCCCCCCAGACCACAATCAGCGCGGTGTCGAACACTTCACCGATCTGAAGTCGTCGTACAAGGGAGATGGGAGGATCATAGTCATGAAGAAATGCAGTCTTAATGTAGGATCCTGTGATTATTGGCTTTTGGCTCAAGTTTGCTCGAGTTTACAACGTATACACTACTCTCTCCTCCCTGCTCTCCTCCCTGCTCTCCTCCCTGCTCTCCTCCCTCCTCACATTCATCCTTCCCCCTTCATCTGCTGTGTTCCCAGCTTCGGGCGATGCATCCACAACTAACCCGCCATTCACCCACCAGCCACTCACTCGCTCGCTACGCTCGCTGGTTATTTGCGACTCCTAGTCCTCCCCGCGACAGCCACGGCCGGCGCCTCGTTCTCCTTCGTCCTAACCACGGGCTTGCGGAGACCTGTGGGTTTCTCCTCCTTTCCCTCCTCCTTGCCCTTACCCCTCGCCGATCCCGCCGTTCCCGAGACGGAGCGCGTGCTCCTCGTCGGCTTGGACTCGGGCTCGGGCTCGGCCTTGCGCGTGCGTGTCGAGCGGGTCGGCTTGGACTCGGGCGTCTTGGCGCGTGTTCGAGGCTTCTCCTCCGTCGACTTGGCACGAGAACGGGTGGGCTTTGAGGGCGCGGACGCGGGCTCGGGGGAGGGAGCACGGGGCTGCTCCGCCTCGCCGAGGACTTGGCGGGAGCGCGTGCGGCGGACGACGCGTTCCTCGGGCGCCGTGGAGGTGGATCTGGTACTGCGGCGCGAGGCGGTCGATGCGGTGGACACGGGGGGCTCGGAGGGCGCCTGCGAGGTCTGGCGCGTGGAGCGCCGCGTGGCTGTGGAGGCGGGCTCGGGCGGCTCCCTCGACTTGGCCCTGGTTGTGCGTGTCGAAGTGGACTTGACCTCGGGCTCGGTTCGGCGGGAACGAGACTTGGGCGGCGACGGCGCAGTGGTGGCGGGGCGAGGCGCGGATACCTTGCGCGGGAGACGGCTCCTAGCCGTTGAGCCTGTGGAGCTCGAGAGGGAGAGGGCGGAAGGGGGACGCTTCTGCTCTTTGGGCTCGGCTTCGGCTTCAGCTTCATGCTGCTCCTCAGCTTCAGGCTCTGGTTGCTCTTCCACTTCGGGCTCAGCTTCGGGCTGCTGCCCAGCTTCAGGGTGCTCTTCAACCTCCGCCTCCGGCTCCTCGTCAGCCTCAGCCTCCTGTTCTGGTCCTGCCTCCTCCACAGCCTCCTTGCGCTCAAGAGCCGTCGGGACCGCTGCCGCCGCCTCGGCCTCTCGCTCCGGAAGCTCCGGGAAGAAGTCCCCGACACTAGCGCGGTACGCCTTCTCGCGCTTCTGCGCAAACATCTCCTTCATCCCGGACAGTTTGGGGGTGGTCGCCTGCTTGCCATAGAGGTGCTTGACGCCGTCGAGGGCGGGCGTGGCGGCTTCCCTCTGCGCGTACATGTGCTTGACACCGTCGAGCGCGGGCGTGGCGGCCTCCTTGGGTTGCGCGTAGAGTTCGCGCATGCCTGACAGAGAAGGAGTAGAGGCCCCCTTCTGCGCGTACATGTGCTTGACACCGTCGAGGGCGGGAGTCGCCGCCTCCTTTGGCTGCGCGTACAGCTCCCGAACACCCGAGAGGGCCGGCGTCGACGCAGTCTTCGCGTACAGGTGCTTCACGCCATCCATAGCAGGCGTGGGCGGGGGGAGCTTGGGGTAGAGCTGCTTCACGCCCGTCAGGTCGGGCGTGGCTTGCTCCTTCGGGACGGCGTACATCTCCTTGATGCCTGACATCGCGGGCGTCGCCTGCGGCAGCGAGGGATAGAGACTCTTCGTGTTCAGGTCTGGGGTCGCTTGTTCCTTCGGCGCGGCGTACATCTCCCGAATACCCGCGAGCTTGGGCGTCTCCGCCTCCTTGGGCGCCGCGTACATCTCCTTGAGCCCCGACAGCGCGGGCGTCGCGGCCTCCTTTGCCGCGTACATGTGCTTGATCCCGGTCAGGTCGGGCGTCATGGGCGGCAGCTGGTGCGCGTTGCTGGGACGCTTCTTCGTGCGCGTCTTGCGGCCCGGAGACGGGGCGTGCTCCGCCTCGTCCGCCTCGGCCGTCGCGGCGTCGTACATGTCCCCAGCGACCACAGGAGAGGCAGTCTTGGACTTTGGCGTCTTGCTCGGGGTGGTCTTCGGGGTCGAGTGCACCGGCTGCTGGATACGCCGAGGCGTACGGCGCAGAGCATACGTCGGCGAAGCCTCAGGCTGCTCCCTCTCCGGCTCCTCCTCCGCATCGGCCAGCGCGTCCTCGCCCACCGTGCCCTCGGGCGTCGGAGACGGGAGCTCCTCGACGACGTCAAAGATGTTCGAGAGGCGCTTCTTGCGCGCGGTGGCGCCCAGGGGCGTGCTCGGCACGGCAAAGTCTAACGTCTTTCGCCGCTCCTTGGCCGGCGTCGCCGTCTTGAGCGCAAGCGTCGAGAGGCGCCGCTTGATCTCGTCCATGGGCGTGCCGGGGGTGAGAATGTGCCGAGGCGCCAGCTCTAGACCCTTGAGCGGCGTGGCGCTCGGCGTGGCGGGCTGCGCCCTCGTGAACGAGCCCTCGGGAAGACCGAGGCGGCGCGGCGTGCCGAGCGCCTGCCTCTGCGCGGGGGTGAGACCCCTGGGCGTCTCAGGCATCGACTTGCGGCTCTTCTTTGGCGTCGACGTCTGCACGTCAGACGACGGCGGGAACAGGCTCGTCGCCTTCAGCGGCGTCATGGATGGCATGTCGTCGTCGTCCATCAGGAAGTCGGGGAGGTTGCTCTTCACTTCGGGAGCCTTGAATTCGGGCTGCGAGGGACGCAGAGGCGACCAGAGTAACGACTCGCCCTCGCCCGGTCCCATCTCGCGCACGGGGTGGCCTAAGCCGCGCCTAGACGGTGTGAGGAGGCCAGTGGTAACGGGACGGGGCTTCTCAGCCGGCGTGAAGCGCACAGCGGGGCCGCCAATCTCACTTAATCCGGTGTGCGAAACGCGAGGCCCACGGCGAGGGCTGCGCTGAGGGGTCGGAGCCTTGGGCGGAGTCAACTGGATGGGCTCAGTGCCAGGAGAGGTCTTCTCGGGGACAGCGTCGTCGACGTCGCCCGAGATATCGGCTTCGGAGGCGCTCGACTCGACAGAGAGCTCCCAGTGGTCCTCGTCCGCCTCACCTTCGGCATCCTCGTCTTCCTCCTCCTCTTCGTCCTCGACCGCTTCCGCCTCGTCGCCGTCAGACTGCCCAGCCAGATCGCCAAAGTCGATAACGCCCTGTCCCGGGATGCTCGTGTCGCTAGACAAGCTCCCTCCGTCAGAGTCCGAGTCCTCAAAGCTGTTCTGCCCATCCTCGAAAATCCACTTGAGCTCGCCCTCCTTTGCGGGACTCTCAACCGGAGGAGCATTTTCATCATTCTCATCGTCCGACGAATCCGAGTCCGAGTCGGGGATGATTGGTTTCGGCGGGGAAGACTTGCGCGAACTCGTGCGCCCGAATGACTTGCGCCGCGTCTCGACAGAGCCCATAGCTATGCCGCCGTCGACGCCGCGCTGCAGCTGCGACTCTTCCCAGACCTTGCGGGCGGACCGGAGCAGGAGAAGTTTGCGGAGCGAGGCGTCTCCGCGGGGAGTGCTGTACGCAACCTGAGCGGTGATCTGGGGTCCAGTGCGAGACGGCGTCTCGTGAGTCGTTTCCGATGCAGGTAGGGGAACGAAGCGCGGTGTGCGCGGTGACTCGTGCTCTTCCTCTGCGTCCTCGAGCGCTTCAGGCGATGGCGGCTCGGCGACGTTCGTCTCGGCCGGCGGCTCGGCAGCTTCGGGCTCCTCAGCTGGCTCCTCCTCAACGCGCTTCGTGTCCTCAGCAAATCGGATGCGCCTCGGCACGACGCTCGTATTCCTCGGCTCCACTTTGCGCTTGACCTGCGGCGTCATGAACGCATTCTCGAAGATCTTGGGTTCGTCTCCTCGCTTCTCGACGAAGAGAGTGTCACCCTCGTCGCCGGCTAACTGCACCGGCTCCTCTTCCTCCTCCTCCTCATCCGCAGTCACAGGCAGCCCGAGACCAAGCGTACTCCGTCGCGGCTGCAGGGGCACAAACCGCCTGCCTTGCGGCACGATCGAGAGGCGGTGGCTCGCGCGTCGCCTAACTGGAGTGCTCGGTACTTCGCTCGGGCCCGGAGAGCCGGGCACATGCGGGAGCTTGACGGGCGATGGGGCAGGCGAGTCGTAGCCTGAAGACGTGGAGCCCGCACCATACGTAAAGCGGAACAGCTTCTTGGCGAAAAGCAGCTGGTCGCCGTCGCCGAGGGCGATGATGGCACCCGCGCGGTGCTTGGTCGGCTTGCCGCCTGATGGCGTGTGCACCAGTCCATTGGTGCCGTGCACCGTCAGCGCGGCTTGTCCGGTCTCCAAGTCAAACTCGATTTCGGCGTGCAGTTTCGACACGTCGGGGACGTAAATTCGAACCTGCATTGGGTTAGCGTGATAGTGGGGATGCGAGGAGAGAGCTTACGTCGCAGTCCTCGTCGCGACCGAAAGTGACACGCTCGGCATCAATCGGGAAGCCATTCAGTTTGACGCCCGTCTTGCGCGCGATGAGCTCGAGGTGGCCCAGAATGGCTGGCACAGGCATGGGCGCGACGCTCTGCCGTGGCGCCATGGTTTCGGCGGTTTGCTTGTGGTGGTATAGATGGGTTATAGAAGGATGTCGCAGGGGGTATCGCTTGGTCGTTCAAGTGTCGTGTCGTGTTTGCGTTTGCTGTGGTCAGTGTGTCGATGTCGGTTGTCGTTGGTGGTCGATGGTGCAGAAGTTTGAAGCTCCTAGCCAGAAATGGTCGCCGCCCTAGGGTGTTGTTGTTGTTTACCAGCAGTGCGGAAGTCAGTCACGATCACCTCCCAGTTACGTAACAGGTACCGTCAGCATCAGGTCGCGTGGAGTTGTGCACGTGACTGTATTTCGGATATTCACCCCCTGGACGGCTACAGCCGCGAGATCCGCTCAATGTCACCGGTCAGTCGTCCGTCGTCCCAGCGTCACGAGCACGGTGAACAGTGGGGACGTTGGAGACGACGAGTGAGTAACGCAAAGGTCATGATGGGGGCCGAGCGGGAGTCAGGTGGTGCATCAGCGCTCAGTCAGTGTGTGACTATCTCTCTATCGATGCACTGATACGGGATAGTGGCAACTGTACACCAGTGAGCATCATCGGACGGGACTAAACGGTGAAGCGGCGCGCGACCCGGGCTGCGTACCGTCGCACACGGAATTGACCGAATCCAGCAGCACCGCCGTCGTCTCGCTCCTCACCTCGATCCCTGGCTGACGTTGCGCGACATAGTCCTCTCTCTTCATCCGGTCCACACTTCTTGGTCAAGACCACACATACACTCCGTCCTCCGACCTCACCGGAGCATCGACAACAAGGGGTGTGTGATCCACACATTCTTTACTTTTCTGACCGCCACCCACTACGCCTCCACTCGGCGGACAACTGCAAGAGGCCGCCGCCCCCCTACCGTTGCCGCACCGCTGGACACCGGTTGTCTTGGCACTCGAACCCCTCCGTCCTTTGTTGCCACTATGCCTGCGCAGTACGGCGCGACCGACTCCCAACCCCAACCCCCTCCCTCGTCCACACTCACCTTTTCCTCCCCCGCCCGCGACCGCGACGCCGAGCGAGGCCGAACCATGCGCCAGTCGTACGAGGGGCGCGCCCCGCGTCCGTCGCTTGAGCGCCGCCGCTCCCGTCTCGAGACGCATCAGCCGGGTGCTTCCGTCCTCAGCTCCGTGTCCAACCTGGCCAACACGATTATCGGCTCGGGCGCGCTCGCCTTCCCCGCCGCGTTCGCCAGCATGGGCATGGTCAGCGGCATTGTGTCGTGTCTCTTCTCGGCGAGCACGGCGACCTTTGGTCTCTGGCTCCTGAGCCGGTGTGCGCTGCTCGTCGGCCAGCGGCCCGGAGACGAGGGACGCATGGCGAGCTTCAACGAGGTCGCGCGCTTGGCTTTTGGAAAGGGATGGGTCATGCGCCTGTTTGATGTGAGTGGAGCAGATCCGCCGCGGTATGCGCGGTATGCGGAGCGGCGCCGCCCATCGCCGCGGCGCCATCGCTATACGATTGTCTGCGTAGCTAACGACAGTTCGCCATCGCGATCAAGTGCTTCGGCGTGTCGGTCTCGTACTTGATCATCTGCAAGACGCTACTGCCGCAGGTGTCCGAGACGTTTGCGCATCTGCTGCACACGGAGCTGTCGCCGGAGAGCTGGCTGCGATCGCCGCACTTCTGGCTCCTGTGCACCATCCCCGTCATCGTCCCCCTGTCCTTCATGCGGACGCTCGACAGTCTCAAGACAACGTCGCAGATTGCTCTGTCCTCCGTGTTCTAGTAAGCTTGAGTGTCGTTCTTGAGCTAACCGGCAGCATGGTCATCGTCGTGGTCGGATGGTACTTTGTGAAGGGCCCGTCGCCGGATCGCGGCGAGATTGTCCCCTTCCGCTTTGACAGCAGCACGCTCGCCTCTTTTCCCGTCCAGGTGTTTGCGTTCACGTGTGCGCAGAACCTGTTCCCGATCTACAACGAGCTCAAGGACCGCTCGCAGGCCAAGATGAACACGATCATCACGAGCAGCATCTTCGGCGCGGCGAGCGTGTACGAGATCCTCGGCATTGTCGGCTACCTGACTTTCGGCTCCAAGGTCAGCTCCAACGTCATCGCAATGTATCCCGCCAACTCGCTCGTGGTCGCCATCGGCCGCCTCGGCATCGTCTTCCTCGTCGGCCTCAGCTACCCGCTGCAGGCGCTCCCGTGTCGCTCGTGCATCTACCTCCTGCAAAGCGGCATCATCAAGGGCAAGAAGGTGCCGGCGACGATCGCCTCGGCGCGCCTTGTCGCCGGCGGCGCGGCCGAGGTCGGACACGAGACGGAGGGTCTCAACTCCAGCGGCAACGGCACGGGTGGCGGGCACGGGGAGGGGTGGGATCAGCTCCCCCGCCGCTCGACAGAAGGCGCACCCCTCCTCACCCAGCGGGGCGTGGACTCCCCCCGCGGCTCGACGGATGAGGACTTGTTCTCAGACGACGACTCGGAGATGGGCAACGAGGAGGAGCTCCTCGTGCCGAAAGTCGGCGACGCAGGGCACGGCGGCGCCGCCGCGGCCGAGATGCCGCGCAAGAAGTTTGTCGGCTTCACCGTCCTGATTGTCGGACTGGGATATCTCATCGCCTCGTTAGTTGACGAGATGGGCACGGTGCTCGCCTTCGTGGGCTCCACGGGGAGCACGATCATCTCCTTTATTCTGCCGGGATTCTTCTACTGGAGGCTGTACAGGGGCGAGCCGGGCGTGACCAAGTATCTCGCGCTCGCGCTGGGGATTTATGGGTTTGCCGTCATGGGATTCTGCCTGTCGATGAACATCTGGGCGCTGGGGAGGGGTAAGGCGCCGAAGGCTTAAGCTGCGAGCGGCGAGCAGCGAGCGCAGCGAGTGCCACGAACAGCGAGCGTGGCCTGGCTTCCTGGACTTGGAGCCGCGAGCTCTGAGCCCTAGTAAGAGTAGACGATAAACTAGACCGTAATGCATACTCTAATCAGCTTGAGCTTCTAACCGTGCCATTTCTGACCCTCTAACACTCTAACTCTCAATGTCTCTATCGCCACCACTCGACACTTCCCCGTCTCTCCGCCCCGCTCTCCGGACTCTCAACCCCAATCAAACCGCGAAATAGGCGGAATGCCCTCCCGTCGAACCACCTCTCCCCGCCTTTCCCTCGCCTCGTCCCTAACGCTCATCAGCAAGTCATGAGCCCTGGTACCCGGGCGCGGAGCAAGTGTCTGAATCTCGGCGCGGACGGCCGGGGCCCACAGTTTGCCATAGAAAGGCCGGTTGGCGCGGAGAAGCGGCGAGCCGGGCGAAAGCGCGCAGTTGAGCTCGGGCACGAAAACTGACAAACCGCGCGCGACGTTCGGGTTTGTGTACAGGGGCAGGTTTGTGGCTACGTGTCTGTCGATGTCGCCTGGGGGTTGGTCGTGGTCGGAGTACTGGTGTTGGTCAAAGTCGAGGCTGTCGAGGCTGGAGCCATAGTCGAGGTCGTACCCGAGAGCGGAGCCGAGCTCGTACTCGAGCTCAGAGTCGGGGTCGAGCTCGTACTCGAGCTCGCGGTAGGCGTTGAGGTCGTGGTTGGAGTTGGGGTAGGGATTGTGGTCGGGGTAAGGTTGGTGGTGAAGCTCATGCTCGAGCGCATACTCGAGTCCTTTATCGAGCTCGTACTCGTACCCGTACTCGTAGTCGAGGTCGGGCTCCGGGTCCTCCGGCTCCGCTTGGGGTCAGCACTGACGAAGAAAGGGGACCTACGAATATGAACAACCTGCGGACGCGGCGGGAACTCGCCCTTTCGTGCCAGCGCGCGCTTCTCCTCCAACTCCACCTCGTGCAACTTCCTCCGTTCGAGGTAGGCGCGCTCAATCTCGCGCAGCTCGGCCCAGCGTTCTAACTTGACCGTGAGGCGGAGGAGGGAGAGGACTGTGACTACGAAAATGGCCAGGCTGAGGAGGATAGAGGCGAGGCTCATCTCCCCTCACTTGCCACCTGTAAGTTGGGGAGGTTGGGGAGAAGCTGATGTGAGCAGAGAAGGGGCTTATGTACTGCCCAAGAGAGGGTGAACGCCCCGTCAGTGCCCGAAACCAGATGAGTGCAGTCTCGTCGAGAGCAGTGCTTTGAGTGGATCGTGATGCGGATGAGGTCATCGCACCGGACAATCAACATGTGCCACAACGGTCGCTGGCTATTGTCATCAAACTCAAGTGCTCAGCTATCAGAACAAAGCAGCGACTCGTCATCATCATCCATCAATGCGGTCTAGTATACTGAATAGGAGAAGGCCGATCGCCACTTGCACAGAGATCACAGGCTCACAGGCCAAGGTTAGAACATGCGCCGCTTGATCACGCCCTTGATCACCCTTGGCTGTGTTCGGAGCTGTTGCTTGGCTGCGGCGTGGAACTCGACCTCGTTAAACTCGATGGGCCGGGTGTCTGTGGTCAGTACATTCCCTCTTTCCTTGGCTCCGTCTCCGCCGCCGCCTTCGGCGCCGGCGTCGGGCCCGACTCACCACCCTTCCTGCTGAAATCCGGACGATGCCCAACCCAATGCCTCCTCCTGAACCTCTCGTCCCTCCTCCTCCTGCGCTCCTCCTCATCTATCCTCTCCAGCTCCCTCTTTTCCTCCTCCTCCTTCCTGATACGCTCCATGCGCTCATTCTTCTCCTCCCAATGCGCCTTTTCCAACTTCGCATTCAGCTCGTGGATCGTGTGGTACCGCCGCCCAAACTGGTGCTCGTACTGCATTGCCGCGAGCCAGACGTTGATCATGGTCTGTAGCGGGATGTACGCCTCCTGCGTCTCCAGCAGGCAGGCTAGGAGGAGGAGCACCACCCGCGAAGTCACCTTCTTCTGCCGCGAGAGTACGGGGTCGCTCGTCGATAGCCGCTGCCCGAGGTAGAGGTACGTTGCGCAACGCGCTAGGAGCAGGGCTGCTGCCCAGATACCCCACAGGAGCCGGGTGAAGAGCTTGAGTACGTCGGGCATTGCTGAACTGCTGAGGTGAGTGTGTGTGTCAATGGTGACGACGGGTGATGCGCGCGCTCATATGCATGGACGAGGTGACGGGTGCGGTGCGCGGACAATGCGAGCCTCATTAGCTTCTCACATCAGCGTCATTGTGATTGCAACTTCTGGGCGCTATTGTGTACAGTACAACACCTCTCTCGTCATGCACTGTCTGGACAAGAATCCTCTGTGTCCACCGCCTGCGACGGACCTTCCACCGCCACACCCCTTCCCCGCTGCTGGCATAGAAAGTCGATCTCGGCCCTCGTCGCGTACACGCCGTGTCGGTACTGCCCTCTCGACGAGCGCTTCCGCGCCTGAGCCGGGGTCAGCTCGATCCGCATCCCGGCACCGTACCAGCATCCGCTCTCGAGCTCTGCAATCCCCTGCCTCCATTCGGGCAGGTAGTGGATCTTGTCCAGCCGCCTCAGCTTGCTCTGCACGACCAGGCGGGAGTGGGCCATCCAGCCTGCGAGCAAGAGCACTCGGGCGGCCTCGGGGATGGCCATGAGATGAGGGGGACATGGGAGTGCGATAAGGTCCCAGGTTAACTTTGAGGTAGGATTGATTGCCGCCTCGAGGCGGGGTAGGAGGGCGCGAACTGCGGTCTCGCTCGCGGGGCGCGGCTTGGTGGCTTCTTCGGCTTCGGCCTTATCGGGCACCACACAGCGCCAGCGTGGTGTCGTACGAGCAGATCCGGGCTCGGCGAAGTATACGACGTGCGCCTCAGGTGTTGCGTTTTCGTGTAGAGCAACGCACCAGCCTTCACTGGACTGCGCCGGCATAACGACCTGCTTGATGTGCGCCTTGATTGGAGGGACATCTTCGAGCAGAGCCACCTGTACGTTCTTGCCAGCGGCGGGTTCGATGCCTGCCACCACTGAGCGAACTCTCTCCGCCGTGAAGTCCTCGGAGGTCGTGGGGTGGGAAGACATGAGGTTACCTGAGAGCAGAACGGGGTAGGCACAGGGCGGGGCTGCTTATGAAGGGGGAAGAGCGAGGTACTTAGGGATGGAAGCCGACGGAAGAGAAGCTACCGTAGACCGATCTGCAGTCGAAGACGTTTGGAAGCTGAATACGCCCCCGCTACTGTGTTGCATGCTATTGACTACTTTCACCTAACGATTCGCTCAGATTTGCAGGCCCTTGCTCTGACTCTCTCTGCTACGGGCTTTTGACACTCTTCGGGGGGCCGGGTTGCCGGTCGAAGCTCGACACTTCTCCACTCCATCTTCCGGCCTGCGAGGAAGTCGAGCAGATCCCGTTTCACCTTGCCCGGTAGGATCGAGACGCGGCCGAGGCACTCGACCGCCTCTTTGGCCGAGAACTGCCGGAGCCACACCAGCAGCAGCGCAGCCCACTGTTCGCTCGGCACAAACTTGCAATCAAGATGCAGCTCCTCCCACTTCGCTGGTGCCGGGGCTGTTATGGGCGTTTGGGTGAGCCACGATCGGAGTATGACCGCTCTCGGTCCCAACTCTTCCCTCCATGTGCGGCGGATCAAGGGCGGACTGGCGCCTGCCTCTCGTATAACGTACGCCTTGTCTTCTGTGAAGAGGACGATCTGCCACTGGGTTCCATTGATCTTGTCATCCAGCATGGGGACGGCGTTCCAGCTCGCTTTAGAGTCGCCAGCCTTGCCCAGAGCATCGAGGACTCTGAACATGACGTTGTCCGGGAGCTTCTCCGGTGGCCGAAACGCCACCTCCCTCCTCCTTAAGCGTTCCATTTTTGCTTCAGCAACCATGAGATCCCTGGTCCGCTTCTGCATCTCTTCGAAGAGAAGCATGTCCGCGAGACCTCCCTTTTCCTTGACTCCGCGGATCCCGGCTCCGCTCCAATGGCCGCGCCTTATCTCCTCTATACCTCGTCTCCAGTCACCCATGAACTCGAAACAGGGCGTGTCGGAACGTGGCGGGAAGGAGGGGAAGAAGGTTAGCCACGCCGCCAAGATGCAGGCGCGTGCGGAGCCGGGAATGTACGACGTCCACTCGATGTGCACATGCCACTTGAGGGGTGGAGTATCGTCGGGACGCCTCTGACCCGCGTAGGCGGCTTGGGTGATGCGTGACTCCCAGTCCTGTGGCGAAGCCTCGTATCGCCCGTTGGCAGCGGCAACTGGGGGGTACTGATAGAAGTCATCTCCGAGGAAGTACACTAGGCGGCCAAACCGATGAGCAGACGAGGATGTGGCAACGAACCAGAAACCGTTGATTGTGCCTACCACCACAGAGTCATACCGCTTGATGGGTTTGTCGCCTAGAAGCCACACACCTGCGCGCGGATGAGCCATCGATGTGACTCTCCTTAGGAGGCCTTGGACATCATGGACGGAGAGCTCGGCGGGGTCAATGACTTCAGGCATAGGAGCAGCCTCGGGGACTTGCGCTGGGGCGGTTGTAGGCCCCTGGGACTCCGCTTTGAGGGTGCGGGATGACTCACGCTTGATACGTGAGGGCGAATCGGCACCGGTGCGCGGGGCGGGCTCGGCTTTGATGGGGGCCTTTGCCTCGGCCGTGGCGGGATTGGTGCGTTTTCTCTTGGCCGGCGGCCTAGTGGGCGCGTATGGCTCTGCTTTGCTGTTTGCGGCGCGCGTTGCGCTGCGTGTCTGTCTGCGCTGTGCAGTCATGACGATGAAGAGGTGCCGGACGGTGGAGCGCGAAAGTGCGGGGACAACTTGTGTTGGGCGGATGGCCAGTTCGAATGAGTTGGGCGGTGGCCATTGCTAAGTAGTCAGTCGCCGAGCGGAATAGTCGGAAGGCTGTCAACATGAACAACGCCACAGAGCGCATAGATCACCAATGGCCCGTGCTGCAACTCATGGCAGCCGCGAGGCAAGCGGGGCCGTGCGTCTTCCGTCTGTCACCGTCCCACCAAAGCATGAAGCCTCAAGATCTTGGCTGTGCCTCGGCCGTCACCGATGAGCTGACATTGTCGCGCGGCGGAGACCATCAGGCATGGTAAATTGGCGCAAAGCCAGCCACAGCTAACGACTCAACTCGGCATCTCGGACGGGCGAGAGGCTGTGTTCTGATATTTTGTGCATCTATACTTCTGAACTAAGCCACACACAGCTGATCTAAGGGCCGAGACCGCAGGCGTGTGATCAACAATCAACGCGACGACGTCTCTTTTGGACGAGGACAGTCAAAGAACTCCTTGAGGGAGGAACCGCCTTAGTCCCAACGCAGAGGGCCGGAGCAAGCAGGCACCTCGGGAGTCTTGGAGCAGTCGAGGGGCTCGCGCTTGTCCCAACGCAGAGGTCCAGAGCAGGCAGGAATCTCCGGCGTCTTGGAGCAGTCAAGCGGCTCACGCTTGTCCCAACGCAGCGGTCCAGAGCAGGCGGGAATCTCGGGAGTCTTGGAGCAGTCAAGCGGCTCTCGCTTGTCCCAGCGAAGCGGGCCGGAGCAGGCAGGGATCTCCGGCGTCTTAGAGCAGTCGAGCGGCTCAGGCTCGCGCTTGTCCCAGCGCAGAGGGCCGGAGCAGGCGGCGACCTCGGGGGTCTTGGAGCAGTCGAGCGGCTCAGGCTCGCGCTTGTCCCAGCGCAGAGGGCCGGAGCAGGCGGCGACCTCGGGGGTCTTGGAGCAGTCGAGGGGCTCGGGGACGGGGGCGGCGAAAGCGAGCGTCGAGAGGAGAGCGAGGATGGAGAGCTGGAGCTTCATGATGTTTGCTTTGGAGGCCCATATCCTGCTGTAAGAGCCCCTTATATACCATCGAGAACACTGCCTCGGCACTCGGGCATGTCGCTCGGAGTACGGCCGCGAGGATCGCGGACCGCGGACCGATACTCTCCTCGCATACGGCCCTCGCAGATGGCGCCACGGGGACCCACCAGGAAGAAGTGAGGGTCAGGATGTGTTAGTGACCGGCGTGTTATCCGCCACGCTGTCCTGGTATGCTACCTTCCCCACGAGGATGTGACGACGTTCGGAGAAAAGGTGGAGCACGCGCTCGCGGCACACGACCGATCGATTTACGCTTCATTTCACTGATCAGAGACATCCTGATGCAACAAGTCGCCGGCAGGCACATTGCTATTAGGTTTGATCAATGTGTGCGGGCTTGCTGTCGTGCCCGCCATCAGGGTAAGACAGTCACGGCATGGCCGTCATGTCGTTGGTATGGGTGGACGATGGGCAGCAGCGAGGGAGCGAGCGTGCCGAGGGCACATTGACGGCCAAGCCCGAGTTCCTCGCTATGAATAACTCGGGCAACGCGCCGTGCACATGGTGCTTGTACTCGTGTTTGAGCTCGTGCGAGGGTCGTTGGAGGTGTGGTAGATGATTGGGGGAAGAGAGAAGGTCGGAGGGATTCCGCATCGTATATCCGCCTTCAACGCAGTCTCTGAGGTGGGCAGGGCTCAGGTGACGCCGAACGCCGGGGGCCGACGGGCTTGGGTCATCGAACGCTCCAGTATAGTGAACTTACAAGGTAATCTCCTCCGCCTCAATCAGGGCTAGTCGGACAGCAGCCTCGTGCGCCATTCTGAAGCTTCTAAGCGAAGGTCAGCTGAGGCGATGCCTGCAAGTTCCGATGCGCTCGGATCATGCGAGCTATCTTATCAGCGCAAGTCGGCCGCTGCGCACGCTATCTCCCGGCGTTAGCGCCATCGCCGTATCAGATGTGCTTCTCGGCCGTGTCGACGCAGCTTGAGTATGCTTGATATGCAATACATCGATCCAATGATACACTTCTCCTTCTATGCGTCTTCACTTAGAAGCCGCGGCTGCGGATGATACCAGCGACGCTCCGTCCAAACTCCTCAATGAGGGAGATGGCACTACCGGCCGCGCCCTCAATGCTGCCCGCGACACCAGCATACTCGTCCATCTTGCGCAGGTTCGAGCGCAGCGCCGACAGAGCCGGGCCGAGCTGCGGGTTCGCGTCCGCGGTGGCTGCCGGGGACTCGGTCGGGAGAGGCGGGAGCGGCTGAAGCAGGTGCGATTCTGTCGTCAGCTACAGGGAATGGAGGAGCTGTCATGTAGAGAAGGGAGAGGAGAGTTCAGCGTAGCAGACCGCTCGTGAGCAGTTCACCTTTGGCCAAGCTGGCTCTACGAGTCACAAGGTGTTGACGCATTGCACGAGTTAGTCTGTACAGTTGCTCCTCAACCATCGGTTACTCACCAGCCTCAAGGTACGCCATCATGACAGCGACGCGCGTAGCGTACCACTCGGTGCCGAATCCGCGGTCTTCCCTCATCTCGCCCTTTCCGCGGTTCGGCCTGGCAACGTTGACGGCGCGGTCAGCAATCTGCCAAGCATACTGCACGCCAGCGAGCGGATTCGGCGGCGTCGGAATGCGACCGAGGTTGAGCGCCGTCATCGTGTTGATCTCGGTGTTGGCGCCGTAAGGACCGGCACGAGATCCGGGGAGGGGAAGGATGTTGCTGAACGTCTGCAAGAGGGTGGTCGCGCCCGGCGGAATGGGGATGGATGACGGGCCAACGGTGTGGTTCGTCGCAAGCAGGGCGTGGGCGTCGAGGAGCGAGTTGCCCGCCGAGGCGCTATGCCATAGACGTCGAGAGAGGGGGTCGAAGAGTACCTCGTCCACCCTCCTGCTGCCGCCGCCGGGCGTCATCTGAGCCAGGCCCTGGGCACACCAGGCATCGACGAGAGCACGAGCAGGAGCGAGACCGGGACCGAAGAGCACGTCGAGCGCATTTTCGGCGGCGGTCTCGGAGAGACCCTGATCAGACGTCTCCGCCGACTCGGGCGAAGACGACGTCAGTCCGGCTGGCGGGGCGGAGGTAGAAGCAGAAGGCGAAGCATCGAGGACAGGCGTTTCCGTAGCGTTGGCGACGGTTGAGGAAGACGGCAGCGAGCGCATCGCGTCGACGAGCGCACGCCGAGTGAAGCTCGTCCGGTTCACGTGCGGCAGTGCAGCGTTCAGAACGGCTGCTCGGAGCGACATGTTGATGATGTGTTGGAGTTGTTGTGAGCGGAAGGTCAGGTCGAGATGAACGTCGGCGTCATGTTTCGCAGCGAGCTCGGAAATCCACGGCGGCAAAGCAATTCTCGGGTGGAGGTTGACACAAAGACTAATGACTTCTAATGAACATGAACCGATAACCACGTGTTACTAGTGTTGATTAGGAAAAGCTAAATGCGCTTACATGAGCGGAGCAGAGTGGAGGCACGTTGGTGGAGGGAGGTGGATGTCGGCAGACGTCGGTTGCGCCGAAAAAGTCACTGGGTCGAGGAACTAGAGTTGAAAGGTATGACCTCACCATCTCGGTCACTCTCACCTTGCTTCCTTCACATTCACCGACGCACCATGGCTCTCCGACTCGCGCGAACTGCGCGGGCTCTCCCCACCCGGGTGCGCCTCGCTCCCACCGTGGCTGCGGCGCTCCCTACCGGAGCGCGCGCCATCGCTACCACCTCGGCCCGCCTCAACGACTCGGACGACAGCAAGCACCACGTCAACCCGTTCAAGCGCCTCGAGGAGAAGCTCTCGGCCCACAGCGGTCACTACAAGCGTGTGACTGCGCGCCCCTCTGACTTGGGCCCCGACTCTGTCGGCCACGCCGCCATCATTGGCGGATGGCTGACTGCCGCCCGCCGTGCCAGCGACAAGCTCTACTTCTTCGAGCTGTCGGGCCAGGGCGCCTCTGTCCAGCTCGTCGTGCGCAAGCCCGAGCTCGGCAAGGAGATGATGAACTGGCCGCTCGAGAGTGTGATCCAGGCCGAGGGCGAGGTCATCGCCCGCAAGTCTCCCCCCAAGGATGCGTCCACCCCGCAGGACCAGATCGAGCTCGACGCCGAGTACGTCCAGCTCCTGAACCCAGCAAAGGAGCTTCCTTTTCGTCCGTCGGCCGCTGAAAAGGCGTCCAAGGCTGCCGACGCTAAGGACGCCACCACTACGAAAGCTGCCGCTGCTGCTCCCGAGGGGCTCGCCAACGAAGATCTCCGCGCACAGCACCGGTACCTTGACCTGCGCCGCAACGCGCTCGCCAAGAACCTCAAGGTCCGTTCTGAAGTTACCCGCATCACGCGGGACTACCTGCACGGTCTCGGCTTCACCGAGGTTGAGACTCCTATTCTCCTGAATTCCTCGCCCGAGGGAGCGCGCGAGTTCCTCGTGCCCTCCCGCAACACGGACGAGAAGGGGCAGCCGACATTCTACGCGCTGCCCCAGTCGCCGCAGCAGCCGAAGCAGCTCCTGATCGCTTCGGGTGCCGTGGACAAGTATTTCCAAATTGCGCGTTGTTTCCGAGATGAAGACGGAAGGAAGGATCGGCAGCCCGAGTTTACGCAGATCGACATCGAGATGGCCTTCGTCGACAACGCCGCCCCCCCGCCCGACGCGAACGGGACCCGCTCGACATGGGCGATCGGTGGCAGCCAGGTGCGCGAAGTCGTCGAGGGGCTCGTGAAGCGGATCTGGAAAGAGGTCAAGAATGAGGACCTCGAGGGCTGGTTCCGTGTCATGCCATACGATGTAGCGATGGACGTGTACGGCTCTGACAAGCCGGACACGCGGTACGAGATGTACACGCTTCCCATCGGGTACTATCCCACGCTCAGTGATGAGAGCCTCGACAAGATTCTCCTTGACCAGAGCCCGTCCACCGTCGAGTGGATGGTCACGCCCAAGAAGTGGGCTGATGCCATCGACGTGCCCAAGTTTGCGGGCGAGAACCAGATGGTGAGTTAAGGGGAGAGGCTCCGAAGGGGCCGAGCCTGAGTACCAGGCGGAGCGCAGTGAATTCCAGGAACGCACCATGACATCACTGCGTACCTACCGAAAGAGCCTGCAATCGTGGCGAAGCTGACAGCAGATCGACTACGTCCGTATCACGGACAAGAACCAGTACTCCTGGCCCTCGGACAGTGTGCTGACGCTTCCGATGGGTCTGACGCTGGACTCGTCGATCCGCGGGGGAGTGCAGCCGGGCGACGTGGTGTGGCTCTCGAAGCGGCCCAAGATTGCCGAGGGCGGGTGGACGCCTCTGGGCCGTCTCCGTCCACAGCTGATGGACGCGATCGTGGCTTCTGGCGCGCACAAGCTGCCCGACACGCCGCACTTCCTGTGGGTGACGCAGTTCCCGCTCTTCACGCTCGCGGACGAGGACAAGGCCGCCCTCGCCAAAGGCCGGTACGCATCCACACACCACCCCTTCACGGCGCCTATGGCCGAGGACATGCCCCTGATCGAGCAGGGCAGGGACATCAGCGCCGTGCGCGGGCAGCACTACGATCTCGTCCTGAACGGGGCCGAGATCGGAGGCGGGAGCGTGAGGATTCACGACCCCGAACTCCAGAGGCATGTCATGAAGGAGATCCTCAAGCTCAGTCCCGAGGAGATGGGCCGCTTCGACCATCTCCTCAAAGCGCTCCAGTACGGCGCGCCGCCGCATGGTGGTATCGCCCTCGGACTCGATCGCCTCGTCGCCATTCTCACTGGCTCCAAGAGCATTAGGGACGTCATCGCGTTCCCGAAGACGGGAGGAGGTCAGGATCCCGTATTCGGCGGCCCGAGCCCTGCCACCCCAGAGCAGATGCAGGAGTACGGCATCAAGAGCGCCAAGGAGGCGCCCAAGGTCGACAAGTCGGGATAGACCTTAGGGACAGTAGTCAGTAGAAATCAAGTCAAGTTAGGGGGACAGGACAACTCATACATTTCGATTCTCTTCTATGCACTCGTGATAAATAGAATACTGGCCTGCAATGCTTTGCAGCCATGTGACAATGCTCTTTCAGAAGAACAGGGGGAGGGACGGTGGCGCGTCTACGTGCGGCCACCATGTTTTCGCCGGAACCGTGTCGTCCTTTCGCAGGTCGTGGTGGAGAGGCGGCCACACGTGCTCGACATTAGGGGCGGTCGCGAGGCGCTCAAAAGTCAAAGCCGGCGTTGCGGAACACGCTGAGGTCTGTTCCGGGGCGCGCCTGGTCAGCAAGCTCGGGCTTCTCGAGCGCGACGAGCGCACGTCGCAGCGTAGCCCAGAGCGAGTACGCCTCGGGCGCGGCCGTGCCGCCGTTTCCGGGCTGGAGGGCGAGAGCAGCGAGGACTGGGGTCAGCTATGCGTAACACTGCAAACTAGCTGCGAGCCAAAGATGCGCGGAAGCAAGACCGGACGCTTGCAGGATATACTCACAGTGCTCGGCGGCCTCGCGGTACACGCCAATGTTGAGACAGGCGACACCGAGGTTGGCGATCGCACGCGTGAACGTCGGCTTGATCTCGAGAGCGCGGCGGTAAGCGTCGACGGCCTGCTCGGGGTCTCCACCGTTCGCGAGCGTGGCTCCGAGACGGTTCCAGAGGAGGTAGTCCTGTTTATTAGCTTGCTGGGATATTGGCAGCTTTTACGCATCGCGCTCGCTCTCGCGAGCACTATGCTGCGTACTCACGTCAGGCCTCTCATTCAGCGCCGCGGTCCAGCACGACCTGGCCTCCCCAAACTCGCCCTGCATGTAGTACAGCGTGCCGAGGCCCACCTGGACGTCTGGGTCGACGACGCCCTGGTTGGCATACTGCTCGCGCGCGAGGTCGAGGTACTGCTTCGTCATGCGCTGGTGGACGGCCCAGGGGTTGTTGTCGCTGACAAACTCGGAGCGGCTCGGCGCACTTCCCGCGTGCGCGGGGTGGAGCTGCGCGAGGAGCTGGTGCAGAGTCGTGAGCGCAGCGAGGTCGAGCGACTCGTTGACGTAGCTGATGGCAAGGTTCGTGAAGAGCTCGCCCGCGACCTGGTTCGCCTTCGGGTCGTTCTCGAGCGCGCGCCGTCCCTCGTCGAACGCCTGGAGCGCCCGGTCCTCCATCTCGTTCTCGGCGTGCGTGCGGCCGAGCACCGCCCAGGCGTGCGCGCGAGAGACGTTGACGGCCTTCAGGTCGTTGTCCGTCGCGCGGCGCAGGAAGGTCTCGATGAGAAGAGCGCAGTCGTGGAGCGATCCGCCGTTCGAAAGAAGGAGGTTCGCCTCGTGCCACGCCGCGAGAGGAGCATACGAGTCGAACCGGTTCGGCGTCGTGAACACATAGTTCACCTGCGCGGGGAGGCCGTTCTCGTTCATCGTCTCGTCCATCCATCGTCCAGTGCCAAATTCCATCTGGTCATCGAGTGGCGTCTGTCCGAGGTCGTCTCGCTCAAGCTCGCGCTGAAGCACGTCAAAGTCGTCGTTCTCGCCGTTCACAAACTGATATCAGTTAAGCACTGTAACACGATAGCTTCCGAAATCTTGAACTCACCTGAGAGAACTCGCTCTCCCACTCGGCGAGCTTGTTCTGTCGCTCAGCCTCGGGCTTGAGGCTCTCCCACACCGCCTCGAGGTCGCCCTTAACGGCTTGTCCTCCTCGGCCTTCGGCTCCTCGGTCTTTGCCTCTTCCGTCTTCTGCTCCTCCTTGGTCTCGGGCTCTGCCTGCTGGGGAACAGCCTGGGCGCGGGCATCGGCGAGCGCAGCCTCGAAAGCAGCCTCCATCTTGGCGTGGTCGGCAGCGACGGGCGGGCGGCGACAGGCGGGGCTGGTACTGCTGCATCATGCCCATGCCGCCGAAGGGGTTGGGCGGCATCATCTGCGGCTGGTGCATCATCGGCTCCATGTGCTGCGGCATCTCACGCGCCTTGCCCTTGCCCTGGCTGAAGTCTGATGCCCAGCCAGACTGCGCGGGCGCTGGGGCCAGCTGCGGCTGGGGGGAACCCCGCTGCGACTGCGCCTGGAAGCGCTCCCAGTCGGCCTGCATGTTGTGGTGCGCCTGGTGCGGCGCCATCTGCGGGACGACGGGGGTCTGCACGGGGCCAGGTTGGCTCAGCGCGGCAGACAGGTGCGAGAGGTTGAACGGGTGCGGCACCTGCTGCACCTGTCCGGGCGCGGCGGGGGCATGCTGCTGGCGGAATGCAGCACCGGCCTGTGAAGACGATCCGGGCGCGCCCGACACTCGGTCCTGCTTGTTAGCTTTTGACACACGCCCCAATGTAGCTTGGAAGGTGTTGCCGACGACGAGCGAGCGGAGTGTGAAACCCGGCGCATAGTCCGAGGTCGTCGCAGAATTCCCGTGCCGGTGGCGATGATGACACGGCTCCGCTGCCCACATTTGATCCCTCCGCTCCGAAGAATGCCTGTGCGGCGAGCGCTCAAGCTCTCACAGTGCACAAGCCCTGTTCGAAAGCTTCTTGTGCTCACTCCCAAGTCCAATCCAACTGGACTCGCGATAGCTTTTCGCTCATCACCGGACAGCCCGGTGTGACGTCGCATGACCCAGAATTCCACTACTTTCCGAGCTTCGGAGCGGGGTTCAAACTGCCAGCGAAGGGAAGAGAAACAGCACTCACCCTGAAGACGGAGTTGTCGACGCCCTCGCGCTTGAGGACGTTGTTGAGGGGGTTGGAGTTGACGCTGCAGTCTGCGCCGTTGAGGAGGCCGCTCATGGTGACTGGGGTACGGTTGGGTGATGGAGTGGAAAGGAAAGTGTGTAGTGGGATTTGTGGGGGCGGCGTTGGCCGGTTATGTCGGGTAATTCACTGAGTCATCGTGCACTCCCTTTGGCTTACTAGGCTCCAGCGATCCAGCTTGGCGGACGCTGATCCTTTTACACGGGCGGAATCAAGTTTGGACACATCACAAGCTCACCAGACCGCTTTCTGATCACCGTTAATACAACCTCGTCAGGCACACTAATACCTTACAAGTGTCGGCCGGTCAGCTGCGGCGATGGCGACACACGGCCGCGCCAGCGCCGCTCGATTGCGAAGCCGACGGACATCTCCGCCTCTTTAGTGATCGTCCTCGGCGCCCGTCCACCTTCGTGTCTAGATGGTACAGTGCATATGAATCTACAATGGTGTATACACCTATCTTCCCTCTCAGAACCTCTCCCGGTCCCGTTCTGAGCGCATCCCCTTCGCCTTGCTCGCCATGGTCCCAGCGTATGCGGAAATATTGGCCATGAGCGATGCCGCACCAGAAGCACCAAGCACCTTGACCTGCTTGTCAGTTGGAGTCGGTTCCACGTAACTCACCATGATGGTCGGCTCCTGTGGGTCCTCGATGCCCTCGTCGCGGACCTTGCGCTTGAGAGTGTCCATGACCTCGTTTGTCTCGCCACGCTCCAGGTCGTCTCGAGCGCGCATAATCGCCTCGACGAACTGCAGCTGCGGGCCATGCGTCTTGGCAAAGTTCCAGTAGTCCATGAAAACCATCTGCGGGCTGGCGCTGAGCATCGAAGCGACCTGGTCCATGATCTCGAAGCTCGGCTCGAGCTCCTCGGGCGGCTTGTACAGCGTGAAGAAGTCGAACACCTGAGAGATGTCCGAGCGCAGCCGCTGCACGGCGCCCGGCATACGGAGTGAGTTGGGCGGAGCACGGCGCAGTGCCGTCAGATACGTGATGAGGAAGGCGTCCAGCAGGTCCTCGATTACAATCTCGAAGATGCTCGGGTTCAGGTGACTTTGGTAGTCGCCCATGTAGTCGCGCATTGTCTCAATGATTTGCGGCATGAGCTGGTCGTTGTACCATCCCGACTGCATGAACTGCCGCGTCGCCGGACGCAAGTCGTTGAACACGAACTGTACCAGCGTGCCAGTGCACTGCTTAGCCACATCGAGGTAGCCGTCGATCGCCTCGTTGAAGCGATCAACGATCGTTGGCTTGTACTTGTCGCTGACAAGCGGCTCGAGGCGGTTCTGAAGAGCTTCCGTAAAGTCGGCCGCGCGCAGCTGGTCGTTCGCAAGTGCCATGACGTACTCGACGAGACCTCCGGCGACCTCCTCTGGCCGCTTCTCCGCCTGCGCCTGCGCCTCGTCCGACATGAGCTTACCCACTCGCTCTGCACCCGCCGCTGCACCTTGCTGACCTCGGTAACGACACGAGCGAGCACGGCGCCCTGGTTCGAGTCGAGAGCGAGGTCGATTTGCTGGTTGACGATGGAGAAGAAGTCGACAACGCCGTCCATACCGAACAGGCCGTCCGTTCCGCGCGAGGGTTCCTCGGTTCGTGTCCTGAACTTGGCCGTTTCCTGCTTCTGCAGGTTGACTGTCCACTCCTCGAGCTTGGTGATAATGAGGCGGACGTAGTCTTCCAGCAGATCTCCGGCCTTGCCGTCCAGCAGCGGCGGCTGCAGCCACTCCGACGGCACCTCTAACTCCTTCATGCTGCGCGTATATTCCTTCGTCCAAGCATAGAGCTCGAGCAGCACCTGCGCCTCTGGCGCGCTGGACACAACCTTCTTCAGCACCTCGTCGAGCGCGAGATGGTACCGATGGATCAGCCACTTGACCGCCTCAAAGTCGGGCGGGAACAGGTGCTCGACGTCGTCCTTGATGCGGATAATGTCCTTGTACATGAAGTCGAGGCCATCGATGAAGCCGAGGAGATCGAGCTCATTGCGATCGTAGTGGTCCGCAAACTTGCCCTTGATGTTCTTCTCGATCGCATCGAGGAACTTGTGCCGGTAGTTCTTGATCGGTCGCGCATTGCCCTGGACTCCGCGGAGTCGTGCGGCGTCGTTGCCGACCTTGCGTACGAGACGGAGTGCAACTGTCTTCTCGTCTTCCCTGCCCTCAAACTCGATAATCTTGACGAGACGGACGACAGTGCCTCCGTAGCCCTGGCGCGCGAGCTCAACGACGTTGCTTGCGAGCTCCCACATCCATCCCTCGAACTCCTTGATGAGTACGTCGAGGGGCTCGAACCAACGCGTTAAGATCTCCCGTTCTTCTCGGTTGCCACGTTTGGCTTCGGCCATCGTCTCGTTCCGGAACGACTCGAGCTGCTGCAGCTGGAAGTGGATGGGAAGCAAGTGCGGCGCATCCGAGATCGGGCCCTGCGAGCGGTCATCGTCCAGAAGCCGACCGAGGTAGTCGACCTTGTCAGCCATGCTCTGCAGCTGCTCGACCATCTTGGCGGTCTGCGCGAAATTTCGATGCACGGCAGACACACGCGTGATCTTCTGGAATACGTCGCTCTCGTCCTTCGTGTTCATAAGCTTTTCGATTTCTAGTCATGTCATCGCGAATCATGTTGGCGGCCGCGCGCGACTCCTGCAGTCGCAGCAGCGCTTGTCGGGTCGCATCGAGCTGGCTGCGAACACCTTCCTGGAGCTTGTTGTCGAGGGCGGCTTTCTCCTTGAGGAGCTTGTTGCGGTAGGTGGTGAGTTTGAGGAGGTCATCCGGTTGGCGGAGGACCTCTCCCACCGCTGCTGACGCCGAGAACGTCGCCATCGCGGTGGTTATGTGTGGTAGAGTGCTAGGCGAGTACAGTCAGACACTTGGAGGATGCACTGACGTCCACCACCGCGTAGCTCGATCCAGGACACTGGGCCCCCATGACGCGACGGAACCAACCTCCACAGTCACCTTCCCCACGTGGTCGGAATGTGTTTGGATCGCCTATCAGTTGTTGTTTACCGATGCATCCTGTGTCCTCTTCATCATTTATCGCCCCGGTCTGAACGGCCGTACGAGGTGACGGGCTCCGCGGACTTGCAGAGGAAGAGAAATACAGACCTCTTTGCATTCCTTGCTCCAACATGGCGTCAAGATCTCTGAGAATTGCTGAGAACCGTCTCAAACGCCACGAAATCGAGACACACACTTGCCTCCACTTGCTGACACACCCACACAACTAGCATCTGTGTGCTGACTCAACATCTCTTCGCACGTTACTCACAACAGCAACGACATGGAAACTTCAATCCGATCTGGCGTCTACAAAAGCAGCTCGGGAAGAGCTTCCACCCCCCAACAGACTGCAAGCGACACCTCCGCAATGCTGACCACCACCTTCCACAACCAGACGCTCTCGAACGGCGTTAACGTCCACTACGCCGAGTCCGGGCACCAGGATGCACCCATCCTGCTCCTTCTTCACGGCTTCCCCTCCACGAACCTGCAGTTTCGCAACTTGATTCCCCTCCTGGCCGCCTCGTACCACATCATCGCCCCCGACCTTCCCGGCTTCGGCCACACCGTGCTGCCGCAGGGCACTGTTCCTTCCTTCGACTTGATGGCTGAGACTATCAGTCAGCTGGTCGATGCTCTGGGCATTTGCAAGTTCGCGGTGTACGTGTTCGACTACGGTGCGCCGACTCTGTTCCGCTTGGCACTCAAGCGCCCGGAGCTAATTGCGGGGATCGTAACCCAGAACGGAAACGCCTACGATGAGGGCCTCGGAGCAGACTTCTGGGGAGGACTGCAGAAGTGGTGGGCTGAAGGAGACGAGTACGGACCCATGCGGGAGGTCCTGTTCGGCGCTGTCGGCGACATTGAGTGGACCAAGGCTCAATACTATGACGGTGTACCCGAGGAGAATGTCAAGTTGGTCGACCCGCAGATGTACACCCTCGACTACCTGCAGCACCTCGCCGATCCGGCCAAGCGCGACACGCAGATGCGCATCTTCTGGGACTACCAGAACAACGTCAAGCTCTACCCTCGCTTCCAGGAGTATCTGCGCACGCACCAGCCACCCGTTCTTGCTGTCTGGGGAGAGAATGACCCCTGTTTTGTTTACCCCGGCGCACTCGCATACAAGCGCGACGTTCCCAAGGCTGAGATCGAACTCCTCCCCGGCGGGCACTTCCTGCTCGAAACGCACGTCCGCGAGGTCGCAGGACTGATGCGGCAGTTCCTCGGCCGCCTCAAGTGGTAGAAGCTAAAATCAGCGTCATCAGTAGTCATCAGTAGACCACGCCAGCGTCATAGACGCCGCAGCCACTGTAGAATGACCGCATGCACACGGACGTATGCCACAATCAGTAATCTGGACAAACGATCGAGTGGGTCCGGAACAACAATCGCCCCGTCTCCCGGCCGATCATAAAGGGGGTACCGCATAGGTTTCCGCGGGTTGTATCACGATGACTCATTAATTGGGGTGTGCCGGTCATCAGCGGCGAGCGTGTGCAGAGGAATGGGAAGGGCTTGGCAACGACCCCCCAGTTCTTCGTCGACCAGCAATCGCATCCACCCACTTGCACACCGCTTCAAGAGGGGTGTCGGTGGTCGGGGCCGCATCAAGATCGACGAGGGGGAAAGGGGGACGGTGGATGGGGAAGAGGGGGGCTGCGGGGGAGCTCGCAAAGTCGCCACCGGTTCGGGTGGAGCGCCCCGTGTGCGAGTCCCGATCCGTGGGAGCCGCTTTGGTCGAAGGCTGGGCGGCTGCCTGGAGAGGGGGGGGGTGGTCGAGTTTGTAGCGCGCGCTCGTCGTTGCTGTGGCCGTGGTCAGTCGTGTGGGGCACTGAACAGTCGGGGTTGTGTGTCTTGCTCGCTCGTCGCTGTGTGCATGTGTCTGTGGACAGCTGGTCGCATAAGCAGCAGCTGGCCAGCCTCGCAGACCTGCGCACACCATTGCACCACCGTAGCGGTCCAAGCAGGCCCTGCACATAGGGTGGCAAATGCGAAGATGGATTGCGCACCCTTGCGCGCGGTACAGGGCGCGGCGTTATTTTATAACGCCGATTGACGTATGCAGCGGTTTTTGCAGGCGGCCGGATAGGCACGGTGGCTGTCGAAGTCTTTAAAAGGAGTACAGGTCCCAGCCGCGAACAAGTTCAATCCCCCCGGGTTTTCACTGATCGGACCGACCTCCACCAACCAGCGTCCACCGGCCACACCCACCGGCCACCGCTCAACACCACCACCAAAAACAACAACAACAACAACAATCCACCCGTCCATCCATCCCTCACAAGCATCCAGCATCCATCCACCCATCCCGCGTGCATTATACCCGTCCGGTCCTCATCTCTTAACTTTGTGATATCATCCATTCCCCAAAAAGGCATACCCGCCCCCCGGTGCATACTTGTTTTCCATTGATCTGATCTGAACCATCAGTCCGCTCGCCACCTCGCACCCTTCCTCCGTCGTCATCGATCGGGCAGCGACACCTTCCTTTGCATCCCCCCTCCCCTCTCCTTAACTGCTGCACTTTCAGACAAGGCTGGCAACACCTCCGTGACCTGGCATACGAGGTGCGTTCTACCATTCCGCCCTGCATTCCCTGCGATGCTGCTGGCTGGTTGCATGTGAACGCGTAGATTCTAGAGCTGACTGACCTTGCCTTTCCCGCCCTTATCCGTCCACACACTTCCCAACTCATCATCATGGTCACTCGCCGCGCATGCCAACACGCAACACGCATACCCTCTACGCCATATATAAACATGGTCTACTCCCTATATCAACCCCGCCAACGATACTCACCCGTCGCTGTTCTGACACTCGTCATTTTCGCCAACAGACATGTCCGCCGAGACTGCCCCAGCGGGGCCCGGCGCCTCTGAAGTGACGGTCACTGCCACGCCTCCCATCGACAAGCCCCTTATCAACCCTATCCAAACCCACACCCCTCCCCCTTCCTCCACGATCGCCGAGGCTCCTCGCTCGCCGAATGCTCTGAACCCTGCCGCAGCCAGGAAGAGCAAGAGTGCGTCGCCCGTCAAGCAGTCGTCACCGCTTGTCAACGGCTCGGGAGCGCCTGCTTCTCGTGCTTCGCCGTCTGCCCCAGCGTCCAAGGCATCGTCTGCCGGACCCGCCACTGGCTCGCCTCTGCCTGGCGCCTTCCCTACCCCTGCCAACACCTCATTCGACCCGGCTCAGCCATCGAACGCCTCCAACGCCACCGCGATGGACGTTGATTCGACAGACTCCAACAGCCTGAAGCGCCCTGGAGAGGCTCTGCAGGCGGGCGAGGTGAAGCGTGCGAAAGAGGAGCATGCGGATGGCCAGGACTCTGCTGCAGGCACGACACCCATCGTTGCTCCCGGAGCAGACCCCAATGCGCCGATCGTGTATCCCTGGACCAACTACGTCGAGCCTCCCCCTCGTGATCCAGGACCTTCCACGCGTCTGACCCTACCTCAGTTCAAGCATTTGCTCAGCACTGTGCGGTCGATGCTCAAGTCGAACAATTCGTTCAACTTCCGCGAGCCTGTCGACACTGTCCGCTTCAACATTCCCCACTACCACCAGGTCATTGCCTACCCCATGGACCTCGGTACCGTGGAGACGAAGCTCGTCGCCTCCGACCCCCGTGGCCCGCCCAAGGATAAGGCCAAGGCTGCCCGGTGGGATACGAGCAAGGGCACCTATAACTCGGTCGCAGAGGTGACCAAGGACGTGCGCCAGATCTGGGAGAACACTCGCAAGTTCAACGGCCGCGATCACGTTGTGTCCCAGGCTGCGTCCAAGTTACAGGACCAGTACGAGCGCGCGCTTCGCACCCTTCCCTCCGACAACCTTTCCCACGCCGCCTCCCCTTCTGCTTCTTCAGCACGCCGCGCAAGCGTCTCCCAGCCGCCTCAGATTCGCCGGGACCTCGACAGCTCGCGTCCCAAGCGTGAGATTCACCCTCCTCCCTCAAAGGACATCAACTACGATGGTCCCAGCTCGCTGCGCAAGCCCAAGCGCCGCAGCGACCCGCAGCTGCAGTGGGCGGCCAAGACCATCCAGTCGTTTGAGAAGACGCAAAAGTACTTTGAGATCGCCTCGCCCTTCCTCTACCCCGTCTCCGAGATTATTGCTGCCATCCCCAGCTACACCTCTGTCATCAAGAAGCCCATTGATCTGTTACAGATCAAGCAGCGCCTTGAGGACAACGTGTACGAGGATGTGCAGCAGATCAACAACGACTTCCGTCTCATGATCTCGAACGCTCGCCAGTTTAACCCTCCTGGAGACGCCGTGCACAACGCTGCCAGCGCGCTGCTCCAGGTCTGGGAGGAGAAGTGGCGCAGCCTGCCGCCAAAGCAGGAGATCCGCGAGCAGAGCGAGGACATTGCGGAGGAGTTTGATGACTCGGAGGACGAGGACAAGGACGTCGTTCGTCTGAAGGAGGCCAAGGCAGAGCGCGCGGCGCTCGACCGGGAAATTGCCGACCTCGAGGCCAAGATTGCGCGCAAGCCGGCCAAGGTCAAGAAGACGGCCAAGGCTGTTCCCAAGCAGGCCAAGGCTCCGCGCAAGTACTCGTCGACCAAGACCTCGTCCCCCGGAGGTGCCAACGGTGTGGCTAAGAAGCCTCGCAAGCAGAAGGAGACGCCGGTATACCGCGACGACGACGACAGCGACGCCGAGGAGCAGACCATCACGATCGCTCAGAAGCAGGAGCTTGCCGAGAAGATTCAGTCTGCGTCTATGGAGGTGCTGGCCCAGGCCATCGAGATCATCCAGACCTCGACCAACATCTCTGGAGATCAGGAGATTGAGCTCGACATTGACTCGCTTCCCGCTGCGACTGTCCTTAAGCTCTACAACCTCGTCTGCCGTGGCCGCAAGGGTCGTGGCAAGAAGGGCACGGGCAACAACAAGGCTCCCGCCGGTGGCCGCAAGCACCTCAACGAGAAGGAGGAGGCGGACCGTATCCGGCGCATGGAGGCTCAGCTCCAGTCCTTCGAGGGCCGCGGCGGCGGTGGCGCTGGCGGTGCCAACGCCTACGACGACGAGTCGAGCGATGAGGAGGAGTCGAGTGACGAGGAGTAGAAAGCTAGGCCTGACAGGCATCTCTTATTGTGTTTCGGCGGTGGAGTGAGTCTGAGGGGGCTAGGACTAGGACTTGAGGATTTTGGGATTCTGGTTCGGGAAGGAGGCATCGCGCCTCGACTGCGTTTCAATAGTAGACCTTTGTAGTATCACCGCCGTCTAAGGCGTCATGGCCACTGGCCGTCCGAGTGTGTAGACTGTACTCGGAAGAGACATGCATGATTAACATGTCACATCTCACAAACAAGCTGCTCGCTGGCTCGTTGCAAATGATTCGTTCGGAGCAGGTAATGTTATTTGAAGATAGTCTGATGGAACTCTTTAAGTCGGGGTGTCAGAAGGGTGTTGGGGAGGTTTCCCACGGTAGTCCAGACAAACAGTTCCGTAGCACCATACTTCCACCGTGCTGCATGCATGGATGTGCGATATGCAGGAGAGCTGTGTGTACGATGTAGTTGAGAGGGCTGAGCCCTCATGTACGCATAAGCTGCGCGCCGAGGTGTGGCGGTGTGGTTGGTTGGGATCATTTTTGGTATTTTCCTTTACACCATCGCGCAGCTTGAGCGGGCTTCCTGACAGCTAGAGCAAATCATGATTATATTGTCTGAAATCACTTTTGTAGCTGCTAGCATTTGAATAAGTGCGCTGCAGTGAGCGATTAATGTGGACTGTGCGGGCTGGGTACCGCCGGTGCAGGCGACGAACGTTATCGGGTTCGTCCGTTTGTGACGTCAACCTGGCCGTGCATTGTTCTGAGCCTCATGTTGGCAGCACAGCAGAAACTAGGCCTTTATGCGCATAGATAAGCCCACGCGATAGACACGACGCGCCGAGATTACAATCCAGCCGGCCCGGCAGTCGTAAGAATTGTCGCAGAGCCAAACAGCCTACAGCTGACCAGGAGATCTGGGTGTGTTGCCTGTTGATGGCCGGTGAATATCCGGTGTACAAGCGCTGAGAAGCGGGCCGTTCCCTGATTTGCAAGCTTTGGGTCGCCGGTTGATCCGGAGAGGCGCGGCATGTCACGGCACGACCGCAACGGCATATGCGTCAGGTGGGCACGTGAGAACTCCGCAAGTCAAACTTTATGACTTGTTATGTCGCCAGGTAAGACTATGCATGCGCATTATGCAGGCCCGACGGTGATCAAAGGACTGTCGGCGCCCATAAGCCGGCGGACACGCAGAAAGAGGCGCGAAGAACGCGGCAGAAGGAGACCGTTGTTTTTACGCCGAGAATGCACCGAGCGTCAGCCGGTTTTCTCCCCGGTGTCCCCACCGCTACGTCACGCCCGCCCTGATTGTGGCCGGAGCAGGTCCGGTGGGAACGCAATAAATACGGACCTCATCCCCGCGAGTTGTCGATTCTTTCCCCTCCTAGTTCTAGCAAACCTTCGCGGTCCCCCTACCACCATAAACGCTCTCAAGCTCGCAAAGCAAGCAATCAAGATGGCCAAGGCTCCCCCCCAGTTCTTCACCCTTTCTGACGGTCGCAAGATCCCCTCCGTCGGCCTCGGCACCGTGAGTCGCTGCCGCGCTGGAACCTGCCTCGGGAGCTCGACCGAGCTCGTGAGAGCATGCAGGAACCACTGCGAGCGCAAAGGAGAGCTTCCCAGCTCCACACTGAATGTGAACCGAGCTGACGCTGTGCCCCCGAAACCGTTGAAAACGCTTCCACCATCATCACCCATCCAATTCACCACCGCCACACCCCCCGCCCACCTTCCATCCACCTCTCACGCATCCGCATCCATCGCAACAGTGGCAGTCCAAGCCCGGAGAGGTCGCCAAGGCGGTCGAGACCGCGATCAAGGTGAGTCTAGCCGTGTGGCGGACGGTGGAATCGAGTTATGGCCGGTCACGTGGCACACCACCCGGCCACCTCCCCACGAGACCTCTACTCCTTTCCATCGTCCCTCACGCCTTCCAACGCACCTCAAGAGCTTCGCTAACGCGCAGGCTGGCTATAGGCACATCGACTGCGCATGGGCGTACGGTATGTTCCGGTCTTTCTCGACGTTCTTGCGACGTTCTGAGAAGAAAAACCGCGAAGAACGGTCGAGAAACGATGGAGATCGGTAGACTGACGTTTCAGGCAACGAGGCCGAGGTTGGTCAGGGTATCAAGGCCTCTGGCATCCCCCGTGAGGAGCTCTGGATCACCTCCAAGCTTTTCGAGCTCCACCATCACCCCGAGCACGTTCCCCTCGCCATCAAGGACACCCTCAAGAACCTTGGTGTCGAGTACCTTGACCTCTACCTCCTCCACTGGAACGTGAGTACCTGGGGTTGGCCGTGGGCCTGCATGGGTCTGTGACCTGTCGGACTGATTACTGGCGCTTCTGCCGCTTATCTCCTGGCTGTTTCCAGCTACGTTTTGACACAGAAACTGACTCCAGATCAACTGGCAGGTCGACGCCCCCGAGGGCGTTCTCCCCCAGTTCGAGCACGTCAAGACTGCTCCCAACGGCAAGCGCCTCCTCGACGTCCCTCTCTCGGACAACGTTCTCCCCACCTGGCGTGCGATGGAGAAGCTCGTCGACGAGGGCCTCGTCAAGTCGATTGGTATCTCCAACTTCAACATCCACCGCACCAAGGACCTCCTGAAGGAGGCTCGCATCAAGCCCGTCGCCAACCAGGTCGAGCTCTCGATCCAGTGCCCCCAGTTCGAGCTTGTTGACTGGCTCCACAAGAAGGACATCCTTCCCCAGGGCTACTCGCCTCTCGGCGGTACCGACGGCGAGGCTCTCCGCAACAACGAGCAGATCAAGAAGATTGCCGAGAAGCACGGCGTCGAGGGTGCCAACGTCCTCATTTCGTGGCTCGTCTACCGCGGTATCAACCCCCTCCCCAAGTCGGTCACCCCCAAGCGTATCGAGAACAACCTTAAGCGTAAGTTGACAGCTGACAGGGTGCATCGTAGCTGACATTGCAGTCGTTACTCTGTCCGACGAGGAGATCAACTCGATCAACGAGCTCGCCAAGTCGACTCCTCCCAAGCGTGTCTGCGACCAGTCCGACCTCTACGAGCCCTACTACGACATCTACCAGGAGAAGGACCCCAAGTACAACGACAAGGTCCAGGCCCAGTCCGACTAAGCGCAGGAAGGGAGAAGAAGTTATAATTGAAAAAGCACCTATGGCCGCTCGGCACCAGTCATCCTAGGACCGTGGACCGAACACGCTGTACGTCGTATGCAACCGATATAGATTCGACGGGAACACTCTGCAGGTAGTACTAACAAGCATCTGACAACTGCACGCTGGGCGAGGGGTGCAAGAGAAGTGCGTAGAAGGCTGCGCATGTGAAGTGTATGCCGATCATGACGACTGTGGAGGGATCTGCCTCTTTCACACCTTGTGTGTGACTGGACTGGACTGGACCGGACCGACCGCTGACCACACTCTTTGCCACCTGCGCAAATTGCCTCGCTGCGCCGCTGCCATCTTGACTTCTCCAACTTCACTTAGCGTTCCCGACTTTCCACTCTAACCCTGCTTTCTCCATCTCTGCGTTACTGAGCACGGCAGTTGACTCCCCTTGGCAGTGGAACCAAACATACTGCGCCCCTCCCTTCTCCTTCGCTCGCGACTGTCACACTCCCGTGTGCCAGACCATCATGAGTCGATCTAAACAACCTCCTTTCCCAACGCAGCCTGCGCCTGCGTCAGTGTCCGCCGTAGCCGCCCAGCTCGGCCAGACGACTCAGCCCAAGGCCCCCGCCAAACGCAAGCGCAAAGCCAGCAAAACCTCCCATCCCGCAGCGTCGCCCCAGCCTGGTGACCAGTCCACCGTCAACACGGTCCAGCCGCCGTCTTCCCTCAAGGCCTCCCGCCCTCTGCCCACTCAAGCTCCACCCCCCAGGCAGCGCCTCCGTGTTGCCCCTGTCAACCCCGAGCCATGGGTGTCCAAGGACATTGTGGAGCGAATGTTTGCCCGCTTCGCGCAGTCTCGCGGTGGCATCGTGATTGACGGCAAACCATTCTTCACCTTTGTGGAGGCCGCGGCCCCGTCCGTGTCGATCTGGACCCCGCAGCTCTTCGCAGACTTTATGACCTACTACGCCGCGAATGCCCGCCCCCGCCGTCCAGACAGCCCGCTCGTCGACCACAAGGCCCTCTTCACCTTCCAGCAGGCTGTGCGCCGCAGCTACTCGCGCCGCCACATCCGCGCTCTGACCAAGGAGGCGACGACTGAGGCTACCGCCGCGCGTCATGTCGCTGAGAAACTCACCACCCGCCGCGTGCCCCGTCCGGTGCTTACCCCTGCAGAGGCGCTCCGCCTTGCGCGTGCGGTGTGGAGCCCAGAGTACCACGCCACATTCAGGCGCCGCCTTGACGTCGCCCTCTACATGGCCCTCGTCCTCGCTACCGGCGTGCCCAGCACGAACATCTTCCCCGCCGCCATCCCGGGCAAGGGCTACGACGAGGGCCCAGTCTACATGCTGCCTGCCAAGAATGATGGCGCGCGCTGGTCCGACGTCGAGATCTGGATGACCAGGTATGGTCCCGCTGCCCAGTTCTCGTGTCGCGCTGAGGGAGGGAGGCGATACACGCTCAACGACGGGAACAGTCTCGGCATGGCTGCGTCCCGCCTCATGGCCATCACCATGTGCTTTGATGAGTTGTACGGGTCTGGCTGCCACCTGGGCTACCTCCTTTCGAACGTGTTCTGGAGTGTGAACGGGCACGATGCGCGCATCGTCGCTTTCAACCAGGAGCTGTGAGTTGGGCTTTGCTTTGAGTGAGAGAGAACTGACAAGCAGTGCCGACAAGCACATCTTTCGCCTCGATGACGAGGCCGAGACACCCATGATGCGCGAGGACATGAACTTTGAGCTCGCTCGCTTGGCGGAGGCGGCCGGTATTGAGCACGAAGTCACGACTGGAATGTTCCGCCGCCTCGTGGCGCACAAGGTGTTCGAGCAGCGTGAGTTAGTAGTCTGAAAAGCTCAACTGACACCCAGACGGTCTGGAAATTGCAAGCGCCATTCTCAACCATAATGAGCTGGTCAAGACGCAGAACTACCTGCAGAAGAAACTGTGAGCTTACCACGACGTATTCGAGCTGACGGCAGCGGACGCTCTGTCACTGAGGAAGAGCGGCAGCTGGGCCGTGGCATGGACGCGCTGCACAAGGACCTCTGGCTCACCCTCGACCATCAGCTTCGTATCAAGACGATCCAAAAGATGCCCGACTGTGAGCTCACTCCACCATACGCCTGAGCTAACGCGCAGACATCACACCCCATGCCTGGGTCAACGATGACGAGCGTTCTCCGTCACCGCCCCTGCGTGAAGTCAGCGAGACAGACCTCGTCCAGCGCCCCGACCCACTCACTCAGCGTCCCATTTCGCCCGAATCGCCTACTCCCTACACGGGGCAGCCACGCAACTGTCTCGTCGACAGTCCCTCTGACATGAAGTCCATGAAGTCCGGCCCTACATCGCCCACAGACTCATTCAGCAACCACCTCTCGCCCCCCGGTCCCAGCCAGCCGAAAGTGGCGGTCCACCACCAGCAGCTGTTTGGCCAGACCAGTGCTCTGCGCGGACAGTACGCCCAGCAAGCCTTCGTTGGGGGCCAGACTGGCGTCTCGGCCCATGTCGCCATGTACGGCCAGTTCCCCAAGATCAGTGATATCCGCGGCATCGCGCCCAGTGTGCCCGCCATGCCTGTCTTTGCTCAGCCGCAGTCTGCCAGCTACAGCACGCAGGCGTTTGCAGACTCCTACCACCCACAGACTGCGCTGTGGCCTCAGTCCCTGCAGTCGCAGGCGCCTCCTGCGTACCCCCGTGTGACTCAGCAGCCAGCCAACGCGGGGTACGCTCCCAAGGACCGCGGCCTGCCGACGCCCGACGACACGCCGCCCGACACGTTCCAGATGTTGCCTGGATTCAGCTCGTTCGTGTCCCAGAACAATGCGGGCAGCAGCAGCACCAGTACGTCGACAGCATACACTCCCGGTCTGGGTTTGATCTTTGAGTCGACGGGGGACGTCACCGCTGCCCCGAACGGCCAGGACAAGCAGACCTCTGCACCTGATCATACCCGCCAGGCGAGCAAGAAACTCCCCGAGCTGCGCCCCCGTTCCCATGCCCCTCCCGTCGTTCCGCGCAAGATCATGACGTACCAGGAGCGCGTGCTTGATGCGGTGTCTCGCTGGATGGCGGGCCCTGCATCGGCCCTCCAGAATGGCGTCGACCTCGTGTACACCATGATTGAGTGCGACAAGCGCCTGCCGCGCAACGAGAGGTACGACCCGAGCGCGTACGACGAGGAAGACGTGGATACGGATGAAGAATAGCAAACAACGATGATCCGGCCGTTACACACGCGCGGCGACACACGCTCATTACGCATAAATACACGACCAAAACGCAACCCAGCAACGCAACGCACACATGCAGGACACAAAACGCAAGGAAACGCAACATTCACGAAACAAAAGCAGTTGACGACTGCCATCAGGCGATGCGCATAACACCTTCCCGCTCTGCCACTATTGAATACAACACCACCTTTCGCTGATTATGACCTTACTTTTTGATTTCGCTCGTACTCCACTTCTGGCTCCTTATCACTAAATTTCCAAGCCCGGCGCGGCTCTTCTGGTTCGCTTTTGCATATGTACATGTGATTCGACTGTATATAGCGCTATGATGTATGCAACCCTCCGGTGTACTTCTAGTCCACGTCGTCGGGTTTCGGCTGGATCTTGCCCTCGTCAATAAGGCCCTGGAGACGCTTGGCCTCATCGTCGATACGCTTGAACTGATGCTCAAACCTGGACGGGTACAGGAAGGGGCGGAGGTCGAACCGGTTATCGTCGGGCGAGTAGCTCTCCATGTGTACGCTGGGGGTGAGTGTCGTCATCTTGTGGCGGTTGATGGCATGCGTGAACCAGAAGTGCTTGACCTTTTGCGCAATCTCAGCCGGGGAAAGCGACGCGCCCCACTCCTGCACAAGCTTGCCAAACATGCTGAAGGGGCCGCACTTGTCGACCTTGCGGAGACGGCCAAAGGCACTAAGCTCGTCATACGTCATGCCCATTTCGACCTCGTCCGACTGCACGCCCTTGCCCTCCTGGATGGGGATGAGCTCGGCAGAAGGCACGGCATCGAGGAACTCGCGCAGGATGGGCATCTCAAACTCGCCCTCGGCCCAGGCAATGAAGCGCTTCAGGTCCGTCTTGCTCACGCCGCCGATGGGGTTGACGTCGGCACTCGAGCAGTCGTACTTGGTCAGGTATCCGCGGAGGGACTCGTCGACGTTTGCCGAGCCGAGCACGAGCAGGCCGCCCACCTTGCCGCGCGCCCACGGCAGGAGCTGCGCAAACATGTACCCGACGACCATGCGGAGACGCGCCTGGATGTTCTGCAGGGCGAGGTTCTCCGCCCCACTGCCGCCATGCACGGCGTACTGCGGCGTGCGGCCCGTGATCATGCGGAAAATGCCCAGCACGGCCGACACAGCCGTGTCCATGTTCAGGTCGACGTGGTACGCGCCAATCGCCTCGGCGAGCTGGCGCGCGCGCGTCCGTGTCTCGTTCGAGCTGTTCTCCGTGCCCATGTAGCAGGTGTGGAAGATGCGGTTCGCAAACTCCTTCGGGTCCGTCGGGCTGTACGTGCTGTCGGCAGGCTCGCCCGTCATGCGTCGCGCATCGGCGATCACCTGCTCGTTGCCCTCGCGCGCGGCGGTGGCGACGAGGCGACACATGCTGTGCACGATTGTGGCGGTCGCGCACGAGTCGATACCGCCAGAAAGAGGCAGGAAATAGCCCTGCACGCGCGATCGGCGGAGATAGTCCCACAGCCAGCAAGCGGGGCCGAGACTGTCGTCAGCTCAACGTCGTAGACACTGCAGCTAGATGGGCGAAGGACGACTTTTACACTGTCCCTCACAACTGAACACTCACGCAATCTCCTCTTCCGGCTTGTGGTAGACCATATCCGGGTCGCTCGGCCTCGTCTCCTTCCATCCGAGCATCATGCCCTTGGACGACAGTCGGACGCCGCCGAGCCCAGGAACACGCTCGTACGCCTCCTGCTGAGCGGCCTGCATGCGCCTCGAGCTCGCCTTGCGGTGCGCGCGCACCGTCTCGAGGTCAATGGTAGCTGTCACAACCTCGACGTCGTTCAGGGAGAACTGGGAGGAGCGCGCGACAATCTTGCTGTTGACCGCGATCATGGCGCAGCCGTCATAATACAGCCGGTCGCCGTCACAGCCCTGCTGGTTCGCGTACAGGTAGATGCCGCCGAGCTTCATGGTCGCCTCCTTGATGAGCTCGACGCGGCGATTCAGCTTGCGCAGCTCGTGATGCGAGCCGGACGAGTTGGTGAAGATCTCGACACCGTCGAGGCCCATCGCGATGTGCGGCGAGGCGGGCGTGAAGAGCTCCTCGCACAGCTCGACGCCGAGGCAGGTGTCGGCCGTCGGAACGACGGCGTCACCGAACGGCACTGTCTCCTGGCCCGTAATCTCAGAGATAATCGAGGGAAGGTAGTGCACCTCTGTCTCGCGGTGCTTGGCCCAGGGAGTAAAGTGGCGGAGCTCACGCTGTTGTCAGCTTCAGCGCATGCAGTGGAGTCAGCTGTGAGTCTGCGAGCATCGCGGTCGCTCGCTCGTTCCTCGTTCGCACTCACGTAGTTACCGTCGTTGGCCATCCACATCTTCGGGCGGATCAGCACAATCTTGCCGTCGTGAATGATAACACGGCAGTTGTACGTCGAGTTCTTGTGGGTGATCGGCATGCCAATGTCGCACACGATGCCCCGCGCCTCCGGATCCTTCAGGATACGAGCGAGCATCTCCCATGAGTGCAGAATGATGTCGCCTGGGTGTCAGCTGGTGTCATCGTACAGTGGTATCAAGCTGGCTCCAAGCCCCGTCTATCCGCAGCCTGCTGGAGCGGAGGGAAGGAGCTGCTAGTCGGACACTGGGTAGTGCCCAAGGCCGCACTCACCCTCGAGGAAGTGGTCCTGGCACCCATAGCCCGAGATCTCGAGCTCGGGACCAACACGCAGCGTCGCGCCCTTGGCCTTGGCAATCTTGATCGACTCGAGGATACGCTTGCAGTTGCCCTCAAAGTCGAGGGCCCACTGGTCGAGCGCGCACGTCGCGACCGTGATCATGTGCATGGTGGGCGAGGAGCGAGCGAGAGCGAGCGGTAGCGAGGCGAGCGGGGGAAGAGTAAATCGAGTTAAAGAAACAATCAGAACCGGCTGGTCCTCTCTGCTTGTTTAGTGTATGCTGGAGCAACTGTTGGGCGTTGTCGAGCTCCGGTACGTAGTCAGCGCAGATTAAGTCGGCACCCTGCACCCGATATCTAACCCCATCGAAGCGGTTATCTCATCGGTGGAGGTCGTGTGCCACACGTCATTCTTGATACCGCGCCGCGCTCGATCACCACTGCTGGGTCATGGCTTGAGACTGGCGGCTCTACGACATTCGACATCGACAACCACCATGGCGGAGCAGCAGGTGCAACTCACGGACCTCGACCCGGAACAGCTGCAGCAGGTCAAGAAGCAGCTCGACGAGGTGGGTACGGATCAAGGATGAAGAGTCGGCGAGCAATCTGTGTTCTACCAGCTTCCTCGGTGGAGGCACGAGCGCGACTGCTGGCAATGTGGCCAGCATGGCCAGCTTGGCGGTGGGACAGCCCGCAACACTCTCTCGAGAGCCTTGAATCCCTAGCTGCTGAGATAAATCTCACTCCCGACCTCAGCCTTCTTGCACCCACGATCAAGCTGACAGTACAGGAGCTCGACCACCTGACCAACTCGTTCGGGCAGCTCAAGCAGGCGCAGGGCAAGTTCCGCTCGTGCGTGAACGACATCGACGCGCTCACACCGGACACGCTTGACCGCGAGGTTCTCGTCCCCCTCACGTCGTCGCTGTACGTCCCGGGCAAGCTGGGCGACACGAGCCACCTCATCGTCGACGTCGGCACGGGCTACTACGTCAAGAAGGTGGGTGTGGGCCCTGGTGCACCTGTCACCTGCACCTAAACCACTAGGAGCACAGGTCATAGCTCCATATTTGTTGAACCCAGCTAACACACAGTCCCGACCCGAGGCGGCCAAGCACTACACGGGCAAGGCCGAGTTTGTTGGCAAGAACCTCGAGACGCTGCAGAAGACGATTGAGCGGAAACAGGACAACCTCCAGAGCGTCATTCAGGTGCTCCAGATGAAGCTCCAGCAGGCCCAGCAGCCGCAGCAGCCGGCCAAGTGAGCCACACCGTCGTCGCTTAGGAGAGAGCAGGAGCAGGAGGTAGCATAGACGTTACGAGAAAGGAGCACGAAGGCATATCTGATGCGAACCATAATATGTATTTTCTGCATTCACGCGAGGAGAGCGCGCTCTCGTCAGCGAGATTCTAGTTCTAAGCTTCTATCACTTCCACCTATCCTCTTGCCAAGTCCCCTGGCGCCAGACTGCAAGGCAGACCGAGCGGAGAGGACTTGCGCCGAGGTCTCAACTCAGGTTTAGGACGGAACCCCAACACCGATGCGACGGCGCATGTGCCACCCGAGCTGGATGTAGTTGCGCTCGTTCTCAGGCGTGACGAGGCCGTGGCGGACGAGGAAGTCGACGAGGATCAAGCCGCAGTTGGGCTTGAATTCGCCGTTTGCGAGGCATTGCTTGGCCTGCTCGACGGACATGAGCTGTATTGTTAGCTTCTGCAACTAGCCTGTAGCTAGGATAAACGGGCGAGATGCAAGGGAAGTATGGCACGGGAACGCCGGGGGGAGAAATGGAAGGAAGACAGGGAGACAGGTATCACGGGAGATACGCACCTCAAAAGACTCGACCTCGTCGTCGTGCGGCTTTGGAAGCACATACTCCGGCGAGTCCGGGGAAGGCAGCTCGAGGTCGTACAAGTACCTGAGTGTTAGCTACGTCAGCGTCGAAAAGCTTACCTGTGGGTCAGCTCAGCGACGGTTCGGTCAGCTCACTCAATCTCTGCAATGTCAGCTTCGCTCAAGCCCTACAAGCTTACCGGGCTGGAGATATCCTCCCTTCGTGATGTAAAAGTACGTCGCAGCTCCCACATTCCTGCCGTCAGCTATCACTATGCTCGCGCCAGCTCACTTCAACCGCTTCGTCACAAACTCCTCGGGCAGAGACGCCTCCTCATCGCACTCCTTCACCATCGTCTCGGCCGGCGTGAGGCCAAAGGGAATCCCGCCCGCAACCGTGTTGTCGAGCATGGAGGGCCAGGTTGCCTTTGTCGGCGAGCGGCGGGGGACCCAGATCTTCATCTCCTTGCCGTGCCATTCGTACGCTGGTCTTGTCAGCTTGTGAGCAAAGGGAACAGTAAGCTAGTTCTCACCTGTCATGTGCACGCCGAAGGTCGCGAAACCGAAGATGGCACACGCGGCGCGCTCGCATGCGAAAGCGGCGTTGCCCCAGGGTTTGTCGGCGGGCTTGAAACCGGAGGAAGACGGGTCGCAGTAAATCGCGTACAGCTCGTCACGCCAACCTGTCGTCAGCTGTACACCGTCCCTTTCTAGCAACGTGAGGAACCAACTTGGCTCCCTCGACCACGATCAGACACCTCCGTGGTCCAGGAATAGTAATTGAACTTGAGAAACGGCCGGACGTTGACGCCAGCCCCGTCTCCTGCTTCTTGGCCTTCCGGTTTGTACTCACCATCCAGCTCGTTCTTGAATTTGCCAGCCTGCCGCCACGTCCAAGCCGCAGTCGCGACGGCCTGGTTCATGCTCTCTGTCCCCTGTGCGACGACGGGCTCCGTGAACGTGACACACCTGACCTCATCGGCGTCCATGACAAAGCTGAACGCGCCCATCTTGCTCTCGGCCTCGAAGGTCCTCAGCTCCTGTACGACATTGGGACGGAGGAGACCGAGCGGGGTCAGCTTGGCGTCGTAGTCGGCAGGACACAGGTGGAAGGGGACATAGACCTCGCCCGTCTCGGGATGCTGCAGGGGGTAGGCGGAGGGCTGGGAGATGTAGTCTGGAAAGCTGTCAGCCGCCTTGACGAAGGGGAGCAGCGAGGGGGAAGACATGGTGGACTGGTGGAGGTTGAAGTGGAAGTGGAGGAACGGAACAGACTTTGGGACCTAAGCCGTCGTCCGTTCCGGTGGAGACCCCGCACGGGCTGGAGCGCGTGGTTCTGTCAGAGCTGGGGGGTGACTCAGCTGATACGCAATGACGTGTGAGGAGATGGCTCCAAAACAAGGGCACCGACGTGGATGACGCCGCTGACAGAGAGGAAAGTGGACATATGACGGCGGTTGGCCTCCGTGCCTGGTCGATCACCCCCTTCCCTCGCTTCGCCCCGGTGCTGGCCGCTGGGCCGCTGGACCGCTGGACCGCTGGAGCGCTGGAGCATGGGCGTGCCTGAGCGAACGGCCAGTTTTGCTTCTGCTGGCTAACTGGACCCTGGACACCCCCGATCCCCACTGGCACGGCTGACATGGCTGGCACGGCTTGCCCGGGAGGCCAGGAGGGAGGGAAGGCCCCAGGCCCCACCGATCTCTCTCTGCCGCTCTGCCGCTCTGCCGCTTTGGCGTACTGGCGTCGGTACCTCGAGCGTGCCAGCGTCAAGAGCATCAAGAGGAGGGATCGGGGAAACCCTGAGCGCCAGAGCCCGACAGTTTGTCTCTCGGTGCAGTCGGCCGCTGACCGACAGAAGCAAAGCGAGCGCAAAACGTTACTCGATATGGATAATCGAGGCCAACAGGCAGCGCACAGACCTCCGCCTGTTTGGTCTTGCTGACACTGCGTATACTCTGGCACGGGCACTCCCCAACATGTCCAACAGGCTTTGCCACCCAGCCTAGCTGCCCGATCTGACGATCTGATTGGGACTGCGCACGCCGCGCCTGCGCGCCTCGCGCTTCGCCCTGGCACGGACACAGCAGCAGCAAGGCGCGAGGCACTGACATCGTCGGTGCCTTTCTCCGCACGTCTGCACCACACTTGCGACACACTACGACTTGCACGACGCACGGTGCGAGCTTGCGATCCGTTTTGACGCAGGTCACTTGCATCACTCGCTGACCTCGGAGAATTATCCACGACCACTCGCTCATCGTTGTGGAGCTATCATCTTAAGATGTGAGATGCAGCAACTTGTGCTGGTGGTCGCGGGATGCATCTCGCCACTTGACACTGCATGGAGGATGCAGGATGGACGGAGCGATGGATCCACCCATGCCATATGCCATGCTGCCACCCATGCATGCCGCAATTCAACGCGTACCTCAGCCTATCAGCCTCAAGACTCTGCCGAGCCTGGTCGCCTAAGACATGGACTTGCTAGTCGGAAGAACCGCGCTAGATTCACGGCAGTTAGTGACCTCCCCTGCCCCTCTGACCTTCTCTCGCCTGCTGCCCTGGCTCCCTCACTTCCTCGCGCGGCAGGCAGCCCCAAGACCCGAGGGCCAGGCATGAGTCATTGTTTGGGATTCCATCAATTCCACGCGTACCTTCTACCCTGCGCTGGCCAGCTGGCCTGCCTTCCAGCGACCTTCCAGCCTTAAGCAGCCCTGCATCAGCTCGATCTCCACCGTTCCGCACATACGCACAGGGAACGGATTGGGGATGACGGGGTCTGCACGTCTGCGCTGCCTCGCCGGGTCTGGGGTAGGGTTTTGGCCGTGGTGCGCTGGGCCTCTAGGTCACTTGGTCGCCGGCGGCGAATCGACACGCAGAGGTTCCCCGCCCTATCCTACTGGCCTACTGCACACCTGGAGGTCGAAACGATGGGATTGTCTATGGATCCGGAGGCAGGCGAGATCGCAGTGGGGACCAACCTGAACAGTCATGTGTTCGTGCACCCGACCAACTCGCTCCGTCTTCGCGATCCTCTTTGTCATTATGCCAAGGGTCAGGGCAGGGCCGTGCGCCATCCTCCAAGCCATGCACGCCATGCAAAGCCATGGCGCACTCCGACGTGCCGTCGTAGTCAGCAAACAGACGACATCTGGTATCTGGGCGCCCGCCCGCCGACTACTGCAGCAGTGCAGCAGTGCTAGCTGTGAGCAAGCTCGCCGACGATGCGACGCAGTGGCACCGGTGGCGCACTGGCTTCCGACCTGCCGGCGCATAGCCCGGGGCGCAGCTGGCTGTCGTGCGAGTGCTCATGGCTCTGTGTGCGGCATGCGGGCAGAGTCAGCAGTCAGCGTGAGCGTCGTTGCCGCGTCGCACGCAGCAAGGGACGAGCCCGTGAGCCAAGAGATCGCACAGCAGAATGCATATTCCGTCTGCGGCCAAGTCCGTAGATGCCGTAGATGACAGCCGGCTGACTGCGCCAGCATCACTGGAAAGGATATAGACAACAGCGGCACAGCGGCACGGACATGGGCTTATGGGCCTATGGGCCATCGGGCAGGAGAAGGTCGCACGGTTAGAGGCGAGCCCCACGCCCCCGCATTGCTACGCAACCGGCTGGAAGCGAGGTACCGCGGCGGGGAGACGCCATGTGATGTGAGGGAGAGGGAGTGGAATGGCGGTTTGGCGCGGTCGGCAGCTGCGGGCCGGGATTCCCATCTGGCTGGTTTTGCTGGCCAGCTGGCTGGCATCTGGAGCCAGGGGAGGTCGTGGGCTTCCTGCTGACCTAGGAGTTAATAAAGCTCTGGCTAGGCTAAGAAAGAATAGGCCGTGCCTGAAGGTCGACCCGGAATACGCACTCCCCCTTCTCTCGTGCAGGAGCAGGCTTAGTGCCAGGTTGTGTGTGTTACGCAACAATCTTCGGGCCAAGTTTTTTTTTCTGCGCTAGTGAGGCGACAAGTGTCAGGGACGGACGCAGGGAAACGAGGGACGCTAGTCAGGTCCGACCTACGTCTTTTTACCCCGCCCGATCCAGAGCTAAACGATGCAAAGCAGGCAAAGCACGCTTGTCACAGCTGGTCAGCCTGTCCAGCCTATCCAGCCAGAACCCCTGACAGCCTAGCGCCCGAGGGCCAGCCAGGTACTAGTGGGTGGGGTCCACCGAGTCCACCTGCTGACACCCGCCGTCCAGAAGAACCACTGCCAATCAAGTCATCCATTCCGCATACCACACACACCCACACACACCACCCTCCCCCCCGACCTCACCATCGCTCTCTCCACCACCATCGCCTCTTTCCGATCCTTCCATCCGACCACCCCATCCCGACCATCGACCCATCCATCCATCCACCCTCTCTCTCTCACTCATCCTTCCACCCACCCTCTCCCCTCTCAACACCCAGCCAACAAAATCACTACTGACACCCTTCTGGTTCCGACTGCGACAAAGTAAACCAGACCGATACCCAAACTGATCAGCGACCCCCGACCCGGACTGTTGATCTTCTCTTGACTGGTACGTGTCCAATGTCTGCGCATCCATCCCACATATGTGTGTGGTCTCGCCCCCAGCGGGCACTGTCGCATGTCGCGCCTGCAGTCTTGCACGACCCCGAGGGCCGAGCGCGGCGCAAGGCAAGGTGGGCCAACCGGCCGGCGCCCCCAGCAGCCAGCAGCCCGCATCGCCAGAGGCGTTCGCCTGATGGTGGTGTGCGGCGCTGTGACGTGACCGGCGGACCTTATATAATGTTGTGTTTGACGTCGAGGCCCGTGCAGCGTGCGCCACTTAAGGTTGCGCACGCTAGCCTTGTCGACCAGTCTGGGGTTTGCGGTCTGTCCACTGGCCAACTTGGCCCTAGCTGCGAAGAGCCCGCGGGCCTCGGGTGCTGTCTGGCCTGGCGTTGCTTTGCTCGCATTCGCGCACTGGCATCAATGGCGCTGGCGCCTGGTGGTGGGCGCTGGCGCGGCTTGCGCTCAGACCTTGGATTGGATGACGCCAGGTCAAGGTCAGCCATGGCCAGCCAAAGCGCCTCGGCGAACGCCATCGCCGTTGGCGGCTGCGGACATGAGCGCTCGGCCTGCCATGCCTGCCAGTTGCAGTCGAGAACGCCCAAGCCTCCCGACCCTCGATCCCCTCAATGCGTCCTAGCGTCTTAGCGTTCTTTTTCCTTTGCCCCTGCCGCAGACCGCAGACACGCAGGACCTTTAGCTTGACCACCAGTGCTCACACACCACAGGCTCGTGCACGCATCACATTCCTGCAACTAAGGAGCTCGTCGGTTTTCACCACCAGACTCTCTCTCGCTCGCGATCCCGACCTTGTTTTTGTTTTGTGCATATCGACCAGAGCCCTCATCCACGCCCGCGCCCCCCAGTTCCTCGTGACCTTTAAACGGACTCGTAGGGCACACATCGACCGCGAGTAGCGACACACACACACACACACACTTTTGTTCACGCACGCACAAACCCGTGGTGATCGTCCCCGGCTCCGGCTCAGACATCAGGTGTCATCCACACACACACGCGCATCGACGTGTGTAATCCGTGTCATCCGAGCGCACGTACGCCCATCATCCGTTTTCGGCTAGACGGCTGCATCGCCCGCTCATCAAGGATCAGGATCAGGAGGAGTGTCACTCTGTGAGATCCGTCAGAACAATCCTCGGCTCGTGGCGCACAACGCACAGTCCACATCCATCCACCGCAAGACCACGCGCCCGTGTCTGTGTTCTGGTCTGTTCCCAATTCCCTTTCAACAACACCTTTCGTCACTGGACGTTTGCCGCAACCAGCTGCGCGACTTCCTATCGACCGAGTCATCCAACTTTACTCCCCTCCTTGATCATCTAGGCTGTTGGACGTGAGGAAGCAGGTGAGTTCAGGCCTCTGATGGCCACCATCACACTAAGGCTCGGACTGGATGGCCCATCTGTGTGTCGTGTCGTGTGTGCCCCTCGTCTGCTCTGTGGTGTTCATCCATTCCGAGCCGCAGCCGTCTCAGAGCATGGGTCTTGCCACTCGGCACTTATCACGCACAATGACGTCTGACACACGACGTGAGGTTCCGGACGAGAAGCAAAGGGGGGGCAGTGATGAGCGCTCCCCTCCTGCCGAGTCCTTCTTGTGCGGTCGAGGCAACGCCAGAGCACGGACGGCAGTCACCCATGCCTTTGGCCAGTCTTCTCATTATCTGCATCACTTCGTGTCCCTCCCATCTTCCCTCTCCCCATGCTTTGTTATTATCGACTAACCCATCAGTGATGCCTCCTCAGCCTGAATCTCGAGTTCCCCACCACATGCCCGTCCACTCCAACTACCCCCCGACGGGGCCGGCATACCCTTCCCAACCGCCCCATCCCATGCACCACCACCATCCCCAGCGCCATGCCTCCAACGGACCTCCTCCGCCAATGCCTGTCGGTGGACCGCCCCCACCAATGTCAGTAGGCGGACCTCCTCCATCGAACATGGGCCCTCCTCCCGATGCCGGCGGTCCCCCGCCAGCCCCGGTCTCGAACGGCCACCACGGTGGAACGCCCGGTCCCGTTCACCAAGTGCCGCGCCCTGGTCGGGAGAAGTTTGACGGTCTTATGAACCAGCTGGCGCAGGCCAACGAGAACACTTGGATGCTGATCGGTGAGTGGCTGCGCAAGGGTGACGCCCGCCAAGACGTCTCGCTAACATTCAGGAGCCGTTTCGGAACAGATGAACGACCAGGATAGGGCGCTGGCCGCGTTCGAGAACGCTCTGCGTCATAACCCGAATTCGATCCTTGGCCTGAACGCTGTCGCAGACATCGCCCGCAGCCGAGACAACTTTGACAAGGCGATCGAGTACTTCCAGCGAATCCTCAACATCAAGCAGGACAATGGCGATGTCTGGGGATCGATGGGTCACTGTCTCCTCATGAAGGACGACCTGCCCAAGGCTTACACTGCCTACCAGCAGGCGCTGCACTATCTTCCGAACCCGAAGGAGCCCAAGCTGTGGTACGGCATCGGTATATTGTACGATCGCTACGGCTCGTTTGAGCACGCTGAGGAGGCGTTCAGCTCGGTGCTCAAGATGGACCCGGACTTTGAGAAGGCCAACGAGATCTACTTTAGGCTCGGCATCATATACAAGCACCAGCGCAAGTACTCGGCGTCCCTGGACTGCTTCCGCTACATCATCAACAACCCTCCTCGTCCTCTGACTTCCTGGGATATCTGGTTCCAGCTCGGCCACGTTTACGAGTTAAACGGCGACTTTACCGCGGCTCGCGACGCCTACCTCCGTGTCCTCGACCACCAGCCCGACCACGCCAAGGTCTTACAGCAGCTCGGCTGGCTGTACCACCAGCCCGGCGCGTCGTTTGCGAACCAGGAGCAGGCCGTCAACTACCTGACGAAGAGTCTGGAGACGGACGCTGCCGACGCTCAGAGCTGGTACCTTTTGGGCCGTGCGCTCATGGCCGGACAGCGCTACAACAAGGCGTACGAGGCTTATCAGCAAGCCGTGTACCGCGAGGGCCGCAACCCTTCCTTCTGGTGCTCGATCGGTGTCCTCTACTTCCAGATCAACCAGTTCCGTGACGCTTTAGACGCCTATTCGCGCGCGATCCGCCTCAACCCCTACATGTGGCAAGTGTGGTATAACCTGGGAAGCCTTTATGAGTCGTGCAACAACCAGATCACCGACGCGATCGACGCCTACTCCCGAGCTGCGGAGCTGGAGCCTCACAACGAGCAGATCGCCCACCGCCTGCAGCTTCTCCAGCGCAACGGCGGAAGCAATGCGCCGCTTCCTCCCCCTCCTGCGCCCGTTGACGTCCACCCGTCACAGTACAACTCGCACCCGAGCGGCGGCGGTGCGCCCGGCGCCGCTCCTGGTGGACCTGGTGGCGAGTATGCTGGTCAGCCCAGCCCCGGCGGTTCGCCCCGTCTCGCCCCTGCGCAGATGCCTCCTGGAGGACCTCCCGGCGAAGGACCCCGCCAGCTCGCCCAGCCTGGTGGCCGCTTGCCCGCTCCTCCTGGCGACTTCCCTCCCCGCGGCGCAGCTGCTGGCGGTCCCGGCGGTGGCCCTCCCTCGCCTGGCGCCGGCCCCTTCCGCGGCGGCATTGCTCCTCCCCCGCTCAACCACGTTGCTTCCGATCTTTGACGAGAGCCGCGGCTCCATGTCTCGCCATGCTCCACTCGGACCGATCGACACTGACCGTCCTGACCCGCGCGATCTGCGTGAGGGCTACCGTGAGGGACCTGGCGGTCCTGGCGGCCCCCCTGCAGGCTACAATGGCGGCTACAATGGCGGTGGTCCTCCTGGTGGACGCTACGACCCAGCTTCTGATCGTCGCGCCCCTGTCTCGCCTCGGTCACCCCACCGACGACCTGAGAACATGCCGCAAGGGTACCCGCCGTACCCTCCCCCGCCTGGATACCGTGACCGTGAGGAATGGGAGAGGCGAGAGCGCGAGGCGCGCGGCATGCCTCCCCACGACCCTCGCCACCCGTCGCCCAGGCCTGGAGAGCGTGGCGGACCTCCCCCCATGGATCCTCGCGACCCGCGCAGCATGGCCGGCATGCCTCCTCGCGGTGGACCTCCCGATGGACGCGAGTTTGGACGGGGTCCTCCTCCCGAGGGGTACCCTCCCTATGGCTACGAGCGCGGTGGACCGGGCGGCTACCCGCCTCCGTACGACCCGCGCCGGGACGAGCGCCGCTTCGAAGAGCACGACCAAAAGCCCGGCCTCGACCACGCCAACGGCATGCCTGGCCGCCACCCGTCGATGCCGCGCGACCTCGGCAACGCCGACCTGCGTGCGCCTAGCCCGGCTCCCAGCACGAGCTCGAAGGGATCGCGCCGCAAGGTCTCGGACAATGCTGGTGCCGCCAAGAAGGGTGCCGCCCCGCGCAAGTCTGAGCCGATCCCGGCTCCGCGCAAGAAGACGAACGGTGCCGACACGCCGCGCACTGCCGCCTCGCCTGCCCCGTCGCAGCGCGCCGGCTCCGTTCCCCGCCAGTTCCCGCCTTCGCTGTCTGGCCCGAACCGCACTGTCGATGAGGACTATGACGAGGGTGTTGACGCGCTGATGTCCCTGCACTCTGACCGCGGCACGCACAAGCCGATCTCGCCGACGAACCCGGGCAGCAAGCGCCCGTCGCCTCCGTCGCCCGAGACTCGCCCTTCCGACCCGAAGAAATCGAAGCCGAGCCCCCCGCCGCGCGCGGCACAGAGCCCGACTCGACGCACGGTGATTGAAGTGCTCAACGCGCCGTCGCGCAGCTCGATCGAAGTCCTGAACCACCCCTCGATGAACAAGCTCCCTCGCCTCCCGGACCGGCACGAGCGTGAGCGCAGCGACCGCCCGAGCGCTGGCCCGGAGCGGGACCCACGGGACCGGCCGTCGCCCGAGCACGCGCGCTCGCCGGAGAAGGCCAGGCCCAAGTCCCCCGAGGACGTTCGAAAGAGTGAGCAGCCCGCACAGCCGAGGAAGGACACGTCGTCGCCGAACAAGTCGCCCATGAAGTCTCCCCCCACGCAGCTGAAGGCCCCGAACTCGAAAGGATCTGACAGCAGAGACGCTAGAGACAAGGAGGGAGACGTGGAGATGAGCGACGCGCGTAGCGACCGTGATCGTGAGCGTGAACGTGAGCGTGGAGACCGCAAAGAGACGTCGCCCAGCAAGGCCTAGTGGGTGCTCATATAAAAACTTAGACTGTGAATGTAGCGACTTGTAAAGATGCATACTGCTCGAAGAATAGGTTCTTTTGGAGGTAGTGAGGCAGAGTAGGAATGGAGAGTGGCGAGGTGAGCTCTAGGTGATAGTGGTAAGCTCAGTTTGTGGTTTGACAGCGCAATGATGCAATGACTACCCAAAGGTGTTGAGACACGAGACGTCAGAGAAGTGTCAGACGGATCTAGCCCAGGGAGCAGTGACGCGCAACGCGTGCAGAGAGCGTGAGGTGAGCCTGGCCGCTATCAGATACAGTGGCCGTGCCTGGAAACGCCGGTTTACTCCACCTCCACAGGGTCCAAGTGAAAGAGACGTGACTTCATCCGATTCCGACAGCTTCAAGATCGCCAACTCCTTCATCCCAAACCACCAACCATCAACCATGCTCCGAACACAAGCACACCCGACACTTCGAATGGCTATGGGGCGACCAGCCGCGCTCGCGCCGATAATGGCGTCCAGCTCTAGGGGGTTCTCGAGCAGCGCCATCCGAAGCGTACCGGATCACTACGCCGCGCTCAACCTGCCCAAGAACGCGAGCCGGACACAGATCAAAGCCAAGTTTTACGAGGTGAGCAACTCCGCTTCTTCGCTCTTCACTCCCACCGCTGCCCACCGCTGAATGTCTCCTTGCCGTTAGCTAACCCCAGCTATCCAAGAAGTACCACCCCGACTCACCGACGGGCTCGGCCGAGCAATTCCACAAGATCAACGAAGCGTACTCAATCCTCGGAAACGTCTCAAAGCGCTCAGCGTACGACGCCGAGCTGAATCCGAGTTGGGCGGGGAGTCGTTCTGGAAGTCATGGACATGGGGGGCATGGGGGGCATGGAGGCAAATGGCACCCGCATTCGCCCGAGGGACGGCGCGCGGCGGGACAGCACCGCGCCTGGCGCGCGGGCAAGGGGACGTGGGGCAAGGCGGCCCCGGGGCCGCAGTGGACGGGACGGAGGAGGGTGGATCCGAATCTTGGTGAGTTGCGCGAGCCCGAGCGCACTGAGCACGCGAGCACGCGAGCTTGCGAGCTTGCGAGCTTGCGAGCGAGCGTGATATTGCTCCGCGTGTGTCCTTGAGCCACCGCAGAGCTTTATCTCAGCTGGACAACCGGACCGAAGCTAACCCCAGGCGGCGGCATGGGCATGGGCGGCACCGGCGGCCTGGGCACGGATTGGGACCGGGTGCGCAACGGCCCCGTGGAGATCAAGACGGGCGCAGACGCTTGGAAGAGCATGCGCTCCCGCATCAACAAGGTCCGGAACGACGAGGAGGTTAAGGGCGAAAGCGCGTTCATCAGGTTTGTCGTGGTCGGGCTCATGGTGATTGTCGCGTGGGCGGGGGCTAGTATGGCTAGTGCCCAGGAGGAGCTCGAGCCTGAGGAGGTGGACTAGGTGGGACTAGGTGGGACTTGGGGGAGTATAGAGGTCTAGAATGCTTAGAGCTGTTCTGCATCTGTTTCTACGGCAATGCGCTATTGACTTGTCTTCTGGCGATTTCTTCTCACTTCTTTGGACTGAGTCAGCAAACTGTCTTCTTCCAGCTTATCCACGCCTACTCACCTCAGGACCCGGACCCTAGCTGCTAGACGAGCTGCTGCTGCTCCCCGAGGAGCTAGAAGTCGGCAGGATAACGTTCGACGACCCACCACACGTCTCAATCGTGATTGTCACCGTCGTCGTCGTCGTAGCGGGGACTGATTCGGCGTCGCCTTTGCCCCCCGGACCGCCATCGCCCCCGCGTCCGCCCGTACCGCCAGGCGCATAGTTGTCGCCGCCTGGACCGCCGGGGCCGCCGTCGCCTGCATTGGCGCGCGCGAGGAGCGGGGGTGGGGTGATGAGCTACAACAAGGCGTACGAGGCTTATCAGCAAGCCGTGTACCGCGAGGGCCGCAACCCTTCCTTCTGGTGCTCGATCGGTGTCCTCTACTTCCAGATCAACCAGTTCCGTGACGCTTTAGACGCCTATTCGCGCGCGATCCGCCTCAACCCCTACATGTGGCAAGTGTGGTATAACCTGGGAAGCCTTTATGAGTCGTGCAACAACCAGATCACCGACGCGATCGACGCCTACGCTGCGAAGGAGAGCAGGGCGAGGGCGAGGGTGAGAGCGGGGAGCTGCATTGTTGAGGTTTGTGTGAGAGAGAGGGGATTGGAGAGGGGTGAGAATGCCAGGGATGGGAGCTGTTTATATCTTCTTAAAGGCAGGAGGGTGAGTGAGTGCTCCAGTCTCCAAATAAACTCTCGACGCGCATCATGGCATCGTGATCTCTCAACCTTCTGCTGGTCTTGCACCTGTCAACGCTATAGACGCTGTGGAGCGTCTCCCGTGAGGACTGTTGAGCTTGTTAGCTCTGGAAAACGGCAGGTCCCCAGCCCCAGCTGGAATCACATCTGGAATCCACCTCGTTCCTGTTTCTTCGCGTCGGTTCTCACAGAGTGGTCTGGGCGCCGAGGACGGAGTACGACGACGACGGACTGCGCCGGTAGGTGGCGCCGTCGTGTCGGAGACGGCGCGTTCTCATGACAGCCACTTCCTCCGCTGTGCCATAGCCCAGGTAGCCGTATTCAACAGACTCAGTCTCAAAGTTATAGCCACGCATGTGGAGAGTCTGACATTTGCACCTTTCTGATTCGATTGCCACCGCTCGTGCCAGACAGCTCCTGCTTGCCTCGCGCCCCAGAATGAGTTCGGCGCGCAGGCGCCTTGGGAGGTGGGAGAGATGATGTTGACACGTGCCTCGGCGCCAATGTGGCTCTGCCTTGCCCACGATACACGCGATAAGATTAGAGTTGCGCAATCATGTCGTTATCTTCACACCGTGTGTGTGAGAACACTCTTCTAATCGCGATCAACACGGGACACGGCCACACGCCGCTCCATGCTTCATGCTTCAAGCTCGAAAGAACGGAAAACATCACCACCATCTTCGAAGCCCTCCGCTCTTCGTTCGCCATGTTCCTCCACCGGGCAAGTCGCAAGCCCACCGGCTCGCCGACAAACCTCCCTCGACGACTTCACAAAGCGAGAATGATACATGTCTTCTTGTACAACGTTTCGTTGGGATGCAATGATAATTACTGATTCTATCCTCTGATCACGTCTAGAGGGCGAGAGCTACTGCCACCTTACACATACGCCGCGACCGCCTTCCTGACCACGTCCAGCTGCTCCGCGACCGTCGCCGTCGTCGCCTCCTCTTTGCCCTGAGCGAGGTGAACGAGCCACGCAAAGTCAGCCTGCGCCGGGATGCTGAGCGACGACTGCCTGCGGCTCTCCAGCTTTTGCTGGAATTGCTCAAAGAACTCGCCCGACACCTCGTCCGCACGCGCCACGACGGCGTCTGGAACGCCAGCGAGCTTTGCGACGTGCGTGCCGTGGGACGACTCGGCGTGGCCCTTGATCAGCTTGTAAAGGAACACGACACCGGCAGTGTCGTCAACGTGCACTGCCATGTGCATGTTGCGAATGTTGGGGTGGTATGCAAAGTCGTCCGTCAGCGAGCCGTAATGCGTCGCAAAGAATCCAAGCGGCAGTGTGTGCGTCGAGAGGTGGTGAAGGACCGCCCCAGCGATCGCCATGCCGTCGTACGTGGACGTGCCACGGCCGAGCTCGTCAAGAATGACAAGAGAGCGAGGACCAGCCTCGCGGAGGATCTTGCTGCACTCGTCCAGCTCGACCTTGAACGTACTTGCTGAGGCGAACATGTTGTCGTACGCACCCATACGCGTCTGGATCTTGTCGAGGGGGCTCAGCCGAGCAGACGCAGCAGGCACGTAGCAGCCCATCTGCGCCATGATCACGGCTGCCGCCGTCATGCGCAGCAGCGTTGACTTGCCCGCCATGTTCGGGCCGGTCAGGAGCGTCGTGCGAGGCACCTCGCCACCCAGCTGCACGTTGTTCGCAATGAAGTCGCGCTTCAGGCACATGCTGGGGTGACGCAAGTCCTCAAAGTCGATGAAGGCTTGGTCCGACTCGACAAAGGTAGGGCGGCACTTGGGCGCGTCGAGGTTGAACGAGGCGCGAGCAAGCGAGTTCAGGCAGTCCAGCTCGGCAATCACCTTGACCATCTTGAGCCACACATCGCGATCCTTGTCAAACTCGGACAGGAGGTGCCTGAAGAAGTTCTTCTTCGCGATCGACTGCGTCTCGCGCGCCTCCTGCATCAGGCGGATAAGAGGTTGCGTGACGGGCGTGATGTACCTAGCCACCTGCTTCAAGCTACCGCACTTGGTCCACTTGGGTGGCACTTTCGTCTTGGCCGGGATCTCGAGGTGGAAGATCTCCTTGTTGCCCTGGGCAGAGTGCCAGAACCGGATCTCGCCCGTCTTCAGCTTCAGTTCCTGGCGTGTTTGCTCCATGGCAGCATTGAGCTCCTCCTCGATCTCGGCGACGGCAGCGTCAGCCTCATCGCACGCCTCGTCGGCACCCTCGGTGGGCAGGATCGCAATGGTCTTCTCATCCGTGACCTGGGTGAACATGTTCTGGATATGCTGAAGGTGCGGTCCAAGGTCCGGAGCACTGCGCAGCAGGCCCGCGACAGACGACGACTCGAAGCCTTCGGCGATCTCCAAGAGCCGGTTCACGCTCGACTGGATGCGACGGAAATGGTTCATGACGTTGACAAAGTCGAGCTGGCGAATGGATCCGGCGTGAATGCGCGAGACAAGACGCTCGAGGTCCGGCATGCCCTTGCAGAGCTCCTTGAACTGGGACATGAAGCTCGGCGCGTGCATCAGGTCGTCAACGGCGTCGAGGCGCGCATTGATGGCCGCGGCATCGCGCAGGGGGGCAGTCAGCCAGTACCTGAACAGACGCTTGCCGAACGGAGAGTGGCACTGCTGAAGGAGGCTCAGCAGCGTTCCCTCTTCACTGCCCTCGTTGTTCATCAGAACTTCCATGTGGCCAAGCGTCTGACCGTCGAGGACAAGCGCCTTGCCATCGCGGATGGGGTCGTAGACACTGAAATTCTTCTGCGAGATGAGGTCCTTGTCGAGGTTGAGGGTGCGCAGATAGTACAGCAGGCCACCGACGGCCTCAACAGCGAGGTGGTTCTCGGTCATGGCGGTAATCGCCGCGGGAAGCTCGCCCTCAGGAAAGTATTCCTTGAGAGCTGCGATGGTGTCGTCGACGTCCAAGAACTCCTTGCCCTCCTTGAACGACTGCCAGAGCGTGCTTGGGGGAAGAATGTTGCGCAGCAAGCGCATCGTGACGACGGAGAGATTGCCCTTGGCGAAAACGAGCTCCTTGGGACGAATCTGGCGGAACATCGTCTCCAGACGGGTGCAACAAATGTCGTCCTCGAACGCTGTCAGGCTGAAGGACCCAGTCGACGCGTCCATGACGCAGATGCCGAAGGATGACGGCAAGTTGGGTCCAAGCGAGGACTCTTTGATCGAGACACAGTGATTTGCCTCGTCAGTTGTCAGGTACGTGCCGTCAACGATGGTGCCGTTGGTGAAAACTTGCGCGAGCTCGCGGCGAACAATCTCCTTGGCGCCGCCACCCTTGGTCGTACGCATCTCCATGCCGATCGCCGTCTCGGCCTGCTCAACCTTGCCGACCTTGTATCCCGCAGCGAGGAACTTGGCCGCCCAGAACTCAAAGCTTTGCTCCGGCACACCGACCATCTTCATCTTGACGCGGTCGGTGAGCTTCAGGTCGAACTCCTGGTGTCCGATGGCTGCGTCGTTCTCGTACAGCTCGTAGAACTTGCCCTTCTGGAAGAAGAGTACGGTGTCGTAGTGATTCTGCTTGATCTCCCAGAACTGCCTCTCGAAGGGCGTGAACGACCCCCATGATTTCTTCGGAATGTAGATTGTACGCGGGTCGTACTCCGGGTCGCCAGGGCGGTTGCCCTCCTTGTCCTTGATGTCGACCAGGAACTCGAAGCAGGTCTCGGCGTTGCGCTTGTCGCCCTTTGCCTGAATCTTCTTCCGCTCGGCGGCAGTCAGGAACATGTCCGCGGCGCCGCTGCTCGACGCATGCGACAGTGGCGGCCGGGACAGAGACGGGGAAGCCTTGAGGGGTGCCTTCTTGGGAGCAGCCTTCTTTGGCTTCTTGACAGGAGACGCCTCGGACACGACACTCGCCACAGATGGCGAGGAAGGCTCCTCGGACGTGACGCCGGCCTCGGACACATCGTCTGATGTCAGTTCAGATCGCGGTCTCTCAACTCACCCATGGCAACGTCGTCGGCGGGAGGGACGAACTCATCCTCGTCATCATCATCAGAAGAGTCGGCGCGCAAGCTCTTGCGCGGCTTGCGACCGGGGCGGATCGGGGACGCGTCGCTCTCACTGTCGGACTGGACGTACTTAACGGCCTTCCTTTTGCGGCGACCGGGGACGAACACCTCCTCTTCCTCCTCATCGACGTCCATCGCCTCCGCCGCTGGCGACGGCGGCGCCTTGGGCTTTGATCGCGGCTTGGAGACAATCTCGGGTGGCGGGCTCAGACTGGCCGAGCGCTCCGGCTGCGGCTTACGTGCGATCTGCACATTGGCGCTGACTTCCTCGGGCTCAATGGGGTCGCTCGGTGGCGTGCGGAGCGATGAAGACGGGGGCGATGTTGAGGCAGCTGCGGGAGTAGGGGCAGCCTTTGGCGTCTTGGGCTTGCTAGCTGGGGTCGTCTTCACCTTTGGTGTGGCCTTGGGCGTAGCCTGGGTAGCTGGGGAAGGTGCGGCCGGCTTGGGTTTCGGCGCGCCAAAGAACGCGGCGAGCGTTGTCTGCTTCGTCCTGCGACATGTCAGCACTGCCCTTGCCTCGAGATTACTTACGCCTTCTTGACGTCCGCTGCAGCTTTGACCATTGTGAATGGAGCCAGCGGATCTCGAGGGTGTAACAGACAACTCTTGGTGTAGTGTAGGGAGGGAAGGGAAGACCAGGGAAAGGACGCAAAACAGGCGCGTCTGGCTCCAGCCGCCTCCACCGGCGCGCTCCTTCCTCATTTACACCAGCGAACCAGCAGGTACTCGCGCGACGACCAGGGGGTGGGCCACCGTGGGACAGCTGACGCGTACCAGAGGCAGTCGTGGGACAGCTGACGCGTTCCTTCCAGCTTTCCCACGGCCGTCAGCGGATCGTGCTCCGCTACCCATGAGGCTACTGTGGTGAGCCTAAAAACTTGCACGAGATATCCAGGGTAACTCGCTGACTGACGCCTCCTGACCTGTCGGTCCTGGATCCTGAACGCCGTTGCTTTTGTTGCGAGATCGGGTTCGCCGAGCAACAACGACTGTCGAACGATGTATGTCGACCTTATCAGATGTGCTCAGACTTATTCAGGTCACTTTCGGTTTCTCCGCGCATAGATCTCGCACCTGGCGTGCTCCATCGTATGGAACACAAACGCGGCACGCCGCTGTCGGCGTGAAAATATTGAAAGTCAACCACACCGAGCTCCGAGACGCGCCCCCCGGATTGCCCGCATTCCGGCGTGGGCTGGCGACAAACCCAAAGACTAAACTTGTCGCGGACTTGGCACCCGTCATAATTAATATTTAGGCCAGGGAAGACAACTCCGGCCATGCAAAGCATTAATTGTGGTTTGCTTTCTGCTGAGCTCTGACGGGCAACAGGGGTCCTCCGCAGTCGTGCATCACATGCCGCTGGTGACTGGCAACACCTCTGACGGCGGTGGACATCAGGCGGACAAGAATGACGAAGAGGTCAAGAGACATTGCTGACGGTGCATAATGCAAATGGAAACCCTTACAAGAGACTGTCGTGCTACTGCTGCAGCTGCCGCAGCATGCAGCACGCTCACACCGCCAGGTGTGATAGCGATACAACCATGACAAACCTCACTCATATCTCGCTCTCGTCTTCGAGTCGTCGACGCCGACTGGAGCTGCCGCTGGCATGCCGCCACGCAGCGAGTCGACGCTGCGCTCCTCCCGTGTCCGCACCCGCGGTGTGACTGGCTTGGAGCCGTTTTCGCTCGGCGTGCCATTCAGCCGTGGCGAGGCGAGGGGCTTCGAGCGCACAATCGGTTTGGGACTGCCGGACAAGACCTTCGGACTACTACTGGCGGGGCCGCCGAGTCCGCTAGGGGCACTGCCCGACGGTGGCGGGTCAGACGAACGCTTGAACATCCCCCCCATCAACGACTTGAGCGACCGCGATGTGGACGAATGTGGGATCGGCGCTTGTGTTGGCTCCGCAACCAGTCGGTCCGTGAGCACTGGCGCGGCTGGCGATGCCTCGGTCACACTCCCCGGTACGGCCGGCGCAGCGCTGGGTGGAGGTTCTTGCCGACTCTCCGCGGCCGGAGTGTCGACCTCCATCGCTGGATCTGCTTGATCTGCTGGTTGATCGGCAGGCATCCTTCCCCGTGATGGCCCTGCGCCCTGCCCCGTCGGGCCAGACTCCGGACTCTCCTCGTCTGATCCACTGTCCATCTCGTCGTCTTCCTCGTCCATGTCTTCGTCTGCCTCGGCTCCTTCGGGTGGCTCGTCTCCCAGCACAGACCCCGTCGTTTGCACCGGAGTCGCAGACTGTGAGTCCGTCGGCGCTTCCTTGCCCGCATCCGGGAAGGCGCGGAAGGGCGACACTTCGGGCTCTGGTGCCTGCACGAAGCCTCCATGCGAACGAATCAGACTTGTGTAGTACCGCTGCAACAAGTCCGAGTTGCACTGATGTCAGCCATGTGCTTCTTTGATCGGCAGTAAACGCGTGCGCCGTGGTCGGTCCGCAGTGCCGCAGCGCCGCAAATTACGCGCAACCGCAACCCGCACCACGAACCGCAGACCGGCGCAGATGAGCGCTACTCACACATAGGGCCCATCCCGTCACGCGCAGAAACTCTCGCTCGAGGTTGTTCAGTTCCCCGACCTTGATACCGCCGACCTTTGCGTAGTGTGCGTTCGTGCAGAACACGTCGCACTGCGCTTTGCTGCCTGCCGTGACGCCGGCGATGAGGAAACGGTGCACCGTCAGTGAGGACAGCGTAAATGTCGGCAGGTTCTGGCACGTGAGGTCGATGTATGCTAGAAGGGAGAGCAATGGGATTTTCTGTCGTCAGTATAATGCCTCAAGAGACTCGAGGCAGGCGGCGGACAAGTCAAACATGCGCACGGTCCATTTCCGTGCCATGGGCCTGACTCTGGACAAAAAGTTGACGACTCACCTCAAGGTTTGTGTACTTTACGATACGCCGGAGGTACTCGATGACCGAAATGCCTGGCGGAGCACGAGAGTGGAAGCGTGTAAGCGCGTCAGGAGTGAGCACGACCTGGTCATTGTGCTGGCACAGCAGATCGAGCATGTGCGCGATCAGGACGACAAGTGTGTCAGTCGGGCAGTCGATGAAAGCCCACGGCAGTTCTGGGAGCTGGCTGGTTGAGGCCACCGGCTGTATTGGTGTTGTACCGCTAGACTCGATGGCGGCGGACGAGGGTCGTCCGCTCTGAGGGGTCGTGGTCATGAGTCGAGACGGAGGGCGCTACGGCGCCATGTGTGGAGTTGGATGGCAAGAAGACGAGGTCGATAAACGTTCGAAGATTGACCTATGGTTTGTACAGGAGAGGTGGTGGAGAGGGCGCAGCAGGTGACCGAGACCGAGACAGATGCCAAAGGAGAATAGCGAGACTAGGGGTGTCTGAAGGTTGATGAACCAGAAGGGTCCGAACGATGTCGAGGGCAATAAGAGTGATCTGTCGGAGAGGAACGGCGGCGGGCGGCCCTGGGCGGGGCGCGGAGATGAATGAGGTGTATGCGGGGAACACAAGGGACGCAATGGATGCCGCTACGCGAAGAGGGGAGATGCAAAGTCGGGGCGGAGGTGTCGGTGTCTGGAGTATGTACAGTGGAGGGATGAATGAGTGAGCAGTGAGGTCAGGCAAGGGCGTTACTATATTCCGCTACAGACTTTTCCCTAATACTGCAACGCCGAGTAATTCCAGGCACGGTCAGGCACAGCC